GTCGTAGCGGACGCCCGTCATCCATCCCTGTTGAGACATTCCATGCCCTTCTCACACATCTCGACGCCTGCTTCCAATTTGCGTCGTGGAAAATGTCAGCGCTGGCAGACGTCACAGAACGCAAAGCGGTTACGTGTCACCGTATGATTGACCTCATCAGTGCTTAGAATCTCTTCTTTTGACTCGACGGAATTGATGTTGGTTATGGTGTATTGTTAATTTGTAATTCATAACTCGTACAGTACCTACTGATTAACCGTTCAATCAAATTTGTTTATAACACTTCTAGCCTCCCTCTTTCCCGTTCCTAGGAGAGCAGAGGATGTCGTCCCTTAGACAAAGATCTAGCACTAGGCCCGATAATATAGTCCATACCAACTCGACGTCTAAGGTGCAAAATCTATGGGGTAAGAGAGTCGAAATAACGACAATAGTAGGATCGTCGTACGAGGGAGCTCGTATTCTAGTGGAGGAGGAGGAGGAGGAGGAGGAGGTGGAGGTGGAGGAGGAGGAAAGCTAGTAGCCCGAGAGAGTAGGAAGCGGGTTTTGTACTCTATCGTCAGGAAGGGAGAGTCGCCATCCGAACGAGGAGGGGGTCGAGAAAGTGGTCGAAAGTCGAAAAAGGCGTAGAAGAGGGAACGGTCGGCGCGCCGCCAATTTGCGCTCCTAGCTAGTGCTGCATACGGTGAAGTAGGGTCGGGATGAAGGGTGAGTGTAAAGGTGAACGAGGTAAGTACGAAGGGTGAGGGGAGGGTGAGTCGTTATAAAAGCGGTACGCTCGAGGTGAGTCGCACGTGAGCTCCGAGCAGTTTTTACGCGTCTTTATGTGCCAAGCCCTTTGCTTCTCCGCAGCTCGAAAACGGAGAGCTTGACTTGATGGGAGCATCATCGACGTTGCCTGCCAGCTCTATACCCCGAGAGACAACCCTCTTCACAAAATTGCGTTCTTAACAAAGGCGCAAAGATGTCCTACGACCCAAGAGAACACTTTCAGCAGATCCAACGGACGCTGCAACAGCGCCGGGGTCAAGGCTTTGGCGGTCTTCCGGGAGGCGGCGCTGCGGGCAGAGGCATCTTTGCTTTGATCAGTCTTGGGGTTGCTGGTGTGGTTCTATCAAATTCGCTGTTCAACGGTAAATTTTTTTGATGTTTGTGGTTATCAACGTGCTCTGACGAGGTACAGTCGAGGGTGGTCACCGCGCCATCAAGTATACGAGAATATCCGGTGTGTCAAAGGAAATCTACAATGAAGGTAAAAGAAATAGGTGCCTTTTTGTGACCTGTGGATTGCTGATGCGGAACAGGCACCCACATCCGGATACCTTGGTTCGAGACGCCCATTGACTACGATGTTCGAGCGAAGCCACGAAACGTCGCCTCCCTGACGGGAACCAAAGATTTACAGATGGTCAACATCACCTGCCGTGTCCTCTCGCGGCCTCGCATCGAAGCGCTACCTCAGATTTACCGAACTCTGGGAACAGACTATGACGAGCGTGTTCTTCCCTCAATCGTGAATGAGGTGCTGAAAAGTGTGGTTGCGCAGTTCAATGCGAGCCAGCTCATTACCCAGAGAGAAAATGTTGCGAGATTGGTCAGAGACAACCTTACCAGGAGAGCGGCGCGGTTCAACATTATGCTGGATGACGTTTCCTTGACCCATCTCTCCTTCTCCCCGGAGTTCACTGCTGCGGTTGAAGCCAAGCAAGTTGCTCAACAAGAGGCACAGCGGGCCGCTTTCGTGGTCGACAAGGCGAGGCAGGAGAAGCAGGCAACCGTTGTTCGCGCACAGGGTGAAGCTAGATCAGCGGAATTGATCGGCGACGCCATCAAGAAGAGTCGAAGTTATGTCGAACTGCGACAGATCGAAAACGCTCGTAATATTGCACAAATTCTACAGGAAGCTGGAGGGAAGAACAAGCTTTATCTTGATGCGGAGGGACTTGGGCTTAATGTCCATGCTGGAGAAGAGGCTCCTTCGAAGAAATGAGACAATGGTCGTGCTTCAGAAAAGCAGCTTTCCTACTGACAAGCCTAATTTATGCTGCATGTTGAACAGGATTAGCTTTTGAGGGCAAATGTAACAATTCTTCACTCGGGCAAACATTGGCTGCTTCTTCTTTCCATATCTTCTATGCACGAGTCATCGTGGCTTGGAAGCTTTCCCTTTCAATAACGGATTCGTACTCGTATGGCTCTTCCATCCCTTTCCTCGCAGGTTTTTGTAGCAAACGGAATCAGCGAATATGATGTTCCTCCCGATAGTGTAACACCCTTGGTACACTGTCAATTGTTGGCACACGACGATCCTGCGAAGAGTCAGCCGGTGCATTCATTCAAGGGCTATTGCAATGTGAACTGCTATGATTGTGGTTGTGGTGGGGACTTTCGGCCAATTTGCTTGCCTGACTGTTAACAAGGACCTCGATTGACTCGAGTCCCTCGCCACTGAAGTCACCATATCTTGTATGAAACCCATTCTTCCAGCTCTTTTGGAGGGATGAAGTGTAATGAGAGCCGTGCTTCGACCTTTCTTGAGGTATGCCTGTAGCCCTCGAGTGTCTCTGTTGCAGACTACTCTGATGTCTCGGCCTCAATTTGACTCGAACTTGTTGTGATCGACTCAGTCTGTAGTCCCGTCAGCAGCGCAGTGCAACGCTCCATCTCGAAAAGCAAGAGGACTTGGGTTAGCAACGCAAAGACGGCAAAAATGCAGAGCATTCCATGGTAGTGCCAAGGGTAGGCCCGTCAACGTCCCCACGGCGCACGGTCGACAATAGGAGAATTGGACGCACGAGGGTGAATGGGTGCATGAGTGCAGCCACACCATTATTTTTGCACTGGCGCGAATGCCCCCTTTCGAGTTCGCTTTCTCAATCTTCCTGCTCGCACGTCGCTCCTCCTGTAGCTCAACACTCAGCCCACTTCCAACACCACACCTGCCAGCATCATCCTATCCCCTGTCAAGCACTTAGCAATCTTTCATCCGCCACCTCTGCTCAAACCTTGCTTGACCTGAGAGACGATGGGGGTGCTGACAAGTCAGCACCCCCATCGTCTGCGGCAGCCATCGCCATCAGTTTCCTCTCAACCTCCCAACAGTCACCCACTGTCTCGTAGCTCACCTTTCGTTCGACAACATCCGAAGAACGCCCCCTGGGACACGAAGAGCCGCTGATTCTGTAAACCAGTTCGCGGCATTCCATTATCATCGCTTACCTCCTCCCCAACGACACTCGATTGCCTCGATGCTCATCTCGACGCGCAGTGTCCCTCCGAACCCCTCCAAAAGAGCCTCCAGCAGCAGAGGCAAAACAGTATCTAGGTATATATATTATTGGACGCAACCACTCTTCCAATGTGAGTAACACCGCCCAACAAGCCCCCGGATAGCATTTCAATCAGCTCATGCCACTCACAGATCCATGTCGTCGGGCTCCGGTAACTGAATCGCGAAGCTTGTTCTTGCGGGGCTGCCAAGCGACCCACTCTAAGCTCAACGTCGGACGCAGGAACGAGAGCAGGAAAACCACCACGGTCCACGACGTTGACTTCGTCGAGCTCTCTTTCCAGGAAATCTCGGCATCCTGGCCCCGATTTTGGGTGCTCAACGGCTATCATGGCCTCCTCTGAGATGGCGATCGATGAAAAAGGAGCCCCGCCTTGGGACCTCCGGTTGCAGAGAGCAGAGCTCCTAGGCCCTGAATCAGAAGGTATGTAGTTTTGTTCGATAGCTTTCCATCACAGCCCAGAGTCCTCTGTATCAGTCTCTCCATTGCATAAAGTCCCCCATCAGGAACTTTCCTGGGCACAAATGAGCGTCACTCAGGACCTGTCCCTTGATCAACGGTGGCTTTGTCATTATGAGGTGTGCTCCACTGGTTGGGCTGTTTGCTCGCTTGGCTGTGGACAGCAGTAGTTGGCTTTGTGTGCATTTCCCTGCTGTTGGTCGGCACATGTGGACTGTGAGCCACCTTAACAACATCGAGGTTGTTATCTTCGTCGACATCGTGCTTTTGCGCATGAAAACTGTTGCTCATCATGAAGCCACTGAATTGCAAGGGGACTGACCAAGGTGTGTGTATTAGGTGTTTGCCTGTCGCTCCTGAAGCCTGGATAGATGTGCAGAAGAAGAAGAACCATGGCCAGGGAATTTGAGACACAAAGACGTCTTTGCGGTCAGGATAAGATTGAATGAACGGTCTGAGGTCATGTTATTCAGCGGCAATGCCGAGACAACACGCTCATTCCTCCTGCTTGCGCTCATCCCTAATGCTTGGCCGACAAACTGCATCTCCGGGGTGGAGCGTAGAGCACAAGGTACGTCCCACGATCCTATATTTTTTTTAAAAAAATTCGCTGATCATCCCTTCAGACTCGGTCATCGCAAACACAATTCGAGCGACACAATCATCAACGTCTTGTCCTTTAAACATCCTCGCCCTCTCGACCAGCGACCTGCAAAGGATTCTTCCCTTCAGAAAGACCACTGCCCAGTTCCTTCATTGTGTTGCCTCCCGTCTCAAATCTTCTGCTGTCAAGGCACAACCCTTACGAGTTTCCACTGGCGCAAAGCACTGCAAGTACCGGAATCCAGGAAGACATCCAACTGCACGAATTTCTCTGATACAGAACCCTCTTTCCTCCCTCTTACAACTCCAAAGAGCAGTTCATACCGTGTGGCCCCAGCTTTGACACCGTGCTAAGCACTACTGGATTGTAAGTTGCTGCCGAACTGACTTTGAATTTTTCAAACTAACACATGTGCTTGCAGCATAGCTCTTCCACTACCAGAGATCCCACATACACGCTTCCAGACCCGCCAGACTGTCAAGCGTGGCCTGTACTGCGAAATTCTCAGCGAAGGCTCTCCAGACGTGTTTTCAGACAAAAACTGCACATTCGGTCTTCAAATTTAGCACCGCGCTAGAGGCTCCTGAAGACAAGGCTCTCCGTGATTGCACAAAAGAGAAACCATCAAGAGCAGTCTCACAAACAACATGGATTCCGCGGAAGGATCTCCCAGCACCAGATCAGAGTCACCCGAAATACGCCCAGGACAGAAAGGTGCTAAGGCACGTGCTGAAGTGATAGACGCGGGTAACGATAAATATGCCATCTACAACCCGGTGACAAAGTTGTGGAGGGTGTCGATGAATATCAGAACCGCGGAAATAACGGACTCTCGGCCCTCAAACAACCGGATCTACGAGGACCTTGACTTTGCACCCCTGGACTCAGCGAACACGTCAACCGCACAAGGTGCTGATAAGGGCAAAAAGCCAAAGCCATGTCCAACCGAACTCGACCTGCTTCGAAGCGCCTGCATTCCTGATGATTCCGAAGACTTAGCGAATAATCCTATTGTACAGGCTCTTCAACGTGATCCAACTCCTGATGATTCCGAAGACTTAGCGAATAATCCTATTGTACAGACTCTTCAACGTGATCCAACTCCTGAAGATTCTCTACCAACCGGAGAACAAGCAGTACACAGCCATGGAGTGAAGAAAGATGGCATACCCGATGCTGCCCAGCAGGCGAAACCAAAAAACAAGCAAACGGGTCTTGACCCCAACTCCCCGCCTTTGTCGGATATTCACCGCATTTTTGACTTGATCACTGAACACGCTGTCAGCAAGGGTCTGCTCGACGCATGCGCGCCCTTCGGAGACGGCGGCATCAGAGTGCTCACTATGTGCTCCGGCACAGAGAGCCCGTTTGTCGCTATGGACCTTGTTCGAAAGTCTTTGACCTCGCAAGGGCACGGCGGTAGATTCAAATACGAGCACCTGGGGAGTGCCGAGATCGAGCCTTTCAAGCAAGCGTTCATCGAGAGGAACTTTAGTCCACCCGTGATATTTCGTGATGTCACGGAGTTCAGCTCCCACTCGCAAAATCCAGACAATGAAGACTACCTGCCTGTCACAGCCTATGGAGCGCGCTGCAGACCTCCCCGCGATGTTCATATCTTGATTGCCGGTTCGTCTTGCGTCGACTACTCCAATCTGAACAATGCTAAAGGAGAATGGAAAGGGCAACGCGGCGAGGGTGAATCTGCAATGACTCTGGATGGCATTGGTGCATACGCCCAGATGCACAAGCCAACAATCATCATAATTGAGAATGTTGAAGCGGCTCCATGGGAAGAGATCAAAATCTTTTGGCGTAAGAAAGGCTACGAGTCTGTGCCCCTGAAGCTGGACACCGTCGATTACTATCTCCCACAAACCCGGAATCGAGGATATTTGTTCGGCATACACATAGAGCGAGCTAAAGAAACGGGTTTCGACATTGAGAAAGGTCACAAGGAATGGGTCACGCTGATGGCAAGTTTTCAACGCCGGGCTTCATCGCCATATTGTGACTTCATCTTCACCGACGACGATCCGCGTCTACAGCTTAGCAAGCACACTGGCGATGACAGCAGAACAAAAGCCTCGGTCGCCTGGGTCAACTGTCGTAAGCGGCATGTGGCTGTACGCGTGGCTGATGGGTTGGGATCCGGCACACCGTTTACCAAGCGCCGTGGACTTACGGAACCAAAACTCGACGATTATGCCGACCAGAGCTGGGCGATTCGTCAATCCAAGAGAGTTCTGGATGTTCTTGATATCCGCCAACTCTCCTACGTTGTGCAACGAGACTTCGATATGAGATACAAGCACAGAAATATCAATGTCACCCAAAATGTCGACCGGGATGAGGATCGTCGCCGGTGGGGCATTGTTGGATGCGTTACGCCGAAAGGCTGTCTTTTTGACACTCGACGAGGTGCTCCGTTATCTGGACTCGAGATCCTGTCCTTGCAAGGATTCCCAATCACAAAACTTGACTTGGGAAAGCACACTTCAAGCCAGCTTCAAGATCTGGCAGGAAATGCAATGTCAACCACAGTCATTGGTGCAGCAATTCTGAGTGCTTTAATTGCCTGTCACAAGACTTCCGGACAAAATTCCAGCATATTCCCAGCTTACATCAACCAGGAAATGGGCAAAGACAATACGCAGCGCGATTCTCTCTCAGAAGTTACCACCGAGAAAACCTTGAAAGCGGAGATCGAAAAACAAAACCTGGAAGACATTTTTCAAAAGTGGACGAGTGCTCCACGCGCAGAATCTTTGGCCGAGGTCGTCCGTCTCGCTGTGGAACTCCAACCGCTCTGTAATTGCGAGGGGCTTCATCGCCGCAGCAGACACCCGTTGTTATTTTGCCCAGAGTGCTATTACACGTGCTGCAAGGGTTGCAACAGAGACGCGCATGGACAACAGAAACTGAGCCACCTGGCAATTCCACGAAAAGACCGTCCCCTCGCGAACAAATTTGTGAAATATTTGACTGAGCTACTCCCCCCAGTCCTACAAAATCGATGCCCAGACGATACAACACAATTGTTCAACCATGGGGTCTTCGAATCGGCGCGGGATTTAATCCTACAAGCACTTGGAAGTCAGGTCCAATTTCAAGGGATCAAGTTTGAAAGCTCTTGGAAGGTTGTGTATGAGTCGACGAGTTGCCGTCTGGAGCTCGAATTTGTCCAGAAGCGCTATCTTTGTGACCCGTGTTTAGACCACGAGCATTCAGACCAACCACAACTCCACCTGGAGGCCATACCCAAGTGGCTGCTATTCGCCAAAGCTCCAGAAGAGATGCCAGCAAAGAGCTCTATCCGAGATTTATTCCGATATCCTGTCGCCAGAATGCAGCCCCATGCAAATCTTTTTGAGGGAGTCTGGGAATATTGGGACGGGTCTTCGAAAGGTTTCAAGCTTCATGTCACTGGCAAAGGTGCGCAAGTTAAATCGTGGGAGCAGAGTCTAGGCATCGAAGCCAAGCCGTTTGCAACGTTAAACGCATTCTCAATTCTCGAAGTCAGCCCTCCACGTGGTACCCAAGGGGACCAACCCTCGGCATTTGATGCAGTCGTCGGCGAATACAAGCTGCTCCAGAATTGTCCCGCGCCCAGCGGCACCTTACACCGAAGAGTTGTCCGGCCCTCATACGAAGCACCAACTTTTCTGTTCCTGAAGTCCGGCCCTTTGAACGATGCGTGCCTTGATCGTGTTGTGTTCTCAACTCAACCATCTCGACGAGACTTGAACGAAGACAGAGCGGCTCTGGTGAGCCTTGACGCCTCTTGGAGACCTGTTGCTACAGCTGAACTAGCCAAGGGCATGGACATCGACTGTGAGATCATGAGTCAATGGTCAGATTGCCAAGGGCAGAGTCTAGAGATACCAGTCGATGAGAACACCATTCATCGGTGGTGTCAGGCTCCAGGTATAAGTCCCATGTCTTCCACAGGATGCGCACATAGTCACTCGACAATTTTGCTCCTGGACTTGAGCTTTGATATGAATGCCGTGCAAAGACTACAGTGTCGCCGAGACCTTCGCATTGATCTGGAACGGGAACCTGAAGCATTGAGCGAATTTGGATGGATTCTGTCCCATGCAGCCAGCATCCCTCAGTTGAGTGATGGTTGGCGACCCATTAAGGATCTTGAAATTGCTATGTGCAACGAATGCTATCCTCCGGCACCCTCAGTCAGATGGATTCTAAAGAAGATGGGAGACAAGGAAAAACTTGTCGCCATGGAGATTCCTCTCGAAGCCGCGAGGTATGAACGCCTCCTGAAAATGAGACCCAAGCCAGCAATCGCACTTTTGCAAAATCTCGACGGAAAAGTTATGCTGAACATAGTGGTCAATGTCAAAACACTGGCCCACCGCGCAGTCTCACAGCTGTTGCGTCCCGACCAGCCCATTCCCGCGCTCAAATCTCTAGAATGGCGGATAGACTCCTATGACCGTTTTGCACCTCCACAAGAGTTTGCCGCTCCACAGCTTTTGTCCAACGAGCAAGACCAAGTCGATCCGCAGATACACGCCGACTTACGTCTCAAGCGCCAATTATGGCCCACTCAATCTCGCGCTCTTGCTTGGATGTACTCTCAAGAAAACAGCCCGCCAGAATGGGATGAAATGTCTCTGGTCGAGTCTTGCCTGCCTGCACTAGGGTGGAGACTTGAAACAAAAGCTCTCCTACCAAGTACTCAAGTCCGCGGTGGTATCATCGCTGATGAAGTAGGAGCTGGGAAGACTACCACCTCTCTTGCCCTGGTCGAGTTAGACTATGAGCGGTCTGCAACAGCATTCAAAACTGACTCTCAATTGACGAAATTTCACTCCAATGCCACCCTAATACTGGTCCCTAAGAACATCGTCAAGCAATGGGAGTCTGAGATCGCTCGGACTCTATCATGGGAAAAGCTCAATAGTGGTCGCTCAAGTTCGATTACGGGTCCATATTACATTGTCGCCGAGACACCGAAGCAACTACAGGGATATTCTCACGAGCAAATCCGCTCGGCCCGACTAATCCTGGCTCCATGGGACATTTTTCAAGAAGAGGCGTACTTGAAGGATCTGCGCAATATTGCCTGCTCTCCTTGCGTTCCAGATGGTCGCGGCTTTCAAGAGTGGTTAAGCATAGCTTTGTCAAGTCTAGGTTCCTGTGTCGAGTCGTTGAAACAGGGCGAGACCGAGTTCTGGGCCAAATGGGCTGAAATAAGATCGAAAACAGCAGCGGAATCAAAGTATGAGCGATTCCAAGGATATGTGTCGCGGGCGACCCACAAAGCCATGAACAAAGCAGCAAAGAAAAAGAAGGGAGCAGCAGCCATTAAGGATGATGACGATGATGCAGCTGAAGAAGGCCCAAGCAAGCCTCACTGCAATGCACCAACATCCAAGGATCCTGACGCCCAGACAGAGGCTGATGGAAACAACAATGACAATAAAGCCAAAGTCTCGGAAGATCAGGGCCAGGAGCAGAAACAAGTTGTTCCTCCCAAACAGCGTCGCAAGCCTGTTGCAAAGTCTTCCGCTGAGGAATCGGTAACGACAGCTGAAGAAGGCCTCCGTAAGGAACTGGATGCTTTTGAGAAGAAACGCAAAATTCCTGTCCTCCTGCACATGTTCGCATTTCGAAGACTCATTGTGGATGAATTCACCTACATTCAAGGCGAGACATCAATGGCGCTTCTACAACTTGGTGCATCCGCGAGATGGCTGCTTTCTGGAACTCCGCCGATCTATGATTATGACAATCTCAACACTATGGCGAAATTGTTGGGTACGCGGATTGCGACGTATGATGAGAAGGAGGGAAGTTTGGGATTTGGAAAGGATGGCTCAAGAATGACCAAAGGCAAGACTGCCGCACAAGAATTCCACTCATATCAAGACATCGCTTCACCAGCATACAAGGGCCAGGTATATGGACTTGCACGAGAGTTTTCGTCAAAGTTCATTCGGAAGAACGAGACATCAAAAGAAGGTCTTGTAAGAAAACGAACTCTCTACAAATTCCAGCTCACTCCCTCCGAGTTAATCACATATTTGGACGTCAATCAGCTAGCAATGGACCCAGATCGATCGTTCAGCCAAAAAGAGAAACCGAAGATCGTGCAAGATCCGGATCAACCCAAATTCGTCCAGATGCTTACGCCGTTGGTCGACCAATCGAACGGGCCAACTGAAGCTCAATTGTGCTCGAGTTTGATGCTGGAAAAGGTCCTAAGCGTGACGGCCGAAGCAAACGGCCAGAGTGACGAAGAGATGTTGAAGACCCTCATCAATGTCGAGGTGCAGAGATTGACCAGTTTGGTCAACGAACAAAGAGAGTTCGTTCTGCACAGAACTCGACAAGTCTTGCAGCTCCTACGAGAACTCTCCTTTCTCAAGGACGCGGTGGTAGAAACGTCGGCGGCAAGTTTTGCCAGGTTCACGCAGAACGCCGCCAAGGGCAACTTGGCCGACACCGCGGCCGTCGAGATTGTGAAGCTCCTCATCGACTACTCGCAGGAGAATCCTTCGGCGCCCAGTCGTCTTCTTGCCGGCGGCGGCAAGACCCCATTCACGCCGGATGGGGTCAAGGATGCCACCGTCGGCACGAAAGAAGTCGACGTGCGGGTGGCCATGGTGGAGAGCCACCTGGAGGTTCTCCTGCGAGGACTCCGTCGACTGCGTTTTCTGGGTGTCGTCGTGGGCGCCTTCGAGAGCACCTCGCCTCCGGGCGAGTGTTCGACATGCGGCGAAATGCCGTTACACAAGGCAGGGCTTTCGGTCGCAACTCAATGCGGCCACCTCCTGTGCGAACAGTGTCTCTCGAAGGAATGCTGTGAGTTCGCGGGGGCTGGAAAAGTCATTCCAGTCTCCCAGTTCGAACTCCGCGCGACCTCGGGGGCTCCCGCCTCGGTGGCGGGAGCCAGAATGCGGCTCGCCGTGGCCCTCGTCAAGAAGGCCACCCAGGAGGGTGACTTGGTCCTGGTCTTTGCCCAGTTCGAGGGCATGAAGAACGCTTTTGTCAAGGCGTGCCGCGCGGCGGACATTGTCTGCCACGATGGCTACCAGGGCGCGACAGCGCAGGCGGTGGAGACCTTCCGGCAGTCGAAGGAGCCTGGCGTCCTTGTTCTCAAGGTCGACAGCCCGGACGCTGCCGGTTGGAACCTCCAGGTTGCCAACCATGTCATCTTTCTGGCGCCCTTTGTGGCGGGCGAGGAGGAGCGGAAGGCCACCATTGCTCAAGCCATCGGTCGGTCGTGGCGATTCGGCCAGAAGAAGGACGTTCACGTCCATCATCTGGCCGCCATGACCACCGTTGAGCCGGGCATGGTGGTCTGGGAGGACGAGTAGGAGGGTGGAAACGGGCGGGGGGTGGGCTGGGGTGGGCTGGGTGGTTGTTCTTGCTGCGTGGTGTGTTCTGGGCGGGCGTGCTGGTGAAGGGAGGGAGGGGAGTGGGAGAGGAGGGAGAGAAAGAGAGAAAAGGGAGGAGGATGGGTGGAGGCAGAGGCCTCGAGGTGTTGAAGCAACGTTTCTTTTTCTTCTTGTTTTGATGAAAAGTGAACAAAGCAAGATTGAAAACCTCTCCAAGTGCCTGTCTGTCGCGCTCTGAGTGCATCGTTTGTCGCATTTTCTTGTGCATTTGTGAGTCGTTGTCGGCGACCCGTCTATCGTCCTTATGCACTCATTGCTGCGCCCGTTTTGTCTATGATCGCACGCTGCATCCAGCCAGGGAAGTGAGGTATGTTCAAAGCGGCCGTTGGCAGGCCATGGATGATCAGGTGAGCTCTCTGGTTTCATTTGCAGACGACCGCTCTGCACATGCTCTGTTTCCTACTATATGAAACTCGATATGCTGCATTCGTCCTCCACTGACATCGTCCAGGACAAATCCGCCGGCCCTGGTGAGTTCACATTCCGCTTGCACCGTGTTCCAGTGTCGAATCTTCCTTACCCAACGACAGGCCAACACCATCAGTGGACAAAGCCATACCAACTCAGGCTATAAATTTGCATGGTACTTTGAAAATACCGTTCTAACACCCCACGACATCTCTTCTTCGGGCTTGCTGACCTGGGGTGCACTTTCGCAAATCCGTTCGCAGACGAACGGCCGCTCTGCACATTGCTCTATCTACTACTATATGACCACCTCGATATACTGCATTCGTCCTCCGTTGATATAACCCCGGTACACCTTCATACCTTCGTCCTCCGGCGTTGGATCTCTCTCGACCCTGCAGGGTGCACTGCATTCATCCTCCATCGCTATCGCCGTGGGGATGGGCCCGACATGGGGACCTTTGTGGTGGTTGGTGGGGGCCCGATGGGTTGGAGAGTTTGCTCTCACAGCTTGTCGAGGAGGCCGAAATCAGGGCAGAAGGTGTATGTAGGTTCAAGAAAGAGGAGAGATTTTTGGGCTGATGAGTGGAGGGACGATGGAAGGTGAGCCGTAGTACATTTATCCCGAACCAAGAAATGTCGAGTACAATCGTGGGCCAAATAATCTTAAATTACCAGAGTTTGAAGCATTACTATACTAGTAGGTGGTTTACCAGCCCCAGAAGTCAATCAACCAGCATTCAGGGTTCATGGCTCGAACAAAAGACGCAAACTATCGAACGCCAGATCAGAACACCAGACCTCGCGAAGATGTGTTAGTGATTGTGTTGGAAATTCGTGCTCTCCCTTCACGACCGGGATGGATATCTTGATACGATCGTCCCCTGGCGAGCGGCAGGACCTTGATCGACTGCAATTGTCCTCCATCCCTTATCGTCATGGGGGAATATATGAGACGGCATTCGTCCTGCCCTCATCAGCTGATGGGACATGCTGACACAGTTGTCCGTCTCCTGGCAAACGACAGGACTTTGATTGAGCCCTCCATCCACCTGCTTCAACTTGGTTTTGCCTTCGGATAAGTCAGGCTCGAGGCCGTATACACTGGACTTGAGCGAGGCACTATCAACATGGGGTTGGAAAATGGTGATACGAGTAGGCCCGAGTGTGATGCCTAACTTTTGCACCTAGGGAGAGCTGAAGAACGACATGATGCAGTATGACTGCCACTTTTGATCGGCCTCTGAAGTCAGCAGATTTCCCACAATGTGCTTATCCGTATCTGATCGACCGCTACACCGAGCATTGCCATCTTGAATGTCAATTCATGGCATACCATCAGCTTCCACTCGCAGTTCGAAGAGCCTAGATTTGCTGACCAGGAGAGCTACCCCTCATACTTCCGGTTCCTTTTGAGGTGTGGCCATGGTCATGATGGTCATTTTCATTGCATATGAAACCTTCCCATTTTGAATGAAACCACCCCCACAACTCACGCCTGGTGTTAGGTACGTATGATGGCTTCGTCTCAGTCTGCTGGTTGTGGATCTTCTCTCTGCGAGAACCCCTGAAACCAACCTTGGAAGTCAGCCTCGTACGGGTCATGCCGCGGGTCACATGACCATAGAATTTGGACTGCGCCGGGTCAGCACTCAGCAGTGCTTCCACATTGCACTGCACCCTCCACCCACCCCCTTCATCATGCGTTTCGGCGGACGAAAACACACACGACCCGGATTTTCAGAGGATATTGAGATGGACCCCCCATTTCTGATCTCTCTTGATGACCATCTTTATGCGGCGGTTTGGGCGCCGTGCATGAACTCCTTGGCAGTTTCTGTGGCTGTTCTTGACGAAACAACCCCTTGTTTGGGTGGCGTTCTGAGGCTCTTTCTCCGTGACAGCGCCTGGTAAGGAACTCCTGTCCCTTGCAGCCGCAAGTTCGTGTCTTTCATCTCACTCACGGACGGCACAGATGGAAATGTCACAGTTGTCAGTACGCTTCTCGTTTCACACCAGCACACGTCACCCTCCAACCTTGCTCCTTTCTCACCCATGCGATTTCGGATACATATCGACTATCAACAGGAGCCGTGTCTTTTTTCCCTTTGTTCCCTCTAGAGTTGACCCCTGAAAATTGCTCTGGGATACTCGCACCATTGAATGTTCTCACTCCAAGATAGGAGGTTGTCTCAAGAGGCGTCGCAAGGAAGGGATCTTCGCCCCTTTTCTCGAGCAACAACATGTCGATGGGCTAGAGAAATCACGATTCTCGACGAAATTTCTCGCTCGATCGACTCCACAGCACGCCAGATTGATCGTGCGCTAGCCGGACTGGATCCGAGGCGCTGCCGCAGATGGGGAACTGCACCAATTCTGCTGGGGGCCCAACACCAAATTTAGATCCCACTTTGATTTCTGCCATGCAATAAGTAATTCTGTATGCATCATCGGGGGCCAATTTGCAGCACTCAAGATCGATCGCGACTTCGATGCCATGGACTTCATCTCCACACATGTTACCTCGAACGACGATGCGGTCCTTTCTCGGCGATGTTGCTCCTCGCAAGTCTCCTTCGCTCTCCGACCGGTGCATTGTCCACTTGGTCTTTTCCGCCGTACACCCGCGTGCCTACGACAAGAAAACGGAAGGAGTAGGAGCAGTATATACAGAATCAGGGCGAATCAGCGTTGGGCATCGGTGGATTCGTGGAACGGGCGAAGAATGCACCAAAAACGGACTCCGAAATTATATGCTTGACTGGGGCGGACTCCGCTTGATGCGGACACGCGCCATTGGGTCTCATGGTCAGGCCCTCCCCTGGATGTCTTCACCTTGGGCTCCAGCTGAGGCTGAGAAACAATGATAAGAGAGAGATACACAAGCGTCACGATAGTCGCCACAAGACCGCTCAATTATTGCGGTAAACAGAATTAGATACGATATACGACACAAGACCCATCTGTGCGACGGAGCCATGATGTCGCTGTGGCCCCTTTCTGGTCTCCCGCAGCAGCGAATTTTTTTGTTGGATGCTCGTTGGCATTGGTTTTCCATCCGCCCGGAGGGATCTTTGGGGCGCGAGATGCATTAGGACTACGGCGAGTGACCTCGGGGTATTTGCAAGGGCATGGTTCCTGATGGCAACGTCCCGACGTCATTTGCCCGGACTCAACAAAGAGCGTCGACAGATTTTCTCACAGAAAGCCAGCACCGAAAATTTTTGTTGGAGTTGGGGGATGGGGGATGGGGAGTGGGCTTCGGGTTTGACTGGCGGGATAATCAAGCGGGAAGAGCTAGTGTGGACCGCCGAATAGGCTTGCCGGGGGGGCCTCAGCGAATAGATCGACAGTAGTGGCGAGCCTAAGCTGGCCGGCGCCCAATCACCCCCCAGAGATTTCCGGTTGGCCCTGCTCGGCGATTCACCTGTGGCTGCTCGACTACTCCCAACACTGATGGCCGGGAGCAAAATAGGGTCCCCTCATAGGCAATAGAGCTTAAGTCACTGTTTGGCTGCGGCCCGCCTAGAGATCCAGCTAAACCCCGTTGTGTAGCAGCCGCTACATCCAACAAGCCCCAAAACAGCGTCAGGGACACATCTCAGCAACGTCGTTACTCTAATATACCCTGCGCCTTCGTGTTGACTCTCTCCCCTACACTCTGCTCTACAGTTTCCCTGCCCTTCACCCATTGCTGACGTCTATTTCTTCTCTCCTCCCCTCCTCCTTCTCTTCAATCACAAGACCTTTCGACCCTTTCACTCCTTACCTTCACCTGCGGCAGTATAGACTTTGGGCAATCCACTTTGGGACATCGGTAATATTGGCGTCATCCCGGTCTCCTTTTTTTCGGTCTTCGAAGTCCTGCCACGGTCACCTCTTTGCCTCCTTTCTCGACCTCGATCAATCTTCTTGCAAGTGTTGCCTCAATTGCATGAGATAGACCTTTCTCTTTCACCATCATGGCTCCCGCCGTCAACGGTGTCAATGGCACCAAGCCCCTTACCAATGGGACAGCCAGCTCGTGGCAAGCGAAGCACAAGGTGGCAGATCACTTCATTGGAGGCAACAGACTAGAAAACGCTCCCCCGAGTAAGGTCAAGGACTTTGTTCAGGAGCATGACGGACATACCGTCATCACCTCAGTAAGTGGAATTCCGAGACTGCCAAATTCGTCCGCCGGCGCAGCCGCAAGCTAACATGACTGCAACTTAGGTGCTCATTGCAAACAACGGTATTGCGGCAGTCAAGGAGATCCGCTCTGTACGAAAATGGGCCTACGAGGTATTCGGCGACGAGCGGGCCATCCAGTTCACTGTGATGGCCACGCCAGAAGATCTGCAGGCAAACGCGGACTACATTCGTATGGCCGATCAATACGTCGAGGTACGTGGAGACCTGAAAAAGGAGTAAGAACAAGAGGAGCAGTATTGACATATTTTGACAACAGGTGCCCGGAGGCACAAATAACAACAATTATGCCAACGTCGAGCTGATTGTTGATATCGCCGAACGGATGAACGTCCATGCCGTCTGGGCTGGCTGGGGTCACGCATCAGAAAACCCCAAATTGCCCGAATCTCTGGCGGCTTCGCCCAAGAAGATCGTGTTTATTGGTCCCCCGGGATCAGCGATGCGATCTCTGGGTGACAAAATTTCCTCCACAATCGTCGCACAGCACGCAAAGGTGCCCTGTATTCCCTGGTCAGGAGAGGGCGTTGATGAGGTAGAAATCGACCAAGACGGCATCGTGACTGTAAGAGACGATGTCTACGAGAAAGGCTGCGTACACTCTGCAGAAGAAGGTCTGGCGGCCGCAAGGAAGATTGGCTTCCCTGTCATGGTCAAGGCTTCCGAAGGCGGTGGTGGCAAAGGTATCCGTAAAGTCGAAGACGAGACAAATTTCGTTGAGCTTTACAACGCCGCCGCAAACGAAATCCCTGGGTCTCCCATCTTCATCATGAAGCTGGCAGGCAACGCCCGACATTTGGAAGTGCAACTGCTGGCTGACCAGTATGGCAACAACATCTCGATCTTTGGCAGAGATTGCTCCGTTCAGCGAAGACACCAGAAGATCATTGAAGAGGCTCCAGTCACCATCGCTAGCCAAGACACTTTCCGTAACATGGAGGCTGCCGCCGTTCGCCTCGGTGAGTTGGTCGGTTACGTCTCTGCCGGTACGGTGGAATACCTCTATTCTCACGCAGACGACAAATTCTACTTCCTGGAGTTGAATCCTCGTCTCCAAGTCGAACATCCCACCACTGAAATGGTCAGCGGTGTCAATTTGCCTGCTGCTCAGCTGCAGGTTGCCATGGGTCTCCCGCTTCACCGCATCCGTGACATTCGCTTGTTGTACGGAGTTGACCCTCACACTTCGACAGAAGTTGATTTCCATTTCAAGAACGAAGCCAGCTTGAAGACCCAACGACGACCTCGTCCAAAGGGTCACTGCACGGCCTGTCGTATCACCTCAGAAGATCCGGGTGAGGGTTTCAAACCCTCGAGCGGTACTATGCACGACCTCAACTTCCGTTCGAGCTCGAATGTCTGGGGTTATTTCTCAGTCTCCTCAAACTCCAGCATTCACAGTTTCTCTGACAGCCAGTTCGGGCACATTTTCGCCTATGGTGAGAATCGAGCTGCTTCCCGAAAGCACATGGTTGTCGCTCTGAAGGAATTGAGCATCCGTGGAGACTTCAGGACTACCATTGAATACCTCATCAAGCTGCTAGAGACGCCAGCTTTTGAGGACAACACTATCACCACTGGATGGCTCGATCAACTCATCTCCAACAAGTTGACAGCCGAGCGACCTGATCAAATGCTGGCTGTTCTTGCTGGTGCCGTGACGAAAGCTCATATTGCGAGCGAGTCATGCATCGCTGAGTATCGCAAAGGGCTGGAGAAGGGTCAAGTGCCCGCCAAAGATGTCCTCAAAACGGTCTTCCCTGTTGATTTCATCTACGAAGGTCATCGATACAAGTTCACTGTCACAAGATCCAGTCTCGATAGTTACCACGTCTTCATCAATGGATCGAAGTGCTCTGTTGGCATCCGCTCTCTTGCGGATGGTGGCTTGTTGATGCTGGTTGCCGGTCGATCTCACAGTTTGTACTGGAAAGAGGAACCCACCGCCATCCGTCTCAGTGTTGACAGCAAGACTTGCTTGCTGGAACAAGAGAATGATCCTACCCAGCTCCGAACTCCTTCACCCGGAAAGCTCGTGAAATTCACCGTCGAAAACGGTGCGCACGTCAAGGCCGGCCAAGCGTATGCAGAGGTTGAAGTCATGAAGATGTACATGCCTCTCATTGCTCAGGAAGACGGTGTTGTGCAATTCATTAAGCAACCAGGCGCCACTCTGGAAGGTGGTGATATCTTGGGTATATTGGCTTTGGATGATCCTTCCAGGGTCAAGACTGCTGAGACATTCACTGGTCAGCTGCCAAACCTTGGACCTCCTCAGGTCGTGGGCAACAAGCCTCCTCAACGATTCGCCCTTTTCCATGGAATCCTTCAAAATATCCTCATGGGCTTCGACAATCAGGTTATCATGGCCTCGACACTCAAGGAGTTGGTGCAAGTCCTTAGGGATCCAGAATTGCCGTATGGCGAGTGGGCTGCTCGATCATCTGCCCTCCATTCAAGAACTCCACAGAAGCTGGACGCTCAACTTGTGCAACTAGTTGACCGAGCACATTCGCGCCAGGCCGAGTTTCCAGCGAAGCAACTCCAAAAGGCCATCAACCGCTACATTGAGGAGAACATGTCCTCAAACGACGGAGCCGCGCTTCACGCTACCTTGCAGCCGCTTGAAGACGTTTGCGCGAGGTATGCCGATGGGTTGAAGATTCACGAATACAACGTCTTCATTGGACTTCTCGACCAGTACTATCAAGTTGAGAAACTCTTCGCCTCTGGCACTCCTAGGGATGAAGACGTGATCTTGAAGCTTCGGGAGCAGCACAAAGATGACATCCTCTCGGTTGTTTGGATTGTCTTGTCCCACACTCGTGTTTCTGCCAAGAACAACTTGATCGTGGCCATTTTGGATATGTACAGACCAAATCAACCCAATGTTGGCAACGTTGGCAAATACTTCAGACCAGCCCTCCGACGACTCACTGAGCTAGAATCGCGGGCAACAGCCAAAGTTGCACTCAAGGCTCGCGAGCTGCTGATTCTCTGCGCCCTTCCCTCTCTTGAGGAGAGAGCATCCCAGATGGAGCACATCCTCAAATCTTCAGTGGTCGAATCGAAGTACGGAGAGACCGGCTGGGAGCATCGCGAGCCAGATCTTGACGTGTTGAGAGAAGTCGTGGATTCTCGCTACACTGTCTTTGATGTGTTGCCCCTCTTCTTCGCTCATCATGACCCATGGGTTAGTCTCGCTGCTCTTGAAGTTTACGTGCGACGCGCCTACCGTGCCTACACTGTCAAGGAAGTTGAGTACCACAACGATGTGGAGCCGCCATTCTTCCTGTCATGGGACTTTGTCCTTCGAAAAGTTGGACAATCCGAGTTTGGACTGCCTCTCGCATCCTCGTACCCATCTGGACAGGCAACTCCCTCACAGAACGGCAATCAGGTCAAACGCATTGCATCCGTCAGCGACTTGTCATACCTCAACAAGCTTCAAGGAGAGGATGAGCCTTCCCGCAAGGGTGTCATTGCTCCTTGCCACTACCTCGACGAAGTTGATGAGTGTCTTGCTCGCGCCCTTGAAGCGTTCCCCAAGGGAAGCCCTGAGAAGCGTCCCAGCACCACACAGCATTTGATGCCGACCCTCGATAGTCAGAGAAGGCCGCAGAAGACCGAGACCCTCGAAGACGAGCTGACGAATGTTTGCAACATCGCCATTCGCGACATTGAAAACATGAGCGACGAAGAGATTCTGAGTCGAGCGCAAAGCTTGGTCGACGAATACCGGTCAGAACTGTTGGCCCGCAAGGTCCGTCGTCTTACTTTCATTTGTGGCCACAAAGAAGGCACCTACCCTGGATACTTCACCTTCCGAGGCCCTACATACGACGAAGACGTCAGCATTCGTCACAACGAACCTGCTCTGGCCTTCCAGCTTGAACTTGGAAGATTGTCGAAGTTCAAGATCAAACCCGTGTTCACAGAAAATAGAAATATCCACATCTACGAGGCCATCGGCAAGGGCGACGACAGGGACAAGGTCGTTGATAAGCGTTACTTCACTCGTGCTGTGGTCCGACCGGGTCGTTTGAAGGATGAGATCCCCACCGCTGAGTATCTTATCTCGGAGACTGATCGATTGGTCAACGACATTTGCGACGCACTTGAAATCATCGGCAACAACAACTCTGATTTGAACCACATCTTTATCAACTTTACTCCCGTCTTCAATTTGCAACCCAGAGACGTGGAGGAGCAGGTTGCCGGCTTTTTGGAGCGCTTCTCCCGTAGATTCCTCCGCCTTCGAGTTACCGGCGCTGAGATCAGAATCCTTTGCACTGACCCCGACAGTGGAATGCCATATCCTCTGCGAGTCATCATCACCAACACCTCTGGATATGTCGTCAAAGTTGAGACGTACGTCGAAAAGAAGGCGCGCAATGGCGAATGGGTGTTTGAGAGCATTGGTGGAACTACCAAGATTGGTTCAATGCATCTGCGCCCTGTTTCTACTCCTTACCCAACCAAGGAGTGGCTGCAGCCCAAGCGATACAAGGCTCACATCATGGGCACTCAATATGTGTACGATTTCCCCGAGCTATTCAGACAGGCTATCTACAACAGCTGGAACAAAGCAGTGGCGAAGCATGCGCCGCTCGCTGAGTCGAAACCAGAGATGGCGACCTGTCTTGAGTACAATGAGCTGATCCTTGACGACACCGAAAATGTCACTGAGGTGTCCCGTGAACCTGGTACCAACACTTGCGGTATGGTGGCCTGGATTCTGACGGCCAAAACTCCAGAATACCCAAGAGGCAGAAGATTCATCATCATTGCCAACGACATCACCTACCAGATCGGCTCCTTCGGCCCTGTTGAGGACAAGTTCTTCAACATGTGCACAGAATATGCTCGAAAACTGGGTATTCCTCGCATCTATCTTTCTGCAAACTCTGGTGCTCGTATTGGCATGGCCGAGGAGCTTATTCCTCACTTCTCCGTCGCATGGAACGACGAGTCAAACCCAAGCTCTGGCTTCAAGTATCTTTATTTGACTCCGGAGAAGAGAGAGATGCTGAGCAAGACTGACATCCTCACTGAAAAGGTTGTCGAGGATGGCGAGGAGCGACACAAGATCACGACCATTGTCGGCGCTAAGGACGGACTGGGCGTGGAATGCTTGCGTGGCTCTGGTCTCATTGCTGGCGCTACATCCAGGGCATATGAGGACATCTTTACCTTGACTCTCGTCACCTGCCGATCCGTTGGTATTGGTGCCTACCTCGTCCGACTTGGTCAGCGTGCTATCCAGATCGAAGGTCAACCAATTATCCTGACTGGTGCCCCTGCCTTGAACAAGGTGCTGGGTAAGGAAGTCTACACCTCGAACTTGCAGCTTGGTGGTACCCAGATCATGTACAAGAACGGTGTCTCCCACATGACTGCCAGTGATGACTTCCAGGGTGTCGAAAAGATCGTCGAGTGGCTGTCCTTTGTTCCCGACAAGAAGGGACAACCGGTCCCAGTGAGCCCGCCTTCAGACTCTTGGGATCGTGACATCACGTTCTACCCACCAAAGGGTCCTTACGATGTGAGACATCTGATTGCTGGCAAGGACGATGAGGAAGGTTTCCTGTCTGGTCTCTTCGACAAGGACTCCTTCCAGGAAGCCCTTGGTGGCTGGGCCAGAACTGTGGTCGTTGGGCGTGCTCGCCTTGGTGGCATCCCCATGGGTGTTATCGCAGTTGAGACACGCACCGTCGAGAACGTCACCCCTGCCGACCCTGCCAATGCTGACTCCATGGAGCAAATTGTGCAAGAGGCCGGTGGTGTGTGGTTCCCCAACTCCGCCTTCAAGACCGCACAAGCCTTGAGAGACTTCAACTTTGGAGAGCAGCTCCCATGTATGATCCTTGCCAACTGGCGTGGTTTCTCTGGAGGTCAACGAGACATGTACAACGAGGTGCTCAAATATGGTTCGTACATTGTCGATGCCCTCGTCAAATACGAGCAGCCAGTGTTTGTCTACATTCCTCCTTTTGGTGAGCTCCGTGGTGGTTCATGGGTAAGTTTATTTTAGTCCCTGTTGATGCCTACAAATACTAATATCTTTGCCAGGTCGTCGTTGACCCTACCATCAACCCTGAACAGATGGAGATGTATGCCGACATCGAGTCGCGTGGTGGTGTCTTGGAACCTGAGGGTATTGTCGGCATCAAGTACCGAAAAGAAAGACAGCTCGAGACCATGGCCCGCTTGGATCCCACATACGCCGGACTTAAGGCTCAATCACTCGCCAAGAATTTGAGTGCTGAACAACTCAACGCTATCAAGGCCAAGATGACTGAGCGTGAGCAACTCCTTGGGCCTATCTACCTGCAGATCGCCCTTCAATTCGCCGATTTGCACGACCGTGCGGGCCGTATGCAGGCTAAGGGCACCATCCGGATGCCTTTGGAATGGAAGAACGCCAGACGCTTCTTCTACTGGCGTCTTCGAAGAAGATTGTCCGAGGAGGTCCTTCTCAAGAAGCTTTCCACCAGCTTGGCAGCAGGCACAGCCCCGGTCACCACCACCAATGGTATGACACAGAGAGAGCAGAACCTCGCCACGCTGAAGAACTGGTCTGGTCTGCTGGATGTCGAGTTCGAGAAGGATGACCGTAAGGTGGCTGAGTGGTATGAGAGCCACAGGAAGGAGGTCTATGCCAAGATCGATGCCGTCAAGACTGATGCCGTGAGCAAGCGGGTCGCCGAATTGTTGATGGGTAACAAGGAGGGTGGACTGAAGGGTGTCCGTGAAGTTCTGAGCCTTGTGCCCACGAGTGAGCGGGAGCAGCTGGTCAAATACTTGACCGGTGCATGAGGGTTGTAAAGAGTATAGATTTGACGATGGGTTTTGGTTGACACGGAAATTGAAATGCCAGAGGGTTACGAGGGCAATTTTGGGGAGCGCAATGGGTCTGGCTAAATGGCGGGACTTTCTATGGCTTTTGGTTTCTTTTAGTTTCTTTCGTGAATACGTAGCATGTTAAAAAGCAGAGTTATACCCCTATCCCATGTGTTTCCTGGTAGTTTGCTCTTTCTGCTTCCATCAACCCTGGGAGCATACTGTAAAACAGAGCAGGTAATGAGGTCCTTTTCGTAATTAACCAGAAGTTAATCACTGCTGGCGTGTCTCGCTGTGGCCTCAACAGAGTGAAGGCCATGCCTTGAGCCTCTGCCGGCCAATAACGACCCCTGCCAGCATTGGTGCAGCTGAACAACACTCTCTCAGCTGAAGACTTATACGAATCCCCGCCTCGTATTATTTCTTGAGGCGTCCTCCGAGCTGTCCTCGCCGGACCGGATACGATGAGTCTACTTTGGCTGTCCAATACGCTGTCTCTTCCAAGGATACCTCGACAGAAAACCCTCAAAGGAATTTGACCCTGACTCTGGCAGCCCACAGGCTTCAGCACATTGTCTGAGCCACCTTCATCTGCCTGACAGGTCCAGATCGTATTCCAAAGCTCCAATGCGGGCAGACCTCGTGATGCTCGACCTAAGAGAGATAGAAGAGGGACTTAATCCCAGAGGTTTCCCTCCCTGTTCTCTCGTACCTTCGCCGCGTCGACTGCCCTTGCCGCAAGATATCAACTTTCTTCAGACCGAGAATCATTGCAAAGCTACCCTTGAAGAGAACTTTCTTTCTGGACTGATCGAAAAATATGTCAGTCCCTACAAAGGCCGCTTTCGTCCACTACGGTGACTTTGATAGCACGACCCGGAAACTCCCGGTGATGGAGTTCATGGAGCGCTTCCGCGACGACTTTGACACAAAGTCCTTTGACCCGAAATGGTACGCTCCAGATTTCACATACGTCGCGCCGGACGGAACGGTGTCCGAGGGCCGCGACAAGGCGCTCGACGCGATGAAAGCCCTGTACGGCCCGCTGCCTAAATGGTGTCACGAGGCGTTTTATCTCAACTGCTACGAGCTCGACGACTCGGGGAGCTACGAGATGATCGGCAAAGCGACGCTGTGGGCCAACCTGCCGGGCGAGCCAGCTCAGGGGGAGTCGAAGAAGACTGACGGCGAGGGGAAAAAGTGGGATCTGGCCATCCCCGGCACGTATCTCTTTAACTATGCCAAAGCGGGAGACGGCTTCGTTCTGAAGAGGATCGAGCTCACCGGGGACACGGGTCCGTTGATGGTCGGCCTGCTCAGGAGGGGTGTTCTCTCTTCCAAGGATCTGGGGCTCTGACTTTTGAGAAAGAGGCGCTACTTGCTGACATGTACCACCACGCCAGCGGTAGAGCTACAGGAATGACAGTATGGGATTTTGATCGAGCATGGTGAGAAGCTGAGTCGTACTAATGATCAGTTGTGACATGGACGCGCCATTTCCATTCTATGATTTAGGCCGAGTACCAAAGAGTACAGCGGCTGTAATTTCAAATTTGTGTTTGCAATATTCCGGAGACATTCCGAGCAGTATGATTTTATTTTTCATGAGAAGTAGAATCAAAGGACATGAAGACCCAGCAGGCTGAGCTCATATGAACCTGGAATGTAGCGGACTACCGTGATGTCGAGAGCTGAGAATGTTCAGCCTCGTTGAGACCATTTCGGGCGGACTATTCCAATCAAGGCTAGTTTGACTGCGCGCAAGGCTCTGCTATCGATAAGGGCTGCGGAGCCTGCGCTTAGAACTTTTTTCAACCGCTCCATTTTGAAACTTGAATTCAACGGTCAGACCTCGCGGGTGGCCAGCGCTGGTGTTAGAGTGCTTGATTGTTGTCCCCGGTCCTGCCCTTCACTTGTACATATCCCTGCATGAGCTAGTTTCGGTGGTCACGTTAACAACTCAACATAATGTCGGCGACTGCGACGCAGACCAGCACAAAATGGTCGGTAGAGTACGACACCGTTCGCCGGCATAAGCTTTTCAGAAACGCGCCAAAAGATCGCAGTGCCTTTCCAGCTCTCCAAGCCGCAGTCAAGCCACATATCGAGTCCTTCAATGCCCTGTGGGACGAAAACCTCATCGACGCCGGGCTCAAAGATATAGGGACCTATACTGTTGTCGATGGCGACCTACGAAACCCGAGCAGAGCAATTCAACGCAATAAGCTTGACCTGAGAGTCACAGAGGTCATACTAGAGAAACCTACCCTCCCGCCGAGTAACAAGTTCAGCATCGAAGACCGGAACATATACCCTTCGGAATGTCGAGAGCGGCACACAACCTACCGAGGAAGATTAAGAGCCAGGCTACAGTATAGAGTGAATAATGGTGACTGGCAGGAATCTTTACGGGACCTCGGGCAGATGCCAATCATGTTGCGGTCTAACAGGTGTCACCTCGAAAAATTCTCGCCCGCACAGATGGTGCGCCACAAGGAAGAGTCTGAAGAGATGGGCGGCTACTTCATTGTCAATGGGAACGAAAAGCTCATCCGCATGCTGATAGCGACCAGGAGGAATTACCCCATGGCCATTTCGAGACCCGCCTTTGCCGCGAGAGGCCCGACGTTTTCGAAGCTCGCAATCCAGATTCGCTCCGTGCGACCAGATCAGACTTCGCAGACCAATGTCCTCCACTACTTGACAGATGGCAACGTCACTTTCAGATTTTCGTGGCGGAAAAATGAGTATCTGGTTCCAGTAGTCATGATCCTCAAAGCTTTGGTGGATACGAACGACCGCGAGATTGCAGAGGGCATCATCGGCGCGTCGTCCTCTAATAAAACACCCAGCTCCTTTGTCGCGGACCGGACAGAGCTTCTGCTGCGGACGTACAAGGCATACAATCTCAAAACGAGGACACAAACTCTGGCATACCTAGGAGAGAAATTTCGACCTGTTTTAATGCAGCCTATAACGATGTCTGACGAGAAAGTGGGCGAGGAGCTTTTGAGGAAGATTGTCCTACCACATCTCGGCAACGTCGATGTGACTAGCTCCCAAAACAACGACAAGTTCCAGCTGATTCTATTCATGATCCGGAAACTCTATGCCCTCGCTGCAGGCGATTGTGCTCTGGACAATCCCGATGCAGTCTCCAGTCAAGAGGTCCTGCTCGGAGGCTTCCTGTACGGTATGATCTTGAAGGAAAACATCTACGAGTGGCTGGTGGGCATCGGTGCTACGGCTCGAGAATGGCTTAGAGCTAAGGGCGACGCCAAATTCACAGATCCTTCATTTGAGGCCGACTTCCTGCCCAAAATAGTCAGGAGGACGAACGAAAACATTGCAGGGAAGCTGGAATACTTCCTTTCCACGGGAAACCTGGTCAGTCAAACTGGGCTCGATCAGTCTCAGGTATCAGGCTATACAATCATGGCCGAGAAAATCAATTTCTATCGATTCATCAGTCACTTCCGGTGTATACATCGAGGTGCTTTTTTCGCGCAATTGAAAACGACCACTGTACGCAAGCTGTTGCCGGAAAGCTGGGGATTTCTTTGTCCCGTCCACACTCCTGATGGGTCTCCATGCGGCCTTCTGAACCACTTAGCTCACCAGTGTCAAGTTCAAATCAAGCGCATTGATACTTCGGGTATCGAGAAATCAGTCATCCAACTCGGGCTATCTTCTGTGCCCTCAATGACTGTCAATGAGAGTCTGTCCGTCCAACTTGATGGTCGTATATTGGGATATTGCGCGGCAAAAAGGGCAAGAGAAATTGCCCAGCTCCTCCGACATTGGAAGGTGAATGGAGAGCACAACATTCCTAATGAACTAGAAATAGGCCACATTCCTACCTCGAACGGCGGTCTTTATCCTGGCCTGTACCTCTTCACTGACCCATCCCGGATGCTACGACCTGTCAAGTACATTCCCTCAGATAAACTTGACTACATCGGGCCATTTGAACAGCAATACATGAACATTGCTTGTGTGGATGCGGACATTATACCCAGTCTGACCACCCACATTGAGTTCAAGCCCACAAACGTCCTATCAATCCTCGCCAACATGACCCCTTTCTCAGATTTCAACCAGTCGCCTCGAAACATGTACCAATGCCAAATGAGCAAGCAAGCAATGGGGACTCCTTCCTCAAACATGATGTGCAGAACAGACAACAAAGCATATCTGCTTCAGACAGGGCAGACGCCGGTCGTGAGACCCCCGCTATACAACGAGTACGGGCTGGACAACTTTCCCAACGGAATGAACGCCGTCGTGGCGGTCATCTCGTACACGGGCTACGATATGGACGATGCTATGATAATCAACAAGTCTTCTCACGAGCGAGGGTTTGGTGATGGTGTCATCTACAAGACCAAAGTCTACAGACTCAATGAAGATGCCAGGGCAGCTCGATCGAAGACCGAGATCAAGTCACTTTTTGGTTTTGCAGAGGGCGACCCGAATAGAACGGAAGAGACATTCAAAGCGCTTGATCCTGACGGCCTGCCTCCCGTGGGGACAAAAGTTTGCGAGGGATCAATCGTTCTCGCCTACCACAGTGTCATGTTCGATCCGTCGGAAGGGAAGCTCAAGAATCTGGACGGAAATACCATGTACTTCAAATATAAGGATACCGAGGAAGCCTACATTGACCAGATCAGACTGATCGGCTCCGAGACTGGAGACCAGCCTTGTCAGGCGATTAGCATCAAGTATCGGATACCCAGACGACCTATTATCGGCGACAAGTTCTCGTCAAGGCACGGTCAAAAAGGTGTCTGTTCTATGCTGTGGCCGAGCCAAGATATGCCCTACAGTGAATCCGGAATCCAACCAGACGTCATCATCAACCCACACGCTTTTCCGTCTCGAATGACCATCGGCATGTTCGTCGAGTCTCTTGCCGGCAAATCTGGAGCTCTCCACGGCCTCGCTCAAGATTGCACGCCTTTCTCCTTTGACGAGGACAACACTGCAGGCAATTTCTTCGGGGAGCAGCTTCTGTCGGCCGGCTACAACTTCTACGGCAACGAGCCCATGTACAGCGGTATCACGGGCAAGGAGTTCGCTGCCGACATCTACATCGGCGTGGTCTACTACCAAAGGTTGAGGCACATGGTCAGCGACAAGTTCCAAGTGCGCACAACGGGACCTGTGAACGCACTGCATGGCCAGCCCATCAAAGGGAGAGCCAAAGGCGGCGGGATCCGTGTTGGTGAAATGGAGCGTGACTCGTTGATCGCTCACGGTTGCGCATACTTGCTGCAAGATCGACTCATGGACTGCAGCGACAAACAACGGGCTTGGGTATGTCGGAGTTGCGGCAGCTTTTTGAGCACCATGATGGTGCCGAATCAATTCACCATCAAACGCAGAGGGGGCCGCGTCGAGCCGAGCGGCATAGTCAGGTGTCGGGCTTGTGCGAGACCCGCGACTTTCGAGGACAGTAAGATTACCGTGTGGGAGGACGGGGCGGGACGAAAATTTGTCGGCGGCGAGAACACGACGGTCGTCAATGTGCCGGGAGTGCTGAGGTATCTGGATGTTGAGCTCGCCGCGATGGGGGTAAGGACCACGTTTGAAATTGAGGCGTAGTGTCGCAAACGCTACAATGAAGAGAAGTTCTGCGAGCTATTATTACATGGTGACCACTTCCTGCCCAGGGCCAACAACACTCAGGCCATCTTTTTCGGTCTCTTTCTTTTCCGCTACTTTGTCCGGATTGATCAGCCCCAACCGGACCGCAAAATCGCTCCTGCCCACTTCCTCGACCAACTCCTCGGCCATGTCCAACCGTCTGGGATACTTCTTGACACTGCCCTGCGTGACAGTCCTACCGTTCATGACCAGCCCGTCCACGGTAGAATTCTCATACATTAGCGCCAGGTGACTCGCCACCACCGCTCCCAGCAGCATGACTTTCTCGCCGTCCGACGCCCCGGCCAGAGCCACCACGGCGAGATACACAGCCATGTGGGCGATCCAGTCCAGCGCGTCCATCAAGGCCGGGTTGCGCGGGCGGGCCAGCCACGCGCCCGAGGTGACTGCCTTGAGGTCGTCGACCAGGCCACGCATGCGGATCCAGCGGTCCTCGGAGAGCAGAACCAACAAATCACCCGGGACGCCGGGTTCCGGGGCGCCGTGCCATGACGGTGGGGACGTGCGGGCGCGGAGGGAGATGATGGCGAGGATGCGCGAGAGGAGGAGGCAGGACAGAGATGTCATGAGGGCCAGGCTTGGGGGCGGCGTCGTCAGTGTCGAGCTCGTGACGAGTAAGAGCACCGGCATGCTGGAGAGCGAGAACCACGTCCTGGGAGGTCGACCGTGAGAACGACGAGGTGGTGGTGGTGGTGGTGGTGGTGGATGGACGTCGAGAGTCGTCAAATGGCCCGTCCGTCCGATCTTCTGGAGATACATGACCGTAGCATGGTTCTCGACGCGGAAGACGTACTGTTAAACCATCGTATCAAAACCAAATTCTGAGTTAGAACCTGTATGTATCACCATCGTGTCCCATTCCTTCCAATTCCTCACTAGAAATTCCCACAAATTAAAGTCTCGATAACAATATACCGTAGACGAGGCATTTCACTCACTCACTCACTCACTCACTCACTCACTCACTCACTCGTTCCATCCTCCTTTCCTCTCCATACACCCCACCCCACGCCGACCTGGTCCATCCACTGCCTCTGCAGGATACTTCCGCGAATAGTAAAAGACTTCGTTTTAACTTACCCCCGTGGTCATGGCCGCGCAGGCCGGGAACTCGCCCTGATTCAGCGCCGCCGGGTTCAACCCCCTCTGCATGCCCAGGCACAGTCTGCACGCGTCGAGCAATATTCCCAGCACGGACGGTAGCGCTGGCTCAGTGTCGGTGTATGTGCCCAGCGCTGCGGCGGTGTGGATAGGCGGGATCGAGGACGGGGTTGCGAGCAGCAGGATGGGCAGGAGGGAGAGGTCGATGTTGAGAGTCATATTCATCATGTTCATTGGATATATGGGCCTCGTATATAGTCGGTATCGCTCAAGGTGGCCTTGTCGAGGCTTCGTGGCTGTGGAGGTAACACGTTGGATATCCACCAACGATGCGTGGTTAGATGGTTAGGTGGTCCGGGGTTCTGCGTGTCAGTTGGTCTGGAGTGGAATATGATAATGTTTAATACAATGGGCAGAATGCTGGACGGATATCTCAGGAAATTATTTTACATTTATCCAAGGCTGGACACCCACTTCTCAGCCTGATACCGGGATGTGTGTGTGACAGTAAGGCTAGGCGACGGGAACATGGTTGAAGGCGCCTAACTACCTACATATGTTAATGTAATTCGTACTGCTACCCGAGCTTGTAGTCGACCAGTGTCAATCGGTGAACGCTTGAAACCCGTCATGGGAAAGGGCAGGCCTTAGCTATGTAAGTTCTATCCTGCTGTACAGAAGCAGTCAGCTTCGCTTGCTCGTCAGCCTTCGTCACCATGGTTATCCTTGACCGCGTCATCCGCATCGCTGTCCTCGTCCTCGACGCCGACTTCAACATCGTTGCCCAACAGAGCATCGCCACTCTTCGTCTTCCCTCCCTCAACCGCCCCAACCAGCGGCTTTGTCCTGGTCGCTTCGATGCCGCCCGAGGTCACAAACAAGAAAGTCTCACTCGGGAAGTTGTCGACGTGGTTGAAGAAATTGCCAAAGACGTTGTCCTTCTCCTCATCCCGGTACATGCGCTCATAGATTTGTTCTTGCTTGAACTTGTCCATCTCCTCCTTGTATTTGTCAAAGTCGATGGCTTCTTTGCCGAAGGCGTCTTTCGCGCGCTTGTTGTAGGATTCGAACACCGGCCGTTCGAGCAGAAGACCAAGGCTGGGAGCCTTGGGGATGGACAATCTGTCAGGACCCATGCTTTCCACCAGTCGTTTGGGATCACATCCGCAACGCACCACGAGCGCAGCCATCCCAACCATCTTGCGGATCTGGTGCATCATGAAACTCTGCCCGTGGACCTTCATGCTCAGCCACTCCGTGCCGTTGATCAGGATAGGCTTCCTATTGACAAGGAAGGATTTGATCACTCGCTTCGCGCTAGGGTCCTTGAAGCTCTTCTGGATCGTGTAATTGTGATAGTTGCGAGTGCCGACGAACAGATTGAGCGCCTCTTGGATTCGGTCGAGACGTTCAGGGGGGATGCGGTAGGCCCGTTTGGCGGCAATATAGGCTTGCCGGATGCGTTTCATAGCTTCGTCGAGGATGCGCGATCGGAATGATTTGGGTTGATCTGTTGAGTCTTCTGCCACGGAGGCGGGCTCCACGTTATTGCTGTCCACGCGAGCCTTGTCTTGCGATTCTCCATCTTTGTTTCCGGCTTCCTGCGAGGCCTCTGGTTTGGAAATCTCACGTTCAACCTCCACAACCGTGGAACTCGGATGGTGTGCACCACCATCCCCGTCATCCTCTGGACCTTCTAATTTCAGCCACAGTGCCTTCTCCAGGATAGCACGAATATCTTCGTCATATTCCGCCAAAATCGGCTTGATCATCTCTTCGTCCACCTTCTCCCAGTACCCTGTTACTTCTTCTTGTCTCTTTCTGTACCCATCCACATCGTCCTTTTTCTCCGCCCACTTCTCGCAGTTTCTCCCCAGAAAACTACTAGGGTGTGGTGGTAGAAAGCTATGTGTAGGCATCAGGTATTCATATATGCGCGAGTCAACCAATTGATAGGCACTGAAACTGTTATTTGTCCGTTCGTAGCCCCAAACCCGAATCTGGGGGGTCAGGTTGTCGTTGATCTTCTGCACTATATCCTCGTCTTCGACGATCAATTTCAGGGATATCACATTGCCAGCGGCGTGCACACCCTTGTCTGTCCGAGCGCATCGCACAAAGGAAGATTTCTTGGGATCGTCAGCGTTGTTCTTGGAGATGGCACCCGCCGCGACAAAGGCTTGGAAGAGGTCTCCTTCGATTGTTTTCTGGTCATGCGCTCTGGTTCCACGGAGGTCAGTGTCTCAGCCCCAAAACAGTCACACGGGAAACCCTACAGCTGCATCCCCTTATAACCGGTACCAGCATATCCAATGAGCACAGCAACCTTCTTTTTGGGTCTTCTCTCCTCGGCCGCGAGCACTTCATCGCTGAATTTTGTCGCGTAGATGGGCAGTTCGTCCTTGCCTTGGTCGATCCGTTGACGTTTGGCAGCTTGCTCATCCTCGTTCCGTTGCCTTTTGTCTACTTTTGTCTTACTTAGCAAGTCAGTCTTGAAGATCCCCAAGAAAGTGTGAGGGCGATCGAGGCAAATCCATCACGGACCGCCGCGGTGAGTTACGTTCCCGGGAGAAAGACAAGACTTACGCCCACTCCTTCCTCCCCATATCCCTCTTCTTGCCCTGACGACCTCCTCGACCACCTCTGGCTCCTCGCCCTGCAGTAGCATTCTGATTCGAACGTCTTGCATCTGGACCACCGCGTCCTGGTTCACGAACTTGCGCTGCTCCACCTTTGGGAGAGGTTGGAGTCCTCGACTCCGCGCTGATACTGGGGTGGGAGGGACCTTGGGGCGCGCCTGGCGCGGGGGCCTTCGAAATGCCAGTCTCCATGTTGGTGACTTGTAGAACATGGAAAAAGGAGACAGGGATTCAGCATCAGTCTCGGTCTCGGCTGCACCTATTTTGAAATTTCTTAGGTGCGCTCTCCAACTGCGACTCGATTTGCGCTTTCCCCGCAAAAAGCATGTACGGTGAAGCAAAATGCGGCCAGATGCAGCCAGGAAAGGAGTCCCGGCGCATGCATTGCTCTACTTCTTGCCACCGCTCGGGGTGATCCATCTATTGATGTAGATCATGCTATCCGCCGTCTATATGCCCTTACTGCCATTTTCAATGGTCATCCACTCTGTCTTTAGCTCTAGTAAGCTGCTCCATTGGTGGTGGCTCCAGCCATGGGCTTCACTTCCACCTCAACCGGCTCGTCGCCTATACCTCTCTTTTTCGCCTCCTCCAGAATCGCAACCGTCGCGGTGGCTCCTATCCTCGTGACGCCAATGGACATGACATAGAGCAAATCATCCAACGTGCGAACTCCCCCTGCTGCTTTGATCTGGATTCCCGATTTGGAGTGCTTTCTCATGAGCTTCAGGTGAGGTACCGTGGCGCCCTTGTACGTGTACATGCCATTGGGCTGCTTGACAAATCCATAGCCGGTCGATGTTTTGACGAAGGCAACATCAAGCTCTGAACAGATCGCACATAGCTTGATGATGTGCTCATCCTGCAGAAAATCGTTCTCGAAGATGACCTTCAGAATCGCCCCTTGGTTCCGCACTGCAGTGTTGATTGCTCCGATTTCCCTAGTGACGTAGTCCCAGTCGCCTGAGAGCACTTTGCCAATATTGACCACCATATCGATCTCTGCGCCCCCTGCCTCAGCGGCCTTCTGTGCTTCAAAGACCTTTACTTCGATAGTGCTGTTGCCGGCGGGGAAGCCAATGACCGGACAGACCGCAACGCCTGATCCGTCGAGGGCTTTCTTTGCTTGCGCGATTGCATACGGCTTGACGCAAGCCGTGGCTGTCTGGTACTTCTTCGCAATTTCCAGTCCGGCCTGGATTTCCTGGTCCGTCATGGTCGGATGTAAAAGGGAGTGATCAATCATTTTGGCTATCTGTGACAGAGTCACTTTGATCGTTTTCGGTTCTGACATGGTGTTGAAACGGTAGGATGAATGAATAGACAATCTGGCGCCACAATGATCAAAGCCAACAGAATTCCTCTCGTCACCGATTTCGAGGTTGATGCTTTTGCTCTGGTCGACAAAAGTCCAAGTCGCATTTTAATAGTTGGAGTCGAGGTGAATGGGGAGGTTTCCGCATCTGGAGAACCCGACCCATTTTGGGAACCTGCGGACCGGTTCCTCGTTGTTGGAATAGCGCATGCTACGCGGCTCAAGACATGACAAAAGAGTGTCCTGTGTCTATTCAGATGTTGTATCTTTTGAGAGACGCTGCAACAATTCTACGTCCCACAGCTTTGATGTAAAGCCATATATCTTAGACAGGCCAAGGGTAGTTGCCCTGACCCACTGCGGCATGCAGGCACTATCCTGAGTCAACACGATTCGCTGACGAGGGCCGGATTTGGTAAGTGTTGATTACCCTCTTAGGTAGACATCAGAATGCCGTCTAATTTCTCATTCAAATGTCTTATGAGCAAAGCAAAGCTGGTGAGGGGAGTGGGCGAAGGGGGATCGCAAGGACGAAAGCTCGCTGTCGATGACCAAAAATTGGTTAAGTCATGCCGTTTTTCCGAAATACAAAACGCTCGGGGCTCCTACGCCCAGCGACGCCTTGCGACACCTTTTGCGAAGTAATCATAACTCGGTATACACCGGCGAGGGACAGACTCCACGGAGAAGCTTAAGACAAGACGACCTGGACGGTTGGCTATTCGCTCTGAATAGCCAGAAATGGCATGGTGCGCACAACATATAATGCCTTTTTAGGAAGCATCCTCTCGCCGCTGCAATAGCGGTGACGTGCCTATCTTTGTCACTGGGCAGAAAATCCCCAGCCAGACACAAGAGAAACCCCAGTGTTCACCGAGCGTTTACGGGGCAACGTCGATCAAAAGACCCTTCCCTTTACTTTGACGCAGTCTCTCTCACTCATCACTTCTCTCCATCATCTGTAACTATTTAGGCCAGAGCCGCTTGCAATTCGAAAGGCAATAGTGGCTACACATCGTGTGATAGATATATCACTGCGCTCACGCCCTTTCCCGCACCCTGCTCTTCCTCGCATGTTCCACATTTGATTGCAGTTCTGGCCCAATATCCAAGGTGACAAAAAGGAACTCAAGTCTTCTCAGAATACCTTAGATCAAAGCAATAAGATATCGACCGGATCCCATCTCAAAATGACATATACCGTGTCCGAGATAACAGACCTGCGCATCTATCCCATCAAGTCATGTCGAGGGATCTCTCTGAAGTCGGCACGGTTAACAAGACAGGGATTAGAGCTGGATAGACGCTGGATGGTGAGTTTGGTGTTTCGGCCAGAATCTTCTCTCTCAGTCCAAGCAATGCAGTATACCCAGATTCGTTCCGTTTCCTCCACCGCGATAGCTGACCATGCATGGGGAGTTGTTTAGTTCATTGACAGCAGCAACAAGTTCATCACCATTCGTACAAAACCTCAAATGACTTTGATCAACACCGCCATTGATCACGATTCCGACAACTTGGTCATAACCATAGGCAATGACACGGACAAGCAAGTTAGGGTGCCCATTCACCCTAGTCAGGAGTGGCTCAGTGAAAACACCAAAGAAGTTTCGGTCGATATCTGGGAGTATATCACCGATGCCTATGCTTACACGAATGGCGAGATGCTGGCTCTTTTCAAAGACTTTTTCGGAGAAGAAGTTCGGCTGGTGATGAAGGGTCCCGAGCTAAGGATATGCGCCGGTAATGGCTCCCCTGAGCGACTGGGACGTACGGAAAGCGTCAACTTCCCGGACGTACTTCCCATTCAGATTGCCTCTGAATCATCCCTTGCCGAATTGAACTCCAGATTGAAAGAGAAAGGCAAGAGCGCAATCACCATTGAGCGGTTCCGGCCAAATATCATAATCAAAGGGGGAGAGCCTTGGTCTGAAGATTCATGGAAGAAAGTGCGCATCAACGGCGACTCTTCGTACTGGACTACGCTCACCGGCGGCAACTTGCATGCAATTGATGTTGATGTGGTGGCGAGATGTGCTCGCTGCACAGTGCCCAATGTCGATCCCGATACCGCAGAGAAGGACGCCCACCAGCCTTGGGATCTGTTAGTCAGTTACCGCAGGGTTGATGAAGGCATCAAGTTCAAACCCTGTTTTGGAATGTTGTGCTGCCCAAGGAACGAAGGAAGCGTCGAAGTAGGAATGCGATTCGAGGTCATGGAAGTTACCGATGCGCACAGATATGTCAAAGGGTTTTAGGTCGTCATGGTGACGGATTGCAAGGAGATGCTTGTGTCCAGTGTCCAGGGGAGTTATGTTATGGGTCTTTGACTTTGTCCAGGGGCTGTATATTTTCTGCAGTGATTTGATCTAATGCTGTCGGGACAGCTTTCTAGTGGGTGTTATAAGCAGCGCCAACGGGTTTGAATTGTTCAGTCAGCGATTCTTGTCCTACCCTGAAAGATTTTGGTCCAGATAGCTTGAAGCCTGGTCAAGCCAATTGTCTTTGAAGAAGTAGCTTCTGGTTCGATCGAGTTTGCCCCCCGCGCCGTAAGGCAAAGTGCTTGTTTGACTGTCGATAGATCTATGGCTTCGTTGCACTCCAGAAGTCGTTGGTTCCTGGTTGTTTCTACCGCTCCCTTATCGTTGTATCATATTTTGCATCGGAGCCGAAGTCCGGTTGATGGTCTTCGGCTGCAACATCTTGTTGCATCAGCATGACTTCCACATCAGGCGAACAGGAGCTCCGGGTGTGACAGCATGCTGCATGATAGCTTTGTGAATTGATGGCTCAACGGTTGGTCTGGGTGGCAGCTTGCGTTGGCCCGAGCTCAAGCTTGTCCGGGGCCACAGAGCAGCTTGTAGCGAGTTAAAGCAGGCTTGAATTCAATGCTGCGAGGATTGGCGGTAATGCACATGCTAGTGGACGGCTGGAGCCCTCTTTTACGTTGCCATCAGCATCGATCATCGATCCCAAGCTACCAGAACAGGTGAAGATAGCCCCCAGGTAGAGCTACCTTGGATGAGGTGATTGAGGGGTCCCATAGCTCTTAGCAAGGTCATGATTGGCGTAAGTACCTGACTAGGTACCAAGCAGAAGGAACCAGTAGGAAGAAAAGTGAATGCAATGGATTGTCATCGATCAGAAGCTGTGCTGGCAGCTATGGGTGGTGTGAGGGAGATGGTGGTTGATTGGGCGCCGTAATTGTCGTTCCTGGGTGTAAGGGAATCGGAAGCCCGGGTCCAGAGTGGCAGCGATGTCTGACACTGATCGAGAGCTTTGGTTGTCTAAGCGGTGGACCTGTATGCTTGCTGTCTGACAGTCATGGATTTGGCGTGGTTCGGGTGCAAAGGTTAACGGGCGTTGGCGCTTGGAACAGCTGCAGCTTGCTGAGCTTAGGGAGGGGAACCTCCGGAGGATGAGGGAAGCTGCCACTGCCAATTAAAGGCCCCAAACCAACCAGGGCAAGCTCCTACCCCCAGAGCTTAGGGTAACAAGGAAGGCTCACCCCTCAATCCAAGCTCAAAGCTCTTTTTTCTTTCTTCGATCCATCCCACCAACTCTCGACAGTCCAAAATACCCTCTCCTCTCATCAGACCGACGTCCTCTCCATCTCTCCTGCTCGTCTCCTTGCACACGCGTCGAAAGGCCAGCAGTTGACTCTGTTGTGTTGTGCGCCCTCTCAACCCTATTCTTTCCGACGAGCAAATCATGTGAAGGAGGACCCATCATTACGTCGGTTCCCTTCAAGCTCAAAACCAGCCAAGCTTGTTGTGGACTGCCCGATCAATGCCGCCGACCTTCGTCCTTTTCTCCTAAAACTCGCTCCTGCGGTTAGGGTCAGCGCTGAGAGGCCATGCCGCCCAAACCCGCCCTCACCAGCTCTTTTCTCGTGTCGACAGATGCAGAAAATGAGGTTGTGTGTCCGCTCACAAACCAAGATGGCTCGCAGTGCAGAAAACGATGCATTGGGGTGCGCTCCTCCTGACCCAATTCTGCGCGTCGCAACCCGCTGACCCCGATATTTACAGGAAAAACGCTACCGGTCGATGCAAGAACACATTCGACGCGCCCACCCAGATCATTATATCCCCAAATTGCCTGCTACGGAGGAGAGTTTCCAGTTGATGATCAGCACTCCTCCCTCGCAACGCCCACACGTCCAACCAACTGGCTCTTGTACGTTGGCTATATGATCCCCTTCTTCCTCATACTGAGAAAAATGCAGCGGGTGCCAGTGGACTGTTTGAACAAGCCGGCGCAGGGGTGATGACTACGCAACCCCCTGGGGCTGCCAATGCTGCTGTTGCTCTGACACAACTCCATCATTGGGACTCGGATTTTGTAAGTATCACTGGGGCAAAAGACTACAGCCACAGCCAGAACTGTGCTTATTCGCACACCAGGATGTTTTTCCAGAGTCAGACTACAAACGCGAGACGTCGGGTCTCGAACTGCCCTCGTTACGCGCTCAATTTCATGAAGATACCCTGCCACCATTCCAGCCTGCTCGCCCGCGCGAGCTATTACCATCTATTCTACAGTCTCCGGGTAGCCGGTATTCTTCCTTACCACCCATCCAGCGACGCGGCGAGAGACTTCCGCGACCCCGAAAGCCGTCAATGGGGCAAAATGCGCGCAAGGGCAAGCACGAACGCGGAAAATCTAGGGAATTTTCGGCCAAGGATTTCTCCCGACGGCTGAGCGTCGAAGGCCGAAAAGCGATGTCTGCCGAACCGCCCACTGCGGCCTGGGTTCAAGGCAAGAGATGGGAAGATCTGATCGAGGCTGCTACGAGTGCTACTGAGGCTGATGATGATCGTGATCTCACTCCCGTAAGTCAGACGACATTTTTCGATTGTCCTCTGTTTACTTGCTGCTGCCAAGAGATCGAAATTCTGTAGAGGAACCCCCCGGAGGATGGCCCCCCAGAAAGGGTATATTTGTCTTGTACTATTTTACTGTCACTACTATTGCCAAAAACAACAAAAACGAAACGAACGACTGTCATGTCTTGCTATACCCGCACGAAAGGCAAAAAGAAAGGATCAAATGCGAGCGACAGAGGACCGTTGCCGGGCAAGAGGAATCTCGTCCCTGTGTGTCAGTCGATGGTTTTTGAACAGTTGGCGGTCCCGGAAAGATCACGATTGATGTGTTTTTCAGGACCACGACTTCAATTACGGACCGACTGGTTGGGAAGGAGATGACGAAATGCCTGGGGGACGGACTCTCTGGAGCGAGCGGAAGAATAAAAAACACAGCATTGGTTTTTTATTTTCCTCGGTCAGGCCACATGCGGGTGATGAAACCATCTTTTTTCTGTGGCGGTCGGGCCAGGCGACTGAGACGAGCCAAAGCCAGGGGGGTTCTGTCACCGAAAAGTTTATGCACCCTCAGTTAATTATCTCTAATGTGTACACCAACCTCCTCATTTTCTTTTTCTTGTTCGCGTTAGACTATCGATAATCAACCTTGCTAACATGCCCTTGGCATTCACTTACAGATGCCGCAGTCGCCAAACTTTCCGCCCTCTACCACTGCTGCCGCCACCGCTGCTGGCACGGGCACCGCGCCCACCACCACCACCACCGCGCGTAGATTGTCCGCCGCGGACAGCATATCGACCAGTGGGGATATCAACAAGCGTTCATCGCTGCCCCCGGGCTTCCGTCCCTTTGGTCATCACCTGCACCACCAACCTGGGCAATACAATGCCTCTCCGCTGCAGCGTACCCTGACTCCACCGCCACCAGATGTCCTGGGACCCAATGATCCGGAGCCATTCCCTTCGGTCGAGTCCTTAGAGAGCGCGGGATCCGGTCAGAATTTCCACATTTCAGGTTCCGGTCTCCCTACGTCGGCATCATCCAACGATAACACTAGCCCCTTGCAGCACCATTCACATCCTTACCAGCACTCCCAATCATCCTCATTCGGCAGCAAATCGGATGTATTGGAGATCTATTGTGCATCATGCAGTCGACCGTGGCTACTGAAAAATGCCTTTGCATGCACCGAGTGTATCTGTGGCGTCTGCAGCGACTGTGTTGGCCAGATCATCAGCAGTCCCGTGGTCACAGTCCAACCAGGTCTCGCACCGATGCGCCGCGGATGCCCCCGCTGCGGAGTCATGGGCGGGCGCTGGAAGAGGTTCAACATTGACATTCGCTGATGATAACATTCGCAGTAAGAAGTCTCAAACTAGAATTTCTAGGGCGGCCGTATTGTGTGGGAGGAGGGGAAGGCGGGAGGGGATCACCCCCTGCCCTGGCCCCCCTACCCACCTCCCGAACAAGAAGCAGGGAAAAAACGCGCGCCCAGGAACGACCCCCTCAAGAGTCAAGCGAGCGTGACTGAGACATATGATCCTGTCAGCCGTGAAATTACCGCAGACTCCGCCCAGCGCCGAGCCAACCGGACGCGACAGGGGAAAAGGAGAAATTACTCCCTCGCGGAGCAGACCGGCGAGGAGGTACAATATTAGACTCGACAAAAGTAGTCACAGTAGAAGACGCTCCCAGGTGTGTAGGAGGACGACCAACAACACGGGCAGAAAGTATAAGCGACGAGTTCCTAGTCCAGCAACACGAACTCCCCCCGCCAGTTGAAGGATAGTCGCCGCCGGGATAGCGCAGATTGAGAGGGAGGAGATACACAGGGATATCGCTGGGGCGGTCCAGGAAGGGCTTGAGTGGTGTCCAATCGCTTCCACACGCATTCGGTTTGCGCAATGTCAAAAAACGTGCGGGATGCCGAGGAGATCCAGGGGCCCAGATTGGACGGGAAGGCCGTCGGCAGGCCAGCTAGTCCCAAGTATCCCTCCCTCCCTTACTCGGTCCTCCTAGGCCACTGCCTCGCACAGGGCGGGAATGGGGCCTGGCGCAGCTAGGCGCGGCACCGCAGGCCAGAAAAACTTGATAGTGGCCCTCCACTCGAACGCCACAAAATGGCCGTCTCTGACCTCATCAAGAACGGACTCATGACGATCAGCATTTTGTTGCGGAGGCCTGTCCATGCTTCCGACGAGTAGTAGCAGTTGCAAACTCTGACCGAGACAAGTCTTTCCCAGAGGAAAATCGAAGCGAGCACTAACTTCTGGGGGGGAGGGATCTCTAGGGCAGTCCGCAGCCTGCTTGCAGGATATCGGGGCCTTGGCTGGCAAGCCGTGTGGCTAGTTACGTTATGCATATTCAGCAGCTGACACAGATAACAGGCTGGGACACAAACAGCAAAAGGAAAGGCCATGCAGAAGGCCATCTTCCCGCAGGAGCATCACATCCCACCACTACTCGCATGCACGAGCCGACCTGAGTGAGAAGTGGCTGAAAAGGAGGGTGTGGGTGCGAATGCCAAATGGGCCCAAGGTGGACACTCTCCTGTCCCCGGCTCCCATGTCCGCCCCCCTCCTTGCGTCCGCGCATTTCCATTGGATTTCATTCCTCCTTGAGTCCCCAAGCAAGCAGATGCCCGAGGGCCATCAAACGCCCCATGCGACGCCGCCTCCTCCCTACACGATGGGTTCTGAGGCAATAATTCGCTCATAGCAGGGCCAGGGAAAGATTGGGGAGAATCAGAACGAACAACAAGAGCGAGCGGTGGCCAACCCAGACACATGGCGCACATGGCACACATGACTGCTTCTTGTCCTCGGGAGAGTTCTGGGTTGTCAATGTGTGCGGGAGCAAAGGGCCAAAGGAGCCGTGGATCCCAAGAAAAATACGAGTACGGGGAACTCTGACGCGGGTCTAGAGTGAACTGCATACATCCAGATTTGTTCACGGGTGTTGTTTATTTCTCTTTGTTTGGCTTGATTGCTCCATTCTGGTCCAGCCTTTTCTTCGGGGTAGACGTTGCTGTGCTTCAACGACAAAGACTGCAGTTCACCGTGATATACTCCAGCAGATGATCGACACTATCCCGTCTCACCACAAGAAACTAATGTTCACACACAATGTGACCTCTAGAAGACTTCTGATTGTTTGTTTCGTTTGTGTTGAAAGCCACAACCCTGCACCAAGGGACCCTCCACAAATCGCCTAGATTGTCATAATATAGACAATTCCCCAAACACCTTCCGCTCACTCCTTGCAAGTCCCAGCTTTCTACATCTTTTTGGGGCTGACAACTTGACTGCACTTCAAGCCGCAAATTTCAGCCCAGGATGCGCCCATTAATAGCATGATCGTTTATAGTCTTTGGTTGAAATATTCGAGATAGCGTTGTCTGCTTCCCGCATTAATGGACGGTCCCTTTTCTTCCCATCTCGTACTCGACGTACCTATCTTGTGGAGCAGTTCACGCTGAGAGCAAACAACTTGTTCTGTAGATGTTCTTGCGGGGAAATTAGCCGCTGTTTCAAGGCCCATGATATTGCTATTCATTAGTCGTAGTCTATTTATACAGTTTTGATTCGTGCCCCTCGTGCACTGGTGTTCACGGCTGATGATCTCAAGCGTCTCCTCTTTGTACTGGACTTGTATTCTTCATGGAGGTGGTTGGGCTGCGACCTCCCTCAAGCCGATGAACCCTCTCCGCTTTTTCCCCTTCACATTCAAATTTGCACCATGAGCAGGTTAGAGACCCAGCGAACGGACGTCAGAAATGAATGGCACAGTCTGACACAATTAACGACGAGGAGGCTACAGTGTAAGAAACAGCTAATACTCAGTGATAAGCAAAGCGATCCCGCTGATCGAAAGCAGGTATGATAGCCCTTCTCAGTGATGCTAAGCCCATACCTAATGGTTAATCACTTCTGTTTTACTACCCTGTCGTACGCTCTTCTGATCACACCTGTGCCACTTAATTCTGTCGTCGGCCTGCAACGTAGGTATTCTGAACTCGAGCTGCATTGTTGTGATTGCTATACACGGTAGAGTTAGCACAGAAGTATCCCAAATAATGAAGAGTTATATGTACGAGGCAGTTATCATAGTGAATGTAGAAGTTGTGAGCGTCACGTTGCCGGCGCTCATATCGGTCAAAAGTGCACCCGTTCCATGAGGCTGTGGAGCGAGATTCAAGTTCAAGCTGTGCGGGTCGGCATCGGACACAGCCTTCAAGCTCTCCCCAGATTGCTATATCGGACAGCAGCAGCCCAGCGGAAAGGGCAGGTAGGCCGGGCGAGGCTCGAGTCTCCCGCAAAAACAAATTCACGCTAGTAACCAATTCGGCATAAGCGTGAACTCGGATTAACAGTTTATCACTTGCCGTCCGCTCAGTTCGCTCAGTCGCGACTCACCCTCACCAGCTCCCATCTTTCGGAAGCACGGCATCATCTCTTTCTTGCTCCATCGCGCTTGACACAACGATGGCAGGATCAGCTGGTGGTCGCGACCAACCCTCTCACGATCCGACAGGCAACTTCGCCGGGTCTGGTGCCTCGCACTTCGCTTCCTCCTACTACCCTATCGACACCGAGCTGACCAGCATGTCACCCAACTACCCGATGCCTGCCTATGCGCGACCGATGGAAGAGGGGGTAGCTTCAGTGGACAAGATCAACCATGGAGCCATGAACAATAACTTGTCCATGGGTCCGAACGGTGCAGCAGCTTCCCCTGCTACGGACCCAGCGATGGCCCCTCCGCAGACACCAAACCAGCCAACCGTTCCCCCAGGTGGCGCGCGGTCAAGTATCGACGCAGCCTCTGAGGCTCCTCAAGACCCTCAAACTGGTGATAAGAGAAAGCGTTCAAAGGCCTCTCGTGCATGCGACGAATGTCGTAGGAAGAAGGTGCGGTCACAAACCTTTCATAGCAAAGAGCCCAACAATGATTCTTTGGTGCTGACCCACTTTCAGGTTAAATGTGATGCACCAACTGAGGCGGATGGTACTCCAAAGACATGCACAAACTGCCAGAAGGCTGGTGTGAACTGCGAATTCGAGCGCAAGCCGATGAAGCGTGGTCCTAGCAAAGGGTTAGTTGTTTTGATGATGGAGCTTGTCCCGCAACATTGCCGGCGATGGAAGACTAACACGTGACACAGATATATCAGTGCGCTGGCAGAACGAGTTCACGGATTGGAACAAAAGCAGAGGCAGTCACTGGATGCCGGTCCTGTAGGGTTCGCCGAGAGTTTTTCGCCTGATGAGGCAAGTGGTCCAGCTTTTCAACGAGCCTCATCTTTCTCCGCTTCCACCACTGTCAACCCATTTTCCAGAGCCGAATTTCAGCGGGATCGCATTCCAAGCACTGGCGGCTGGGGCATCACTTCGATCGCTCCTAACCTTCGATCGCGTGCCAGTGGAAGTCTCGCCATCGCTCCCAACGAAACGTTTCCAGCTGCGACACCTGAAGAAGAGGCCAACCCGAAGGCTGAATTTCGCGATTCTACCACTTCACTCTCTAGCCAAGCCAACAGCTCTCACCGTGCCAAACGCCCGCGCATCCAGGCACCCAACGAAGACATGTTACCAGTCAGAATGGATCAGCCGTTTCTCGCCAAGTACTATGAGCAGTATCATCCGCTCTTTCCTTTGCTGCCCGATCACGACATTGTCAATGCCGTCGTCAGTGGAGCCGATACCGAGATGCAACATGCATTTGTTGTCGCTGTCGACCTGTTGCCAGACCTGAGAGCCGGAGTCACCCTCAACGGCGCTCACGAGTCCTCTTCCTCCTTGAATCACGACCTCGACCCAGCCATCAGCCGTCCGACTCGCACCCTCACCTCTACGCACTTTGCGGACTACGACAAGTTGCTCGAGTATCTTTGCAGTAGTGTCAACGGGGTGCCAATGACTCATTCGCTGAACACTAGTCTGACATTGGCTTGGGCTCTTGCCTTGATCTCGGTGACCTGTGAGAACGATGCCAAGCATCTTGGAGACGACGGCGTCAAGTCGAAGCTAGAAGTCCTCAACCATAGCCGACTCACCTTGAATCATCTGCGAGCTGGAGCCGTTCGTGGCGGCGATATACCAATCCCGTTCTCCGATCAGCCAGGTTACATCGACACGCTCAACTTAGCCTTGAACTGTGTCCTTCTCTCGAGCAAATACCACTTCTTGAGCCTTGCTCTTCATCCAACCAACGAGATCCACCAACACTACCTCTCAATTCGAAGTGAAGACATTGATCCTAAGGCGCTTACTGTTGAAGCGGCATACATGCAAACCAGCTCAAACCAGGTTGAACTTCTCGCTCAGATTCTCTGGCCTTACGAGGGTACCACTGCAGAAAAACGGTTCTCTCATAAGGCCTTTTTACAGGAGTACTTTAACTCTCACCTTCTCATCTATGCAGGAAGCCTCGGAGACTCTGCGATTGTCAAGCAGTTCCACTGGTTCTTGGAGGTTATGCTTAGCCCATATCAGCCAGTGACGCCCCCATTCCCAACCCCTATTCTCGATGGTGCCGTCAACTTGGCTAGGGTTCTTATTGAAGACGCAAAGGCAACCTCTAGCGCCCCACGGTACAACCCTCTTGACCTTCACACCTGGTCTGTGGCCGCGATCACTCTCAGCGAAATCGTCGCCGATGTGAGTCGTAAGCCGATCGTCGATTATGCACGCAAGCACCTCGCAGACTTGCGTACGGAGCTCCAGAAGAAGTCGGACGCAATGCACAAGCATTATGATTTTGAGTGGTTCTTTGGGGGAAACGTCAAACACTGGACTGACGGTCTCATGTCGATGATCGACTACGTTATGGAAGAACATCCTTCTGCGGTTGATGAGAACAGAAACAGCAGTGCGATCTTGGTCCCCAACTTTGCAGAGATGATGGAGAAAGGATGGTTGCAAACTCTTCTTTACTTTGTGGACAAATGAGCTCGTCTTTGCTCTGTTGAAGAAATGAGGTCTTCTCCGGGCCTTGGAAGAATGAGAGACGTCTCTGACATTCTGCATAGCAGGATGTTTGATGGTTTGTGAATACGGGCTTATGTGCACATACATGTACCATAGTGAGCTGAATTGATCCGCCAAAGCGAGGGCGATGTGTCTCCACCACAACGAGACACCAAACTGAGCAGACAGACGAAGTACGATAGGAGCTGTTTCCATAGGACAGAACCGCTGAAATGAAAAGAGATTGTCTCAAGAAGACAGAGACACTAGCGAGAAGACTTCTCCTATCTTTAGGACAGGGGAGAGAGTCTGAAGGAGTGAGGAAAGGCGATGATACCGACGATGGAACGGAACAAAGTACATCCAATGCCGGGCGTTATCAAGCTGACATGTCTCCGCCAACTCACCAGTTGCTCCTCGAGCAGGCAGGCAATTGTTCCTTCTGCGTGCTCTTCAAGGAGATATATGTCACACTCCTCGGAGCTCGCCGCCCGCGGACATGTCCTGGTAGGTATCAATCGTAACGCAACAGGAGGCTCGGGCCCTGAAAGCTGCTGCCTGAGGCGAGGCTTCAACCTCACACTTCTTGATTCCTTGATACATGAGAGACTGGAGTTCTTACCAAACCCCCCAGCAAAATTCTAAAACCACCCCGTAACGTTGAGTCCATCGGGTAACAAACTGCAGTATGTCGACGACGATGTCCCAAGTCGAACAGGGTGAGCCCGCAGGATTTGTCAAGCTCGAGCTCCGCACCGCTTACGGGCCGGTCTATCGCGACGTGTCGACCTCGCCGCCGCGAGATGCTTCGCCGGACGAGATCCCCCTGATCGACCTCAGTCCGATCTACGACGGCGATCTCGAGGCCCGAAAAGCTCTAGCCCGGGACATCAAACATGCGGCTGAGAAGAACGGGTTCTTTTATGTTCGAAACCACGGGATTGCTGAAACGACCATCCAGAACGCCTTGAGTGCCTCGAGGGCTTTCTTTGCGCAATCGGAGGCCGAGAAGATGCTGGTGTCCAAGGCCAAGGGGAAGTGGTATAATGGGTATTCAGCGAGGAATTCTGCAATGGCTAGTCCGTCGGAAGGATGTCAGTTTTAATGGCCCTCCCTCCCCCCTTCTCTCTCTCTGAGGTTTGTATGGTGGTTGTTGATTCTTGATTTGACCCGTGGCGTGGTGCAGTGGACTACCGCGAGTCTTTCTCGTGGCGATACGAGCCGCAATACGATCCCGACCCAAAGGACCCTGACGCGGTGCCCGTGGAGGTGAAACCGTATATCCGCGGCGAGAAGTACGTCTGGGAAGGCACGCAACACATCCCCGGCTTCAAGACCGATTGCATTACTTATTGGCAGGAATGTCTCAAGCTGGCGCGCCGGCTCGTCAGGGTATTCGCCCTCTGTCTGGATCTTCCCGAGCACTTTTTCGACGCCGTGACGACGTACCCTGGCAGTGATGGCGTGTTCAACTATTACCCGGCCATGTCTGCGGAAGAGGCGGCCAAGAGCGAGGATGTGGGCTTGGGATCGCATACCGACCTGCAATGTTTTACACTGCTCTGGCAGGACATGAATGGCGGTTTGCAGGTGTTGAACAACGAGGGTCAGTGGATCAAGGCCACCCCGATCCCCGGAACTTTCGTCGTCAATATCGGCGATTATTTGATGCGTTTGACCAACGATCGCATGAAGAGCACGGTTCACAGGGTATATAACCGTTCTACGGTCGATAGGTGCGTTTCGACCCCTTTTTTTCTTCCCCCTTGGATGGCTGTCTACCGCGTCTTAACATCCACAAAAAGAGAAAAAACTATGGTTGGGGGCTGGACTGACCCTGACACTGACACTGACCCTGACTACCGTGTGATAGGTATTCCATGCCCTTCTTCTTCGGCTTCAACTTCAACGAAAAATGCGGCGTGCTGCCTAGCTGCGTCGACGAGGAGAATCCCGCCAAATACGAACCCATCTCGTGTGGGGATTGGTGTCAATTGAGGTTCCAGCAGACGGACATGGACAAGTTGGACCAGAAGGTCGCAGTGTATTGACTGAAATCCGGGAACAGACATTGGTCACTAGGTACCCAGAGAGGAATGATGGAGTGATGAGAGGCCAGGGATGGCGAGATCAGCCCAGCCAGCCAACCAACGCAGCGGAGAAGGTAGACGCAGGTTGATCAAGAATGTGCAAGGTTCCAGGGCATATATATACACCTAAAGTCGTCACACACAGAGACGGGGAGAGAGAGATGATAGGGCGAGATTTCGATGGGTTTTTGGAGGTGGGAGAGAATGTCTTTGGATGAACGCAGTGGTAACAACCTGGACGCTGAGATGGCTGAGGAATTCTGAGGGCTTGCCTGTTGAGAAAAGCCACGTACGTGATCGTAGAGGCTCTTGCATACAGAGCAGAAAAGAAAATTGAACTCTGGCCAAGAGACTGCTTTGACAAGCGTTAAATGACTGTCTTATGATATTGTTTAAATTAACCTTGGACATGGATTCGGCACTCAGACCTGAGCAAGGAGAGACTCTTGGTCCTATCCCTGTCACCAGAATCCTAACTACCTACCTAGGTAGATGGGTAGGCTTCCGTCCTATTTGGCCCATTCTGGCGCCTTGTCATTGGCCTCTCCGACATCCAACGCGACCAAAAATCGGCTGACCAGGTTGTAACTCGCCACTGTGGCCGTAATCTCAACAATCTCCTGGTTACTGAAACCGGCAGCCTTGACCTCGTCAAACAAACTCTGGGGCACAGACACATCCCGAGTCATGGCATCCGCATATCTCAGAACCGCCCATTGACGATCATCGAGCGCCCCCTTAGATGTCGGGTGCAACTGTTTCACCACCGACAGTTTTTCTTCCGAAAAGCCGGCACTTTTCAACAGGATAGGAGCATGGGCATTCCACTCAAACCAAGCACGGTTGATCAAGGCAGGTCGGCAGATGGCAATCTCGCGGATATCGTCTGGCAGGGAGTTCTTCGTCCGCACGGCGCCGAGGAGGGCGTTCCAGCCTAGCAAATCAGTTAGCGTTTGGACACAGTTGCCCAGTGAGTGACCGGCGACGACAAACCATCTGCGATCTTGGGAGCATGCAAAAGGGCTAAATCCAGCGGGATGAGGCCCATGGCACCCCGGCGTGCTTTGACCCGCTCCAGGACCTCTTGATCCTCCGGGGAGAGGTTGGTCGGAGGGTTAGGTACGTAGTCGAGACGCATGGTGTCCAAATGATTTGATTCTTCTTTTCCGATCTCTTTGATTCCTGTCAAGAACAGCAGCTGGTCTTGGATGATCAAGTTTCTCAGTCAAGCCGACTACGGCCATGAGAACTTTCCCACTGATCAGTGCCATCACCTCGAATACCCCGCTACCCGCAGGCCATGGTACCGAGCTTGAGCGTGTGCGGGGAGCGACATTGGCTGTCCTCCAGCTTCTCCAACGGCGGAATTGCCGCGCTCCACGGGGTTTGTTTGGAAGAAACAGTTTGGAACATGGGTTGATCGTGGTAGTGGTGGTGGGGTTTCCATTGAGCTCTACGTACTGCAGTCTCAGAGGTAATATTCGACAATTCTGGTATGACGGAGGCAATGCTGCTTGACAGTCATCCACGAGGGATCGTGCGGCGAAGAGGTACACGTGGGTAGGTGGTAGATCAGGCTGCGCTGGTAGCAACTTGGATGATTGAATAATAATGACCAAGCAGTCATCAGTGTCTGCGGTGTCTGCGGTGTCGATACTGTGGGTACTGTCAGCATCCCGGCCTCACGCCGCGCACCTACCGCGCTTTTTATCCCCGGCATCGCCCTTCAGTGGAGAAATAGCTGTTCAACCCAAGATCTTATTCCCTTTTTTTCTCTCCTTGGGGGTTTCAATCTCACTTCCACACAATGACTCACTCGATGTGCAGCTCTGGCAAACGGCGAAAAAGTAGGCATTCTGTGGGGAATCCTAGTTCGCCAATGTGAGACAGCAGCAGCACCAGCAGGTAAGTCGTCGTGCGCATCCAAAGAATTTTAAATGGCGGTTTCAAGCTAGCCAGGTGCAATAATGGGAAAGAGAGCTTGGTGTGCCTATTCGATTTGCCCTTAGGCAACCCGCGAGTCTTGGGAACGACGGACATTTGGCAGCGGTTTCGGTGAAGGAAATGCACGAAATACCCTCAGCATTGGTTGGCGCCTAATTGGCACCCAGCTGGCACCCAGCTGGCATTGGCATGCCTGCTTATCTTATTCACAAACAGGACACGGTTGAAACGTGGGCAAGCGGATCGCAGATCAGAAGATCAGAAGATGCGGATGATTAAGAAGTTGGCGTGCTCTGCGAGGCGCAGTTTGGATTCTCCAAGTCGGCAGGTTAAGCTTCGATGGTCTATCAACTTCTCATTTGCTCCGTGACGACTCGCATCCGTGCGACCGCCGCTCGACAAATTCAGGACCCAAAACTAAGCACCTGGGCAGCATCAAACCACCTACTTCGCTGCTTCGCTTCCGGGAAATGCCTGAATCGCTGCTAAAACAATATTAAGACTTGATCACTTATCCAGACTTATCCCAGCCAAGCTAAAGTTTTGGCAGTCAGAGCCTCTGAGAGGCGTCTAATCCTCCACCCTCACCTCATCTTCTCCCTGTCTGCGCCATCACGAGACAAGCCTGACAAGGTCAACAACCCTTACTTCCCATCTTGCCGTCTTGAGCCATCTCACTGTCCAAGCCATCGCTCTTGCGTCACGTCGGATTGACCACTCACCACTCACTGAATCGCTCCTCACTCCTCTCAGTGCTCACTCCTCGACTAGTTATCACCTCGGAAGACCCTATCATCCCCTCCCATCCCACCCGTTCCTATCGACCCGGACAACCAACCTCGTGCCTACCTACCTAACTGCTTCGCGTCTACTTAAACCCTTCCCTCCCCAGGCCAAAACCTCTGCCACCCCATATGCCTGGAATTCGTATGTCTCCCCTCTGAATCTCATCCCATCGAAACCCTGTCCTTCCGGTGCTCCGGATTACTTTTCTCCATACAAGATCAAAATCAACATCCCTTTCTCATACAAGTCAATTAATCACAGCCCTCGACGCAATGGACAAGCTCAAGGCTCTCTTCAAGCGCAAGAAGGACAAGGAGAGCACCACTGCTGGTACGAAGACAGATACCAATGGTACTGCTGCTGCAGTTCCTAAGCCCACAGCTACAGACACCGCCGCTGCGCCTTCGACCAGCGACCCAGCCGTCCCTCCTGCTGGTGAGTATATTCCGGAGTCTCACGGGAACACCAACTCTAACTCATTCTTCTTCACAGGCGCTGCCCCAACCGACGCTGCAGTCGATAAGCCGGCTGACCCTGCGCCGGCGAACACTCCCGCTGCCACGTAGGGTGCTTCTTCCGGGAACGGGCACGATGCTTGAAGGGCGATCAAGAGCTCAAATCTCTTACAACCTCTGCCGGTTGTCAAGAATCGCGCAACTGATGTCTTATCAAGTCTCCGACTCTCGTGTTTTACCAGACGACTACCCCCAACGCAGCTCGCGGAGTCCATTTTCATAAGTTCAGCACTGTCCTTCAGTCTTGTCGACGAGCGTCTAATCAACCATTATACCCCTTTTTGACGCCAATACGAAACTTGCCGCGACGACGATACCATTCGCTCTTGAACAATTCATTCCTTAATCAGAGAAACAAATGACCACAGTTGGGCTAACGGGCTGGGAAGGATGGTCGGAGAATATTGCTTTTCACGCACCCTTGAACAATTGAGATACCCCCGCCGCATCTGTCTCTAACAGGCAGATAGCGAAGCAGCATGATCCGAGTTCAGAGATAACCCCAAGTCCTTCAGATAGTCGCCCTCCTTTTCCGGGCCAGTAGCATAGGAAATCACAATTGGCGTTTTCCATATCCTTATTTTCCGGCTCACTGCACAGGTACTTTCGAGAAGAGTTTGCGTCCACGGCCTCGTATTCCAATGAAGTGAATGGTAGATTTACACTAGAGCTCCTCCCCTATGACAAGCAAAATTTCGCCGACGATGACAATGTCGTCTCTCAAAGTAATAATATCAGGATGGCCGTGACCCACCATCTGGCTCAACAGCCTGCTCGTCCACTCAATCTCTCTTCGATCTTTCCTTCGCAAAAAGTATATCCAAGTCTTCCAGGCCTTCCAACGCGAGCTCAAAGCAAAGAACACTTAGTTCGCCGGCTTCAATCCACACCCGTGGACCAGGTGGCGATTGACGAGCTGCTGCCGGCTGCGCGGATAACGTTCCGGCTCGCCTCCCTTTGAACAACATGCCGTCCCTCTGAAGGCGCACCTGTCTATACATTCATGTATACCCATGCACCAACCACCCGCGCGCGTGTTGGAAGCACTGGAGCTCGACAATCGGCTGGGTAGGATGACGCTTGTGCTTGATGCCATGATTGTTGGCGGGAGACGGTGCGGAGATTCGAAGCGACTAGATGGTCCCCTTCTCTGCTCTTCTCGTGGCTTATAGCAATCTCGTTCAATCGCCTTTACGGCAAGTTGACATCGAGCGTAACCAGGACCGAATCCCCTCCATGTTTTCCACTGTTGGTACCATTCATCCCTGTTCCCACCGAACTCTTACTTCGGAGCGACAGGCCACTCTTCGAGGTCGGCCGCGACGCAGGATATATCCGTATCGAGCGCTTTGATTTGTCTCCGGGGATTAGGGAGAGGAGGATGTCTTGATGTTGTTGAGAAGATGACGACGGGTTGTTGTTGGTCGTCGTCGCGTTGTTCCGTTGGTCGCCGTTGACGCCGACGCCGTTGGAATGGTTACGGTTGTTGACCCCGACCCCGTTGAGCTGCTGCAACGACGTCGCAGACATGACCAGGGAGCGGTGATTGTGCGGGAAGATTTCGATGATCTGATCGCTAGCCCACCGCGCGATGCCGTCCAGAGCTTCTTGTTCGCGCTGCACTTCCTCCGGGCTCATCAAGTTTTGAGGCGGTACGTTGGACGAGCCCCATGTCCCGTAGCTGTGGCCGGCCGGGTAGTCATCGTAGAGAAGACGGGTTCGGTCAGACTGTCAACACCCTTTATTAGTTGAGGTGTCTCACGCGCACAAAGAAGCGCGAAATGGGTTTACTTGTGTGTTCGTCGCTTACCTCATGGTGAGAGTGACGGCCAAGGCCTAGACAGGAGAGGCAAACTCCCATGCTGGCGGGAGATCGCTTGACATGAGAGACGCGGTGGACGTGAAAGAGAATAGGCTATAACGAGGGAGAGAGCGTGGTCATTCTGGCTTTGCTGTTCCTTTCACTCGAGAACGCCGCAGAAGAACTTTGGTGAAGCAGGTTGCAGGATCACAGCAAAAAGGGTGACATCGACTGACTTTCGGCTCGCCGCTCGAACCTTTTGGTTGCGAGCCGCTGATGTTTGACCACGTCATTGGATCAAAGTATTTCCGCTCCGACGGCGGTTTCTCTTTGTCTGCTATCACAACTCTCCTGTGTTCTGTCCTTTCCCTTTCAACCATGATATATCACTACCCTTACCTTCACCAAATACGCAATACTCCATTCTTCGTCTTGTTCCGCTGGTCCAGTGGGTAGTATTATTGTGTTGATCTTTAGAAGGTTCACATTCTTCTATTGTGACAGTTTCAGACATGCCCCCTTTACTCACTCGCCTCCTCCAATTGTGGATGAATAACATGAGTTTTTGAGCTTTCCGTCATGCTTTTTGCAATGTCCTTGCTGTTCATCGATGCACCAAGGCAAGGTCGGGAAGCTCAGAGCATATTCTGGCAAGCAGTTCGTGTACCTTGCTTGCTCTATCGATATCGCCACGAGGAGAGAATGCTATGCTTTCCGCATCCATCAGTGGAGCAATGCTCCAAGCTTGCAAGTCTGCTGTCGATGTTTCCAGCTGAGACATGCCCTTGCTCATTACTCTACCACTGGAATCCATTGGTTTCTATCTTGAGAATGCCATTGTTGATGTTTGTTCGGATGATCCTCCCCTTGCGTCGGACATTAGCCTGCCAAGGTGGGTATCTCATACTCCTCGCGAGGCTGTCAGCGATGCCAAAGCATCCTTCGGCCATGCTAGGCGCATCATGCACTCCAAGGATCTGCGAGACATTGCTGTATGGTTCCCTGAACCAAGATTAATCTGAATCATTGTTTTCAAGTGGTATTTGCAATGTTGTTGAAAGGCTATCTGAAGCTATATATACTTGCCATGGTGGTTCGATATCGAGTTCACATTGTCCATCAAGCTAATTCACTCATTACTTTTCCTACAGTCGCTCGTTTCTCAACATCGTCACTCATTTGACCCCAGATTTGCAATCTTCTTTTCAACATGCGTTCATCATTGATCTCCCCAACCTTGTGGTTGGGTATGACAACCATTGTTTCTGTTGCTTCTGCTCAGGATGCTTCCTCGACTGACGATGCAGCTGCGGCCACAGATACCACAACCATTTCGTGGCCAGCTGAGCCCTATCCTGGAGCAAGCATTTGGCTTGATTGGATCAGCTCGGCCAGTATCAGCTCCGAAACCAGCTCGGACTCAAGCCCGACTTCATCAACATCCGCTTCTTCCACCGTCGATGTCATCAGCACAAGCCTTTCGACGACTGACTCTATGACAACTAGCTCAGCCACGGCCTCCATGGAACAATCTGCAACACCAACGACTGTCTCCAGCATGGCCACTTCTACCACTCAGAACTCGGTCACGTTTTCGAGCTCATTCACTACCTGGACTACTTCGGAGGGTGAGTCCCCCGTGACTACTGCCACCTCGTCCTCCGTGAGGTCAGTCTCTGGCGCCGTTACCACCACAACATCTGCCCCTTCTGCTCCAAGTACGTGCCCATATGCGGGTCTGAGCTTCCTAAGCCCAACAGACACGTGTGTAAGGTACGACTTTGTTTGCAACCGCACGTACGCGGAGAGCAACTTCCGAGGGAACTGGATCACCAGAGACACCCCAGAGTTGTGTGCTCAACGCTGTGACACCGCAAACCAGAATCAAGGAGCTGGGTACTGCGTGGGCGTGATTTTCAATACTACGGCCACGACCAATAACTGTCGAATGCTGAAGAACCTCAACACCCCTCTCGACAGCACCGATACTATCGCACTCCTGGTTGATCTTGACGTAAATTGTGGCAGGGTGGCCGATACTACTACCTCCACGACTGCCAGTTCCACCACAATTCCCCTTTCGACTTTCAGTACCTCCTTCGGTGCCGTCACAACCGGGTCCACAAGCTCTGTATCCCCTTCGTCTCTATCTTCAAGTGGCTCTGCTTCAACCGTGACCCAAGGCTCTCCCGTTAGCTCTGGTTCCATCACCACAAACTCTGGAAGCACAGTCACAGGCGCCCCCGACACAGCCTCTTTGAGTTGGTCCACGCGCAGCCGTCGCCCCTCTGGCTCCCACAGCTACAGCTGGGGCAGCAGCCATTCCAGATGGTGGGCTACCTCTAGCCAAAACTTTACCACAGCCAGTCAATCAGTCACAGGCTCTGCTGCCACCACGACCACGAGCAGCGCAAGCTTTGGTTTCAACGACACACTGACTAGCTCCTCTACAATCTCTAGCTCAGCAAATGGAACCTCCACCTGGTCTTTCAGCACTAGCAGTACAACTGCTCTTTCAAACGCAACTGTTACGACTAGCAACTCGGTATCTCCCATTGCAACCACCACAACTTGGTCTAACACGTCCATGACTACTTGGACATACCCTCTCAACTCGACTTCTACGGCTCCCGTTGCAACCACGACTTCGTTCGCCAACTCTACCACAAGCTCTATCGCCGCAGCAACTACCACTACAGCGAGCAGTAGCTGCCCTGCTTCGGCCACCACGGTGACAGTCACAATTTCTGGAGGCCCTGCAAGCGTTACTGGTCCGATCATTACTGTTACGGGGACAGTCACGGAGACAAGCACCATAACGAGGACGACCAGAACGATCACTACATCAACCGGTACCCGTACACGCTACACAACCACCACGGAAACGGATACTACGACCACGACACTCACCTCGTCCACAACCACGACGATGACAGCCACAGTCACCACGACTCAGACTTTTGGTCAGCGCTGGGGAAGGATGAATTGGTAAGTCGTGAACTGGGACAGATGAACCTTTAGGGTTGTCTTAGAGCGCTACTGTCCGACGTTCACGTTCGCCAAATGGGGAGTACAGCAAGATCCGGCTTCGTCAGAGTCCCCTCGTACGGGACGAATCAAGAGGCAAGAGCGGCGGACCGTGTCAAAGTTGGCTGTCAACAACAGGAGTCACTGTGTTATCTAGATCAAGCTTGATTCCGAGGGATTTCGGGTTCGCAAGTTCTTTACTTAGATTTCCCTTCTTCTAGTCTAATGAAATCAGATCTAATTTTCTAGAGCAAGGTCAAACTGCTGATCATAACTTGGAGTCTCTTGCGGTGGCTTTCCTCGACCAAATCTGCACGTCCTTGTCTTCTATGTAGTTTGTTGGGAAGTACTGCGGCCCAAGAGTCTTCTTGACAACCTTCCCTGTGCCACTCTTGGGCAACTCACCCTCGATGATTCTTAGAAGTGTGGGCATTTTGTACCCGGCGAGACGACTTCGCACGTCGGTCCGCAGGTCGTCCAAGCTCAACCTCAGCGGATCTCGATTGTTCTTCTTGTAAAAATCTTGGGCGACCTCGTCGTTGCGGAGGGACACGACGGCACCAACTCGCTGCCCGAATTCCATGTCGGGAACACCTACCACCATCGCCTCTCCGATATACGGCAGAGCCAACAGTTCTCGCTCGATGTCCAACGCCGAGATCTTGTACCCACCGGATTTGATAATGTCGACAGAGGCACGACCGACGATAAAGTAGTACTTGCCTTCCCTTCGCGCCACGTCGCCGGATTTGAAGTAGCCGTCAGCATCGTGCGCGTTGGCAGTGGCTTCTGGATCGTGCAGGTATTTCGAGAACATGGTAAAGGACTTGGCGAGAACTTCGCCTTCGTCGCCCTCTGAAAGCTTCACGTCCACGCCATAGGTCAGTTCTCCTACGGAGCCGTCCGGGATGTCCTCGCTGGGGTCTGCGGGCATGTTGAAGACGACGCCCAACTCGGTTGATCCGTACCGCTGGACAATCCGTCTCCCATTCATGAGATTTGTCCAGAAGTCATTGATTGGCTTGGGTAAGGCCGAGGTGCCACACAGACACACTTTGAACGCTGCGGCCGCGGCTTTGTAAGTTGCTGCCTCTTCTGGGGGAAGTTTCGTGGCGTGCTCGAGGTAGTATCGCATCATTCGCATGTAGATGGTTGGCACGCCCGTGAAGTGCGTCAGCCCACCTTTCCGCCACCGATTCCAGGTCCATTCGGGATCGAAACTGCCGGACTTGAACTCGATGCAAGCGCCCGTCTGGATAAAGGGGAAGAATGACACCCAGATCCCAGTAGCGTGGTGGACGGGGAGGAGATGAAGAAGGACATCCGTTTCCTGCAGGCCGATCTGCTGTGCAAAGCACATGGATCCATCCACCATGGCAGCCCGCTTGAGCACGGCTCCTTTCGGTGGCCCTGTCGTGCCAGAGGTGAAGATGACCACGCCCGGGGCATTGGGATCGAGGTAGCGGTTGGAGGAGATCTTGATATCGTTCAGTGCGAAGGGCGTCTCTTGTTGGATCACTCTGATGGGCACACAGGCGAAATCGGGATTTGAGGTGTTGCGAATTTCCCTCGCAACATCCTCACCCAGCTGGAGCGCTGGCGTGGCCGTAACGAGAGCTACCGACCTCGCCTTGCTGACATAGTAGCAGCCTTCCTTTACGGGCTGAGCGGTGCTGAAGGGCGAAGCAGCAGCACCCAAGGCCAGGATGGCCAGCACACCCACAACAAACTCGTAACCCCCAGGCGCCACCAGACTGACATAGACTTCTCGCCCATTCTGCAAGTCTTGGACGGTTTCGTGGGTCAGGGAATCCCTCAACACCCGGCGGAGGACGAGCACGTCACTCAGCAGCTGGGCGGCTGTCCTTTCAATCCCTGCATTGACGTCGCGTATCGCCGGCCTGGGATTGGGGCGATGTGCAAGGGTGAGCAGGCGGGTGAAAAGGGGGTCGGCGGGAAGAATGTGGTCGGCCGAATGACTTGGGACGAAGTCGGTTCTGTCGAAGGGCGGCTGCTTCATTCTCTTTGCTGGGTTCCTGTTGTCACACCCACCGCCAGCATCTTCATCTTGGGCCCGGCACCTCTTAAGTCATTTTGGGGTTGAGTCTCTCTCACCCATGTAGCCGGACATCTCTCCAAAAGGCAAAACGCCGGGTCTGCCAATCACGGCGATTTGAGAGACGACACAACGTCGGCGCCGTCAGCCTCGGCAGTTTGGCTGTGATGAGGGGAGCCAGTTGAACTGCTCGAACCACCACCCGGGGATATTGAAGAGGTTTGCCTAGGCATTGAGGACGGAGTATTTCTCGACGGGTTTCTTGCTTCGCTCTCTACCTCACACCTCGTGGTCTAGGTTTTATTCAGAACCCATCCTGCTGACGTTGTAGAGCCTCCTTGTCCACCAGATAGTCTCCTCGAAAGACTGACTCCAACCATGGCTGACTTCACGGACAAGCTTCGACCTGCTGATCCCCAAGGCCCAAGTATCCTAGCCCAGGAGAGAGCCGGGTCCAGCGTGAACACCGACCAACTGGCAAATCACTTGCTCTCACGCAACGACTTCCTCAATAGACAGAAGAAAATCCTCTCTATTCTGGAAACCATCCCCATCTTCTGCAAGAAAAACCAGCTCAACATGGCCCGTCCAGACCGCTATCATCTTGGTCTGGCACGAGCAAAGATGCTGAGGAGACTGTCCCTCAAGCACGGCTGGGACCGCGACGACTATCTCATGGCCGACTATTTGATGGATGAGATGGGCCCGTACGCTCTGCATGGGACCATGTTCATCACTTCGATTCGAGAACAATGTAACGACGAGCAGAGAGCCTACTGGCTGCCGAAAGTCGAAAATTGGGAGATCATCGGTTGCTATGGACAGACTGAGCTCGGACACGGCAGCAATGTCAGGGGCATCGAATGTCAAGCCAAATGGGATCCCAAGGCCAAGGAGTTCATCATCCACAGCCCTACCATCACGGCCAGCAAATGGTGGAATGGAGCTTTGGGTCGCACGGCAACTCATGCTATCGTCGTTGCACAGTTGTTGCTCCCAGACCTTAATAGTGGAAAGTACAAGTCGTATGGTCCGCATCAGTTCATCGTTCAGATCAGGGACAAGAAAACCAACAAGCCACTGGATGGCATCGTGATTGGGGACATTGGCCCTAAATACGGCTATCCAGGTATGGATAACGGCTATATGCTCTTCAACGAATTCAGAGTCCCCCATGCGGCTCTACTGTCCAAGTATTCTGGGGTCGATCCAGAGCGCGGGACCTACATCAAACCTCAAAATGCCGCCCTCGTCTACGGATCCTTGACTTTTGTGCGTGCTCAGATCATCATGCATGCGAGACTCATTCTCGCTAGAGCCGTCACGGTTGCGGTTCGCTACCTCTCTATTCGTCGACAGTTTCCAGATCGAGATTCGAGGGATCCAGATGCGCCTGAACAGGCCGTGCTCAATTATCCCACCGTCCAAATTCGCATTCTCCCACTTCTGGCCACTACTTTCGCCCTCCATTACACCGGCGAAGCAATGTACAAGCTCTACTGGGGCACCCGAGAACAGATCGAGAAGGGTGGCGATTTCGCCCGTCTGGCGGAGATGCACGCGGCTTCCTCTGGTCTGAAATCATTGTGCACTACGTTGGCAGCCGACGGCATCGAGACCTGCCGTCGGGCAATGGGAGGTCACGGATTCGGAGGTGGGAGCGGCATGATCGCTCTCAATAACGAGTATCTGTCCAAACCAACCGTAGAGGGAGACAATTGGATGATCACACAGCAGACCGCGGCCTATCTGATCAAGAGGATGACTGAGGTGGCGAAGAATCCTAGAGTGAAGCCGACTGATACTGTCGACGTCCAATTCCAAGACTTTGTGGCCAACAAATCAAAGTCATATGATTTTGACATCCTGGGAAACCCACTGGAGCTGGTCAAGGCATTCAAACACAGGGCTTCATACCTTTCCTACCAAGTGTACCATGCAAGGGTGGTTGAAAAGAAGCCCTGGACAAGCATGATGATCAGCCTGCACAAACTCAGTCGAGCCTACTCCGAGAGTCTCCTGGTGTCGAACTTTTACAACGCTGTCTTTGAAAGCGCTCCAAACCCTCCACTTGACGCCGCGACCTTGAATGTGTTGAAGGTCTTGTTCCGCCTCTTCGCGCTCTTCACGCTGGATGTCTCCGCTTCCGAATTCCTACTGTCGAGAGCCTTGTCCGTCGAGAAGCTGCAGCATGTGACACCCGCGATTCAGGATCTGATGGCACAGGTGCGACCCCACGCTGTTTCGCTGGTGGATGCTTGGTCTGTGCCAGACTATCTGCTTGAGAGTGCATTGGGCAGTTACGACGGTGACGTATACAATCGACTCTTCCACAAGGCGCACAAGGAGAATCCGTTGAACCAGCTGACCTTCAATCCGGATTGGCGGACTGAGGAGATTGTGATGGGCGAGGGCGAAGAGAATGCCAGGAGACGGCTGGAGGCCCTGGCATTGGGCATGACGGGGCACGAACAGTTTGGTGTCGTAAAGTCAAAGTTGTAGACAAATGACAAAAAGGGTCAACACGGAGGACAAAATCGTGCTTCATATACAATCTCAAATCTAGATCTTAGCCTTTGCGGCAGTGCCGACCCGCTTCCTATGAACGTAGCTGATGGCCTTGAACTTGTCCAGCGCCTCACCCCACAGTTCGGCCCTCAACAAACCATAGACGCCCATGGTGGCGCGGGGAGCGATGGTCTTTGCGAACTCGACAGCCCTCTCCCTCATCTTGTCGGGCTCACAAATCTCATCCACGATGCCGTCCTTGAGTGCCTGCTCGCCGGTCCACTTGTGTGCCTCGAGCAGCATTTTCCTGGCGATTTGCGGGGCGAGCTTGAGGCGCGGCAGGGCGCCGATGCCGTCGAAATGCAGGCCCAGATTGACGGGCGGCATGCTGATGAAGCCGCGCTTGCTGTTCATGATGCGGTAGTCGCACGACAGGCTGAACGGGCACGCTCCCCCGAAAGTGTGGCCCGTGATGAGGGCGATGGTCGGGTAAGGGTAGTCCACCAAGGTCGCCAACAAGGGGTAGAAGCCGTCGGCGTTGGCGAACATGTTTGTATCGCTCTCGTCCAGCTCCAACCCCGTGCACCAGAATTTGTCCGAAAACGACGAGATGATGACCGCTCCTGGGGAGTCGGGCTTCATCAGATCTCTCTCGATGTAGCGCAGCGCCGCGATGATGGTCTGCGCGTACGCCTGGTTGAGCCGGTTCTCGGGCGCCTTGTGCATCGTCAGGACGTGCACGCCTGGGGCCGAGGCTGGTGATTCGATCGTGAGATTGGGGAATGTAGGCGCCATCTTTATCTTGGAGTTTGGGTGGTAATCGACCCAAAATTGAATGGGGAGAGATTTTTGGTTTCCGCTGAAGGGCTCCCCTCTGGGCTACCTTGCCTGAGTGACGGTTGTTCTAAGATATCCCAGAAGGCTGTGTTGGGGAGGGGTGGCGGAGACGCAAGTTGTCTCTGTAGAGGTGTGATTACAGAGTTGGCAGAATTGAGAGCGGTAAACTAATAATCTCGTCCTTCTTTTTCCCTTTTCTCTCCCCCTTGCCGACGACATTGAGCTTCGGCGGCACGACCGATGTGCCTCGGCGATATCGATGGTTGAATCCCAGTCCGCGCCGCAGCCTCGCCGGGCTTCTGATGGAGGTGCGGGGAAGCCAACTTTTTGGGGTTAGCCGTCGAAACCCCGTCGTTCAACCTCGGTAGTGGAACAATGATGTTCCAGCCGCCGAGATTGAAACTGGTACTAACCCATCCGGGAATGGTGTCTTGTGACCAGGCTGACCTCACCAAGGGTTGGTTGATCAGGGGCACTACTTCGTTCTCTGTCCACCGCTCAATGCTCGACGTCAATCCTTAAGAGATGTTGCTTGACTTCTTTACCTTTGCAAGCTTCTGAGCCTTCGTTGCAGCCAAGAGTGGCGGGAGAGTGCACGGAGGGACTGTCGAATATCTTCCATAGCTGAAAGACAATGAGCCGAAAGCTCTTTCTCGCCTCAGAGGATGCCCAGGCCAAACTCCACCTATATGCAACCACGGCGCGTACAAAAGAGACTTTCACCCCTCCTGCATGACGGCTATGCTTGCTAGGATGATGGAAATGAAGGTCATTATTCATGATAGCGCTCACCGACACTGCTTCTGCCTACATGTGGTCAATCTGTTTCTCCATGAACCGTGGCGCCCGCCCCAGCTCGAGACATGTTCCCTGACACTGTGCAACCTTCTTGAGTCATAAACTCCTCGATCAGACTCTCAAAGTAAGACCAATATACTCCCTGGCCGTCATTTCAACGTGGAATCCCCGCAGCGCAACTTTTCTTCGGTTTTTCAGTCACCACAAACAGCTTTGCCTTTCACAAATTGGCTTTTGGTTAGGGGTTCCCTGTCGCGAATGCTCCTGACTCAGCCCCCTCTTCGCTATCTTCCTCGACGGTGATCTCTCCAGATGCCAGAAGAGATGGCAGATCGTTCAGCTGAAGGATTGATAATTCAGCTAGCCGCCGGTAGGGGTCATGTTGGGACCGGTTCGGACGTACCATATTACTGACTGCGTGGCAGACTCTCCACCCAGTCGGATCTGGCGCTGAACACGACAGAGGTGCGTCTGGATTCTAACTCTGCGATCTGCTTCTCCAGGCGAGTAACCTCGTCTTCGGCTTTGGCAATACTCGCCGCGAATCTGTCGCCTTCGCTCCTCCATCGTCTTAGGTTGTCCTTCTCCTTCTGAAGCCGTCTCTCTTTGACGGCCTTCTCCTGGCAATTTTTACAATCTTCATTAGTTCTGGACAGATTGTCGGTATCGACAAGTTTGGCGCCGCACGTCTCCCCAATTCGAGGTTGGCGAGGACAACGCTGTTTCATATTTCCCCATCTCCAATCTCCGCAACGGAAATCGGTCCTGGCATAGTAACACATCTTGCCCGGCAGTTTTGTTTGAATCACAAGAGATCAAAGCCAATGGTTTGTTTGGGAAGCTGTCTGCGTCAGACACCGGTCAGAAAAGCTCCTGCTTCATTGTACTTCCCTGGTATAGGGCTTACTAGTGAACCGCTGCTGCTGCTCGATTTGGGTTGAGACGTGGCTATGATGCCAATGTCCTGGACTTCGAGGGACGTGGTCGTCAGGGGGCTCTTACTGGTTCCTAATGTCAGCTGAGTGTTCTGGGGGATCACTGTTTCCTTGTGGCAGTGGGCAGATGTCCTTGAGGCTTAGCCTCGCTATGTTCGAGGGTGAATGAGTTTGAAACAAGACTCACTTTTGTTGTGGAAGCTGAAGGCAGTCGTCTGGGGTTGTTCTCGACACATCAGGCTTCTTCAACCCCTCTTTATAGCCTTTGGAGCAATTCTTTCTCCACCTATCTGTGCTATGTGAGACAGGTCGATGACTTTGACCAAGGGCCGTGTCAACCCGGTCGGAATTCAACCATCTGGTCACTTGAGGTCAGAACATGCAGATGCTATCCCTTCATCCGCTGTCGACACGGCGGTGGCAAACCAACTGTGATCAGCAAATGCATTTTCCGGCATGCACGAGACCCTCAGTGGATGTGAGCTGGTCTCCCCCCTCATCTCTGACGGATCATCTGCCTCTTGGCCTTGATCAGAATGTCTACCACTGCATGGTAAGCCAAACTTTGTTTCATAATCTATGCTTCTCCTCGAGAGTCATGCGGCGTGGCAGATTTTGAGTCGTGGACTCCGGACCCGCTCAGGCTAGCAGGCCAACAGGTGGATGAATCTCGAAAGAACCAAGAACGCCCTCGATTTTCGGTAAGAAGCCGTGCTACCGCTAGCAGCTCTGACAACGACGGGTCAGAGTTTCCACGGCCCGCACTGCAAGGGCCTGGGAGCTTCGCAGATCGCAGCGAGAGGGCTACACTTCCCGTCTTATAACGCCCGTCAACCAGCTTATGGGCAGGTCGGATGTTTTGGGGTGTTTTTCCGGCCCGCCGGCAGCCAACATAGCCGCAACCATAACCTTTCGCATGGTCGAAGGAGATGCCACATCGTCTCTTGTCGAAGACTCGGTCCCAAGAGCTTGCCTCTCACGACCAGTATGCCTCGGAAAGGTCTGTCTCCAGCGTGCTGCCCTCCAGTGTGTGTATGGGGTGGCAACGCCGTTGGCCAGCTCTCAAGCGGATCGCTTTGCGCCTGAGTTTGCAAGGAACTAGATCCACACAGGTCCCACCCTTGTTTCTACCCATGTTTCCACTCCTTTGCGGAGTGTAAGATCGATAGCTTGAGAGAGCATGGCTAATGGGCGTTTGACACGAGCACCACACGAGAGGGAGGGCTGCCAGGCTTTCGGTGGCAGGGCGACCAGGGGCAAGAGGACTCTTACCCCAGCATCAGTTCGCCTGGCCAGAGCAGGCACCTGTTCAGGCAGCCCCGTTCCTCATTTGCCGATCGGTCCCCTACATCACCGTTTCTCTTCAGCATCATGATTAACCAGGACATCGGTCCGCCAGCGAAGACCTCCAAGCTCCCTTGCCATCGAGCGACGTAGTGCAATCGGACCTTATCTGCTTCCGCATTCTTTCCAACACGAGCCTAACGCAGAGAACGCCCTGCAGGATGTTGAGGTGGCTCGACGATATTGGCGGACGCCGCTGTCAAAGCTGTCATTCACACTTGCTGCAGACGCCTGGGGTTAATGCAATGTACTCACGAGCAAACAAGAGTCTGGCGGCCGCAGATATCCTCGTCTTGCCAGCCGTTCCGGCCCTCCAGCTCTGGACACCTCAGAGCATCATCCATGAATGCACCATGCATGAATGGAGCCGTGCGTGGCTGGAAGCCATGGCTAATGACAGGACCATCCCGTCCGTTGACCACTTTGGGCTTGGTGCTGGTCGTTGTCCAACCTAGCACTCTGGGCTCCACGTCGATCTGAGTACCACTACCGAAGTCGAGTAGGTGCACGCTCATCCGTCCCCTTCGACGGGCACTTGGCTGTGGTGGATGATGGTCTGCCTGCCTTCCAGCTTGACATCCAGCGAATACCTCGTGCCTCAGGTTGGGCACCCCTCCACGAAGAAGCTGCTCGCCTGCTCCTTCCTCCCTTACCACCACATGGGAAGGTTTCTCTGACGCAACCGTGTCGTATCCCTTTCCTCGCTCTCCCTAGCCTGGCGAGGCCGCATAATCCTAGTCTGTGTCGAAGCATTTCCGTTCAGCTTACCTTGCCGAGCTGAGGACGCTGCAAATTTCTCGCTTCCAATGCATATTGCTCCATTCTGGACCTCCTGGTGTGCAGCAAGGACGAGTCCTGATCCTTGTTACTGGTCGTTGGATATCCGCCTCACTTCACCTCAAAGTGACAGCTCTCGCGGACGCCGTTGGGATGCAAAGCTCACGCAGGCTTAGCTCCATACCGCGCGCCCCAAGGACATCCTCCTGCACAAGGCAAACCTTCGCTCGCTTTCGTTTCAAGCCTACCGATGGATGCCACATCAGATGAGCGACATCTACGGCCCGCATTACCCCCTCTTCCAGCTCGACGAACTGAACTCTCTAGCCGAGCACTCCTTTCAAGGATCGAGCAATCACGGGCTCCGTTGCAACAGTACTCTGCCACGCTGCGGCTCTGCGGCCGATGCCTACCCGGTCGAGGAGAATGGCAATCCCTTGAGGGGGACACCGGCACGCCCTCTGGCAGCGCCCGCCGCATCACCTCGACGCAAAGACATGTCGACTTTCACAGTACATGTGTTCGTCTGCTGGACATCTTGACAACTTCGCCCGCTAGTCGACCCTAGCAGCTGGAGATGATGACGAGACATTCATACTTGTCTTGAGATGTGGTGATTGAAATCACTTCTGCTCATTCAATGGGCTCTATTCTCTCACAAAAGCTGACGTGTGGCAGATCTGCAGTACTGCCTGGCATCTTGATGCTCCCAAAAACCTTCCTATGGTCCATGACCTGTGGTTCCTGTGGACCAGTCATGCCTGTCGGCGTCCTTAATCCCTCGAACGTCGTCAACGCCTGCCGCCTGCCACGCTCCTAGGCTGCAGGTGTAGCTCAACAGGGGATCATACTCGATGCACTGAGCGTGGGAGATCATGGCTGCCACACTTCAGATTGCGACATGCCTGCAGCTCTAGTTGAGCCTCAGTGATGGAGAGTCTACATCTGCAACGACTGGCGTCGATTAGCGAAACTGTCCAGGTGCTAGGGGAAGACAAGACGTGCAGGTGAGGACGATGCAGGGCTGCTTTGACTCTGGTCCACCCATAATCAAGAGCTCTGTGCTCGCCTGGGGCCAGAGATGACTGCAGGTGGGCAGCAAGAAGTATCTGGTAGGCAGATTAATGTCACAACACGAAATGCGCCTCGCAGACTCTATCGGCTATGTTGTCAATATTTATATAAATGGATCACAATATCCCTCCCTCCGCCCCCCCCGACGAATTCACAATCTGGTTGATGCCTTACATTTCAGACTCTAGAACTCTCTCTATATTCCCGATAGTCCTTTACATCCAACCGCCTCTCCTTCTTTCTGCCCTTACACTGTTTGTACAAAGGTACATATCCAAGCGTCTGAGAACACAATCAAGGCCGACAGCCCCAACCCTCCATCTTCGCGGTGAGATGCTAGACTGCTTCACTTCCTCGCGAGATTCTTGTGCAAGATATGCTCCTTCATGCCCAGGCCAGCAATGGCAGCCAGGATAGCCAGACCCAATCCGGAGAGAAAGGCGCCCCTCAGGGCATCCATGTAGATGCTGAGGACGGTTGGCTTATCCCATCCGGGAGGCAGGTGGTTGATGGCGTCGAGGGAGTCGCGGATGCGGCGAATAACACCTTCGCTGCCGGGCAAGGACCCAAAATCTGCGCGCAGCTCTTTGGTCAGGATGTTCTGAAAGACGGCGCCGGCGATGGTGATGCCGATGGTGGAGCCCGTGGAGCGAAACGCGTACGAGGCCGCGGTGATGACGGCCTGGTGGGCGTGATCCACAGAACTGATCATGCCGACCAGTGTGACAGTTAACATGCCGCCATAGGCAAAGCCCAAGGGCGCAGGGAACACAAACGTCATCCAGCTTGGGGTGTCGAGTTGGAAGGAACAGATCAGGGCCTGGCCCGCGACGAAGACCACCATCACGCCGACCATCTGCGCGTAATACCGCCCCGTGGCGCGCATGAGGAACCCGCTCGCCAGACTGCCCAGCGACGTGGCGGCGGCGAGCGGCACGACGCGCAGTCCCGCGGCCGTGGCCGACAGCCCCCGAATCTGCAGGTACAGGGGCACGTAGTAGATGGCCAGGAAGGCGGCCATGGTCCCGAACCAGTTGGCCAGGCAGGCCGCGAGCACGGTCCGTGTGCGCGCGATGAGCATCACCGGCAGGACGGGCTCGGGGACCCAGCGCGGTTGCGATTCCAGGTACATAAAGGTGAGCAGCGTGAGCACCGAGAGCACCAGCGCGGCGATGATCAAAGGGTGCGACCAGGGAAGCTGGTTGCCGCCGGTATTGAGACCCAGGAGCAGCAGGACCAAACTGGCGACCAGGAACCCGCTCCCTAAAAAGTCGATGCGCGACAGCGCCGGTCGCGTCGACGGGTTGACGGGGATGTCGACCAGAAACACGACCATGACGCCGGACACGGCGATAAAGGGAACCTGTAACAGAAAAGCCCAGCGCCAGGACAATTTGTCCGACAACACACCGCCAAACACACCCCCAAGACCCATGCCCAGCCCGTACACCAAATTACCATAACCCTGCCACAGACCCCGGCGCCGGAGGGGAACGAGGTCGCTGGTGATGTATGTCGCAATACACGTCAACCCGCCGCCGCCGACGCCCGCGACGATCCTCCCAGCGATAATGGCGCCCGCGGACGGTGCGAGACCGCACAGCAGCGTGCCGGCGCCGAAGAAGACGTTGGAGAAGATGAGCCCCCATCGTCGAGAGAAGATGTCGGTCAGTTTTCCCGACAGCGGTTGGCAGGCTGAGTTGGCGATCAGGTAGCCTGTGGCAAGCCAGGAGAGGAGCGAGAGGGAGTCGAAGGATGAGGAGATTGGGGCTGTGAGGGTCGCGACGATGGTTGTGTCTTTATCACCGTCTTCGTTAGTACGTATCTTTGTGGAGGAACAGAACGAAAGGGGAAGACTTGTGGATAAAGTAACCGAATAGAATCGATGGACAGAAACATATAAAACAACTCTCGTTCAACCAAGGAAAGGGAACGAAACATACCCAACGCAGCAAAGAAAACCCCAATCCACGTCGCCCCCATAATCGCGACCAGCTTCGTCGTGGAAGGCTCCTCGGCCAGCGCGATCTCGTCGTCGGCTCCCGTCTCTGGAACCCCTGGCTGCGCGCTCTCTGGGTCGGCGGCGGCGGGGGCGGGGGCGGCGGCTCCATCATTCAGGTCACTGAGGAGGGGACTCGTCTCCGTGGGTTGGTGATTCGTGTCGTTTTCGTCGCGCGTGAGCGTCATTTTGTGTGTTTTGTCAATTGTCAAATATTTTTTTCGAATGGAAATGGCCCGAGTTTATTGGGTAGGGTCTCGGGTTTTGAGTCGACGCCGGTTGGGTTGGGTTGGGTTGGGTTGGGTTGGGTTGGGGTTTTGAGGTCTGCTTGCGCCCTTCGAAGCACCGAGTGGAAGGGGGATTCAGATCGATGAAATTGGATGGGATGTATATAATGTAATGCCGCCGTGGACTCTGTACTTTTGGACTCTGTACCTCCGTATGTATCACTGTGTCATGTAGGTACTGAGGACCTAGTCACCCGAGTACCTAGGTACCTCTGCACCAAACTCTCACACACACTCTCTAGCAAGGCACGCCCAGGCTCCCTTGCGATGCTATGCTGAATGATCGTGTCTCGACCCCGTTAAAGGTAATGTAGATATGTTTGGGTATATAATAGCTCGTCAGACACGTGCGAGTCGTGTGCTGCATTTAAACAATAAATTTTTATTTAATCCGGCCGGGAGACGAGCAGAAAATCAAAAATGGAGCTTTCCTCCGTTCGAGCGTCGATCACTGCAGCGTGACTCAAAAATCGGGGTTTAGTCGAACCCCTCGAGAGCTTGATTGGGGGGCGGTGATGTGCGTTTGAATGTAATACTCGGCGAGTCGGTACGGTATCAATGTGGCGACAATCTTTCGTATTATTGTCGTTACGGATCATCTCACATGTAAATTCTGTCTCTTCCAAATCCACCGCCATGGCGATTGGACTGCGGGTGGTCTCGCGATGAGGAAGACATCGAGGGTAGTAAATTGTCTACTCGTACCTACCGTATGTTGCATGATGGGTGTGGATCATCGTGGGTTGTTGGGAAATGAATGCGCAAGCGATACAAACTACTAACAAAGAGCACGGAGAGTATGAGGAGGGGATATATTCCAGGAGTCCGTAACTATGGTATAATACTCTTTCGCTTTGCTCAGCAGGCCTAATCCCTCAAGGCTTCAATATCTACAATCTCCTTGACAGCCTCCGTCGTGAGCACAAACGGGCTGTCGTCCTGGACACTGACGCTGTCTTCAATGCGCACGCCCATCCCCCGAAAATGCTTCGGCCACCGCTCGTCGTCGGGAACATAGATGCCCGGCTCAATAGTGATACAGTGTCCCTCTTGCAGCACCACCTTCCGCGTATATCCCACCGTGTCGTGCACGTCCATGCCGATATAATGGCTCAAGTGGTGCGGGAATAGACTGTCGAGGGTTTTGGAAGAGACGTCAAAGCCAATCTGCCGCAGTTCGTTGGAAAGGTATTCTTCGGCGATGTTGTGCAGCTTGTCCAGCGACATGTTCGCGCTGGCCCGACAGAGAGAGATCAACGACCGCTGCACGGTGAGCACCGCTTGGTACAGATCTCTCTGCGCGTCGCTGAATTTCCCTCCAACCGGCCAGGTTCGTGTGATGTCGGCGATGTAGCCACCGTACTTCCCACCTCCATCCACCAGAACCAGCTCATCGTCCCGCAGGACATCGTCGTTGCGGACATAGTGGATGCTGAGCGCATTCTTGCCACCGGCAACAACAGGCTCAAACGCGCTGGTGTCGCACCCGTTCGCGATGAAGCGGTAGCGGAGGTACGCGTCGAGCTGTTTCTCGTGCGTCCATGCCTGCCTCATGGCTTCCGTGTGGGCTCGTCCCGATGCTCTTCCAGCCTTGCGCATGAGCTCAATCTCGGCCGAGCTTTTGAAGGCTCGTAGGTCGTTCAAGACCGGCCGCAACCGGTGGACTTTTCTTGACTCAATAAGCTCCGCGAACTCGGTGGTCTTGCGGGACGCCCCAAAGAGAAACCGCTGGAGGGCCGATCGGTTGGTGTCCGGGCTCGTGATGTCTGTGTACACCTGAGAAGCTTCGCCCACTAACTCCGGAAGGATCTTTTTCAGCTTGGAGATGTCGCCCGTCTCGTCCGCATTGAAGACGTCTCTTGCCGCCTGCGTGCCCGATCTTGCGCCATCCCAGATCTCCGCCTTGGGATCCTTCTCGCGTACAAACAGGTGGAATGTGTGGTCTGTGCCCGTGGGTTCTTTGCCAATGACGGCGAGGGCTTCAGGTTCGTTGAACCCCGTCAGGTAGAGGAAGTCGGGATCTTGGTGAAACTCGTAGAAGACGCTGCCACTCCGAAATTGGAGATCGGCCGCGGCGATGATGGCAATGGCCTTGTCCGGCAGTTTGGCGGCGAGCCTCGTGCGTCGGTCGGCATACTCCTGCGCTGTGATACCTGGGGTCAGCTCCCCCGGCTGGAGTAGATGTGGATGGGTTTCATGGACAGGCTGGCCGAAGGAGAGATCGGCAGCATTGACTGTCAGAGTGTTGTATTGGCGCAGTCGTGGTCCCTCAGACCTGGCTATTCGACTGGCAGCCCGCGAATGGGCGAGGACATTATTGGCACGGATGAGCGTCTGCCATAATGTCCTCCGCATCGACATGCTCTGAAGCAATGTCGGTAGTGAGATGACACGATGGGTGGAGGGTCGAATTGGACGACAACAGTCACAGTTGATCAAATGTCCAACGCACTTCTCCAGAGAAGCGAGACGCAGCCTCGGCTCGAGTTTCCTGTTCCGGCCTCGTCCAATGACGCCCTGCGGGTTTGATATGCGAGGTACTCGCATTTCCACGATACAGATACTGGCATGACTCACTTGATCATTTATATACAGCATGAAATGAGCTGATATTGATCCATTAGACATTCAGACCAACGTGAATTCACTGTTCCCGTCGACCAAGAAAGGAAAGTACCGACCACCAGCAACCATGGTGCGGCATCTCGAATATCCCAAGAAACCTCAAAATACTGTCAAGCGATATAACAACAGAGGTAAGAAGGCACGCTTTTCTGCATATGCATATCGAGACCAACTTCCCGCAGGAACATATGATCTTGGAATCATTCACTCAATCATCAACGCCACCTCGGTCCTCCATGTCTCGTTCGCCCCCAGCCCGGAGCAACCCTTTCCCGCAATCTTGCCAATGATCGGGGTCATGGGTTCATTTGAATATCCTTCGTCCAGCATTGAGGAGCCGCTTGACTGTTATCTCCATGGATATGTCAGCTCGAGGATAATGCGCCAGGCTCGAGAATCGCCGAATGGCTTGCCCATTTGCGTCGCTGCCACCAAAGTCGATGGCTTGGTCTTGTCCCTGACCCCAAACTCCCACAGTTATAACTACCGATCAGCCGTCTTGCAGGGATACGCCAAGCCAGTGGAAACCGACGAGGAGAAGCTGTACGCGATGCGGTTGATCACCAACAAGGTTGTCGATGGACGCTGGGAACACACCAGAGTACCCCCGGACAACGTCGAGATGACCTCCACCACCATTCTGAGAGTCAAGGTTGAGACTGGTAGCGGGAAGATCCGGCAAGGAGGCCCTCATGACGAGGCCAAAGATGAGAATAGATCTGACATCACTGAAAAAGTCTGGACTGGAGTGGTGCCAGTGTATGAGGCTTTCGACACACCAATACCCAGTGCCACCAATAAGGTCAAGGATCTTCCACCATATCTTGACTCATACGTGTCCGAGACAAACAACCTCAACAGAGAGTCGGCTCTCCACGCTGTTAAAGACCCCTAAGGACAGTAACAGTAATCTGGAGAATGATGCCCCCGGGAAGGCTTCCGTGTGGATTGCTGGAACAGAAAACGGATGGGCTGGTCGGGTCGATCGGAGGGAGATGTGACATGGTCTTAATATTGTTGGATGTTCAGGAACGCATCTCGCATAGGTTATCGCTGAACAGTCAATGATTCTTGCATCTTCTGGGCGACATTAGTACAAGTTTGTCATAGCCATGTGCGCCACTCGGCAGTCTCTTCGATCTTTGGCACAACGATGAAGCGGTGACGCAGGGCTGCTGTCAGGCACGAGCTCATGGATTCGTTCCAGAGAAATCTCTGCGTCACGGCATCCATTTCCTCGATGCTCATCTTGAATCTCGATAGGAGGGTTTTCGTCACAGCTTCCCCCTGTGCAAGCGAACATCCTGCGATTTCCTTGGTCGCTGTGACCACACACCCACCCCATAGGAGACAATCATTTTCAAGTTGAGAACCATGAACCATCTTTCGTGAGCACTCGAGGAAAGTCTCCGCCATTTCTTCGCGGTCCAATTGGTACGTGGCCGTGTATAAGTGGAACACGGAGAAGCCCAACCAGACCAGGCGCTCGATCGGCGTCAATCGTTCTCGAAGGGCCCGAGACTTGTCGCGGTCGCTTGTTGCTCTCGAAGCGAGGCGAACGATTTGGCCTCTTTCCATGGCTAGTCGTTCGATAAGCTGGACGCAGAGAATCCTGCGCAAGGCCAGCTCTCGGAAACCTTCACAGAGTCTGGAAAGGCGCGCAGACAACTCGGCAGAGAATGGGAGGGTTGGGTATACCGGCTCCATCGGATTTGACACCCCTGCTGCCAGAGAAGAGGAGCAGCCCAGGGGAAGGCCAGCTTTGCCCTTTAACCTGGGTTGAGCATATGACAAAGCGTCGTGGCTGGGTTACTCCAGTATTAGATCTCCGCAACAGCATCGACAGGAGGTTGCTTTGGGCTAAACTCACAAACTAGAAGGACGTTTGGTCGAAGCACGAATATCACGCTTGCGCAGATCCTCGTCGTCCTTGAATTGACCCAGATAGCGTAGTGCGTTACGATGCATGGTGAAAGATTCATCATCTTCAAAGTAAGCCTTGCACCGAGTCTTAGCAGATTACCCATATCGGATAGAGGAGCAGGTTTACGTACGCAGACAGCAGCCAGATTGGAAATGGCCGCCATTACTGCCCTTCGAGTGGAACCGGGGAAGAGGAGGCATTCCCTGATCTTGGACAGACACCCCCCATAATGGTATAGCATAGCCTTTTTCAGCTCGGGCGTATCCACCAAGTAGGTACACAGCACCCAAGTGATGATGGCCTCAAATAAGACATCGTGCGTCATAAAGAGCTCGAAAAAAGCAGGGCTCGGTGCTATAACCGCCCTACAATGGTCAATTACAGCCGGAAAATAGTCCTGAGATGCAATAGGGTATCGGAGAAATGGATCGGTTCGCAGGCCACCGAAAACGCTGTCGGTAGGAGTGGAAGAGAAAGCTGCAAGGGTTAATGATTCGGCTCCACATGCAGGGCAGCCACAAGGATCCGCTTGGGTGTCGGCTGAGAGCGTCTCTGGGGAAGATCCATGTTTGCTTAGGCGGCACAGTGAGGTGGAGGATGGCAAGGTTGTTGGGTGGGCCCTCTTCTTGTCTCCAGGGGCAGCGGTAGGCGGTGCCTTGGTGCTCGCATTGGCTGTCCTGCCATGCTTCAGCAGGAGCAATGGGTTTCGAGAGTCCACATCTTGGTTGGAGATATTAGGTCGCGGTTCCCCAGATAGCTGTTCAAGCAGGTGATCCTTATCAACCCGCCTGCAGTTCACCCTTGGAGAGGGTGGTCCTGTCGCCAGACGGATTTCTATTCCACGACGCCGCTCATGGTTCCTACGCATCGCGTGAGCCGTGATCTGACTGAGTTGCCAGTTGGGGACACGGCCAGGTCTCTCGACATTGATGAAATGAACGTCCATTGGCAGCTGGCCGCCTTGAGATAATTCTCTTTTCTTGTCACCACCGTCCTTCAAGGCGTGAAAGACTCCATAGCCCATCCTGATCGGCGGTCTGGGCGAGTCGCGTATGCAAGATCGTTTCTGGTTAACCCCTAAATATCAAGCCTGAAGAAGTCATGTCGAGGACCGAGTCAGTCGAGGACCGACAGATCGAGTCCTTTTTCATTGACCGCGTACATGTGTGCCTGGTGTTCCTTTCATCAAGCACAAGTAGAACGGTGCAAGCTGCAAAAGCCTCTTTTGGAATGGGGTACGTGTCGACGGACTGCAAGAAAGCCTGGTGATAAATAAGGAGAAAGGGAATTCAGACATCCGAGATTCTAGCCTGCTCAACCCGTAACTGGTTCTGGAACTAGAGCTTCCGCATCTGGAACAGCTTGGGCATCTCGTGTTGTTTTGGCCCCCATTGTTGCAATTGTCGGACTGCCACAATTGCTTACCCAAGCATCGACGAGCTGGTCGTTTGGCTGTGGTATCGGCTGTAGGCGGTAGCCAAGGCTCCAACCAAGTCCCCCGATTACAAGTACCTAGGTAGCTTGACCGCGATAAGAATCGTACGCATCCATCTAAGCAGTCTGACGAGTTGAGGCTTTTGCACGATCGCCCTCCTTCTCGTGCGAGGACGAGGTATTCAGATATGGGGCTACCAGTACGCCTTGGTTAAGATAAGGACGAGTACATCGAGTTGGTTCTCAAAACTTGACAGATACCTCATCCCCATCTTCATCCTGGGCGAGGGGTTCTTCCTTTCCGGAGAATGCCACTACTTCACCCATCTCGGCATAGAGTCTTTCTCAGGAAATCTATCTGCCGCCTTGCAATTGTCTCAAACATGGGGTCGGAGAAACCATCAAAATGTCCGCATGAGACCATGTGCAGCTCCTTTGGCTCCAATGCCCGCGCATATGCCTTCAGAGCAAGGTCGGTAGGCGCCGCAAAATCTCGTTCAGCTATCGTCATCAGTAAGGGAGTTGGCGAGAGGTGACTTATGTGCTCCCCTGGCTCATATGCTCGGAGTGCCTCGATGCTGCAGAGCCACGAAAAGTCAGGTCAAGGTTTTCAGAAGGTAGAAAACACTCTTACGATCTCACAGTCACTTCATTTTTCCAATTTGTGTGTTTAGCCCAGGCACTGAAAAACCCATATGCCTCTGTCATGGGAAGGGCCGAGGGCTTGAGAGGATCAGGATCAATGGCAGGCATCGTCGCAGGAGTCTTCCCTTTGGCTCGAGCAAGGCGATCTATGAATTCAAATCAGATCAGTCGTCTTAGCCCTGAGTTTCTCTCCCAAGTCAGGCGATCAAACCTTGTTGGAACAGTAAATTCAACGCCGGCACGAAATCGGGACGTATCAGTTTGTGAAAAGTGTCCCAGCCACTGACACACGGAAACATGCTCAAAACAGCCTTGACTCGACGGTCAACAGCGCCCGACCAGAGAACATGACCGCCGCTGTAAGACACTCCCCAGAGACCGACGTGATCGGGATCAACATCTGGTCTCGATTGCGCATACGTGACTGCGTCTCCAATGTCGCTGTTCTGCACTGGCGGCAAGATCTCATGACGAGGTTGCCCCGGCAGGACATCACTGTCGCCGAACCCTCGATTGTCATATATTAAGCAGCCAATGTTCAAGGTCGAAGTGAAACGCTCCGCGAATCTGTCGAGCCCCATTTCCTTGATGGCGGTAAAACCATGCGACATGACCAGGCACGGACTGCGGCCGCATGGCCCGTTGTTGGGTTTGAAAAACCACCCACGCAATGTAACATGATCTGCTGTTTCAAATTCGATATCTTCTCTCGCCATTGACTGTTGGTTGCTTCAAGTTTGCAGCTTTGCTGACCGGGAAAGAGAACAAATCTCCCAAGATATGAAGCAAGTTTAGTAATGTCGGGACCAACGGGTATTTTGGCTGGCATGACAACACCTAGCTCTACGTGAAATAGGAGGACAACGAGCACTTGAAAGTCTAGTCCGGTTCCGGGTAAATGAGAGTAGACCCCGATCGGTACCACGATTCAACTATCGCATAGTGCCCATCGAACTAGCCAATGCTCACAGACGGATCGATAGTCGGAACCGCATCGAAGGTGTGTTGCAGAGTATGAGTAAAGAATTGTTGACAACAATTCCAATGCGAGGCATATGTCCATTCCTAGTCCTCTAGGGTCTGTTTTCACTAAACAGGATTTCTCTAGAAGCATGTACTGGCTATCTACGGGGCTGCAGCTTTGAACTATGGAGAGAGAATCTTTACACACTTGAAACGGCGAGTAAGGGAGGAATATAGACGTAGAAATGTTGATATGAGCGGCCACTCTCTTGGGCAAGATGATCACTATATGAGCTCATAGATATTCTGGCCATTCCCGGGCTTCCACTGAAAGCTTCACAGGGTGAACACTTTAACATCTGGATTGATGGAGGTAGTGGTTTTGGTCAGAAGGATCGCGTCCTTGTACCGCACCACGGGTACTCTTGCCGCCGCTTCAAAGTCGGAGCTGGGACTGAAGTGCAAAGAGCCCACGCCAGCCCACACTTCGCCTTCAGTGAAGTGAGAACTCAGGGACAAGAACTCGCGCACGGTTGGCGGCTGCCCGATAATCGGGCTGGGAATGATTCGCAGGGAAAGCAGCCTCTTCTCTGGCGGAGGCAGACTCTTGACCCCGTGAATCTTTTCTGTTGGCTTGAACGCGAATTGGATAATAGGGGTCCCTGTCGGTCGCTCGACATGTCCATGGAGATAGCCCATAGAGGGAGTCCCGGTTGATGATCGGTCGAATTCCACTTTTCCCACAACCTTGGGAAAGCCATACTGTTCGCGGCCCAAGAAGATGGCACCCTCGTTGTCGAGAATCAGCTCCAAGGCATAGTCGTACGTTTCACCCTTGTACTTGACCTCGATCAAGCCGATGAACTCAGTGTAGGGCCCAATGGAGCTGAATCCCCACCGATTCAGAGTGTAGGTGACCAGTGGCTCATCTTCAATCTCGAGCTCTTCGGGGATGAACTCCTTGACAGCGTCGGCTTTAGTATAAAAGGAGATTTTGAGGACATCGACGTCGGAGAAGGCAATCTCTTTACCTGGATAAGATGGTGAATGGGATGGTATGGCTGTGGCCCCCTTCGTTTTCAAGGTTCCAAAGGGCATCGTTGCACGTGCGCAGGAGAAATGAATTGAATCTTACCACTTTTGCTCGGGTTGATTCAGAATGGGACTTTTGAAACGGATACGCCACCACTCTTCCTAATCTTCTTTATATCTGGGGGAATTCTCTGTATGTGCGACGGTCTCAGTGGTAGCGCTAAGACACGTCGTTTCCGGCTCCTCTGCTAGCAACGACACCCTTGTTCGCTTTCTCCAGATCATCACCGCTTAAAGCTGAAAACCCCCAGCTCTGGGCGGAGGGTCAACGTGGGGTGCTTGTATAGATGCTTAAGGTTCCGCCGACGCCGGTTCCGCAGGATGGCGTTTCCGCCATTAAGACTGGCGGATACTGGAGGGTTTCTCTCCTTGTGATTGACAGTCTCCGCTCCCGACGAGGAGTCTCACGACAATACACCGATCACGCAGGGGAAGGTCTTTGGCCATGGATTGCCAAACCGAACCCCCGCATGGGATATTCATGTGTGCCGGGGTAAGGAATCCAAAGCACGTATTTTCCCATGAGGCAGCACCACACTTAATTGCGAAGAGCCACTCCTCCACACTTCACACTTGCTGCCAAAATTCAAGTAAATCAGAGGCAAAAATGGCTGAGCACAATGCACTTTGCAGCGTTGAGAGCTTCGTCACTCAGACTTACGACTATCTTGTCGTCGGCGGCGGGACTGCCGGACTAGTCGTCGCAGCCAGGCTGACGGAAAATCCAGATGTCACTGTTGGTGTGGTTGAGGCTGGTGGCAACAAGATGGACGACGAGCTAGTCAGCACGCCCAGCGCATATCCCGCGATGATCGGGCACAAAGAATACGACTGGTGTTGGGAGTCCGTTGTCCAGGTACTTTTGTCATCCCCGTGCGCTTGTGGTGACGCTACTAATACCATAGATGGTTGGCAGGAGGGTGCCGGTAACAAGCCGTATGCCATGCCCCGGGGAAAGCTCCTCGGTGGCTCGAGCGGTATCAACTATCTGATGTACGTCAGGGGATCGAAAAAGGACTATACAGGGTGGGAGTCGTTGGTCAGTGAACGTCCCCAGAGCAGATGCAATCTATAGAATAGGTTGTTGACTTTACCCTGGATTTCAGGGGAATGAAGGATGGGGTTGGAATTCTCTACTACCGTATTTCAGAAAGCATCAGACGCTCGATCGACCGAAAGGAGGCCAGAGTGTCGACCCAAGATTCATGCCTCTGGCTGCAGAAGGTGATTTCCACGGGAAAGACGGTCCCATCCATACCAGCTTCAGCGAGTCGTACATGCCAATAGAGGAGGACTTTGTGAAGGCGGCATACGAAGCAACAGGGGGAAATAACACTCTACACGACGCCTGGAGTGGTGATCATATGGGATTCTACTCAAGTCTGGGCGTTGTTGACCGTGAGCAGGACGTCGGAAAGAGAAGCTACTCGGCCACAGGATACCTACGACCGAATCTCAGACGTCCCAATCTCAAGGTCTTGACGGAGGCTCATGCGTCGAGGATTATCCTCGAGGGAAATACGGCACGAGGAGTCGAATTCCTGCACCACGGGAAGACATATAGAGTGCATACTACACGAGAGGTTATACTCAGCGCAGGCACTATTCAAACCCCCCAACTACTAGAGCTCTCCGGCATCGGTGACCCTAAAATCTTGGGAGACGCCGGCATTACTTGCCTAGTGCAAAACTCCCGCGTCGGCGCCAACTTCCAGGATCATGTCCTCTCGGGGATGGTCTACGATCTCGCGCCTGGTATTCAGTCCATGGACTCCCTACAAGAAGAGAATTTTGCCGAACAGCAACGCCAAATCTACCAAAGGACAAAAGGAGGCATGTACGGCAATCCTGGAATGTTGATGGGGTTTCTTTCCTACGCTTCTCTCGTGAGCAGTGATGAGTTGGAGGCAACGATTGCAGAAATAAGGAGATCATCACATGCACAAACTGAGTTTGAAAAGTCCCAAGAAGAGGTATGTCACTGTGGTTCAAAGACGGCTGCGAAGAAGAGTTGGCTGACAGTTATCGATGCAGCTTATCATTTCCCAACTCAGTGATCCCACCTTTGCAAATATCCAAGTTTTCTGCATCCCATGTCAACTCGATGTCAGAGCAGGCCATGATCAGACTGTTTTCTTCGGGAAGCCTCCGCGAGGAAAGAACAGGATCACGTTTCTCGTCTGTCTCGAACACCCACTGTCGCGTGGTAGCGTCCATGTCACCTCCAGTGATCCGTTTGCCGCGCCGAGGATTGACCCAGGATATTTCAGGAATGAGATTGACGTCAAGATACTCGCTGCAGGTATCAAAGTAATGGACAAGATCGCTCGACAGCCCATCCTGAAAAGATCTTTGGCTAGTCGAGTCATTCCACCAGAAGACACTTCCTTGGACACCGAGGAACAGCGAATCGAATATTTACGCCAGCACATCTCCACCCAGTATCATTTGGTTGGCACTGCAACCATGGGTGAGGTGGTGGACGAGAAGCTCGCAGTCAAGGGCGTCAATAGTTTGAGAGTCGTGGACGCCAGCGTCTTCCCGACCCACGTGAGTGGGAACATTCTAAGCACGGTCTACGCCGTCGCAGAAAAGGGGGCCGACTTGATCAAATTGAGTGATCCTAGATTTTCCAGAAGCTGATGTTTGCTAAGCTAAAAGCTGTGCTCCATGAGATGTACATCTCAGGTACCCTTATTTCGGAAATTCCAAGGATATTGTCATGGCTGCCAGATTTGCAACATCGGATTTCTTCCCTAGCATCTTCAGAGCTTGCACGCAGACGTCGAATTGATCTTGAAGAGAGACCGGATCCAGGTCCTCCATTGCGTATTTGTCGTTGGGATTCTGTCTGCCGCAGGCCATCAGCCACTCGGTGATAAGCTCGAGGGCTTTGGTGAAGCATTGGATAAGCAGCGCAGTCCACGGTTCGCTAAGCAAGGCCATACCCTCAAAGTAATGCAGAGACTCGGAAGGCCACCGGGTCAGCTGAGGCTCCGAATTGCAGGTGACACGAGCAAGCTCCGTGATCGCGTCCACATTGTCCTTTCGTAGTCCTAGGGTGAGAGGAGTCGATTTTCGAAGAGCTCGCTCCTCGCGGCCACCTTGATGATCTTCGTCAACCGCGTCAATAGCATCGGCAAGCAGCAATGTGCCAAGATACCAGTGTCCTGCGAGGACAACACACCAAGACTGCAAGCTGGGCGGAAGATCACCATAATGATCAAGGCAGTCGATGATGAAGCGACCGTATGTACCATTCCAGTGTTGATAAACTCGCAGAGCCTCTTGAATACACTTCTCGACCCTCTCTGGTGGTACAGCTCGGAGGGACAGTGCCTGAAGGCTGGCCACTTTCCGATATAGCAAGACTTTGATCGGATTGGCCTCACACAGCGCTGCTGATGCCTCGTTAAATGCGCAAGGCCATCGGAGAGAAGATCGAGCGTCGCGAGGCCAGTCTTGGTCTAGGAAATAAGCCCCCCAGAGACCTTGATTTCTTTTGTTGCTAACACGGAGGGTATTTTGCCCATGGATGCCGGGATCTACCCCTTGTGCGACATTGTGGGCCTCGGCGAGATGAGATTGTGGCAGTGGTCGCTCGATAATTGCACTGTCTTCATCCGAGATGACCAGGGGTCGGTTTGACGACGCTGCGGAGAGGGTGTCGCAGATTACTCCTAGCCAAAACAACATATCAAATGTCTTCCGATCAACTGGAGAGACAGATGCGGAAGCAGATCTTGACGTCGAGGTGTTTGCTGGGATCTGCTGCTTCTGATCCATTCTCTGGATCTTGCGACGCCAGTGAAGGAGTTGTCTGAGAGCAGTTTCAAGATACACCGGGGGTCCGCCCAGAGCATCGAGCTCGGCCAGGCGGGCTCCAAGAGTGGCACAATCATCATCGGGAGTGAAGTCCGTGCTACCTGGGGCAGCCGAATCCCCGTATGGAGAGAAATAGTCGACACAAGAAGACTTTTGCGGACCACGCCGACGAGCAGCCTTTTTTAATTCGTCACGATGTCTCGTCGGGTCCAAGTGCCGCTGCGTGACGGAAAAGATCAATTGCGCGAAGGCGACGCGAAATGAGTCCAGTTCCCAAGCGTTTTGCAACTCACTTCGTGCCTTATCCCACAACATCTCCTGAAAAGAACGGTCAAAGGTGGGATCAGAGGCTTCGACGTCTTGAGGCAGAGCACCCTCATCAAGGCTTGTAGACTCGTTGAAGTATCCATCATCGCTGAGCAAGTAATCGAAGCAAGATCGTTGCCTCGAAGATCCCAGGTGTGACCATTGACTAGCAAAAGCCATGATTGCGGTCTTGAGAACTCGTGAGGCTGTCGCATCTTCGGTGGGTGTCAAACGCCTTGTAAGCCATTTTGAGGAACTTTGATCCAGACGACAAACACGAGCGTAAAATGTGGCCAAAGAAACACCTCCAACCCCGTCCCTTCCGTCTTGAAGTGGCCTTTGGTTGAGACGAGGCTGAAGCTCAATGTTGTAAGGACAAGTCCGTTCCGTCAGCCAGCACGTCAGGGCAGATTCGATGCTATCGCGATAGATTCGGAACAATACATCGGTGATGAGCGACTTTGTGACGGTGTTGTTGAGTTGCTCCTGTGCTTGAAACTCTGACACGGAAGGTGCACTGTTGGAAGTAGGGTGGCTGTTCGCCGTTTGTTTGAGGTAGCTAGAGACATAGGAGTGAGCACCACGGCCGTCGTACCTGTGCATTTGCGACACCCGGCTCTTCTTTGGACTTTGTCTGCGTATTTGAGGAATGAAGCCCTCCTCTGTCGCGGTGGGCAAGTCACTCATTTGAGGCGTCTCAGATCGCGGCATATTGTTCAGCGCCGTGGGATCCACAGCGTCAGTATCGTCTACAAAACGACTTCTTGAAGCAGAGCTCAGCTCCTCGTTGGCTTGTAAGGCATGGTAGAAGTGATCGTTGCCGTCTGAATTTAATTCAGAGATTGGTAAACAATTTTCCAAAGATTCAACAATACCCCACGTCCATGGAATTTCGGGAAGCCGTGAGGGATCGGCCAGGGCATAGCCATCCGGAAGCTTTTCAGGAGATGAACAAGGAAGCTGAGGCTCGGCCGTCGCGGCCATCGACATAGCCAGGTAAGTATCGTTTGGAGGGAAGTGATCAAATCCAAAAGTCCATGACTGCTGTCTGTTAGCGTGTGTTGACTTGCCCAATTGAGTTGCCTGTTTTCGCTTCAACCACTCAAACGTGCAGGCTTTTCTGGTCTTGGAGCAATTGGAGCAGGCCGGAGGCGGATCATTACGCGGGTGATTGCCTTTACTCGTCACTATATGAGACCACGAGATACAATTTGCCATACCTAGCAGCTCATCCCACTCCGGAGTGGGAAATACAGACGCAGGGTGGTTATTCACCGAGCAGCTCGAGGGATTGATCCCCAAATATGCGGCATCGCACGCCCGTCTGCTTCGGCGACATTGGTCACAGCTCCGATATTGCTGGCGTTTGCTTCTTAGGTAGGTAGGTGGTTTTGGGGCGGATGAATGGTGGGGTTTAGTCATGGCAGGGGGCATTGCTGCTTGATCGATACATGAATCTAGTGTAAAGGAGGATGGATTGTCACAAAATCTAGCTGGGCAATGAACATCAATGAGAACGGATTGAGGAGATAGGGACGGGGAGCCGAGGCCTTAAAAGCCTGCGCAGCTTGGACTGAGCAGGAGGACTTTTAAACCCCGGATTTCCACCATCCATTAACAAGGGGAATTTCATTGGAGATGGTGGGGAGCGGGATGGCACCCACCAGGGGACGGCTATTGGGTAGAACCTGAGGACTGAGGTTTAGTCTTCGTTTAGAAAATGCCAAAAAGTTTAGTATTGTTATTATTGAAGGGGCTGAAGGGCACCCGGTACGAGGCGATCACCCCTACTAATATCTCTTCCTAAAGGCCTGGCGTCGCTCATTGTGCAGTAAAACCGCCATCGACACTGAGAAGATTCCCGGTCATCCAGCTCGCAGCATCACTAGAGAGTACCAGCACCGCTTTGGCTACGTCCTGTGGTGTACCAAGATTAGGCCAGGGTGTAGTGGCGTGTAATGCCTTTTTCATCTCATCTTGTGCCAGGTATGGATTCACCATTGCCGTTGATATGAAGCCAGGGCAGACGGCGTTGACATGAATCTTATGTGGCGCATAGTCAATCGCCACTGCTCGGGTCAACATCGCGACCGCTCCTTTACTGGCACAGTAGGAAGCTGTAGAACGTGGTTAGAATGTTGTAAGGGCCACGTGTAGAAGCACCTACTTTCGCCGGCAAGACCACATGTTGATGCTATTGAGCCGATGTTGACGACCCAGCCCCTTTCGCCCGAAGTGCGAGGCTCCTGCTTCATCATCTGCGTGATGGCGTATTTCATGCCCAGAAATACGCCTCTGGCATTGACCAGCTGCTCATATCAGCAACAGAAAGACTCGACGGCCGACGACACATACCATTGTCTTGTCAAAGGCGCTGACAGGCTCTCCTACGATATCATTCAGACCACAAAAGATCCCAGCATTGTTCACAAAACTGTATGTCACGGATCAGCGAAGTTCTCTCACGGGCCCTGAGGGTAATTGATACATGTCCAGGCGGCCGAATTCTTTGACAGCCCTCTCGACCAAATTTATCATATCTTCTTCCGAACTGACATCTGCTTTTTGGAATACGCTTCGACCATTTCTTGTGATCACCTCGTGGGTTGGAGTCAGATCCTGCTCCGAACCACCTTCGCGCACATTGGGTTGGATGTCACTGCAAACAACATATGCTCCCTCCGTCGCCAGGAGCAAGGCAATAGCCCTGCCGTTACCAGAGGAGGAGCCTGTGACAATTGCCACGCGGCCTTGGAGGCTATCAAGTCTTAGCCCCAGGATTATTTCTCTTGTACATAATCCGAGAGACGTACTTGACGATGTTAGACATGAAGGGCGGGTAAGTGTTGCAGGTCGGAGGTGATCTCTACCAGTCCGACTCTCGAGGCCTCCATGGGGTTATTAATCTGAAGCAACTCTTAGGTATTGGCCCTTTGCCGCGGGTTGAATGCTGTCCCCTCATCCACAGAGCTACTTATTCAAAGTCTGCTCTCCTTCCGCGACAGACCATGTCAAACAAGTGGCCGACATAACCCATCTTGAGCCAGAATGCACGAACCATCACGGGAGAGGGTGACAAGGTCAGAGTGCGGAAGCGACTTGAGCTTATCCAGGTCGCTTCCGCGCCAAGCAAAAGAAGGTGCAGAAAGCAGTCAACCTACAGCAGGAAGAAGTTACGAGGGCCCGGGAGAGATTTGTAGATCTTCTAGGATTGGAGAATAAACTTGGACTGTGGCTTTCAGGTGACTCGACATTGTTATAGCATTTTCATCCCCGCTTAGCAGTAGCTGAAACCCTTACCGTTTTATAATCTTTTTGCCTGTGTTCATTCGACGGTTTGCGCAGAACACCACACTCTACTGGAAATTCTCTGTGCAGACTCCTCTTCAGCTTGCTTGATCACCTCCCCCAGATCTTGTACCTGAATGACCATGTCGAATGTCAAGTCGCCCAGGACTAACCTCTCACTTCCTCCCTCTCTTATTGCCTCAAGCAAAGGGTGCCAAACTCTATATTTCGCTCCGTTCATCTGCTTCCGCAATGGCGTTAAGGTTCCGCATCATTGCTCCCGACACAGTGGTCGAAGGCTCGTAGTCTCGATGCGTCTCCCCGGGCGCATGCGTATACTTTCCTGGAGAAATGTGGGGAGCACTGGGATGTCCTGTACCTGCCCAATAGCTATATCCCAGGGCCATCTCCTCCATGCCACTTGAATGATCAACCGAGACATTCTCATTCAGCAACATTATCTCAAACGACAAGATGGCAGGGGAATCTACCAAAGTCACCAAGAGCCCGATGAACTGGCACAATCTGGGACTTTGCTTCGCCATTTCCTGGGGCCTCGTGGTGTTTGGCTATCCCTCGGCAATCATTGGTACAACACTCGGAGAGCCTTCCTTTTTGATATACATGGGCCTCCTGGATCCCACCACCGGGAAACTCGTCGGCAATGCCAATGGGCTGATCGGAGCTATGTCGGGTGTCTTTCAGGTGCGCTGTTCTTGACCCTTGCTCGTGTCCGCCTCTGACCCTCTATAGGCCGGAGCTGCCCTTGGTGTTTTCCTTGTCTGCTTCTCCATGGACCGCTGGGGTCGAAAGGCTGGGGTGTACTGTTGCTGCGCCTTTTCGATGCTAGGAGGTATCCTCCTCACTGCCTCTCAAGGTGTCGCCATGTTCATCGTTGCGCGGTTCTTTGCCGGTGTCGGCTCCTGGGGCTTCCTTGCCGTTGCACCGGTATATGCATCAGAACTGGCTCCTCCAAATCTACGGGGTTTCTTTGTCGGGCTGACCGGTGTGAACGCTGCGTTTGGATATGCTCTCGCATCATACATGGGTCTCGCCTTCTATTATGACCACAATCAGGAGGCTCAATGGCGTGCTCCCTTGGGTCTTGCTCTAATCTGGCCAGCAAGTTACATCTTCCTGCGTGCTATGCCGTCTGCTGATATGTTTAGGTGATGATGATCGTCATCATGATTTTCCTGCCAGAATCACCTAGGTGGCTCTTGCTCAATCACAGGCTCGATGAAGCTAGAAAGATTGTCTTTCGTCTTCACTTCAACAAGTCTGATCCGGAGCATGAGTACGCGCAGGAGGAGTTTTTCCAAATGCGAAAACAAATGGAGATGGACAAAACTCTTCCATCTGCTTGGGTATGGGCTGGTGACTCGCGAGTTTGATGTTTCGGCTAATGTTAAGATAGCTCGACCTGTTCCGATTGCCTAGCTATCGAAAACGTACACTTCTGGGCATGCTCTTCGCCTTTTCTGGCCAGAGCACTGGAGTCCTGGTTCTAAACAACTATGGACCTACCATCTATGGCTTGCTAGGCTATGGAACTAGGGACCAACTCGCGCTGCAGTGTGGATGGATCACAGTCAACATCGTCGGTGCTCTATTTTGCTCGTCCGTCATGGACTATTTTGGAAGGCGCAAGCTTGTCTTGATTGGACTTGCTGGTTGTGTCATATTCTTGTGCATCCAGTCCGCCATGATAGCTGAGTTTGCAAACAGCGGCACCAACAAAGCAGGCCTAAGGATGGGTGTTGCTTGTTCATATATCTTCTTAGCATTCTACAGCCTGTTCGACACCGCCGGCTTCGTCTTTTACGCCGAACTGTTCCCCAACCACATGCGTGCCAAGGGACTCTCTGTTATCGTGTGTACCATCGCCTTGACTGACCTTGTCTACCTTCAAGTCTCGGCGACGGCTTTCGCAAACATTGGTTGGAAATTTTACCTGGTATGAGAGCTCCCTGAATTTTTTCCAGTCCATTGCTAAAGAATTCAGGTGTTTATCTGCGCCGCGACGGTCGGTGCCACAGGCTTGTATTTCTTGCTTCCGGAGACCAGTGGAATACCACTGGAAGAGATGGCAAAGATATTCGGCGTCACAGATCAAGTGGCAGTATATCTCAAAGATGTCCATGTCGATCAGAACACCCACGAAGTCGTTGTTACTGGTGAACATGGGATATCGACTGTCGGAGGTGTTGCGGACACTAAGGCTGGAGGAGATGTTGAGAAGGAAGCCAGACCTGAAACGGAGCATTTTGACATGTAAAGAACGGGATTTGTTCGCCTCGAGGGCTCGAAAACTCAGTGATCAGGATGAGTCACATTGGCATACCTAGGTAGGCAGATTATATCCCCCGAAAACGAGCTCAGATAGTGGACAATAGATCGTTTCACATCATGCCCGTCATTAGCAGAACATTTTGAATTACATTATTCCAAAGTTTTCACGGACTGATTCCGCCGCACTTCCGCAAGGTTTCGGTGATGTTCTCTCGGCACTAGTAGAGAGTGTAGTTGGTACAGATCTGAAATTCAACAGATACCTCCTACATGGCTCGCACCCACTCGCCAACGCATTCAGGGTCTAAACGAATTTGTGTTTCTTCTGCACTGTCACATGAAAATGACCAGACATGGCTCTTCAACGGCTCCAAGAAGCCCTTTAAACTCCAATTCTTCCTCAGAAAAGAGGACACTCTACACTTGGGCTCAATACAAGGAGGCTCACACCGATACATCGCTTTTTACACTTGCGTTGAAAGGAGTATGTTGACGCTAAGCCGGTTTCGGCCGGATTAGGCCGGTGCCGCTTTAGACACACTTTGCACCCGAATATGGGATTCGCAGGAGGCGGAGCAAAAGCAGCAACCAAAGACCTACTCACGGTTGCCCTGCCAACCCCCCGTAAACAGCGCTTCCCACCATCTTCCATGCCTCACTGGCACCATGATCGATAGATGACGCGTATGGGTAGCTAAGCAGTGAAGCGTACCAGTACCTGGAAAAAAACCATCTTTTTGAACAACCCGACCTTCCGCAGAAACACTGAACATCGTCTTGATATGAGGATTTTGAACACACAGCGCCAGTTGCATGCCGAAGCCCCGTCGTGAGTCTGCGGCGAGGGCCGACACACGGCCTGCATTCAATCGTCCGCCTAACGCACGTCCCGCGCCCGTGCCCCGTCAGACGCGGAGTGCAACAACAGAAGAAGAGGATTACGACGATTATTACGAGCCACGAACGCCGAAAAGAGCTCCGCCGAGGGAGAAAGCAAAAGCCTCGTCCGTGCCCTCTCCGTCGCCAGAGAAGAGACCGCGCCGACCGAGTGACCGTTACCGAAGTTCGAGCAACGGCGTGAGAGACAGTCCCAGGAGAGAAGAGAAGAAGAAGCAGCAGCAGCAGAGGGACCGCGCAAAATACAGCTCCGGAACGTCCACAAACAGCACAAGCCAGTTGTTGAGCAGCGATGCGTTGGCGAAACTGAATGCGTACAACGCAAGGGCCGAGTTTGAGGAAAAATACGAAGAGCGCAAGCGCAACAAGAAACAACAGAAGAAGCAGTACAAGAATCTCAAGGCGGCCGAGGCGACCCAGCAACAACGCCGGAAGAAGCATGTCAAAAACAGGAATGTCAGTGGTGCCATACTTGAAGAAGGCAGGGCGGGCGAGAAGCACAGACGCGCGCATGGACGCGGTGGCGGTGGCGGCGGCGGGTACGGGAAAGAATACCAGGCTCACAGACGATCGGGCGCAGACCGTGGAAGGCGGAACAAGAAATTCTGGTGGCTGTTGATCCTGATCGTGGTGTTGCTGGCTATATTCATCCCTGTGGCAGTCGTGGTGAGCAACAACAGCAAGAAATCAAGTGGAGGATCTTCGTCCTCGTCTTCGGCGACTACAAGCGACGGCTCATCAGGCATCAGCAATGACTGCGACTCGAGCTCGACCCCGGCAAGCGCAAAGGGCACGTACACCGACATTTCCACCTGGATGGACACCACCGACTTCAATTGTACATACACTGCCGAGACGGTCGGCGGGCTGTCGGTCATGGGCCTCTATTCGAGTTGGGATGACTCCACCAAAGCCAACGACAACGTCCCTGCTCTGAATGAACAATGGGAGTACGGGACGATGCCCATCCGAGGCGTGAACATAGGCGGCTGGCTTTCACTAGAACCCTTCATTACCCCTTCAATGTTCAACTATCCTGCCTCCGCCGCCGTGGTCGACGAGTGGACATTGTCGCAGAAGCTTGGGCCGTCTGCACAGCGCGTCATCGAGACACACTACGCAACTTTTATCACAAAGCAAAGCTTCATTGATATCAAGAACGCAGGCTTGGACCACGTAAGAATACCTTACCCGTATTGGTCGGTCACCACGTACGATGGTGATCCATACGTACCCAAAGTTGCCTGGCGATACCTGCTTCGGGCGATCGAGTATTGTCGAGAGAATGGCTTGAGAGTAAATCTTGATCTGCATTCCGTCCCAGGAAGTCAGAACGGATGGGCTCACAGTGGCCACCAAGGTGACATTGGTTGGATACTCGGCCCGGATGGCGCCACCAATGCGCAGCGATCACTGGACATTCACAACCAACTGTCCCAATTCTTTGCTCAAGATCGGTACAAGAACGTGGTGACCATTTATGGCTTGGTTAATGAGCCAAAAATGTTGGTCATTCCGCCTCAGTCTGTGCTTGACTGGAACCAAAAGGCCATCGCGATCATCCGGGGAAATGGCATCAAGCAGCGTATCGTCTTTGGGGACGGTTTCCTCAGCTTGGATAGCTGGGACGACATGTTCCACGGCGTCGACAACAATTTGGTCATGGACACCCACCAGTACCAAATCTTCAACACTGGACAGCTCAAGTTGAAACACCAAGACAAAATCAACCTCGCGTGTTCAGGCTGGACTGGGCTAATGGTTGCTGCCAATAACCCTCAAACCGGATGGGGTCCGATCCTGGACGGCGAGTGGTCTCAGGCCGATACTGACTGCACACCAAATCTGAACAACGTAGGCGTAGGCTCCAGGTGGGCTGGTACACTCGACACAGGCGATCCGTCCACATCAGTTCTCACGCCCACCTGTGCCGAGCCGCCTTGTTCTTGCGAGCAGGCGAACGCTGACCCGAGTCAGTACAGCGCTGCGTACAAGCAGTTTCTGCAAATGTACGCCGAGGCTCAGATGCACAGTTTCGAGCAGGCCTGGGGCTGGTTCTACTGGACGTGGAAGACCGAGAACGCCGTGCAGTGGAGCTGGATGCTGGGCCTGCAGGCTGGCATATTGCCCGACAAAGCATACGCTCCGTCTTTCAAATGTGATTCTCAAGTCCCTGATTTTAGCGACCTTCCTGAAAGTTATTGACGACGGGCAATTCGGGGATATGAAAGCATCGGCATGGAGTTCTGGAAAGATGGCTTATGTGCTGCAAGGTTCGCATAATGTGGATAGCGAAGGTGCTTGGGCCACATAGACAAGGCATGAATGAACATACCTAGTACATCTCACTTACCTGTTCCGGAACCCCATCCCTCGCGTCTTTGTCGGCGTTTCAGGAGTGCCAGTGAGTGTTCCTTTGTCGTAACGCTGGTGCTCTGCATATAAAGAAATCATCAACTTCCCCCAAGTGACAAGCAAGCTAAGGCCTATCTCAACACAATGTATTTTCGCCTGCGTTGCCTTTGATCCGCCTTTCAACAAGCCTCACTTCCACCTTCAACACGACTCACTCAGCATCCGTGTGGTGCAAGAGAGGTCTGTGGCATGAAACTTCACTGCTGCCCCAGTTGAAAGCACTTCACTTCGACTTACCTCTCACTCGTCTTCACACATTGTCTTCACTTGCAGGCAATTGCATATAAGGACTGAGTTGCCTTTTCGGTTCTGCTGAAATGGCGCTTGTCACGGTATCGTCACAACAACACCGGTACACACAAATCACAAGACGTCGACGACGACGACGGCGTGGTCGTTGTCCACAGCAACCCAAAAATCAATAGCGGCATAACACCAACGTCTCTTCCTCGGTGAAGGCTTCTGGCAGCTCCTGACACCATGTGGGAATATCATCAGCACCCCTTTGACCCGGGTATACCACTCCCATATCAGGTCATCGATGATGGCGCTGGGTGGTTTGAAGCTGTGCCACTTGCTTCCCACCAACACCACCAGCCTGCAACTCATCAACGCATCAGACATCCGCCACAACTCCAACAGCAGTCAGGGCCAGCTGCTGAGGGTCTCGTTGGTCCGCCTCTGAGCAATCTGTTTGTGCAATACCATCAACCGCCCCAACACATAGCTGACCCACAACAATTTGGGGCTTTAGTCGAGCCTGGGAGTGGTGGTGGAGGTTCAGCAACGGTGTCAACCTTTCAGCATGGCATCCAGGGCTATGGCGTTGTGAGTCGACGAGGGCCCAAGCTTCCACCAATTCGCAATAACCTTCGCCATGAGGATACTCAACTTCCAGGTGAGCCAGGTCGCAGAAACATTGACATACCTTAAGCTGATCCGGCAACAGGGATTCGTCGAATACTCGATCTCCCGACGGCTCACCTAGAGATTGCTCCATTTCAGCGTTGCCAACACCAAGAGGAGCCGTTTTCCAAAAAAGAAACATTGTTTGTGCGTGGCCGTTCAAAGAGAACAAGCAAGCGCAGGAAAGAATCGTTTGCCTCAGAGGATGCCCTAGATAAAGCTGACTCTGTATGCCATGCTGCACCAGCGGTCCTCAAGCACCCCCCATTTTGGCAAGATATGGTGCGACCAAACGATACGGTACACCCACCACCAAAGCGACAGCGACGTCTGCCCCCTGCTCTATCGCCTACTCTGCCCACTGGAATATTCGGCAAACCTTGTCGTCTTCAAGGAGTCCCTCCTGCAACCGAGACTCCGATGGCAGAATCAGTACAAAGCAACGTCTGGTCAACCCCGCAACCGGAAAGTCAACATGTGACGCGGTCGGAAGACATCGATGCAAGTTCACAGGCAGAGTTGATTGTGAAGCTGGCGTCGAAGCCAAGCTTTCTCATTACTCACAGAGCCCATGAGGTGTTCAGCGAAGAGCACTGCGAAAAGATCTTATGGCTCGCCCTCCATGGAGTGTCGAGTCCGGCTATCGGGTGGCTGCTGAGTTTTGAACTTCCTAAACCGAGCAGTTCTGGGACGGCCAAGCGACAGATCTTGCAGGCTAGCATTGACAAGCTGGTGCGTTGTTTCATCGCCGAGCTTGCAATGGGCCAAAACAGAACAACCGGAGTCGATGAAATGGTTGAGCACCTGCTGCAACAGGGAGATCGCCTCGGCTGGAGTCGATGGATACTTCAAAAAGCGGTTGATTTCATGAGTACCGCCGGGGACAAGGCAGCCAGAGAGCAAGCGTCCCGGGACCGTAAAGATCTCGTTTTGTACAGAATCAATCATGGCGGCCAAAATCCGCAACCTGCAGATACTCAGGCACACCGGGCCCTCATAAGAGAACCTATGGAGCAGAAAATGATGCGGGAGCAGTTTGGGTACCGTGAGGGAAGTCACGATGCGGAGCGAAAGTTGATGAAGAAATGGTTGCACAAGATCCGCGAACTTGGCGAGCTGCCCGATCGTTTGACAGAGGCTGAAGTCGGAACAGGCACCTCAGAGCCCGAACAGACCGAAATATCTGGTGACCACAAGATGACGCTGTGATGGTATGGTGAAGCAACTGATGTCGTTGAGCAAAGGGAATATTCATCGTCGCAGATTCTGAAACACTGTGTGGCTGGAATTTGTTCGGGAGGAGGTAAAAGCTGGATACTAGGCGAGCTGTGTCAAGGTGTGAAAGAAGGATAGTGTCGAGGCTCAAGAAGCTGAGTCGACGATATGAGCTTGACAATTGTACATTAAAACGAATGGCTTGATGGCAGATTGATGATAGCTTGGCAGCCACCATGGCCAGAACTACCTACATGGGTCCATGTAAATGAAGAAGAAGATGAGTGAAGAGAAGAAGTCGACACTACTACCTAGCGAGCTAGGTACGAGGTACCTTATGCGCGGTTCGCATGAGCGGTTTCCCTTGAGTCTGATTGGTCAGCCTCACCACCCCGGCACTGGCAGCCCAATTCCACTCGCGAGGCCCAGAAAGAACCATCATCAGTACCCAGGTAAGCAGACACTTCTTTGACCATCACTACTACAACCGGTCCAGCTTTACAAGGCAACAGACAAATCGTAGGTTCTTTATCCATTGATGGCTTAATTTTGTTCCAAGTCTTTGACGCAAAATTTGTTTGCTGGGCCGCGATGTCATCCTCTTCGCAGCCATCGAGGGTCGTGCCTCAGGATCATGGCAAGCAGCCTAACACCAACACCGAATCCAGCACCAAGGCAACAGACAACGACAGCGATGACGGCAGTAATGACGAAGACGAAACTGGTCCTGGAGGAGATCTCCCCATGAGCATGACCGCTTCAGTCATGTTGACACATCTGCCCAAGGACGCCAGCCAGGCCTTGAAGGAGGTAGAAGAGATTGATGATCGAAAAGGTACCTCATACAGGCCATTCCAAATCCTAACCCATCTCTTACCAATAGCCGCATCTCATGCTCTAATGCCCGGATGCTGTGTACAGTTTCTGTCCGCTTCCAACCCGTTGGCTCTGCCCCAATCCTCAAACAACGTGTCTTCAAAATTAGCGCCTCGTCGAAATTCAGCGTGGTATTGAACTTCCTCAGGAGGAAAGTTGGTGCCAAAGAAGGTGATGGGCTGTTTTGCTATGTGAATAGTGTTTTTGCGCCAGGCTTGGATGAGGGTGTTGGCAACTTGTACCGAGTACGTTTGCGCCTCTCCCTTTGCCGAACGCGGAGTTGTGCCATCGTTCGCTGTATCACGACGCTCTGCTTGCCTCCCAGGGCCCCTCTCTTCTGCTGTTCCGGGGTTTTGGTGCGCTACATTCTGCGAAACCTTGAACCGAATAGGTTGAAAGGAAGAGCTAGAGGAGATCATGCTAATCGGGGTCCTTATTTGGGATAACTAGTGTTTCAAGGTTGACGACCAATTGATCGTCAGCTATTCCACAACGCCGGCTTTTGGATGAGCCCAGGCCAGTCCCAGCCCCGTTCTGACCAAAGGAAATGCGCTTGCTTGAGGACGGACACCCAACACACCGGAAATGTACCATGACAAGATCAAAGCAATGCCGACAATATCACGCCTTCTGCGCCTCTGCAGATTGAATGGCCACCTTAAACGCCTCTGCGACCTTTGCGTCACTCTTGTACACATACGGTGCATTTGGATAGCTTCGATCGCTGACCTCATCCTTGTACTGCTTAATGGCGCTCAACCCAGCTTCCCATATCGAACCATACTTTTTGACGAACTTTGGCATGAAACTATCAGGCGGACGAACGCCGAGCATATCGATCTGCACCAGAACCTGACCACTGGTTTTATTGCCTGCGCCGATGCCAATGGTGGGTATTCTGAGGGCCTTGGTGACTTCCTCGGCGATATCGGGCGGCACACATTCCAGCACGACCATGAAAGCTCCTGCTTCCTCCACAGCTTTGGCATCTTTCAGCAGGGACATTGCTTTATCGAGAGTATTGCCTTGTACACGGAAGCCCCCAAGAGCATGCTGGCGTTGCGGGGTGAGACCGATGTGTGCACACAAAGGGATGCCGGCGGTTGTGATCTTCTTGATTGCAGGCGCCATCTCGGCTCCTCCTTCAAGCTTGACACTCTGCATGCGCCCTTCTTTGACCATTCGAATGGCGCTGGCTAGTGCTTGTTCTGGGCTGAGTTCGTACGAACCCATGGGGAGGTCGCCGACGGTGAAGGACCGGGTTACTGCTCGGCTAACCGCGCGGGCGGAGACGATCATTTCGTCGAGGGTGACTTCGGACGTGTCTTGCATGCCGAGGGACACCATGGCAAGTGAGTCGCCAACCAAGATCATATCCATTCCAGCTTCTTGTGCCATTAGAGCCGAGGGAAAATTGTGTGCAGTCAACATCGTGATGGGCTTGTCCTCAGCATGCATTTTCTGGAGGGTTTGGATCGTGACGGGCTTCTGGCCTCTAGCCAGCATAGTCGGAGACGAGGGGGCATGCGAGCTCCAGCGAACTTGTCGCCATGGCCGGTACTGCTGTGGGTTGACTGGTCGCGAGGTGTTTCTGATAAGTGGTCGTGTGAGAGACGCGACTCGGTTGATGCGAGTTACGGACGCCATTTTGTTCAACCAAGCTCGGAGTTGGGTAGGCACGAAGGAGGAGGAAGAACAGACAAGAAAGAGAATCTCAGAGTGTTCTGAGTCATCTCGCAGAACTGAACGCGGTGGCGGTGAAAGAAGAGGTTTTATTTACTGTCGTCGTGATGAATTCTTTATGCGTAAATCTGAGAAAGGTGTGAAAGTGAAGATGTGCCTCGGTGTTTGACAGTGATGGGCCGAGCGGCAGGGCACTCTGGGGGTTAGTGAGCCCACCAGGCGGTCCTGTTGGCTGCAACCGGAGGCCTCGCCAGCCCTAACACCTATGAAGTTTAGAAGGGGAGGCATTCTGGGGCGGCTCGGGGTGTGATTCTGGTCCTCTGGCGTCACTCAACCACATCGGCTGCCGACAGCTACACGTCTGCCTTGGCCCTTTTGCCATCCATAATAATCCCACCGGCCGAACGAGGCTCACCCAAGGGTACGTCCGGCTTGCCGCCCTTCCCTGCCTCGGAAGCGTGCGACTTTCTCATCAGGTACACATTGGGTTAGCTGTTGGGATCGGAGGAAGGCAGCGTGGACATCCGACAAATCAGTCAAGCGGCCAGCGTCCCCCACCATTGCCATCGAACCATCTCCAACCACAGTGGGTGCACAGCGAAACACTCCTCACCAAATCGCAACTGATTTCAAGTTGTTTGTATCGACATACCTCATCCTCTTCATCCTCTTCTTCGCTCTCTCTACGGTTACTGTGTCCTGCTGCCGTCCTTGCCTCTGTCTCATATCTTCCCTCCCAAACGAGTCCTTCACTGCCTGTTCACCTGACGTTGCCCCTTCCGGGAAGTCCCTACTCCTCACGAGGACAAAGGCAAAAGCCGAGTCCAGTCCGCGACAGCACATCCGGTCATCTTCCTGCGATCCTTTCTCCTTTCTATATCCCGCCACACCAGATCTAGTAGTCCTTCTTCCTGAATCAAGGCACCGAATCAGTCCATTGTTCTCCCAGCGCGGTTCTGAGCGTGACGTCGAAGCGTCTGATAATCTACCTTTGAATACAATCTCCGGCCCACCGAGATCTTTGGTTGACAAGGCACAATGAGCAGCCCCAAGCGGAGGATAGAGACGGATGTTATGAAGCTGATGATGAGCGATTACGAGGTGACGCTGGTCAACGACAACATGCAAGAATTCTATGTCATCTTCAAAGGACCTTCGGAAAGTAAGAGCATGAACTGCCTTCTCTGAAGGAGTCGGGTGGTCGGGTTGCTGCAAGATCCAAGGTCACTGACGAGATATCTCTATCTACAGCACCCTTTGCCGAGGGCAAATGGAAAGTTCACGTCGAACTGCCGGATCAATACCCTTACAAGTCACCATCCATCGGCTTTGTGAACAAGATCTTCCACCCAAATATTGATGAAGGGTTAGTTCCGGTTGATGCTGGATATGTCGACTCAAGCAGGGCTGATGTGGTTTGTCTAGGTCGGGATCGGTGTGCTTGGACGTCATCAATCAGACATGGTCACCCATGTTTGATATGATCAATATCTTTGAAGTCTTCTTACCTCAGCTCCTGCGATACCCCAACCCTACCGATCCCCTGAACGGAGAAGCGGCTGCGTTGCTGATGCGGGAGCCTCGAAGTTATGACGCAAGGGTCAAAGGTGAGGATCAAATCCCCGCAATATGAATTAGAGGCAGGAGAATATTGACTCCCATCAAGAGTATATCGCTCAGTACGCTACGAACATCCACGACGACCACGACGAGGACGAACATGAAACGGACGGAGAACTGAGCGAGGTGGAGGATTTCAACAGCGATGGAGAGGATGAGCCGGCCGGCACTATGGAGGATGTATAAGTTTGGAGTCCTGGAGACCGGAGTTCTGTGGCCATTTGGAGTATATCGGGCGCTACGGAATGACCGAGGAACAGCAGCGATATGTGCTAGGCTGGGTTGGTTTTATTCGAGTTGGGCAAGCTCCTTTTGAAGTTGTTGACAAACTCTACCGGGTGTAAATGCTGCAGCCTGCCAGAGCTGCCGGGTCTGTGCTAACACCGTCTCATGTCGCACGCAGGCACCACGAGCGGCAGTGGGGCTTCGGAGGATGTGTTGTAGACTGCGCACTTCCGACATTGAAACAGCAGCCCTGGAGCCTGGCATGGGTTTAATTGTGAAGATCACTGCACGTCTCCCCTCAATGCTCATTATTGATATTGACAATGTACCAGCTCGTCCTACGAGGTACCCGTACAGAGTATAATAGTATAAATCGTACCTAGGTAGTGATCCTACTCGAAATCAGGCTGTCAGACTGAATCGCGGGCGCTACTATTTACGCTGCAGCACCTGCGTCATCGTGGTCTCCAAGAGTCCAAGGCCAAGTGACGTGTTTCCCGGCCACGCGACCTGTTCATCCAAGCCACTAGAGCTAATCCTGGTCACGATTCACATTAAGTTGTCGCAAGTTACACGCTTGTCCCAAGGGTTAATCGAGCCCGAAAACACCAAGCTTGCGAGGCCTGGCCCCTTGTCACAGTCTCATTCATCAATCTTAAGGACGGCTTCAACCCTGTCGTTTCAAAGACAGTTTCTCGGTCGATCGAAAGACTATCCCGACCATGTCGCTACCGCTCGAGTGTTTACCACCAGAAGTTCTCCTCCGCATCCTCTTCTTCCTGGAAATCCCCGACCTGCTCCAAGTGAGTCGCACATGCCACAAGCTGCGCGAAATCGCTTGCGACCCTCTACTTCACCTCGAGCGACTGCACCATGTCTCCCATACTCTATCCACCCTGTTAGCCCGGCGGCCGTCCAAGTCTGCCATCAGTCCTCCCAATTCGTGGATATGGCTAAGCAAGACCAATGTTCTCTCGCGCCAAATCAGCAAGAGTTTAATACGCATCCGACTAAGCCATAATCTCGAACACAGACCGAGTCCGTATGACTTGGTACAGAGGGCGATCCTCCCATCTACATGCACAAACTATTCTTCGCCGGTTTCGCCGGTCCTGATACAGTCACAACAGGCCGTGCAAAAGAGCAGATTAAAGGATGGATTATGTCGCAAACTCGAGCGTCGGCCGAGCATGAATAGTCTGGTGTCTCTCAACATCATGCCCGAAGAGTGCGCGCGGCACAGTGTCTCTCCTGCCATCGTGGCCACGAGGCGCAAAGTGATCAGAGAGAGCTTGAAGGACGGGCTCCGCGCATGGGTTGAAGGACGCGCAATACAAGCACAAAAGAGGAAAGCAGATGAGATGGACGCTACGGAAAAGATTACTGTCAAGAGCTTGGTAAGGAGGTTCGCCGCAAGAAAGGTCGCTGTGGACCTGGAGACCCGGGGACTAGGTCGTCTTGTTGATCCAGTCGTGGCTGAGAAGAGGAAGGCACAGGCGAAATGGGGCAGGGAGGTCGAGCTTGCAAAGAGGGATCAAGAACGAAGAGCCGCCACCAATGGTGCTTGTGCGCAACCGACGCGGGCACATGTCTTGGGACTCAAGAAGTTCTGGGAGGGAGTTATTCGGGCGGCTGCTGGATGAATGGTGTCTATACCTGTTTGTTAAAGCTCCATGTTTGTCTTTTAGTACATATCTTTGGTGATGAAGGTCTATACCCCGGGGTGAGTTCCAGGCTTGTCTGTATTGCAATGGAGACCTATGATTTTATTGAACTCGGCTTTGCAAGCATATGACGCGCATTCCGGCCCGTTCCTTGGACTCCCGATTAGACGTACCAGAATGTGAGTAGCGGTCCATCGAAACTCGGATACTTACCTACCTAGGAGTATTCGGTGTCTTAAGTGCCATCATCACCCCCTATATATCGAGCACGAGTACCTACCTAGGTAGGTAGCTACCGGGTAACTTCTAGAGCGTCAAATTAATCCTTCACGAGAGTCCGCCGAGCTCGCGGACGGGCTTTGGGCCGTGACATGACAGAATGGCTAGCGGCGAGTGCAAGTTGTGATTGTCCCCAGCCACAACACTGTAGGTGAATTCCGAGGTCAGGACCTAAATGCCCTTCACCGTGTCGTGAATTTGGGGTATTCCGTCTTCCTCCTGTTTCGATTACTGGTCAGTCGGGAGGTAAGGTCAGTTCAATTGGGCCCCGGGTGTGCTTGGGGTGATTGTGATGGTGACGGTTAAGGTGGAGCGGAGTAATTTGATAGGACGAGAGGCGATAGGCGAAAAGCCGATTTAGGAAACTGGAACGTGTCCCGCGAATACCTAAATGAGGGACGCGAAGAGCTGTGTGTCACACTACGGAGTGAGGAGGTATTCTGGAGAAGTGGTCTGGACTTTTGGCTCTGGACTCGGTGGCTGTGATGATGGCTCGTGTTCTAACTTCTGGGCCGTATGCAGCAAGGGACAGAAACGTCATTCTTCATAATACTTGACAATAGTATAAAATACTCACGAGTTGGGCCAGAATGGGACGCTGTTCATAGACACGGATCGTCCAGAGGAGAATTCACACAAAGACATTCGACACCACTCACCAGCTTCCTCGCAGTATCTAAGTCTCTTAACTACCCTACAAAACTTCTCGAATCCCGCCGTTTAATGCCGCTGGCTTGTGGCGGCACTGATACTGCTACCACCACGATTACCATGGAAGCCCAGTCGGGTCGAAGCGACGACATCGCTGCAGCTGCTTCAATTCGACTACAGACCGCCAATAACAGCGGAGACGACGTCGCTGATCCATCATCTCCCAGCGTCGACTATGACTCTGACCCCGACTCCAACGACGAAGACGAATTTGATGAGGCGCAATGTCTATTCTGCAACCAGACGAGCCTGGACCTGGTCCAGAACCTGGTCCACATGTTAAAAGTGCACGGCTTGTATGTCGATCCGGCGCATCTGGTGGTGGACGTGGGGACGCTTCTCGCGTACTTCCACCTCATCATCTACGGGCGGTACGAGTGTCTGTACTGCCGGACGCAGCGGAATACTCGCGAAGCGGTACAGCAGCACATGATGGACAAAGGTCATTGCAAATACGACGAAGCCGAACTCAGAGACTTATTTGATATGCCCTCGCCCCATGCAAAGGAGGAACTCCAAAGATATCTTCACGCCCCGCGCTCGGATGGCCCCCGTCCTCCATCGCAGGCTAGATCGAGGAAACCCCGACATCTAAAGCGTTCAGACAGGCACGGCCCTGATGACACAGATGATCCGCTCGACCATATCCTATCGGCTACAACCTCGTGGTCAAGCATCGATGCTGAATCAAGCTCGAGTGCTGCAGAGACACCCTCTCATCATTCCTGGAGTGAACTGAGCACGAGAGCCCTAAAGCAGGAATGCGCGCTCAACAACCACCTCGCGCAACTCCGGGCAGGTGACCGGCGCAGTCTCTTGCATTTACCGACTTCACAACAAAGGGCATTGCTTGCGACTCGCCACAAGCAGATGGAGAAAGCCATGAGGACGGAGCAAACAAACCAGAGCAATTTGGGGAGTGCAGGCAACAAATTCAACTGTCTGGATAAAATCAGATTGATACGGAAACCGCCCCACACCGGAAATATTCACAGCTTGAAACGGTGAACACGATGGAGACCTTTTCGACGTGGTAGAATCGAACTATGCTTGGGGAATATCAGGCCGGCCGGGGGTGCAAGCTATTGACTCAGGCGTGACCCGTCCATCCATACAAAGTGTCCTTGGCCAGGCCGCTACTGGAGGGTTGGCTCGGTAGCGATGGTGGCATCTTGATTCATCATATTCTTGGCGGTTCGCTGGGGCATACTGTGCAATATCGAAGTGTCTCTGGCCTGTCTTTCCTGGACCTAGTATGGTAGTTCTCCAGGCAGTCTCCGGTAGGGCTTGTTGAATAGATCGAGGTATTGTTGGGGCCTTCCAGAGCAAGAAATTACTGCCTAGGCAGAAGAAGAGTGAATTCGCAGGAAAGGCCAGATGCTAACGGAAGGAACCAAAGGATCGACGTCTTGACCTGCCTTGGCTTTGCAGCAGCCTGGTATCAGTGGGTGACCACCAGTGTCCGAATTCAATTTGGCGCTAGCGCAAAGACTACTGCGTGATATCCACGGATGCCAAAGTGCTCAATGCTGTATTTGGCCTCATCGTCTATGAACGTAGTCGCTCTCCAAGCCTTGCAACGCCTTATTGGATTGATCCTTCCACATGTGCCAAGGCTACCGCGTCAAATGTGAGGACCTACGTGAGGACCTGTTCTTCTCCTGTAAAGTGGCGGGAGTAGTCCTCTTCCTCCTGTCTATAAATAAGTGGCATAGGTCGAGCAGAGCGTACGACAGGGTAGTAAATCAGAAGTGATTGACCATTGATTATAGGGCTAGTATCACCTATAAAAGGGGTATTCTATCTACTCTTGAGCACAGCGGGATCCCTACACTTATTGAAAATTTATTGGCTGTTTCTTACATGGCGGCCTCCTCCTCGGCAAGCTATGCTGGCCTGATGTCTAGCTTGACCTTTCTTGATGAGGCATGCCTTCGACAATATAGTCCTGAACAACTACTCAATCGAATGTTGTCTCTGAAGTCCTACATTCATACAAAAAAAAACCAGGCGGGATACCACCTTCCCGAGCTCGAGGGCTTTACGCAAGTAGGGAAGGGTCAATGTGGTAGTGTTTGGGCTTTTCCTGACACAACCAAGGTCTTGAAGGTCATGAACAAGGGCAAGGAAGACCAGCTGCACAACGACTACTGCAACCATGCTCGTATAGAAGAGGCTTTTCGGCAGACCCTTTCGAGCTTCAGACGCAACATCAGCCTACCCAAGTTAGGCCCCTGGGTTGGACCTGGCAATGAGATGTTCTGGGAGGAACACCGTAGCCTGTTTGTTCCAGGAGATTCAGTCCAGCCCACGAGTGGCTTTGTCTCTGAACGAATCTTTCCGGTTCAAGGACCAGTTCGGTCTGCCATTGTTGACGCCTTCGCACCTAGGGATGTGAAAAGAAATAAGAAGGCTTTCTTGTCGCACCAAGAAAACCAGGATTGCTTGATCCGTATATATCTTGGACGGAGACAAAATCGACAGACAACGAACACCTTCAGACTCCGCAATTTCGACATGACAGTGAACGAGATGGAATTCCTGCAACTTGACACCGTCCTGTACGCGGAAATTCTGGCACAGATGTTAGCAATCATCCACTGGAAGGCGAATCTTGATGCCAATGATGTGGAATTTGTGTTTGGTGGCGCCCCTGTGCACAAGGAACTGCCTACCGCCGCAGAGCTGCAGGCAACCGCCATCGCTGACATTGGAAAACTCATGTCTCCAATTGACTTCCATCATCGATCCATCGGCATTTGGGTTTTGGACTTCGACCAATGCAAGGATTTCTCGGCTGATATGGATGGTGTCAAACAACTCGAACGGGGGTTTTATTTCAATGACCCTTACTACCCTCGTCCAGTCTCCGAGCACCCAAACGACGTCGCCTTGTGGAAGACCTTCAAGGAATGCTACCTAGCCACGAGCGCTGCTTTCACCACTAGTGACATGCCACTGCAATTCATCGATGCGGTCGAAGCGGAAGGGAGGAAGAGGAGGGCTGGTGGCTCCCTGTTCAAGTGAGGAGTCACGCAAGTTAGGTAGGGCTGAGGGTATGGAGGGAGCCGACGTCAGAAACAAATGACATTGGTCTGATGAGAAGGGCGTACGACAGGGTGGTGAAACACGAGTTATCAAGTTATCAGCTATTACTTATGGGGTTGTCATTAGCTATAAAGGCTATCCTGTCTACACTGTAGAACACAGCGGGACCTCTATGCTCATCACTAAGTATTAGGTATCTCCAACATGACGGCCTCCTTGTCGTCATTGAGCAATCTTTCTCAGACCATGTTTCAGGATCGTCCAGTATCATGAACATATTGTTGTATTCAATATCGGTATGGTCTGTCGCGTCCCATCAAGCGGGTTAGCCCATTTCAGCTCATATCGGCTCGCGGACCTCCATCTGACGCGGGACCTCTAATGCTACGAGACGACGATCAAGATATGTGAACGTTAGTCCACGGGCAAAAGTGGGGTTATCCTCTGTTGAAAACTTCACTCAGCCTCGCCGACCGCGCGCACCCAGCTTAGGTCAAGTAGAATCGTAGAGAACGGATATACATAAACATTCACACGAAATCATTGCCACTTAAATCATGCAAGGCTACTAGACTAACAAAAGCGCCCATAAAGCTGCACAGCCCGCCGCTCCTCGTCTAGATCGAGGGTGAGATTGGCAGTAATAGTTTTCCTCCTCTGGGCCCGTCGGTTCCAGGCTCCCTCTCAGTTATTGTTGCCAACGAGGCACATTTTCCAACGCTACTGCTTGAAGAGCATCTTTCACGTTTCAAAATCCTTCTTTAGTCGTACCTGCCAGCGTGAAAGAGCATAGCTATTGTCTGGGATGAATAGAGCGAGGTCCGAAAAAGCTATGAAAGTAAGGTGAGAGAAGTTCCGGCGATCCTCGCCTAAGCTACGAGGCAGCCTTCCATGACGACCTAGATCTCAGAGCCTCCCAAGCTGAGGGGTCCTTTCCGCATTCCTGGGCAACACAGCTGCCGTAGCTAGGCTGGCAAGGTCCTGCGCGCGAAACCGTTAGGAAGAACGCGTCGAGTTGTTATCAAATCTGATATCCCTCTTTTCTGCTCGCCGCTGAAGAGAGCAAAGCTCTGCTGCTGTGATCCCGTGGGGAGATCACAACAATCTGGTGAAAAAGCGCCTCGGGACGTGCTTTCCTGCTTGAGAACACTTCGGTTTTCACACGAGGCAACGGCGACAAACTGCTGCCAGCGGAGTATTTACACCGGACACCGCGTGAAGGCGTGAACTCATCGTCCCAGCTGCCAACGAGAAGCAACTGCTTCACGTGCTCGCGAAGGGCCTGAGCAATTTGCGGGGGAAACGCTGTGATGGTGGGGTCGTCATGCTCTACAGCCGAGATCTTTAGGGGAGAAAGACGGATATTCTTCCTTCTTTTTCGCCCTTTTCCATCAGGCTGGGACTGTTTGGCACTCTGTCCTGCAACGGCATTACGAAAGTTCCACGTTTGTCCAATCTATGGCCGCATGAAACCGAAAGATCTCTGCGACCTAACGTCTCGCTTATCCTCGTGCCCAATATATACGAAGAGGTCGTCACTTCCATCCGCCCGTAGCTCTGGGAGGCTCTTGAATTGGAGAGACTGCCCGTGGCCACTGCCGCCTAGCGATTTCCTCTGCTTTTCTCTCTTCGCATATTTTCCTCGTTTGCTCCAGTCAGTGGTTTGACTAGTGCTTTCCTCTACCTCCGTGATTAGCTAAAGTTCCATGCATGTTCAACTATGCCGCTACGTTACCAAAGTCCCATAAACACTCCCCGTCGGGCTGGCGCTTCATCTACGCTCACGACCAATGGATGAGGCTGAACTTGGCACACCCCTTGAGCCGGCATTTCTGTGTTCAAAGGGCCAGCTCATTGCCGAATGATGCACTCCGTCTTCCCGAGTTTGACTCCCAGCATGACTGGTAAAAACTGCCAGCCTCACTTTGAAGTCTCTCTTCACCGCGTTCTTTAGGATCTTAATGCTTATTCAACTGAACATTACGGAAGTGTTGCTCTTTCTGTTTTTCAAAGTCGCTTGCATCTTGCCCAAGATCTAGTCAGAGTCATTCGACCTAGAAACAAAGTACAAGATGAGGCTAGTCAATGCAAGAACCAAACAAGTCTCACAGCCATTTTGCAGCGACATCCCACCGTACGCTATATTATCTCACACGTGGAGATCTGAAGAGATCTCTTTCCAGGACATGCGAAATCTTGAGCAGAACCCAGACCAACATTCTTCTCGGCTCTTTTCCCAGGAAGGTTTCAAGAAGATCGAGGGCTGCTGCGAGCGGGCTCTACGAGACGACCTGGGTTGGATATGGATTGACTCCTGCTGTATCGACAAAAATAGCAGCAGCGAGCTGTCGGAGGCTATTAATTCGATGTTCAAGTGGTATCGAGACGCGAAGACGTGTTACGCCTATTTATCCGATGTCGGTGACGGCGAAAATCCAAGGAATGACGGTTCCACCTTCCGTCATAGTCGATGGTTTACGCGAGGCTGGACCTTGCAAGAGTTGCTTGTGCCGCCTAAGCTCATATTCTTCAGTAAGACATGGGCGCCCATAGGGGAGCGGAAAATGCTGTCGGACGTCATCCAGGACATCACTAGTATCTCACAAGAATTCCAGTCTCCAGGCTCTATATTCGAAGTAAGTATTGCTCAGCGGATGTCTTGGGCAGCTAGAAGGTCCACCACTAGGGAAGAAGACATCGCGTACTGTCTACTTGGTCTATTTGACGTCAACATGCCTCTTCTCTACGGCGAAGGGAGGAAAGCGTTCCGAAGACTACAAGAGGAAATCATCAAGCAGTCCAATGACGAGTCCATCTTCGCTTGGGGTCTTTATCAAATTGATGAGTCCAACTCGGACGCCGCACATACTGGAGCTCTTGCGTTATCACCCTCTGACTTTCTTGGATGTGGAGACATCGTTAAGTGCAAGGCATGGAAACCACGACATACAGTAAGCTTCGAACTGACCAAAAAGGGACTTCGTATGGAGATACCACTCGCCTATCAGCAACTTCCCCCTGGAGAATCAAATATTGCCGACCAGGAACAGATTGTGGGTCTCCTTAACTGTCGCCGACGTGATGATCTCTCCAATGTGATCGCTATTCCTTTTGGACGTCCTTACAACGGTGATTCGCAGAAATACTTCATTCGAGATGGAGACCTCAATCTGATTAACAGACATCGAGATCTACCAGCCAGATTCTTCACCGACAGACTCTTTGGAGCCGCCATGTTTCATACCATTTACGTCAGAGTAGCCAGTGGCCTGGTGAACGGAGATCGTCGTAAGCAGCATCTGTCGACCTGTGATGGAATATTGTGCTTGTGGGCAATGATTGAGATGCCCCCAGATATCACCTATCAGATTTTACACGCCGGTGGCTCTTGGGACGTCCAATGCCAGGGTAAAGACATTATGATACACATGCAAGAGCAAAATGAAGAAAATTGCCTCGGCGCAGCCAACTCTATATATATCCATTGCCGTTACAAAGACTCAAGAACTCATTTCTCGGGACATGATTTTATGGTCAAAGCGGAGCTTTCAATGAGGTCCAATTTGTTCTCGAATCTCATCAAGTCGCTGGATGAGCTCTGGTCCGGAACGAGCCGGATTCGGAAACCAAAGGTTCAGTGTCAAGTGACAAGCGTCCCTTGGAATTCAGATCCCTGTCCGTCAGATATCGAACGCCTTCATCATCTTCCATGGGCACAGAAGGCTACTTTAGCCGAACAAATGGTTGCTGTTAAGGTTACGAAAAGGAGGGTAATGGGCTTGGAAATGCACGTTGCAGCATTCAGATTTGGCCACGAAGCTTCCGCCTCAGAAAGACTCAAAATATTAGGTCGCTCTGTCCGGAACAAGATGAGCACAGTGCTGCATCGAATTATTGTTCTCATTCTGATGAGAAGAGTTACATTACCTCAAGGAGTGTTTCTTTCAGACAACGCAGTTATACGGATCGTGTCATCGTTGATCATCACCGCGATGTATTTTGATGAGTTTGCTTTTTTGACTTTTAACAAAATGCAGGTTGCAAGAATGGGTCTTTGGATGATGAGTGGCGCAATTGTGCGCTTCATATTGGTAATGGAAAGACGTCAACTCGTATCTCCTTTTTTTTTGGATGCTCCCCGACCTCATTCAATCATGCTTACTACGGTCTAGCGCGATATCGCCTCCAAAGGAGGCCAGGCCTCTGGAGGCTCATTCGAACCGGGTAGTGAACAGGCCAGAGAGGCTGGCAGGAAGGGAGGGTCTAGCTCTTAAATAACAACAGCCTGCAAATGAGATTCCAAATTTTACAGTCAGTGACCCGCATTTTACATTGCTATTTCTTCTTTGCGCAGATCAGGGCGAAAGAATCGAGAAACTTCCGTTTCAAGAGCCGCTCCCGATTCTGTCAAGTGTGTTTGAATCTTCATCGAGGCCCATAAGTTGTCGGTTCGCCACGGACTGGGTCGAGCAGGTGAAGTAAGGCTACAGCTTGAATGAAACGACTTTGAGCGTTTCCAGTGACTTCATAACAGTTAGGTTTGCAGGATGCTGCACACGAGACAGGCGGGAAAATTGTGTCGGATGATGTTCAAATCCCACATCCCTCTTTTCCGCTTGCCGCTGATGAGAATTCTCGAATTGTCCAGTCAGAGACCTTCTCGGTCATGGAAAATTCAAATGCAAGCACTATACCCTCTAGGGAAAGTGAACGGCAGAAGCTCGTATAATAAGTTAAAGGACGAGAATCCGATCCCTGAAGGGAGTCCGTTTGACACTGACGGACAATTCTCCGCCCACCAGAAAGGCGTGGACTTCATATAAAACGCTGATGAGACTGTCGGGGAGTAGAGTAATTCAAGTTTTGCAAGCCATTGGACAGGGATTATCGGGCTTCACCTCCCGCGAACCTCGATTAACGATAGACCGCCCGGTCGTCAATTTCTCAGTCATCGATTGACATGGTCACCGTCCCACCTCGATGCTGTCTGCGCTAATGAACCTCACAAACTGGTGGTCGACGTTATCAAGATGTTTTCAACATCATGTGACGGTGGTTCGTCGGTGATCATCCTCCGTTGCACCATAAAAAGTTCGTGGTTGATGATGCTATTCTGGGATGTCTGAAAACGGGTAGTCTGGTGGATCAGGAATTCTGACCCACCAAATCGAGAGGTTCGCCAGACTGCTGTAATAGTTCGCTTCGGGGGAAATCAAGAGAAGGTGATCCTGCGTGTGCCTCGTTATTGACACTTGCGGTTGATGCTGCATCTCACCTGCGTGATAGTCGCACTCGCTTCCAGATGACTCTGGACATCCTTTGTCAGAGCCATTCTCTTGCCCGGAAATGGGAAATTACAGAATTCGTGATCCGACAAAGTGGATACCTTTTCCGGTTGGACACTTTCTCCGGGCTCTAGCTCGGATGCCGCAGAGTGGATTCATTGGCAGGTCACATACCCCACTTTGCACGAGGTAAAGTTGTTGTTGTGTCCGAATTTGGGGCACTTCATTTCCAGCCTCAGGAAGAATGCATATCACGTGGTCCATCGTGGCAGGCATGCACGTGCCATAACTCCGCCACCGTAGTTAAGGCACGTTATGCTCAATAAGACTGCCTGTAGTGGCGGGACAACAATGATGCTTTGATCTAAGATGCTGGCGGCTTGGCCAAGGAGAGGCTAAAGGCCGAACCAGGACAGTACTTGAGAGCGTCCAACGTGATAATCGATGCCAAGGTAGATGGCAAGTCTCGCTCCATCCTCACGAAAGACGCCACCGCTCCAGACCATCGGCTTCCCTGATCTTCCTGAATTGAGTCTCCAGGTATACCGTCAATGTGTTCCGCGAGGTGGTCACATCGATGCTCCTCATTGGATGCGTCCACAGTTTCGAGTCCAGTCGGCTTTTCGGAATTCGAGGACGAGGAGGAGAGGAAGTCGAGGAAGTCGAGGTTGAGGAAGTGGAAGAGGCCGACGACTGGGCAGAAGATGACACTCTATACTCCGATGCAGAAGGACGTACACGAGGTCAACAAGCTGCCCACTCACACTGCGACTTTGTCTTGTCTGGGATAAAGGATGCGAGACATCCAGAACAACGTCGATTATTGCAGTAAATACGGAGCACAACTTTACCGTTCCAGTCGTCTTATCACCCCACAACGCGTGAACGGCAGAGCACGATGAATCATGGCGGAAGATGACGCCGGATCGGCATTGATGTCATGGTACATCCGCAGTTGGCAGCTGGCCCATCTGATGCTCAGAATTAAGCATGGCTTCTTTTGACGGTATATAACAGAGTCGACAGCAACCCTACGACCGAACTTAAAGCCGAACATTCCGGCGATCCACGAATTCGGCCGGCATTGTCATAATACACGCACCGGGGCCAGGACTTAATGCTCGGGACTTTCGGTCAGTCGTCCGCCAAGACCAGCAGAGGATTTGCCTTTGTTCCTCTCTCCCTGTCAGTATTGCTGCCTGCGAAATGGTTGGTCTGCAGTCATCATTCAGCTGCGTTCAAGGCGGAAAAGGGTCGGCTGACCGTCCTCGCAATCCAGCCATATGGGGGAAATTCGCCTTCACTTTGATAGGGGAGACAAATGGCTTACTCGCCCTTGTCACTACCACTTGCGAGGCAGTTGCTGCAGCAATGATCCTGGGCGTCCTCGCACATAGCTGTCTGGATCACGTTGGCCAAACCAGACACCGCATGTACCAGCTCTTCCGCGTATACGCAGTGTATTGAGACTACAATTATTGGCCAGTACTATCAGAATCCTCTGGGTGGCAACGGTATGAGGCGAGCCAACAGCATATGGGCTTATCTAAATTGTCGTCTGAAGACAACACTGAAACTCTCTGGTTGAAAACCACGGTAAAGGTGATGTTGGACGCTCGCGACACTGATATAGGGTATTCTTGTCCGTTAACTTTGAATTCAGCTCATCAGAGAATTGGCCCCTGTGATTCTTCCACGGGTGAGAGAGTAGCCGCCGAAGCGACCCCGAGAAGTCTGCTCTCAAGTTAGTAAACGAGCCTTAGGAGAAGATACGAACATGGCCAAAATTTCGAGGGCAACGTCAGTGGAGCGGCCACTCTCATGCTTGATGTCCATAAGCTTTGTAGAGAAGTGCTTCACGATCAGGTATGAAGCATGAAAAGCTCTGGTGCACCGTGACTTGGATTGGAAAACGAATCGTTGCCACCTACGCGAAACTTGAAAGCCATACGATGAATTAGGATATAATAACCCCCATCGCCGTCCCCGATTGCAGGTCCGGTGCATGCTCTTCCATGGTCGTAAGGCGATACAGTATTCCTAAATGAAGAATCGTGGCCAGCGAAGGTATTGAATTAGTCGTCTTGATCCCTTGGATCATCAGATCCTGGTTCCACACTCTCTGGTCCGCGGAACTTGGCCGGTACGGTAAACTGTAGAATCGTCGGCCGGTTATCTTAGTAGAATATATTGTAGGTTTAGTACTAGATTATGTTTAATAAGATTCAGATATTGTTTATATCTATACTATACAATTCTAGTCACACCGTTAGGAACTCATAGGACGACTAGGTCCTTCTGCGATTTCGCTGCCGTGGCTGAGATCTATGCTGCCTGGATACCACAGGTCCACTGCCAAGCGTGAAATATTAGTCACCTAGCTCCTTAGCTGGCGACAACTATGAAAAGTATACTCGCTGGGTATCTTGAACCGTGGACCAGGTCCGTGGTCATTTTTACTAACTACGGTACGGCACTATTTATAGTCGACTAAGGTTAGCCGAGTTTTCTACGCGCCCTTTTCGGCTAACCATTACTCGATATAAGGTAGCGTGACCGGATGTGACTAGAAATATAGCTTACGTAGACTTTCGACGTATATAGAAATCAGGATCGAATAGTAGCGATAAGCGGCGTTCTAAGGCAGTGTAATAATCTAGCACGAGCTAAACCCTCGAATGTTGAGCATACGTTGGAGTATTCGTGCGTATAACTATCTCCTAGTCCTTTTGGAGCGTAACTAGGTAGTCGGGGCCAGAAGTTGATAGGTGTGGAGGGAATTAAGCTTTGTGGCGTTGCCCTTAAAGCTTAGTTATTCACTAGGTCCCTTAGATTAGTGTGGGGTCTTTAGTGAACCCTGGTTGATTTTTCACATGAAAATTCGCAATCAGTAGCACAACTAACCGGACCTGGTCACCCAGAGCGAACGGAATGGAGGCTCTTCGCGGCGTTCTCACCATTTCTTGCAGGTTTCTGTGTGCAGTCGCAGCATGCTAAAGTCTTTACGAAACGAGCTTGTAGGGGCTGGGTTTGAAGCCATGGCAGGAGGTGGATTTTCCCCTCTCCATCCACATCTAGTCACCCGCTACTAATATCCTTGCTTAGTCGAACTTGAGTTCATGAATTTCCAGACTCCCGGAGAGGAAGGTTATGCTTCAGACAGTCACACAGCCCATCGACCGAACGTGGCTGCTTTCCTGGAAGACAATGCCCCGAAGCGTTTGCGCCCTATAACCGTCGACAACTTTGGATATAGCCTGTCGAGACCCAACGCCACGAGACGGTACTTTTACGACATCTTCGACAAAAGTGCACAGTTCAACTGTAACATCGAGGGCTGGCACACCGAAACCGGCCCTGGTGTTTATGAAGCGGTACGCCTGAGAATGCCATCTGGCCGTTCCGTGAGCTGACAGCGCATTCTAGGCTTTGAAGGTCTCCGAAGTTGGCGAGATCGCCGACAGGGTGTCCCTCTTCAAGTACGCCATGCCCGTGTCACTCACCGCCTATTGCTAAAAGCGAGAACAGGTATCTGGTGAAATCTATTGGCGTCGACCACAATGTGACGCCGTGTTTCATGGCAAAACCTCTACAAGGATTCGCTGGCAATTCTGGCCACGTCCATGTTTCCCTATGTGGTGCAGATGGAAGAAATCTGTTCGCAAGAGAGGTGCCCGATGATACCGCCAAGTAGCACGATATCGCACATCTCTCTGACCTAGGAAGAAGCTTCCTCGCGAGCCTGTTGGAAGCGTTACCAGATCTCATGCCAGTCTTTGCGCCCACAGTCAACTCGTACAAGCGGCTCGTCGAAAACTACTGGGCGCCTGTGGATTTAAGCTGGGGTCTCGAGGACCGTCTGTCGTCCATCAGGCTCATTGCCCCGCCTGTTTGCAAACCCAGCGCCACCAGATTCGAAGTTCGCGTTCCTGGAGCCGACACGCATCCCCATTTCACGTTACACGCCATTCTGGGAGCCGGCTAGCGCGGCATTCGGGACAATCTCGAGCTGACGCTCCCGCCGGCGTGGGCCGAGAAATCGAGAGGTCGCACGGCGGTTCTCCTACCCAACACATTACAGGACGCGGTCCGGAGATTTGCTGCTCCAGATAGCGTTACAAGGCAGGTCTTCGGCTCGGAGTTTGTCGACTATTTCGCCGCATCGAGAGAGCATGAACTGCGCATATGGAGAGAGGCTGTGACAGACTGGTTCGTTTGGCAACCCTTGCCCGGCTCGCCAAAATGCTAATCTTCACGTTTTACAGGGAATTCAAAAGGTACATCGAAACTGTTTGATTTTGTTTGGAAGGAAACAGCCAACCGAGCGGAAAGCGTACGCTAGGCTGTGCTGCAGTCAGCTACACGCGGCAAACTCACTCACGACCCACAGCCATAGGCACGCAGAAAGAATAGCCAAAGATCCGTTGCGGGTGCTTCAGCCGGCTGGATAGATAGACCAAACGAATTTTCGAACTTATTTGGGGAGCAGCCGCCATCAGCACCTGTACCCCAAGGACAGGCCCCAGGAGGCGAGAAGCCAGGATCGCCGGGGTTCAGAGTGGCTGGGATTCGGTCTGCAATTGAGGCACACACTAGACTAAACCAACTTGGCTCCCAACTCTGGAACACAGAAAGACCATCTGAATGTGCGCTTCGAGGTGTTAGGAAGCCCCTCCCCGGGTGGGCAAAGCCAGCACCGATGGTGTTAATCGAAAGAAAGGCAGCGAGCAGAGCCGCAAGATGTCACCTCCCCCCTCCCCTGTCCTGCTAGCAACAAGCCCAAGACGAACCTATAGGCAACCTTCATCGTTCCCTTTATCGCCATCCTCCCCAGCACCCGGGTCGCCCTCGCACTCGGCGCCGGCCGACGAGAGCTGTTCAGATACGATGGTGATTTGCTATTTCGGCCACGCGCAAGGTCAGCAATCTGTCCATCTATCCCTCTAGTCGGCGCGGTGGCCCCCTTGTCGTTTGAAACTTGACGGGTCGTAATGATCCATCTGGATCAGGGGTTGAAAATCTCTACTTACCTCCTCGTAGTAGTCCAACTTGGACAGATAACCTTGCGCGGTGGCCTCTGCCTGCGCGATCTCGGCCTGGTTGCCGCTCTGCTGCGCCACCGCGACGTCAATCTGTTGGAGATTGTACAGGGCAAGGTATTTCTGGTACTGCTGTTGGTACGTTGCCAATTCCGTCTGCAGCTGGGACTCCACGCTCCTTTTAACGGGCGTGTCCGCGAGAGGCGCTGCGGCAGCCATGGCCGCCATGGCCGCAACGAAGACTGATAGGACGCGCATTGTCGGAGGCGGTGAGGGTATGGGACCTGGTGTGACTGCGGCGATTGGCGCACGGGTGTCGGAGATCAGGCAAGGCTTTGATTTTCGCTGGACGGTACTGCTCTTCGCGCGACTATCTGTCTGGGGGAAGAGTGCGAGAAGAAGCAATGGAATTGCGAGCTGATCATTGCATATATATACCTTTGTGATCTGCACCTCACGACATCAGACACTCTTTGGATATGGGTTTGGGGGAGTGAGAAATTGAGCTGACGAGCCCATCAATTGTTCTCAGCTAATTGACTACTGAAGCTTGGTGTCGAGATCAGGCTAGCACGGAGCATTTCATACCGAAGAGGGTAGCAGGAGGTCGCCGAAGGATCGCTACTGTCTCGAAATCACGACCATGAGTCTTCATTCTTTCTAGCTAGTTGAGTAAAGGATTCATCCTCCGTAATACCAACGTGAAAGAGGCAGGGTGCATGTTATAGCGAAAAGGGTAGCAGGAGGCCACCAGAAGAGTAACCTTAACGACCATTTGGGCTGACCCACGAAGAAAGCGGGGCGATTGACGAAGGAGAGGCATTATTAACGCGAAAGCCCTCCAGGGGGTCAGCTCCGACTGTCCAAGTGCCTCTGTACTCCACAGCCGACGCTATCGTACAGCCCATGCCGCGCACGGGTCTCGTCGAGGAGGCTAGCTAGGGTTCTAGATCTCTGTCAGCAGCTCGGGTTCGCAATCTCCCGCCCAGGCGCAAGCACCGTAAAGCAGCCCCCTATTCCCCGAGATCCAGATTGAATCGAGATAGACAAAGCCGGGAAGAGCCCCGCGTCCAATAGCCCGAATCAGTGAGCTCAATCTTCTCGAGAACCTCCAAGGCTCACCACAATATCGCCATCAGGGAAATTGGCTACGGCACTGGATGCGAGCTTGGTTTTTATCAGGAATGCTGCCTCATTTGTTTCTGCTTTGGGACGTCGGTCGTTTCACACCAGCTACCATCGCAAAAACGGACCACCCATAAGCAGAACCACCTCGGGCAGCCACTATATGCTTTCAAGCATTTCTCCTTGTGGCAATGGCCTCAGCCGGCAGCCTCTGCGCAAATTCAAGTGCCGAGGAGATCCCACGCGCAACAGAGTCCATAAAGAACGTATAACTTGTACAGCAAATCCCAGTCTGGGAAGTGCTTACAGAGCCTCGGCCAATACCTGGAATGGGGCAGGGCCACAACATGCAGCAGGTCGGCCCAACATCGTATACGTTCGATCCTTCCAAGAAATCAGTAGTGCTCGTAGCGGTGGCTGATCGGGTCCAGACGCTGGAGGAGGTGCTGACGGGTGCCAATGGCAGGGGCGGTCAGGATGATGAGAAGAGTACTCGACTCGGGCTCGCTGCGACTGAGGGTTTGGCCATACGGAGAGGTCAAAGACCGAAGGCTGGAGATGGATGGGACGGCACCGGGTTCCAAGGACAGCGGTCATGACCTGCTGAGAGCAGCAATGTTATCCTCCTTTGGACCCATCTTTGGCAGGCAGCTTTGGTGACTGAAAACTTGAAGTTCTGAGCAAACACCTCGATGGAGGCCAGGACAAAGTGTCACTTCTGGGAGAGACGTGCGTTGAAGAGTACAACAGAATCCCCTACTAGTTTCAAGAATGTCTGCAGGGGGATGTCTACTGGAGTCTATTTGCTTGTCTGCTTTGACGGCCTCATCACATGGAGCCTTTCAAATTCGAGACTCAACTGTTAATATGTGCATCCGGGACAAATGCACTCTTTAGTTACTGAAGCTAGCTGTCCAAGTCACACTGGTAGGGATCCCTTGGCTAGGTACCGGCTTTTCGAAAACCACGAGTCTATATATATATATATATTGATATATCTGCGGTACCGACCCTGTCAGTATCACACACCTTCTGTAAGGCCAACCACGCCTTAGCCGAGACTTTGCCGTGCACGCCAATCCTCATCACATTGGAATAAGCACCAACAGCTGTCTATTGAATTAGATCGACGCCAGTAGCAGATGACAGATTGTCTTCTAAAGGTCGACAGAATTCCGGAATAGGCAGTGGGTATTTTGTTCTGCCAGTTCACGTACAGTGATTCGCGGTAGGCTATCTGTCACATGCAGTTGACCTCTTCCTTGTACTAGATCCCGTCAGCCAACTCGGTTGCTCAAACAGCTTACTGGCGTCGACCTAATTCACACAATTCATCCCAGCCCGTCTAATCTTGGTGCTTGTACTAAGTCACGCAAGAGGATAGACGGAAAACCACAAGGGAGGCGTCCACTCCAAGTACTTGAGATCGTCTCGCAGCATTTTGTCAATTTGATCCATTTCCTTACCCTTACATAACCTTGACACCGCATTGGGCTCATTTACACCAATCATTTCCATGGCTCGTTGCTTGGCTACTTGGCCAATTCTGAGAAATTGAGCGGGCACTACTGCTTTTGACTTTAGCTGTTCTCAAGCCAGCTTGAGACCATTATATTTGTCTCCGAATCTCTTTAAATATTTGTGCTCTTTTCCCATTGAGACGACCACGCCAACAGTCGGGACAATAATACATCGGTTGTATCTACAACTCCATTAGACATCTAAAGCCGGCAACGCGGTAACAATCATATGAACCCCGGTGCATGACTACAACAAGTGGAAGAAGGTCGCCAAAGAGAAGCACAAAAGGCCACCGGTTCGAAGGCTCGACTACCGACAAAACGATCAGGGATGAAGTCCACCATGCTCAACGCTACACGAGCCAAACGTTTCACCAACAGAAGCCTACCAGATAAGGTTGGGATACACTCTAAGAGAGTTAACACAACATGACCAGGCAAGCACACGAATAGGTTGCATGAAGGCTCCGTGCGGATATTGGGATTCTATGGAGTACTGTGATGGAGTGCTGTGAGTGAATATACCAAATAACCGGGAAAGTGCTTACGGCTTCTGATGATATGCGTTTTCACGCTTGGAGGTGGTAGTGGTAGAATAAAATAGATTGAGCGGTCGATGGAGTTTCGATAAATACTGACAGCTCCGGGCCTTAGATCAAGTGAAAATTCACCGAGGATCCTACAAGGCTTTGTTCAACCTCATTGTTCGGCCAAGAACAGCCACGATCATATACCGCTAGCTGTTGGGGCTTTATGAGAATCTCATGGCGAAGCTGACGCAAACCTTTTCTAATGCTTTCGGGAAATATACAATAGGTAGATTTCACGGTTGAGTGCACAGGATACCACTTCGGACCGCGTCTCAACAGATAATAGGGACGAGGATCTCCCCCGCTCCTCACCACTGAGGCTTTCTTCGCCGAAATCAAACAATTTGGACTCGTCAGAACTCTCGTCGGTGCCTATCACAACGTTCTCTATCGTCATCTAGGCATTCTACTGCCACCGAATGTGTACCGAGCAGAGAACAGTGACCAAGTCGTCATTCAGTGACAAGCACGTCATGTCGAACTCCAACTTAATGGGCCCAGGGAGGCAAGCTCGAGGAAGGCCTTCCCACCAGGGTTTACAGTCTTTCTCCTTCAGCTTGGCAACGCTAGAACAACGACCTGCCTCGAGCAGTTTCAAACTTCCCCCGCAGGCCATCACCCCATCAATTGATGCCTAAGAAATTTCAGACAGGTCGAACCATCGTTTATAGAGGTTCGCCGGAGCAGAAGTCCGATAGTCCCTGTTAACGAAGGTCGTCCTGAAGCAAAAGGGGATATTGACGACAGAGAGTGATGGGTCGTTGTCAGGGTCTTGAGCATCCCCCGATAATTTCAACTCTTTTATCTTTGATCGCGACTCCAGGAAACTTGGGTCTCGGTGAGGGGCAGGGGTGTTCCCATCACATACGATAGCTTGTCCCGTTCTTCACCCCTGGCCATTTGGAGGGATAGCGTATCGCCTCAACCCAGAAAGCCAATACCCCTTATTTCAAAAAAAATTCAAAGAGTCAACTGACGGAGGTAAAGTCCTTGTTGGCTGCGGAAGTTCCGTTATATCGGGAGCACCAGCTCGACAATTTCTAGCAAAGCGTGCCCAGAGTCAGCTCCAAGCTGGTGATCCCTTGTACAAGAGTTGGCGAGAGGCAGGCATCACCGAGGGTGGATCCAGGAGACTCTAGCCGCATCGAAGAAATGGGCCGAGACCGAAGATGCGTGGTATGCGGCTATGAGTTGCGAGATGCTCGCGTGGAAGTGGCCTTGGACGTGGTTCTGACGAGCGCCTGCGTTGTTGCTTGATGATCAATTCTGCCCTAGAGAAACTATCCGTAGACCGCTCTAATAGACTGCTTTGATTTCTCGATCTCTTGAAGTCGGCCCTGGAGAGGGCGACCGAGAATGCATAATATGGCATACTTTGAATCAGGAAGTCTAGTGTTCGTGGCGAGAGTATGAGAGATCCTCAAGGTATCTCGCTCCACTTGTGCGGTATTTGATGCGGTCAGACTTGCTTTATATACCAAGGTCCGCTTGCTCTCAGAACATCATTTATATTTGCGGGGATAAAGACTTAATGTGTTCTTTGTCACCGTACTTAGGTAGCTGTCATAGCAAAGTCACGTTTCCTTGATCCAATCGACGTCAGCACGCCGTCCTTGGTCGAGAACAGCTTTCTCGATATCGCATCCCGACTTCAAATCTCCGCGTCGACGTGGGAAGATGGCCGGCAGGGGCTGGCCAACACCCGGCAATCGTGGATGTTGGTGCTAGACAACGCCGATGATCCTAATGTCGACTACCATATTTCCCCCCTGGCACGTGCGGCGTAGTGGTGCTGACGTCGCGGAACGCCGAGTGCGAGCAATATGCCACCGCGGATCACGTGGCTTTGGAAGGACCCCCGACCGATGAGGCGATAGGACTCCTCCTGAAAGCCGCCAACGTCGTTCGGGAGCACCGTCCTCGGTCGGAAGACGATGCACGGAGGGTGGCCGTCTTGCTCCAGTCGCATCCTCTTGCCCTGATCCAGGCGGGGGCTTATGTGAAGCGAGGTCACCGTCGCCTAGGAGACTACCCGCGAGTCTACGAGCGTCAACGGAAGCGACTTCTCGAGTTCGGACCGTCGCAAGCTCAATCACGGTATCGCGATGTGTACGCGACGTTCGAGGCGTCGGTAGAGATTCTCCAGACAAGTCCGACCGAGTCGTCGCGAGATGCACTGGAGTTGCTGCCTCTGCTGGCGGTGTGCGGGCCGAGTCAACTGCCATTGTTCGTGTTTGAGTCACCATGGAAGGGAGCGCAGAGGATCGCGGCCCGTGAGCCTGGCGACGAAGATGGGCTTGGTCTGACGACGTGGCATGCGTCTCAACTGCCATCACTAATCCCAGCCCATGAAGACGCGTGGGATTCTTTCCGGCTGGTGGAGGCCGTCAACATGCTCAAGGCCTTTGCCCTGGTGTCGACAGATGTGGATGAGGAACACGTGTGTGTATCGATGCATCCGTTGGTGCATACGTGGGCAGGCGACCGTCAAGATGATCGGCAACAACACGGGTCCTGGGATGGGATGTATTATGGCGGCGTCGCAGAGCGTTTCAGAATGCGCCTGGGACCGCCGTGACCAGCGTCTGGATGGAATGTGGATGGCTGCTTCATAGGATGAGGGACGACGGCACCGTTTTCCGGCTGCTGAGAGCACGTCCGTAAATGAACATACAATGGTGGAACATTCAAACAGTCCCTTGCAGGCATGTTCGGATGCGTCACGGAAAAATTGGTTCCAAAGGAAACGCGCAATGAACAAGCAGCTTAAGGACCGGACGCCATCAGCAAAACGCAGCCTGAGTGACGGAGTCGACACCACCGAAGGTGGAGGCCACCAACCCTCCACAACGGCGCCGGCTGAAACCCCGAGCGGCTATTACTATGATTGGTGGCCACAGGCTGACTCAAACACAAGTCTTTTTACATCAGCAGAGTTGTAGTCAATACTCTGGCCTTGGCTTTCACCTGGAGAAGCACCTGGAGAAGCAGAGACGACTGGGTCTGTATGGGTTTTGGAATTAAAATTAGCGAATACCAAAGCGATATACCATGGATCTCTCGCTAAGAGGGTAGTATTTAGGAAGGCTTATGGTGGTTATACACAAATACGATCGGATTTGTAGCTTTCTTCTCAACTGCAAACTTATGGGTGACAATAACAACACATTCGACCTGATTATTATTGCATTGGTTCTCGGTACTATGCTCGTCGTTTTTGTTGGCCTTCTCTAGCTCTGGAATTCCTACAGTCGCGTGACGCGACCGATTCGATAGGACCAATTACCATTGCCGGCAACAAATGGTAATTATATTTGGGCCCCGATTAACCATATATAACTAACAGATAGGAATAGGAATACTAAATTAGACCTGGAATAAGCCTCTTCCCCTCCTACCTGGGACAAATGCTCCTCCCCGGAATAGGCACGTTTTCTAATAAGAAAATCACTTACGGTAAAGAATCTAGGTTGACTCCCCTTGCAGGGCACCGAACACCTCCGCCGCGAGTACGCCCTCGAGGCTCCTACGTCCTCTGACGCTAACTTTGTCGACGTTCCTATATCCGTTATCTCCGCAAGTTCAGCAGCCTAAGCTCGCTCACACAAAACGAACCGAGATGACGGTACCGCTCTCGATTGATTCTGGATATCCCAGGGTGACGACCGTCCGTGCCCAAAGATCAAGGGTTCCGCTTTCCCAAATTGGTAGATTGCGAGGTCTCGCGCCAGAGCCTCCTATATCTGAGCATCGTGAGTCTAGCAGATCTGTGTCTGGTATATACTGATCTTAAAGCCACCTGCGTCAATCGTCGCCCTGAGATACTGCCCCGGATCCGAATCTACCCGGAGAAAGGTCGATGTCTGTAAGCTGTTGCGAAGGAAGCCGGTCATATTACCTATCTTAAGGGTACACATCTGGGGTATTTGACAGGCAAATTAGTACCTCCCAACACGTACAAAGACGGGAAGTGTTATGCGATGTTTCGGGAAGATCTCGACGAGCACCCGGAGGCCGCTGATATAGTCACTGACTGGTGACTGAATGACTAGTTGACAACGCTGCGCCTGGTTTCCAATCTCTTTGCTGCTGGAAAACATCTGCAACTATATTTAGTCGGAATCGTCCTGCATTTCCGATCCCTCAAAAGAGTCGGAATCGTCCTGTTTTTTCGGTCTCTCATAAGAGTCGGAAAATGCGCGCAAATCTCGTCTGCTAAGTCCATCCACTCTGAATAAGGGTAGATGAGATTTTTCTCGCAGATCGTTGCGATCCATGATCACAAGATTCAGATCATTTCTCGCAGAGAGTGAGACCATGTGTAGATCTTCGCCATCCAGGTAAAAATTAACGACCTTGAACTGCTGCGGCTGTTCAGTCGATTGAGAGAGAACATGGATGGGCTTGCCCCCGACTGTGACGCGATTTGTGCCCAGAAAATCAATAACCTCAAGGTCACTTTACAACCTCAAGCGCCCAATGAACTGGGCCTTGATCTCCTCCGGTGTCCATCCCCCACCCATAGACTTGTGTTTGAGTTAGCCTGTGGGCCTCCAATGATAGTTACCAATAGCGTACAGTGTCCCAAAAAATGTTCAAAGGACAAGTCCTGCGTAGAGACGGCAATGTGTGTCGCGGCCTTGAGCACGCCAATTGAACATGTTTTTCACAAAAAGTCCCCGGAAAGGAGCTACTCGGGTTCCCACAGTTTAGTACCCTTGTTGAAACGATGCCTGCACCTCGAGAGTTAGAGAACAACTTTACAGAGTATCAGATCTATACCAGCGATGGGATAGCGTACCAGTGAAAGCGGGTGTTGGTAAGGGACCTCCTGCCGTACTCTTCGGCGAGAATCCTGACCGAGTCGTGCGGGGCTTTGACGCCGATGCCTTCAAAAGTTGTATCTTGTAAGGGGAACAGATCCTCCCTCTACAAGGACAGACGGTCAGCGATTTTCGCTCTCTGTTAATACACAATTTGCCCCGGAGAAAGAGCTTGTTACACATTGGCTATCGGCGCCTCAAAAATCTGGGATACAATTCAATGTTGCCTTTAAGCAAGGAGATGCGCCACATCTTAGAAGGCTTTTCCTGATACACCCTTCCTGCATTCGTCCAACACAAGTGATTCTGGAATAATAACAAGCAAACGTGGAGCACTCTTCGCGAGAGATAATTCTGAAAAAGCTTTGTGAAGTTCAACGGCGTTGTATCTCGAAAACCCTCTATATCAGAATCTAGGTGAATAAGGTATCATGCGGATTCCATGATGCAAACCTGCGGAAAAAGCCAGTACATATAATCGTCACTCGGTTGACGAGATTTCTCTGGGTAGAGACAAATACTTGTATTCAAACTCAGAGGTCGTACGTTTGAGGCGTACGCGCAAGATAGTCTTCGTAACAAATTGACCGATTGACCGGTGGATATTACCATGGGTTCTTTTCACTTCTTGCGTGTGTCATATTTTACAGGCCTGACAACTGCCATATGCACGCCCGACACTCTTGTTATGGACGCCATAGGAGGTTATAATGTAGTAATTGCCAAGCCAGATTCAGTTGGACTCTAGAGTTGAAGGGAAAGTCTGCATTCCGTGTGTACGATATTCAATCAGCTTTGATGTAAGCTCGTGTGGCAGTCCGTTGTCACTCTTTCTGGTAACATTGAGGAGACTTTTATTGGGAGTGCGAATTTGAAACTCGACCAAATTATTTAGTCATTGCACTTTTATCGTCAAAAGCATTAGCAAATACAGGTGTAGTGCAAGTGACTGGATTGTAAGCTTACGCCCTCTTGGATCATCCCCGCTTTCGCGACGGGCTCGTCCCTTCTTCCCGTACGAGCCCTATATCACGTTACCCATAGCAAGAAGCAAACGAGAAGTAGGCGAAAACACAAAATAAAGGTCTGCATCGCCTGAGCAAGACTCATAAGAAATAAATCGGTTTTATCGCCCGAAATGACCCTCGCCAGAAACAAACTATATTATCTTTATAGAAAATGGATACCATAAGGTCCAGAGGTAAGCCGCATCCTCTCCCTCGAGGAGTTGTGGCTAAGCATTGTTGAAGATCGCATCAGGTTACCGTGTCCCAGTATCATCACAACATGAAAGCCTTATAGGTACCATTTTTGCTTTCTTCCTTCCTTTCTTCTTTTCTTTATCTGCCCCTCCTTTGGGAACATTCCAGTGGGGGAAAGCATGCCTCTTTGTCCGCATGTGCAGTGGCTCGATCTCGACGGCGTAGCACCGGAATGGTCGTTGTTAGATTCAGAGCGCCTGAAATCAATCATGGTTTATTGATTTCATTATACTGAAGGCATGGCTGACGTGAGAGCAAACCAACATGCAAAAGAGCCAAAAGCTTTATGTATCAAGGGTTATGATGTTCTGAGCCATAGGCTCTATCTGCGGAAGGCTTGATTACAGACTGAGTGAGTGAATGTTATTTACCCTGGCCTCTCCCGTGGGATCTGCACGCTACCACTACTAGAGCTAGTCATTCAATCGCAACCCGGCTGTTACTGCCTTACATAACCAGGCACACGATTGAGGGTGGTTAAGGCCTTTGTTGTTCTATCGACCTAACTGCCGGAGACTGCGATTTAAATTTTGGGGATGTGTCCGTGGACGCCAGCACTGTATTCAGAGCTTCGCGATTGATTCCGCCATCGCCTGCCTTACCTTGCCCGTTCCAAGGTACCCCTCCGAGCATGGCTGTAATGCTGTCAAATGCATCATCTACCTTGTTCCGCAGCTATCGCCTTGCTTCCCGTAGTCTCGGACAACCACCAGGACTTACGTTACTGTCTCAATGGCTCCATATGCACATCGATCATCTTCCCCAACTTTCTGCCCTCGAGCGTGTGTCGCCAGCCAGGAATGACCCGTACGCAGTTGGGCCAGAAGATAGGTCTGGTGTCTGATAAGAATCACGGACATCCACAGGCTTCGTCGAGACGGAAGTCCCTCGTCGACTCGTCTCACGTGCTTGCCTTTCGTAGTGGCCATACAGTCTCGTTCCTATTCATGTTGAATTTTCCAGTGGGCGGCCTTTCTATACGTGGATACTAGATGGCCAAATTCCTGTTGCTCTGGCAAGTTGACCGCCTCTTTCGCAAGAAGGCCCGCTGCTTCATTGCCTTTGTTGCCGCAATGCCCTGGAATCCAATGGAGTCGGATTTTGATGTTTCGTATGCGGAGCGCCTCGACTCTCTGCAGGTTGTGCCGCAATACTAATTTGACCAGGCCTGGCCGACGGCTTGCTGATCGCTTGTAGCGCTGATTGACTGTCGCTGACAATGGTGTAGATTTCTTCCTGGTTCTCCGTTGCGCCGCTGTCTTCCGTGTCAACGATCTCTATCGCTCTGCTGATGGCCGTCAAACTCGCGACTGGACCGTCCAGTCCATCGCTGCGCCGATGCCTCTTTGTCAGGTTCGCCTCTCTTGATTGACGTGACTTGGCGCTACCGCAGCTGCGACAACCGTTGCACCTTTAGCTGAGGCATTGGTAAAGAGCATCTGCCTCCATTTTCTTGTAGCGGTACAACAGCATCCAACGCTAGGGTGTTGTCCTTTTCGATCGTGATCCTATCCATCCGCAAGCAAGCCACGTGAATCTTCCTCCTTGCTGGCACGATCTTCTTGGACGTTGTCCATGATGATGGTTGAGGTGAATACGGAGATTGGCGACTTCGAGACATGTGGTCAATTTCGAATATGTACAGGCAATGACGGTACTGTGTCAAATGGAACGAGGTACCTACCGAGGTAGGTAGGAATGGAAATTCGTGGAGATCTCTTGGCTCGGAAAGTTACCCCAGAAACGGACATTCGGCAGCCTCGTGTATGATGTCAACAGCACGAACAACAAGAATCCCGCCTCTCGACTCGGTAGAAGACCAACTCACTCTTGACAAACAAGACCTCCGTATGTTATTGCAACTCACGCGTTTGACAAGCCCTCAGCATAAACAAAGCATTGATTCTTTCATGGCTGACGAATGACCCTCAAGGAACAACCACATAAACCTGCACGCCCTCACTGTTGATCTACTTCTCCCACGAAGTATCATACTCAGCACGCCAGCAAAGACTGGGTGCGGCCAAAGCACTTGAATAGTAACCCAAACCTGCGTCAAATGACAGATTCAATCTCTTATATGCTCTAGACCGCGCTCAAAAAACAGCCCTTTTGGTTGCCCGGACAACATCTGCCTAGTCGTACCTCTGCCTGCGGCCTCAACACCACCGCGCAGCCCCTCGAGCTCAAGCCACAATCCCGAGACCTGCATCGCGAGTATATATCCCAAAATTTGTTGTCGGCGGGAATCAGACCCATGTTACTCCGGGGCCTCCATTAAGACGAACGCCACAATCTCTTCGATTTCACCTACAATCTTCCCAACAGCGTTGAGATGGTGAGGGAACAGCAGGCTCCTCGCAACCCGCTTGCGCCAGCCATGGGTAACTCGCAGCCTTCTCAAGATCCTCAGAGCAAAGAAAAGATCCCTGGCACCGACGACCCTCCAGCTCCGCAGTCTCTGTATCCAAATCTCCAGAATGGCATACCCGAGCAACCTCAATTTGGGAGGCCTTCAATGCCTGGGGCATCGCCACAACCATATGCAAGAACACAGCCGCTCATGCGACCTGGCACGAGTGCTAATACATCGGCTCCACGCCAGGTGAGCGCGAGTCAACAACAAGACAAATATTCAAACCTTTTCGTGTCGGCGAAGAGACCCGCGCAAAGACCGGAGCTACACAAACCTCATGTTGTGGCAAATCCTCTGCAAACACTCAAAGACAATGCTGCGACCGCCGGACACCCTCCTAAACCCACCTCCTCTCGCCCTCCTCAAGATGACGATTTCTACGAGATCCCTAAGCCTGTGAACTTCCCAACGTGGAAGCCAAAGCCATTTGTTCCACCCACATTTTCGTCTCAGCAGCCTCCAAATCCATACTTCCGAGCGACTGCGATAGACATTACTCAAGAAAACCCCGTCCTGACTCGTCCAGCACAACCCTTGAACAACTCTTTCTTCCGAGCAGAGCGATACGAAACGACTGACCCGTACACATACATGAACTCTACTCAAGCCAGTGAAAGCATCAAAGCTCTACTTGAAGGCGCATTTGAAGACGAAGAGGAAAAACCGAGAACGAGGCGGAGAAAGAAGGAGCTGGACAAGAAGCTTGGTGATTTGGCTGACATGGTCAAAGATATGTCGGTTACCAGCGAAGACAAGAGTGAATCAACCCAAGAGGAGGTGGAGGAAGAAGACGACGACGATGGTGCCGTTCCGGGACTGAAAGTCAAGCTCTTGCCGCATCAAATTGACGGTGTTGACTGGATGGTCAGCAAAGAAATCGGCAAGAATAGGACTTACGGTGGCATCCTCGCCGACGACATGGGTCTGGGAAAGACGATACAATCAATCGCTCTCATGCTTAGTAACCCAAAGCCCAGTGGTGAAGAGCCGGAGAAGAGCAAGCGCAAATTACCTGAAGCTGTCACAAAAAGCACCCTTGTTGTTGCCCCGTTGGCATTAATCAGACAGTGGGAAGGGGAACTGAAAGATCGCATCGACGAAGACCATGCTCTCAAAATCTGTGTTCACCATGGACCTCAGAGAACAAAAAGCTACAAGGATTTAAAGAAGTACGATGTCGTCATCACAACTTACCAGACACTGTCATCAGAGCATGCCGGATGTTCAGAACACCTCAAAGTCGGATGTTTCGGTGTCCACTGGTATAGGATCATCCTGGATGAGGCGCACTCGATCAAGAACCGTAATGCAAAAGCTTCCAAGGCTGCTTGTGCTCTTGATGCTGCATACCGCTGGTGTTTGACTGGAACGCCGATGCAGAACGGTCTCGACGAACTCCAAAGCCTCATTCACTTTCTTCGTATCAAGCCTTATTGTGACCTGAATGAATGGCGTGAGAATATCACCAAACCCATGAACAATGGAAGAGGAGGTCTTGCAGTTAAGAGACTGAGACTCATCCTAAAGAGCTTCATGAAGCGAAGGACGAAGGATATTCTCAAACAGGAGCACTCTAATGAAGGCGGTAAAGGAGTGGCAACCAAAGGAGGCAAAGGTCCCGGGTTCAAGATCGTGGGACGAACCGTTCACAACGTCGAAGCCGACTTTACAGACCAAGAGCGAGAGTTCTATAAACGCCTGGAGTCGAGAACGGATCGAAGTCTGGAGATGATGATGGCTGGGAACAAGATGAGTTATGCGTCGGCGTTGGTCCTGCTCATGCGACTACGACAAGCGTGCAACCATCCAAAGCTCACGGGCAGTGACTTGAGCACCGAGACTGATGCATCCAGTGGCATGCAGACCCCCAGCCGCAGAAAGGGCAGTGCGGAAGATGACATGGACAGTATTGCAAATATGCTTGGTGGCCTTAGTATGGAGACCAAGAGATGCGATATGTGTCAGATCGAGTTGACGCCGAGAGAGGTCGCTAAAGGTGCCATTCGATGTGCTGAATGCCAAGAAGATTTGGATAAGCAGACGGATCATGTGAAGGAGATCAAAAAGACGAAGAAGGAGAAAAGACAGAAGCAAGAGCAAAAGACAGTCCGAATTCAACGCAAGCAGGCAAGGCGCGTTGTGGAGGATAGTGATGACGACGAGGATGAAGATGGGAGAGAGGAAGACGACGAAGAAGATTCGTCCTCTGTTGACGATGAAGAAGACGACGAGGACGACGAATACTCGTCATCCGGCGACTCTAGCTCTTCGCAACCCGTGCTCCTTCAGTCCACCAAAATCCGCCACCTCCTATCCATCCTGCGCGAAGACTCGCACACGCACAAATACATAGTCTTCTCCTTCTTTACATCCATGCTGGATCTGATCGAGCCATTCCTCCGCTCCCATCGCATCCACTACGTCCGGTACGACGGGAAAATGCGCAACGACGCACGCGAGGCTTCCCTCAATGCCCTACGCACCGACCCTGCGACACGTGTCCTGCTCTGCTCCCTCCGCGCGGGGAGCTTGGGACTAAATCTGACCGCGGCGTCGAGGGTGGTGATTCTGGAGCCCTTCTGGAACCCCTTTGTGGAAGAACAGGCGATAGATCGGGTTCATCGACTGAACCAGACTCAAGACGTCAAAGTATTCAAAATCACCATCAAGGGTACAGTGGAGGAACGAATTCTAGAGCTCCAGGAGAAGAAGCGCGAACTTGCCAAGGCGACGATCGAAGGTCAGGCCCAGGGCAAGAAGGGCGCAATGAGACTGAACATGCAGGATATGTTGAAGCTCTTTGGTCGCGAGGCCGAGTCGGAACATCCTGTCGACGTGGAGGGAGTTGGCATGGGCATGGGTAAAGGAAGATCGAGGGGTTTACTGGAAGGGACTTCGAGTCGAGATACGCCTCCGTCTTCATCGTCCGATCCATCACAATCACAGGCTACGGCTGGTCGATATGGATCTACCACTACTGGTGGGATGAGTGGCAGTGGCAGCGCAGGAGGCGATCGACGGGAGAAAATGCGTGTGAGTGGCGATGGCAAGAAGAAAACATGGAAGGAACATGAAGTTTATGGGCGGAGGTGGTGAGAGTGTCCCATGAATTCACGAAGGACTTCACGATGTGATTGATGTTTTGAATACACGCCTTCAAATCTGACGGTTATGGATATGGACACAAGGGAGGGGGCTCATGATCACCTGTAACTTGGCATGTCGGACATTGCACCTCTTGCGAGGGGTCAGGGTTGGATGGTTTTCAGACCAGGACAAGACGATGATGAGCATGACAGTGAGCATGAGGATGGGCATTTGAGTAGATGACACAGACCAATGAAGACACGCAAGATTCCCTCAGCGAGGTTGTTTTCGTTTCCCCCCTTCGACCGAAGCATCGAGTCGGACACGGGTGGCGGGAGGCTGTCCCAGAAGACAGATGAACCTGACGCAAAAGGTTTGCGAGGCTGAGATTCCAGGAGAAGAAACCTTTTTCGTGGGAAGGGGGAGAAGGGTTCTTCGTTTGTCTTGAGGTATTCAGTGATTGAATAAAGTTCTCGCTCTTCTACCTGTAGGAGATAACGCACAAATCGGTACGGTCAATGTGGACAGTGTGACAAATTCTTCCGAAAGAGTCGCACAGATGGCGACGAATGTTGACTCACCGTGATTTGTGCTTGACAACTCAGGTAGACAAAAACAAGGAAAGCGTTCTGACCAGCTCTGTTGAAAAATAGTTTCGCGAAGTTCTCTACGTACTTGTAGGCGTTGGAGGCTCTCGAGGTCGGAAGGAATAACTTGGACCCGGCAACGGATCGATTTCCGGGTCCAGTCGTTGCGTGATAGCGACTTGGTGCACAGGAGTGAGTACTCATAGGTTGCTGGCAATGTCTACAGTCTGACGGACCATCATCCTCAGAGAGGGTAAAAGGCGTGATACTTTTCGTTGACGACGTACGAGGTAGATACGAACAAGGTATTGCAGTGTGCGGCGCACAAAGCAAACTGGCTAGGATCCAAACTCCGTCGTGACCAAGATTGGCAGAGGTGCGCTGCGTCTTCCGTGGAGCTCTCCGGAGGCAGCCTAGATTGGAATTGGTCAGAGGTGGTGCACTGTGGTGGTGTCGGTGGGCTTCGGGCGCCCAGGTATGGAGCTGGGTGGGTGTTAGGGAAAAGTTTACCGGGTTGGACCTTTGTCCGAACCAATGCAGACGCAAGCAGTTGTTTCACAACCAGGGTCAGCTGCAGCAGCAACGTGGCAGCCACCTTTTGCAGCAAGCTCACTAGGCCGCACAAGGGGTTCGCCAGTCAGAAAGGGGCCCGCCTCTTGCATGCCGCCCTCGTGGCTCTTTTTCTTTTGTTTCTGGAACAAACCCAATTCCGCGGTTGGGCTCGGATGTGGGCATGACGGCGGGACGGAAGGTTAAAAGGGTGCCAGGCGAGCAGGCTCAAGGGCCAAAGGCAAAAAGTCTCTCTGGAGTTGAACACCAGACAACCTGCCGGCGAGGTCGAATCCAGCAGTCAGGCCATTCGCCGGCGTATTGAGCGGCGAATTGATAGCAGCTTAGCGATTGATAGCTAATGACCAAGAACGACCCCAGAGAAAGGGGTAAGGCCCTAGAAGATGAAACGTGGTCAGCCATGGTCGCAGCTTGCAGGTAACTGCGTCTAGCTTGTTAGGGGCCAAGGGCGCAGTTAGAGGATGGGACGGCGCTCGATGGGCGATGGGGATGGCGGACGGTGATTGAGCCAATTTTGGACAGGATCAGGGAGACATGGTGCTTCTTTCCTTTTCGTTAGGAGCAGCCGTGGAAGTCTGCGGTCCCTATGATTTGCAAATTGTCGCCCAAGGGGCCGAGTGCAAGTACCAAGTAGTCCGACCCACGAGCTACCTCGGACTCGTAATGTGTAGAAGAAAAAGAAAAGGAAGGTTGAAGATTGTGAGAAAAGAACTGGCCCCAGGCTCCAGGCTCCGCCGGTCGGGAGATGAGATGTGTGCCAAATTTTCCAATTGGCAGCGACTGCAGTTTCGGTTTGTCTGGGTCTTGGTTTGACTTTGGCTTTGACTTTGCCATGTGCTTTGCCAACTGACCAGTGATGAAGGCTGAGGCGTGATGACGGAGAGTCACCTACTAGTAGTAGTAGGTAGAGGTGGATGGGGAGATGGATGTGTGGGTGTGTGTGCCATGTGGATATGTGGAATGCCTCGCCATCTCTTCTTTGTTGCCTTTTTCTGCTTGACAAAGTTGACATGCTTGTTCCTTGACATCCTTCCTTGTACGGGGCCGCCTTCGAGAAAAATCCGTCCATCATTTCATCTCGTGGAGTCGTGGGCGTCTCGTATTCTTCTGCATTCCTTCTGTTCACTACCAGGTAGCCTTCTCCCTCCTTAACCGCCACCCCGTCAATCGTCGCCTTCCGTCCCGCCCAAGCCGCCTCCAACGTAACGTAACCTCACTTCAATCAAATCAATTGTCGTTCGCCGCACTGACGGCTACCAGCCTACCACCCTTCTCATATTTCCCTGTGCAGATCCGATTGACAGTCCAACTTCAGCAAACTGGAGTACCAGCAAGGAACCGCATCCCCCCCCCTGGTCCCCTGTCAGAAAGGTTGGCCTCCGCCTTACCAGACTAAACAACGTTAGAAGGCACACTTGATGCTCGGCTATTGCATCTTGTGCTATTAGGACCCTGACCGCCGTCTTAAGTTCTCCAAGTCTTGACTCTCATGTCCGCATCATTTATCGCTATCCCAACTGTGGCAGCCTTTTAGTCGTTGCCCCCGAATTCTTTTCTGGCCCGTTCCAGGCTTCCCGGAGCCTTTCTGCTCTGTTTCTTCAGCATCTCGACAACCACACCTCCAAAAGTCTCTTTCTCCAGCAGAGTTTGTCGCCTTGCCATCCTGTTCCCCATCTTCTTGGGCTTGCGGCTTTTGACCTCCGGCAAATAACCGTCTGATAGCAACATTTTCTGAACGTCTCCCCTCCGTGCCAATATCTTTGGTTTTTGGATCTGGACGCTCCGCGATATCTTCCACCATCCTAACTTGCCGACGCGCCCTCTCTTGGTCTCCCAACCTCGGTTGTCCAGCTAGGCAGATTCTGATATATGCTAATTGAACTGCCATGTGGCTTGAATGAACCTCAGAATTGGTTCAACAGCCTGATCATCAAGCTCAACTCAATCCCGTAAATCTTTTCACCGCCATCCATCCCAGCGGAAATCCGTCGCACACCCTCACCACATACCGACGACCACACTATAGGCCACCACGGTGCTCTTGCTTTCGATACCCGCGATTAATTGTGTCGCCTGTGTTGCAAACCCTATGTTACTTCCTGCCGTGTCGGGACTGTCTTAGTGGAGGATTTTGTTCTGTTGTCTTTTTGTTTCGACTGGTCAATGGGGAATTCTCAGGGCAAGCCTGTGGTCTTGACCGATGAAGGTGAGGGTCTTGCGCCAAAGCATCAGTCTGAAAGCAAGAGATTATGTGCTCACAGTTCTGCCAGTCAACCTCAACCATTTTCGTCTGCTAAGAGTCGTGGGCAAAGGAGCCTTCGGCAAGGTTCGCATTGTAGAGCGCAAAGACTCAGGCTTGACATTCGCCCTTAAATACATCCGCAAAGATGAAGGTTCGTTCTGATCCCTGATTCAACCAAGCGAATCATAGGGGTTTCTCTGACGATGCCACAGTGGTTCGTTCCGAAAGCGTACGCAATATTATCAGAGAACGGCGGATGCTGGAGCATCTTAACCACCCCTTCTTGTGCAATCTCCGCTACAGTTTCCAAGATGTCGAGTATTTGTATCTCGTGGTCGACCTGATGAATGGTGGCGATCTTCGCTTCCACATCCAACGAAAGTCCTTCACCGAAGACACCATCCGCTTCTGGATGTCCGAGCTGGCTTGTGCCCTCCGGTATATCCACAGCCAAGGCATTGTGCATCGCGACCTCAAACCGGATAATGTGCTGCTAGACTCGGATGGTCACGTCCATCTGGCAGATTTTAACGTCGCATCCGACTTCAAGCCTGGCAAGCCTCTGACTAGCAAGTCAGGGACCTTGGCCTATCTCGCGCCCGAAGTGTTCAGAGGTTCGGGATATTACAGCGAAGTGGATTGGTGGTCGTTGGGTGTCACCATGTACGAATGTGTCTATGGGAAGAGACCATTCGAAGGACGCACTCACGAAGAATTGGTCGACGCCATCTGTGCGGCTAATCCGCGGTATTTTGTCACGAAGCCCCCCGTGTCGATGCCATGCCTTCATGCCATGACAAATCTGATCGAGAAAGACCGACGACAACGCATCGGCGCCACTGGATTCGACACCTTCACCTCGCATCCCTTTTTCAGTTGCATCAATTTCGAAGCGCTGGAGAGAAAGCAAATCCATCCCGTGTTCATTCCCTCTAGTGATAAGACGAACTTTGATGCCACCTACGACCTGGAGGAATTACTGCTGGAAGAGGCCCCGTTGGAAGCTCGAGCGCGGAAACAGAAGCCGCGCGCAGAATTGCGCAATGATGCTACGAGCAAGGAAATTCGAGAAGATGAGCTTCACCGCATGATTGAGACCATGTTTGAGCCTTTTGACTATACCCTGGCTAGTTATGACGTGTAAGGACTGGCTTCTCCCGGTCACAGTTGAAGACGACGCTAACCGATAACACAGGAGTGCTGCTGCGGCGGTTGCTGGCACCGTGCCCGAAGAACACGTTGAATTAGACATGGCACAACCAGAATCACATTCTATTCCCACGTCGCCAGATGGATCACCACCGATCTCGCCCACCGCGGTCACGACACCTTCGCGAGAACAAGAAAACTTTGGACCATTAGAGGAATTGAAAGCGGCAGTGCCGCAACCACAGCCACCCGGCCCACCTGGACCAACTGGACCACATGGGCCACCAGGTCGACCTGCGTCTTCGTCGAAATCATTCAGCAGACCGATTCCTCCGCAGCGACCGATGCCCGCCCAACGGCAGCCAAGCAAAGGGGGCGGAGTCCAGATGGTGTTGGATGAGTCGGGAAGTTGGACGAATCTGGCCGATCAGACCAGCCCTCATCAACAAGACGTAATACTGGGTGATGGCGGGAAACTTGAGAAGAGCGGCAGCATGCTAGGATTCTTGAGCAGGAAGAAAGGAAGGGATCGAAGTCCGAAACCAAAAGAGGCAGGCGTACTAGGCAAGGTTGGAGCACGACATATCATCAGCTGAACCCAGACGGCGGCGGCAACCGCAAACTTTCTCTCACGTCAGACATGACCAGATCGAACGGAATGCGAATTTGTTTCGACGTGGCTGGCTCCTTGAGGCCTGAATGCGTCAAGGATCTCGGCCTTTCCACAATAACAGCACAAAAGCTGGCAGATCGAATATGGGCCGGCACGACGCACAATCGGCCAGGGCCCGCCTTGCACGATTCTTCACTGTGGGTCAAGAAGCAGTCTCGACCGGCTAAAGACACCAGTGGACAGCAAAACCCGCCACAGCCATTCCCAGGCAGGTCACGGTATGACGGGAATCTATATGGGACAGTATGTCTCGACTTCAAATTGACCATTACAACAATCTGAAGCTGATATGAAGCTTGAGGATTAGAGGGAAACCGGCGGCAGGGGGTTGGAGGCGCACATTGTATGACTAGCCAGAATGGCCAATATGTAATGCTACAAGACTCAGCATGCTCCGTGGCAGCAAGCCATACACAGGACACCAAATATAATAATTATTCCGCTACGGTCAAAGGAATTGTTTATTGTTGTGTTGTGTGTGTCTAGAGTAGTAGTTGTAATTAGTAGTAGTACCGAGTAGGTGGTGAGGGTCGGTTGTTGCCCGGCACAAAGACGAGCCAGTGCAGCTTGGGGACCCACCGCAGCCACCAACACAAGCTCCCAGCAAGAGTCCAACTGCTGCTCTCCAGAACCGTCCAATGTCAACACTCGAAACCAATACACACACTCACTCCCTCACTCTCCCTCACTCTCACCTTGGTTCAGTGTGTCTCTGCTTCTTTGTGTTGCTGCTCACTTGTGCTGGCCCTACTGCACATATCCTTTATTGAGCCACTATTATGTGCACCTCTTAATCCCGGTTGTTGGAGTTGGAGGCGACAAAACACCAGGCGCGTCTGTCGCGTGGTCGGAACCCCTCCCTGCCATCCTGCCATCTTGCCATCCTGCCATCCTTCAACCACCGCTCTCGCCAGCCAACCTCCAGCCGGCAAAAGACAATCGCCTCTATCCTTATGAATGGCTGCCGCTGTATTCGTACCTCCCTCGCCTCACGATCTTCTCTCCAAAATGGCGACTTCCTCTCGTCGAGTTCCGCTGGCCAGCATTTCCAATGCTACCAACTCTCCCCACCGTCCACTCACCAACAGCAGCTCTAAGCGACCCAGGAGCATAGCCAATGTGTCTCAGCAGGAGAATGAACCTCCTCACAAACGCCTCGCCATCGACAGGACCGGTCGCGAGGTCTTCAATCCAGCGACCCCTCAGAAACAATCCCATCCGCCCTTGCCGGAGGGTCGCGTCTTTGAAAGAGGCCATGGAGAGTCTGCTTCGACAGCTTTCCAAAGAAGACTGGTGGCTGCCAGGGACAGAGACCGCACTGCAGGTCTTCGTGTGACCAAGAATGTTGATACTCTTCCCAAAGAAGACACGGCCGAGTTCAAAGCGTGGCAACGACATTATCGAAAATTGTTTCCCTCCTTCAGGTTCTACTTTGATGGATTTCCCGAGGATGTCAAGTCACGCTTCCTCCGGCACATAACAGCTCTCGGGGCAGTATGTTTTAGACATGGGCGTCTCAATCAGTGCATTTTGCTAACGTTGGTGTAGAAAGAAGAAAAGTTCTTTTCAAAAGCCGTCACCCACATCGTAACAGCTCGCCATATTCCAGCGGAGCTGGCTAAGAACACTTCCCCTGGAGAAGAATCTGCGCAAACATCTCCGACTGAAGACCAGCCTCAAACCATCAATCCATCTTTGCTCGAAAAGAACCCTCGCGGATCTGCCGGCCCCAATGTGACGCGCACTACCGTCAACCCGATGGATATCCTTGTTAGAGGGAAAGAGATGGGCATGAAAATCTATTCCATTGACAAGCTGCAAAGAGTACTCAACTCTATTCTCGATGACGCGGCAAATCATGGCCATCATACCCGAGCATCAGCACATACCACGCGACATCAGCGTGAAGACTTGGGGGAAGTTTTGAGAAATGAGAAACTCGGCGTCGCGTCGGAGAGGGAACTCCCATTTATGTCTTTGGTCGCGTTCAAAGGTCCATTCATCTATGTTCATGACATGGATGAAAAGCACCGTCCCACCTTGGTCAGGGAGTATCCGAAGGTGGCACGGAGGGCTGATGGCGAATGGCCTCAATTTCGATCTGCCAGTGTTGGGAAATGTCCATTCGTTGAGGACCCTGCTATGAAGAAGGATATCGAGCAGGAACAGAAACGAGCCCAGAAGCTTGCCTTGCAGCAGGAACAACAGCGTCAGCAACAGCAACGGCGTGAACAACATGTACCTCGCACCCGATCCCATGTTACTGTTGCCGCCGCAGGTCACGATGCTCCCCGACGTGCTAGCCCAAGGAAGGCCCTGCAAACGGTCGACAATGGTGCAAATGCATCCGTCGATCTAGAGAAGGAGAAGGAATCCAAGAGCCACTCGCTTGTTATGGAACGTCAGCCATCATTCCCTCCCATGCCGAGGCGAGGCGACCTCGAATTTGTCCGCCCGCCGCAGCTACACATGGCTCGAGAACCTGCAGCATCCGGGATCCAGAGATCCAATCTTACATCGGCTATTCAATCCCAGGTGATTTCTTCGACAGCGGCCACGGGAGCCAAAGCCGGCACGAGCAAAGAGGTGCATCACCAATTGCAGCGCCAGGTCCTTGAGCGCACCCATACTGGAAGCCTTTCTGTTGGGTCTATTCCGTCATCCCACCGCATGAATGACCTTGCCGGGGTTCTTAAGAATGCCCGGGGTACCGCTCCGCAAAGGGCAGCCAAAAGCAAAGCACAAGAGAAATTGGGCGGGATCCAAGAAGAAGCAGACTCCCATGCCGATGACATCGCGGCTGAACGCGCCACACATACGTCGAGGAAGAAGAAGTCTGTCAAGAAGGAGGCCAAGCCAGGGTACTGCGAGAATTGCCGTGACAAATATGATGACTTTGACGAGGTAAGATGGTGAAACCCCGGATCAAGGCCAAAAGACTGACTAGAAAATAAGCATATTGTGTCCCGTAAGCACCGAAAGTTTGCAATGACTCAGTCGAATTGGACGGAACTTGACGCCCTTCTCGCAAAGCTCCAAGCCTCTTGAAAGATGATGGGGAGCTTGGTGGGCTCCCGGGAGGACGAATGCGGCACTCCTCCGTGAGTCCTGATGAGCGACAGCATTTCACTCACTTTGAAATATATATTTGCTTTTTGCGTTTTAGCGGTTGCTATGGTTTATACTCGAAGCACCAGCAGAGCACGAGACAGCCTAACTGCAAAGGCTGACTGTTGGAGGACCATCGCTCGTACTCCAGCCTTGTCGGACGACCCAAAATCTAATCATATTGCGTAAGAATCTATTCTTTGTTCCAGTGCGGCAATGAAGGGGTGTGGAAGAGCGTGATACACGAGATGATGAAGGGAATGGCTGTCCACGAAGTTCAGAAAATTGGTGTATCTGATGTTCCTGGTCTCTCAATTCCGACGAAGTTGATCGTGCCTTGTTTTCCTCGTTTCTTCCAAAGTGTCCCCGGGATGGTGTATGAAGAGTGTCTATCCGTATTGGTGGCACCGATAAATATGCAGTGAAGAGCTCAAGGATACCTCGACCCTCATTTCCGTGGTCAATTGGGCCTCCACGTCTGATTTCGAGGCTGGAGACGACATTATATGTGTTCTCAGCGACGTCGGCACTAATTGAAGTGGCCGCATGTTGGGAATTCCAGTGGAGATTTGAAGACCGGCTTTGTTTGCTTTGAAGGTGGTCCGTGCGAACTCGATACCTATCTTCCACGGCCTTTACCGATTCGGCCACTTTGGAAGAGAGCTCAGTCCTCATTGTCGCAAGAGGGCTGCTATCCACTTTCACTTACATATCCGCCGTCTAGGGCCGAACTATCTCTGGACAATGAAACCTCCCTTTGTCCCATTGTCGATGCTCTCAAGGACTGAAGTACGCCTTCGAGAATACCGGATCCGGTCTCGAGATCTCTTTGACTCGAAAGAAAACCACCCTTTCCGATTCTGTACCATGGCCGCTATGGGGGATGGGGGGGAAACATCTGCGCGAGCGTTCTGCTTTGTGCTTACAAGTTACATGACTGCGTTGTGGTCCGACACTTACCCATTGCCGACCATGCTTTGAGATATCTCAGCCAGCTGCTAACGCCCCAGTCACATTTTTTATTACTTTGGTTGTCGAGTCGTTGTCCCACCATGAAGGTTAGAGGTCTCCCAGGTGTCAATATCCGCATTGCAACGACGCGTAACGACCCTTACGAGCGAGCAGGATGGACCAAAGATAAAGACAGAACAATAAGGCGAGTGCGACGGTGGAGGGACGAGCATGAGTGGTACGATGGACGAGTGGAGGCATTTGTCCTGTCACGGTCGTTCCTAGAATTCGACCGTGAAGACGATTATATGTGGGAGGTAATGAATGGCCTGATGCCGATCTTCGCACAAGACACTCTTTCCTCGGGAGACCCTGCCTGGCTAATACCTACCGTTTTCTATCATTTAGTGTACGGACATCCTGGGCCGCGGGGCCTTTGGGATGGTCGGCAAATGGACCAAATTTGACAAAAACGGCAGGGCTGTCGATGTAAGAGGAGATTTTAGACCCGTGGTGGTCTATTGTTGGAGGGGGGGTCGTGCTTTGCTGACATTTCATCATCCCACTTAGGATATTGCTATCAAGCAAACTGTACTCGACGGCCGTGAGCTTGATGAGGAAGGCAGACCAACTGTACCCACCGAGGCCGTGCTGGTGAAAGCGCTGGTGGATCAAGGGTGTCGAAACGTTGCGAGACTGCGCGACATGAGATACTTTGACTGCGACCGACCCAAATGGAGGCTGTACCTCGAATACTACCGATATGGGACCTTGCATGACCTGGTCCAGACCTACCGGCGGCGCAACAAACGGGGTAATTATGAGTAAGGCGTCCTCCTTCCAAAAAAAATCCACAAAAAAGGAAACATATTTGCTGACACGTTGATGGACGCAGTGATCGGATTCCAGAAGCCTTTATATGGCAAGCATTCCACGACTTCGCCCAAGCGTGTTATCACATGAAGGTTCTTCGGCTGGATAGCCTTGGAGGCAGCACGCCCCGGGGCGACCATTTCGCTCTGCACCTGGACTTGAAGGGACAGAACGGTATGTTGCTCATGTTCACACAGCCACCACCAAAATGCCCCGGGCTAATGAGAGAATGGTGCTAGTTCTGCTGGGAGACGCGCCAGGAAACGAGAAGCTTATGCCCTACCCGACGCTGAAAGTTGCCGACTGGGGCTGCGCTGAGTATACGAGCCTTGACGATGAGAGGAACAGCAAGAAATGGAAGGGTAACGGGACGATTTGTTGGATGCCTCCGGTAAGCTCCACCTGCCACATCTCCTGCCCTTTTCCCCCTTTCCGTTGCACAGTATCCCAGTGTGAACAAATGAGATACTCATGTCTCGCTTTGCAATTCCAGGAACAACGAGAATTTGGTCGTTACGGCGAAGACTGGGAGCGGCGCATCTTGGGAAATCGAGACCACCCTTTCTCGATGAAGCACGTCGTCTGGCAAATCGGCGCCAACATCTACGGGCTGATGACCTTGGACTTGGACAACGACGACCTCAACGCGCGGGTCAACCAAGCCGAAGGGATGGAACACATGTTGCGGAAACACGACTACTCGCCCTTGATGGGGTACCAGAGTCGAACTTACTCATCCGAGTTGACCAGCCTGGTGGACGATTGTGTGAGGGTGGATCCCGCGAGGAGACCGAGTCCGTACGAGTTGGTACAGAGGACGCAGGAAGGCTTGGCGCGGTTTACGGACAGGTATCGTAGGACGGGAGAACATCCAAAGCTGAAGCTGTAGACCATTCTGCACATATGTATTCCCAGTACCTAGCTAGATAGAAGATTTGTCTGCAACCAGCGTCGTAATGAATTAATTGTCTGAAGCATCTTGATCCGGACTAGTGCGATCTGCAGGTGGATCTTGATTGATCGCGCAATATGATTGGTTCACGCGCTTTCCTCTGCCAATGCAGCAAACTGCGGAGTTTGCGAAAAGGCATGTCCTCGACGTACCAGCTCTCTTACAAGCCACTGCTTGCTATCTACCGCCGCTGAGACGTTTAGAAAGCCGTTTACTCAGAAATCCCGCGAGAACGATGAGCTAACAGTCCCGCATCTCAACTTCCCACGCCTCACCACCGACAAGACACCCTCTACAAAACAATCATGACCTGCAGCAACTTCCAATCCTCCTTCCCCTTCCGCCGCTTAGTCCGCGAAGCCTCTCGCGCAGGTTCCCGCGAGATCCCCTCGTTCCTCGTCCCGGCGCTGTCGCCGACTCTATCTCGACCACTTGCCAGAAGGCAAGCCTCGACGCTCGCTGCTGAGGTCGCTGAGCCCCGAACCCAAACCCCGAGCTACCAGTCCCGCATCGGGAGAGCCCCGATCAACGTGCCGCCTGAAGTGTCGTTAAGGTTTTACGAGTTGCCCAAGGGGAATGTAAGGAGTCGGCATCCAGATACGCCGAATGTGGCGTTGGAAGTTACGGGGCCTTTAGGTAAGGACCTTGGAACAGAGAGAACCCCTGGAGGAGCAGGAAGGCGCAAGGGAAGAGGAAGAGAGGTGCATTGAGCTTTGAGAGAACCCTGGGAGAACGACGCAATAGAAAGACAAAAAGGTTCATTGAGCTTTGGGGCTGACTGGCGGTATGATAGGACAAATGACTGTGCCTTTACCGCCGTATCTACAAGCCGAACTCGACGAGTCTGCGAAGAAGATCAACATCAACGTCAAAGATGCGGAGGAAAAGCATCAGAGAGCCATGTGGGGTGAGTCTAACGGTCCATAACTCCTCCGTCGAACAAGAAGTCAAAACAGAATGCACCGGGAGGAAAAGGAGAGCAAAATCGTGCTAACAAAGAAATTCCCTCTTCTGTGGTATTTAGGGACAATGCGCGCGCTCGTCCAGAACTCCGTCTCCGGGGTCTCCGAAGGCCATCTCTGTATCCTTCGACTCGTGGGCGTCGGCTACCGTGCCACGATCGAAGACACCGCGCAGACCAGGTCCCCCGAATACCCCGGCCAGAAGTTCGTGAACCTCAAACTCGGCTATGCGCACCCGGTCGAGATGGGCGTACCGAAAGGTGTCAAGGCCTCGACCCCGCAACCGACCCGGATTTTGCTCGAGGGTTGTGATAAGCAGGTGATCAAGCAGTTCGCGGCGGAGATCCGGAGGTGGAGGAAGCCCGAACCGTACAAGGGCAAGGGGATTTTTGTGAACGATGAGACGATACGGTTGAAGGCGAAGAAGATCAAGTAGGCGGGCAATCAAATGGGAAGAGGAGGGAAGGGAAGACGGAATGGAGAAAGTATGGCTGCTCTGGTAGGAAATCGGGGCTGGGACTTGGAAAGGTATTGTCTGTCCAGGAACAGCTGTCCTCAGGACCAGCATCAGAACTACCAGCTACCAATACCAACAGCACCAGGCGACCAGATGGCGACAGGACCCGGTGCAATGCATCATCATCTCTCCGCCAAGAACGCACGTGTTCTCCATTCCATGGATGTACATATATCTATCTACACGCAAAGCCAGCCCGATTCTACCGTGGAAGGAGAGATTGCAGAATATAATGGGGATTTTCCCCTCTCTGTCCACCTATATGCACGGGACCGGGTGAATTCAGAACTTTCCTTCCAAGGCACCACCAAGTGGCCATCATCGTCATCATCATCACCGTCTCACAGGTGTGGATGGATGGATGAATATAATAAGTGCGTTGTACGTCCCCAAGGGGCTTCCAAGGCTCAGTTAGGGGCTGTAAGGAAGAATCCAGACTCCAGACTCGTTTTCAGAGGTAGAAACCCCCTGGTTTAGGTACTGTAGGGAAGGGTACGTCTGGTTCTCTATCTGTGTACTTCCGAGTCTGTATGTAGGCATGTAGCTCGTTTAGGGGTTTGGTCTATACCGCCGCGCTTCTTCTTCTTCTTCTTCTTCTTCTTCTTCCGTCTTGAACGCTTTTGGGATTTCTTTTTTTCTTGCCTCTGATTCTTCTTCATCTTCTTCTCTTCATCATAGCCGTAACTCTATCATGTCAGGTAGATAGAGAGGTCTAGGACTTGACGAGATATGGGGTAGCGTAGCTGTAGCGTGCAATCACCCGGCCCAGACACACACACCCATTCATTCAATCATACATTCATTCCTTGGATCATTTCATCCATCTATCGACTCGTTCATTCGATCAATCACATCAGATCACTGTTTGAACTCATTCTTCTTCGAGCTCTTCTCTATGCCTCTACCTCGTCTTCTTCTTCACGGCCTATTTCACCGCCAATACCTCCTGGACCGTCTTGAGGACCTCTGCGTGCACGTTTGCCGGGGAGGCCACAACGCCCTTGTTCTCAGTGAGGGTGCGGCCAAGACTAAAGTTGAGTCTCTTGCCAGCGACATCGGTCACCTGCCCACCAGCCTCGCGCACGATCAGGTCGCCAGCGGCGTGGTCCCAGATCTTTTCAATGTAGTCCTTGCGCACGGGCAGGCGCAAATACAAGTCGCCGGCGCCGCGGGCCACGCTGCCGTACTTGGCCTGGCTGTCCATCTGCACGGGTTTGCCGGTAATGCCCAGTTTTTCGGCGATCAGGGCGTTGTCGCCCTTGGAGGAGTGGCCCGGTTCGACGGACTCGCACATGACAGCCTCGCTTACTTTGGAGATCTTGCTCACGTGGATGGGGTGGCCCTGAGTAACGGCACCACTGGTCAAGGGTTGGGAGGTCGCGCCTTGGCCCTGCACAGCGGAGAAGAGAACACCCTTTCCCTCAGTGTCTGTGGCGGCGGCACCAATATCTTCGGTGAGCGGGGCCGAGTCATCGACGGGGAGGTTTGGGCAGCCTAGCACGCCGACTTTGACGTCGCCGTCAACCATGAGGGCAAGGCACACGGCGTATTGTCCGCCTCGCAGAAACCCCTTTGTGCCGTCGATGGGGTCCAGCGCCCAGATGCGGCCCTTGTTGCCGCCGGCCGAGTTCCCCTGGTCGATGGCATCGAGCATGGCTTCTTCAGACTTGAGCGGGCCGCCGAGCAGGGCGTCGCTCTCGGGGTCACTGAGTCGGGCATCCTTGACCAGGTTCCAGATCTTGGAGGAGAGATCCTTCTGCTCACGCAGAGACGAGGCCTCCTCTTCGCCGACCACTTCGTCGGCGGGGAAATTGTGCTTGATGGCGGCGATGATCAGGGCCTGGGCACCGAAATCGCCGATCGTCACGGGCGACTTGTCGTCCTTGGACACGGTGCCCTTGGCCTTCTCGTGGAAGACGGCCTTGGTGAGAATGGCGGCGCGAGCAACGGCGAGTTGCGCGACCTTGAGCTCCTTCTCGTATGCCATGGTGGTGGTGGTGAACGTGTTTCTGGCGTTATTGTTTTTGTTGGTGTTGAGGATATTACTGCTGATCGCGTGGGGGGAGGAGCTTCGTTGGATGCCAAGCCCCGATATGAAGCTTAAGAAGGCGGTGGAGGGTGATGCGGGCGGAAATTGAGCGATCAATGCACGCAGGCGAGGCAGCAGAGATGAAGTTGCTGCTGGACGGCGAGGCGATGCCAGGATGAGAGCGAGGATCAAGATGGCAGCGGAGCAGAAGAGGGTGACGAGGGCAAGAGGAGCGGGTCGACGGTGGAAATGGATGCGATGGTTGGGATTGAACAAGAGCATCGACGTTCATATCACTCACCGCCAAAACCGGGGATTGAAATCCTCAGGCTCGCCGCTCTCTCACCGGCAATCGACAAAACCTACTGTTGGATTATGGAGGGGCAAAGGTCAAGCAAGCACTTCAGTCAGACAGAGACAATCTTAAGCTGCGCGCCTGGGTCGCCGCCTGCGCCTGCAGCAATGCAGTGTCAGTCACAATCAAAGTTCGTGGGATTGCATGCACGTCAATCTTGGCATGTTTCCTTCTTCCCGCAATTTGACACAGAGTTCAATACATGCTCATCGTTGTTTGTTTTTGTTCTTGGGGTTGTTTGTTGTTGATATTGTTGTCGGAGAGGCTTGATTGAGAGCGGAAATCATCAGAGGACCAGCCTTCCACACGGCCTTCCGCAAAGGAGCTGGGACTGCGCCATGTCTTATCTTGTTGCAGAGCGCCGGTTCTTGTAGTTGATCACGCAATCCCGCCATCGAATTGGCACATCCCTACTCGGTAGGTACATTTGTACGTGCCTCGCTGTCCAAGGCCGCCGGTGTGGCTTGACTCCATCTCGAAGTCCTTCCTAGCATGGATCAGAGGGGCGTGTCTGCTCGGTTGGACGAAGCCGAAGCCGGTTCGGAGTACGGAGTGATTGGGAGTACTTTATGCAGGCACCACAGATCCAGTTGACGCCGGTGGCTTGAGAGCATCCAGAAAGCATAATCACACCCCAGGGACTACGAGTGACACGGGTACATGTGTTTCTCTGCTTGTATCGGCAGGATCACAACTGACGGATTCGTGTGGGTTATGATGTGGTGCTCTGTGTATGTAATGGAAGGAATCTTCTTTGCTGTCGCATTCTTAGGTAAACCAGCCCCATTCGTATAACAACAACACTGGTGGAAATAGAAACAATTCTTGTTCTGACCACCCATTTGCATGGAACATATTACCTCGTAAAGAATCAGCCTAGCCGTGCGCCCTGTTCGTTGTTCGATGCTCACATCTTGCCCCTTACAGTGTGACCACCCAGCCTCCCAGGTGCAACCGTGAGACTCCAATCCCACAAAGGAACGGGAGATGCTTCGCGTGCACCCCAAGCGTAGGCGAGTCCTGCTGTTCGACGCCATGTGCTTTGACCATCATCGGATATTGCCAGTCCGTGAGGAAAAAGGCACAAACGTTCGGCTACCGCAAACATCCGGCCGGTCGCATCGAATTTGCTTTTTCCCCTCCTGAGTACGAGGTATTACTGACCTGCGGTCGGCTCGAACAGATGGCTACGTGTTTACTCGTATCTTGAAGAAAACAACCCATCTCGGAAGGAAGATTCTGATTGAGCCAGGCGGTGTGGCCTCTCTTGACGGACGAACCACATATGAGGAACAATGCGTGTGGTCGAAAGGATTCAGCTAGCCTCCTCCTCAACCCAGGCACTATCTCCCTCGTTTGGGACGGTCGCTCACTGGATCCAGATCCTTCGCGTCTCCACCACTTGACTTTCCGCGTGCCTCGTGGCACTTGGGACCTGCGCTTACCCTCGTAGACCAGGCACCGCGACCCAGATGGGCCAAAGTCTAGTATTATTCATATGCAATATGCCCGCTCTTGAATAGTGCCATGTCGGCGAAAATCTGTCAATCCACGCCGATGTTGAGATTGGGAGGAAAAGGCGACGGCTGTGAGGAAAGCTCTGAGGAGCGGGACGATGGCCTGCCAGGTACGAGCAGGTTGTGGTTTCCCTGCTTGGTTTTGCTGGCTGTCAACAGGCTGTGTTGGCGTCAGATGGGATTCAGACTCCAGAGTGATGTGAGAAAATACGAGTCATTTTCGGTCTGTTTGTCTGTTTGGTTGTTTACCTGACTCTGGGGCCCAATGGAATCATCAAAGTTTCTTGGGCACTGCCTTTGATCCCCATTGACGCCAAAATTGACTTCCCTTCCTTCGAAAGCAAGTAATTTGCCCCCAGAGGGTCACTGCTGAGTGGGCGCGATTCCCGCGAGAAGTGGGTTAATGAACCGGTAGTGGCAGCAGTGGGGATCGAGGGGCGTGGACCACCGCCTAGAGAGCCAGCTTGTTAGCAGTGACGGCCCCCCTTAGCAGTGAACCCCCAAAACGCCTCTCAAGCCTGTTTTTGCAGGTGACCGTCAGGGCCCGTCACTGACTGGGCCCTGTTCTGCGCCTTTCCTTTCCGGGCTTCCCAGGCCACTAGGCCCCAATGCAGCAAACCATCCACCATCGATGTTCCAACCCGTTCACACCAGAATGCTCAACCCCCAATTTACCAGTCTCATTTCCGTACGCCTCTGACCAACTTGCGCAGAAGACCCTCTATAACCATGTTCTCCGCCTCGGTGAGTTCTCTCTCCTTCTATATCATCTCTTATTGTCCCCCTGTCTCTGCCATGTCGTGACCCTGTTTCACCTATCTCCATCCCAAAGTCACCTACCCCGCCATACCACTGCCCCCAATGAAGCCCACAATGTCGATATTCCTGCTGCACGCTCCAGCATGTGCTCCTGATGCTGGATTCGTCGACCTTCCTAGACCTGAGAGTCCCGACAACACAGATCCCTACGAGGTGGAAACGTTGCTCCATTGTGAAGAGACGGAGGAGTGCGACCGGTGCGCTCGTAAGAAGAGGAGGACCTTCGACGCCTATCCCCAGCAGCCATACCCTGAGATACTTGTTCGCCGGTTCCCCGACAAGAAGGGCTACAAGCGCGTTGTTGCCCTCGTCTTACATTTCTCGTGCTGTGCACGATCCCGCAGAAGATACCAACTAATCACTCGTTATCGTTATCATAAACAGAAGAAACCATATTCTGCCATCTCGGTCCATGTCGAGCAATTGACCTCCGAAACTTACGACGAAGACGATCTTGCCGGTGTTCCCGATCTTCTCGAGGTCGTCAAGCTACAGGCTACGGGTCCGCAGGAGGTAGCTCGAGCTCTGAGGAAGAAATTGAAATATGGCAATGTACACCGGCAACTCCGGGCTCTCACGATTCTTGATGGTCTTCTACAAAATGGCGGAACAAGGGTACAGCGAGCATTGTTGTCTGATGGTCCTCTGTTGGAACGGCTCCGGATAGCTGCGGCTGACCCTACTTCTGACCACGATGTCCGCACGAAATGCAAAGATCTCTTCGGACAGTGGGTTGCGAGCTCGAAAGACAATCCAGGCTTGGAAGGAGCCAAGTCCCTCTACAATACATTGCCCCGAACACATCAGCCTGTTCAGCAACGGCGCGAGCAAAGCAGGGTCCTCCGGGAAACAGAAGAGGAAGTCGCCAGAGAACAGGAGATGGAGATCGCCAGAACGAGGTCCGATAGCACCCAAAGATCTGGCGAGCAGTCCAGCCCCACGACACTACGCAAGCAGCCTTCTCCCGTGGCACTCGGGGAGTCGTCCACATTCGCGCCCAAAAAGGTCAAGAAGGACAAGAAAAGCAAGCAAGCCAAGGGCGGTTTCAATCTGGAGAAAGAAAAACCTAACATCTTGCAATCGATCGCGGCATCTTCAGTTGCTTCCACTGGATTGACCAATGCCTTGAGGTTGGTCAACCGCGAGTCCCAGCGTGTATCTGACAACCCCGAGGTGATGAAACGCTTCGAAACCTGCAAGCAGCTTCGACGTCAGATTCTGCGATACATCCAATTTGTCGAGACCGAGGAGTTCTTGGGCGGGTTGATCCATGCCAACGAAGAGCTGGTCAATGCTCTGATGGCGTTCGAAGTTCTCGACAAGTCGGTCGATGATGACTCGGACAGTGAGCTTGAGGAAGCACAACATCTCAGTCGACAGGCAGCCAAAAGCGAGGCGTCTGCGGCGAGAGAGGCAGAGAAGATGGTTGCTGGTCTCAGCATTTCTGCTCCACCCAAACCTCCGCGGCCAGCTCCTGGCAATATCGCGATGCCGCCACCACGGCCATCGTCAAATTCCAAGAATTGGAGGGCCAAGCAAGTCGAAAGTGACAGCGAGAGCGAGACAGATGTCGAGGATGACCCGGATGATCCTTTTGCTGATAAAAACGCCATGAAAACCCCTGACCCTGATGCCCTGGGAAGAAAGGGATACAGCTGGAGGGAAGTATAGATCATCGTATGAGTTATGAGTGATGGGGTTTAAGCGGACCTTGGGGCACACAATATGTTGATTCCCTTCCATCGATAAAGCGGCGGACGACGCGCTCCTGCATTGATGAGGCTATGAGTTAATGACATTTTCAATATGCAAAAGCACCTAGGAACGACCAACTTCTTTTTGGTCCCTGGTTCCATCGATTCAACTCGCTAATAAATCGGCAGTTGATTATATCCCGATGCTCGTATTTTACCCCACACTTTTCAGCTCGAGGCCGAGGCGACTCCAGACTTATATACTAGGTAGCTGGAACCTGTATACTGAGAGCTGCAAACCTGTGTCATCTCCTTCCACCCTTTGATTGACAGAGCTCAACGTCAGCAGGTCTGCAGAAAAGCAAAAGCGAGTCGAGGCCATAATAATGGGGTCCCGAGACAACTACACCTTCGCCAACCAAGCCTCCATCCCGGCGCCCCTGGACAAACAGCTCCCAGCCTTCTTCCGCTCGTGGGACGATCCGCATTCCAATAACGACTACCTGAACCTATTCGCGCCCGAAGGCCAGCTGGTGTTTGGCTCGACCACGACGGGCCGCGAGGCCATCCGCGCCTTTCGCGACGCCATGATCCACCCGAGCAACGGGCCCGTCGTCGACCTCGAGCACACCCTGGACAAGTGTTTCGTGCTGGCGGGCGGCAACCCCGAGGGCGGCACTGGGAAACAAGAAGTCATTGTTAATGGGTCGCTGTGGTACAAGTTGCGCAACGGCCGCAGGATCGACGTCGACTTTGCTAGCTTGATTAAGTTCACAGACCCAGGCAAGGGCGGCGACCTGGAGGCTGAGTTTTATGAGGTGTATTTGGACGCGCATGAGTTGATGACCGCCATCAAGGAGATGAATGAGGAGGGGAAATGAAGGATGGACTTCCTTGTTCTTGTCCCTGGTTTCTTTTCCCGGTTGTATGTCTAATAGCTTTGCCTTCTCTGCCTGCGATAGGAAATGCTATGTCCTCTTCTCTTGCCAACCCCTTGATCGAAGAAGCGCGTCGGTAGCGTATGGTTGTCAGCACTATTATTCATCTACATCTGTTCCTCAGAAGCCATTCTGTGTCCGATCGGGTACCTGAACTCAAGGCCGGATTCCAGACGGCGCTTCGTTCAGCGGAAAGCGACCTTGAACCTTGACCGCGGGCATTCTCCCCACCAATCTCAAGCTGCAATAAGAGCGGCTGCTTTGTGTGGTTTTCAGCCTCAAGGCCAAGTCTTTGTAGCCTCGATCAAATCGAGATGTACCGAAACATAAGCCTGTCGCTACCCAAGGGCTGGGACACGGCAAGTGCGTGCCTCGGGTCTACTATTACTCAGCGACCCCAGCGGGATCGAATGATATCGCCTGTTCGTTGGAAGAATCGTTTAGTTGATTGTTTATTTAATCGGCGTGTCTCCGCCTTCTTTCTTCGTCCTCTGGGTTTCGTTCCGGCTTATCTAATATTCGTCTATGGATAGTCCCCAAACTTTCGAGGCACGTCCACTTGCCTGTTGATTGATCCGTGAGATTGGATCTCACCGGAGCTTTGACGAGCGAGATCCAAGACGGGCTTTTTCTATGAATCTGTTACGATATACGCGGTATACGGGTTACGATGTTGTTACTGGGTTGAAGACGGACAGCAGATACGGGGTTGTCGATTGGGAGCGAGTGCTGAATTTTTCTATACCTGTGAAAAGCCTAATTCGAGGCCCGGAGGTTTTGTGGCTTTGTAAGAGGTCGTACCTGCAGCTCACAGGTTACAACAAAGAAAGATCTGACCAACGTCGGCCTGAAGGAAAGGCAGGACACGCGTCATGGGCTTACAACGAATTGTCCAGCGCACCTCCCTCATAAGCAGGCACGAGCTGCTCTGGCGAGCTATGGTCATGCTCAATCCTTCGTCCAGGGCACTCTCATTTTCACCACGGACTTGCGGCAGAGGGTTGTTGATCGTCGCTCTTCACCATGTCTGCGAGCGTACATTTGGACGTCATTGTTGTCGGAGGAGGGATTGCCGGGTTGACGACAGCCTTGGCCCTGCGAAGGGCAGGTCATACCGTCACCGTTGTTGAGTCGTCTTCGTGGCTGCGCGAGGCTGGTGCCGCTGTTGTCGTCCCTCCCAATGCCGCTCGCGCGTTGATAAGATTCGGCATCGACGTCGAGAAAGAGGCCAAGGCTGCCCCGTTCAAGAACTCGATCGACTACCATTTCACCAACACCGACCGGCCGCCCAAGTTTGGCCCGGGAGGAGACGGGCAGCAGGTTCCCTGGGCACGACAAGCTCAATATTACCCCGGCCTGTTTTACCTCGCTCACAGGGTCGACCTGCACGATGCCATCAAGAGGAGGTGTGTCAGCCCCGACGGTCCTGGGGAACCGGTCCATGTCCTCTTGTCGTCGAGAGTCGTGGCATGGAATCCTGCAGGAAGTATCACGCTCCAGAATGGGAAGGAGATGTTCGCCGACCTTATCGTTGCCGCCGACGGGATCCATTCTGTAGCCCACGAAGCTATCCTCGGTCACAGAGTCCCCGCCACGCCTAGTGGGCTCACCAACATGCGATTTGTGCTGAAGACCGAGACGTTGCTGAGCAACCCCGATACCGCACAGATAATGGAGGATGGAGACGGCTGTTTTGCATTTTATATGAGTGCGGATCGCTCGACATATTTGCTTCGTTACCCTTGTCATAAGTCAGATACCCCCCAGACTTGCGCTCTCATGGTGTCTCGCGAAGAAATACTAACGCAATAATTTGTTAGTAACGAATTACAAAACTTTGGAGCGTACGGAATGGCGGAAGAGGGAGATGCACTTCTGGCTTTGAAGGGCGAACAACTCAGCAGAGACGCCCTGCTTGAGAGACTGAGCGCTTTGCCCCCGATGTTCCGAGCCATCGGTGAGATGGTTGAAGACACCGTTACGGACTGGAAACTCGGAGATCGCGATCCGATCCCAACATATTATCGCGATAGGTTGGTCCTGGTTGGCGATGCGGCTCATCCGATGTTTCCCAGGCAGGGACAAGGTGCAGCTGTCTCGATCGAAGACGGAGCAACTCTCGGAGTCCTCATGAGCGGGCTGCAGAGCAAGTCCGACGTGACGAAACGCCTGATGCTGAATGATGAGTTGCGCGTGCGACGAACATCCATTGTCCAGCTATTGTCTCGGTTTCGGATAGCCACGATTCAAGATAATGTGATCTTGGCAGACGAGATTGTACAACTGTTCTCTCCAGAACCTGCTCCCGGTTAGCAAGACCCTGGTCCTTCTACTTTGTTTAGCCTTGTTGACATTTCCTTTCTAGTCAATCAAGCCCAGATTGCGAAGTTTCTCTGGTCGTACGATTGCATAGAGCACACACAGTCTCTGTTGAACAACTGTACTTCGGTAAGATGTCCGTATCAATTTCGAGGGTGAAGATGCTGACCTGGAAGTCCGACACACTGCCCAAGACGATACAGGTCTCCGAGCCGCTACGTGTGAGTCTTTGATGAATGTAGTTCTGGCGGTGAGAATACTTGGCGCGCATGCTTGTGGGAGTGGATAAGATAATGAAGTACAGATACAGATCGTGTGGTCTGATTTGTGATCCTCCACCTTGAGAACCTTTCCCAACACTCGTGCTCGTAGGACAGTTTCCCTAGACAAAATGTCCGAGGCGTAGAGGTGGTGCTCAACTCGAAAGCCGGTACCAGACGGCCTGCAGAATCCTACAGCATGCATATCACATCCCGCTAAGCTGAGCTCAACTGACGGCGGCTCATCTATCCTGTACAGTGGGAAAGCAAGTTGTGAGGGTGAGACGATGTTCTGTGCTGAGGACTTCTCCATAATGTATCGCTTCTTACCCCTGAGCCACGGAGTTTGGCAAGGCTGAGCAGCTCAGGGTGAGGCTGAGCCGAAGCTGAGCCGCGTCGCCTGGCTATTGAATAAAGCGGCAGGTCACCGTCCAGGCTATCGGGCTCACTAACTTAATAGGCAAGTGGGCAGGCACCCCAGGCAAGTGGTGATGCAGCGGAGACCCTTGTCCTTAGCAGTCTGCGCCTGGACACACTTTCATAATGGGTTGCATCACCATCTGAGACTGTTTACCCTCTCCTCTCCATTCTTTCTCAAACCTCTCACCCATGTTTTCTGCAAAGCCCTTTATCCCTTTGAACCAGATGTTTGCCCTCCGAACACCAGATTACCTTAGAAACCCCAGACTAGCTCCGCCAAATCCAACATGATCAGCGCAAAGATCTCAGAATGGTCGACTCGGAAACTTCATCTGCGCAAACAGAGGTATGGGCAGAATTCCCGCTCCTCCTTGCCTGCCCATTTGCGCTGACCCTGTTGCCAGACTCTTCGAGTCCAATATTGTCCTCCGCTAGACGATGCCCTTTTCTACGCCATCGCGTCCGAGTACACGCTGCCCCAGGATAGGGCGGCCTTGACGTCGGTCCTTGATAGTCTGAAGGCCGGGGCCATTGAACAGGAGGACGCAGAGTTCGATCCTTCAGGTACAGGAGCTCCTGCAAACCTCAGAGAAGCAACCGACACGTCTAGGTCAAGCCCCGAGGATACCTTTTCAAACGATGTCACGAGCATAACCACTGGTGTCTCCGACTTGCGGTGGAACGACTCAGACGGCCTAGGACATGATCTAGACAACAACTCCTCCACCGAGAAGAAGACGGCTTGGCTGCGGCATGTGTTTCCCAACATCCCCAAGCGTGAGTTGGGCAGTGTTCTGGAGAGCCATGCAGGATCCCTTGACAAAGCAGTCGACGAGCTCCTCAACCTCTCCTTCCTGAACCAAGGGCTGGAAGAAGAACCAGAAGATGTGCCTGTTTTGAAAGGTGTGGACGGGTTTGCAGAAGATGCCCTCGCCCAAAGAAAAGGGAGGAAGAAACGAAAATATCGGACAAACGAGTCTTCGCGTGCGAGCTCAGCTTCCTCCTCGCCTTATGAGTCAGAGTCCACTCCTACTAATGTCTGGGCCACGATGTCGCAGGATGTCGACTTCATTTGTTCTAGGACCAAGCTCCAACCCCAACTAGTGCGGTCGATATACCATTCGAACGGCGCGCGACTAGCATCTACAATCCGTGCCCTAGCAATAAAGGAAGGGGTGGCGTATAGTAAGTTGGCAGAAGTCGATCCCATCCTCGATCTTCAGATTGCCGAATTCCAGAGCCAGTTTGAGCATGTCCCGAAGTCGCAGATGTACGGCCTACTGAGCTTAGCCCGAAATATACCGTCTGCAGCTCAGGAGTTGTTGGAAGCTATGTCAGTGCCCGAGAATGTGCCAACGTCCGGGAGGCTGCAGGATGCAGCTCAATATGCCCCACTGGACCTCAATGAAGATGAAGTCTCCGAGATCGCTCCGATCGCCACATCAACTACGGTGAAAGGCCCTTATCGAGCTTCGGCTGCTAGCATTCGAATGGCAGCAGGCCAAAGTTTCAACCAAGCCTCCGCCGCATATAAACGAAGCAAATCTGATCGCCTTTACGGAGGTGTTGCAGCACATTACTCAGAGATTGGACGAGAACGCGTCAGAGCTGCGAAGGAAGCTAAAGCTGCGGAAGCGGACTTGCTCGTGGCTAGACAGTCGTCCCCAAACGTTCTCGATCTCCATGGTGTGACCGTTCAAGATGCGGTCCGGATTGCCAGCGCGAAAACACAGACCTGGTGGGATAACTTGGGCGATGCCAAGTATGCCACTGGAGGTGGCGGACCTGCAAGAGCCGAACTCAAGATAGTGACGGGTCTGGGGACTCATAGCAAGAATCGTGCGCCGCGGATAGGGCCGGCGGTGAGTAAGATGCTTATGAGAGAAGGATGGAAAGTCGAGATAGGCCACGGTGAGTTGACGGTGACGGGTAAGAGCCGTCGATGAGTGAACAGTGCCTCTGCACGTGGAGTGTTATGGCTTGATTCACAGAACCACAGCGAACCTAGAGGATTATGGATATGGATAGAGCTGTGTGCTAGACTTTGTTAGATATTGAGGAATCAATTGAGAGATCTGTTGAGCGGGATTCCAAATAGCTGCCGAGGCTGCAATCCTCAGCCTCGCCGCACTAAATGATTCCACGATCAAAGGCCCATTTATTCCATATGTGGCCAATCATGATTATCGAGATGCTTCCATTGCATCATCGACACTGCCGCGTCGTATAGCGTATGAGGCGCAGACTCGCTTGAATCTCAAATACGCATTTCCTCGGATTCGTTCTTAGCTCTCGCTGCATGGTCTATATATCATCCATTGTCTCCAGCAATCTCTTGATGCGCTTCCCATCTTTCCCTCACATCGTCCGCAGGCTCTACACGTTCGGCAACGCAACCGCATTTCGTCGATTCCAACAACCGCTGCGGGGTAATCGAATCTCGCAAACCTATCGCACCGCTGTCCCCAAGTCTATGTCCTCAATCCCTTTCTTGAGCGCTTTGTTCGGAACCTCGACTCCGGCTTCAGCCAAGATGACTTACCCGGACGCACGATCAGATGATGAGTGGAGGACAGTGTTGAACAAAGGTACGTCCCAAACAGATATCCTCCTCCCCAACCCATTGAACAGATTTTCATATGGGTTGATTTCGACCAAGCGGCCAAAAAAATGAGACCTATTGCTGACAATGATTCCCGCAGAGCAATTCCGCATCCTCCGCGAGAAAGGCACCGAAGCCCCCTTTACGGGCGAATACGACAAGCACATGCCCGACCAGGGCGTCTACACGTGCGCCGCCTGCAACGCGCCCCTCTACAAGGCCAACCACAAGTTCAAGAGCGGGTGCGGCTGGCCCGCGTACTTTGACAGCATCCCGGGAGCCGTGACCCGGCACACGGACCGCAGTTTCGGCATGGAGAGGACCGAGATCGTCTGCTCCAACTGCGGCGGCCACCTGGGCCATGTCTTCAAGGGCGAAGGATACCCGACCCCCACGGACGAGAGACATTGTGTGAATAGTATCAGTTTGAAGTTTCATGACAAGGAGGACGGGGTAGCGGGGAAGGAAGGGAATGGGGAGGCGAAATAAAACACAACTTTTACGAGGGAGATAAAGGGAATAATTTTGTGGATGGCATTTTGCAGGGCAAGAGGAGGATGCAAGTATGGCCTCTGTCATCGGAAATGGATTGATCGATACGACCAAAAAATGATCACAATTGATAATTAGATATAATTTCGGGGGTTGGTGGAATGGGATTCTACCTCTCGTTGTACTACCTCGTATTGCTCCACTAACACACTGTAGGGGCAATGCTTGCCTCGTGGCGGGAAAGCCCTACCAAGCAAGACTGGACTTCATTCACAACGATCATTGACACTTGCTTCTCACGAAACGGTAGCATTCAAGGCTTTGCTAGTGTCTGCCAGGTGCCACAACTGCTCTCGGCCCTTTTTAACCCTTCTCAACGCAATGCCGCCGATACGGCTGGTTTGACGTGAGCCTAATGCATATCCTTCTTGGTTGAGGACGGTGCCGGTGCTCTTGCCGATACCGAAGAGGGCATTAGTAATGTCCAAATGTTGACCCCCGCCGTCGATGCCCATCAGCCGCCTAGAACGTGTACCATTCTGGAGGAGTTCCCTCGAGAGCAGTCTGAATGTCAGGCGACACTGTCTGCAAAAGAGACGACGCCGGTCCAGGCGAACAATCGAGCCCCTTCGCTGCGATAACATTCGGCCACGCCGGTCGAACACTCTCCAGATTGAGCAAGTCAAAAGTGGAGGTGGCCCTGACAAGAAGACTTCAGGCGAGTATGAGGTGCACATTTGACAAGACATTAGCAGACTTTATACTTATTCCGCACGATAACAACCTTGACTAAACTTCTCATGGCGCAACTTAGATCCTTGCGGCCCTGGCGGTCAGTGTCTACCGTGCAAGACTTTCACTCGATCTGTCCTCGCAGGACTGTTACCATCAATCACGACTCGGGTGAAATTCTGCTGGAAAGGATATGGACCGACAAAGGGAATTACCAGTCTCCAATCCATAAAGCAGATAAAGCCAAGCAGTATCAGTCCTCCTCATGCGTATAAGTGGGCAGCTTTATCTGGACAGTCTAACGACGGTTTAAGGTCGACGCATGGCAAATCACAGAGCATTCTGCGCGCCACAGTTTTGAGAGGACTGATATCTCCGAAACTTGTGTCGGGCAAAGCCAATACAGCTGTGGCTAGAAAGTCACTGATAACCGCTTATATAGCCTGGGCCACTGCCTTGAAGGTGGCCAATCAAAACTACACTGACATTCCACAGGGAATTGGGGAAATAGTCTGTTCCCACTCAAGAACCAAGGGTTGAGCCAATCAGACCACCGTCACGAATCAAGGTGGACATCAATATGCGCGGCACGCTGCTGGAACTCCCCACGAAATAGATGGGGAGGTGGAACCACGGGTACTCGGATCCTGATCGACAGATATAGAGGGATTGTTCGCCACAAGGTTGGCTCTTCAGACCTTGTTCCATTCATTCATACATGCAGCCATCCTCCACTCGATCCTAGTATCTGAGGGGCACGCGATCAGTCTGTCAGTGAACATATATCTTTGGCAAGTCTGCCCCTACCCATACAACACATAGTCGAAACTTTTCAGCTTGCAACGACATGGTTGAGGACGTCAAGCCATCCGAAATGTCAACTACCAAGACCACTGATGTCCCCCTGACACTGGTGGGGAGTCACACCGGCGAGGTTGAAGAATTGGGTGACTCGCCCGTGAAGAAGAGTATGAGACCTCCACGTCTTTAGAGATACACTTGAGTTAATATCGCCTAGGGTTGATATGGAAGCTCGACTTGATCGTTTTGCCTGTGCTGGCTATGATCTACTTCACCAACAGCCTCGACCGAGCCAACCTGGGAAACGCAAAGACTGATGGCATCGAAAAGGACCTTCACTTTGGTGCTAACCAGTACTCCTTGGTCCTGACACTGTTCTATATTCCTTATGGTACTCTGAACATACCCACCACGATTTTGGCGAAACGGTTCAGCCCAGCCGTCGTGATCCCCGTCCTCATGTTTGGCTGGGGTGCTGTATCCATTGGGGCTGCAGCGGCAAAGAACTTTGGCGGTATTGCCACAACAAGGATTCTGCTGGGCGTTGTGGAGGCCGGGTTTGTATGTCTATCCACCCCTGTTCCCTCATGGTAGAACACAGGTTCTGGTCACTGACGGCATTATCAGTTCCCCTCCGCCATCTACTACCTGTCAATGTTCTACACTCGCCATGAAAGTAAGATATAGCTTGACGGTCCATGACACCTGATTCTAACCAGTCTTAGTTGCTAAAAGGATTTCGTTATTTTACATGATGGGATTCGTTGCAAATGCTTTCTCGGGATTGATCGCCTACAGGTGTGATTCAAGCATGCGACGTGAAAGATTCTTCATCAGCGCTAACATCCTCACAGTGTCTTCCAATGGCATAGAAGCCTTCACGTAAGAAGCCCCTGCAATCTTTCAATCAGCCACTAACCACTATACAGAACTGGCAATATCTTTTCATTATTGAGGGTAGCCTGACAGTTTTTCTCTCCATCGTCGCCTTCATGATCCTGCCTCGAAGTTTGGCCTCCTCAAGATATTTCACTCAGGCAGAGAAGGACTATGGAACGCTTCGGCTGCAGAAGGAGTTTGAAATTGAGCCGATCAAATTCTCGTGGTCCGCAGCCCTGAAACCCCTCTTCAACTGGCATACGTGGATGTTCGGTTCCATGTCTCTATGTTACGGAGTCGCAGCGGCCACCCTCTCTAACTTCTTGCCCGTAAGGATCCCCAATGCGATGCATGACAAAGTGGTCCGTCAGTCAACTAATGTTGTGGTAGACCCTTATCAAGCGATTGAAGCCCGACACCGTTCAGGCCAATCTCTTCACCATCGCGCCCAACCTCAACGGAGCTGTCTGGATTGTGGTCGTCTGTTGGATATCTGACCGGTTCCAAGCTCGAGGAGTCTGGTCGGTGATAACAATGGGGACATCGATGATCGGATTCATCTGCTTGGGCTCGGTTGATCTTGTTCACAAGACAGGAGTGGGCTACTTTTTCACCTTTCTCTTGACATTTGGTGTAAGTCGCTTGTTTTACCTGTCACGCATCAAGTCGATTTGCTCACTGCTCCCTCTCAGACATTTACGCCCGCCGTGTTGGTTCCGGCATGGGCGACCAGCAACATGACTTCCAACTCGGCTCGTGCCACGACTCTGGGACTGCTCGCCGGGCTCCAAAACATTGCGGGAATCATCTCGTCATATGCGTTCAGAAGCCAGGATGCTCCAGTAAGTTTGTATTCCCAGTTGCAGGCAAATCGGCTTTTTTTTGGGCCCCACGTTGGGTTCCATTCCGGCGTTTTAACTAGAGAGAGAGTCAGAGCTAATCTCTTGCGACACACAGGTATACCGACCCGCTTTGATCGTTTCCGGCTGCTTCCAGGGCGGCCTGATTCTGGCGGCCTCGTTTGCCTGGTTCTACTATCGACGGGTCAACCAGCAACTCGACAGTGGGAAGAAGACGTCGGTGCGAGGCATGGAGCAGAACCCGGAATTTAGATATGTTCTGTGAAGGAACGTGCTCAAAGTCTCCTAGCTTCCATTGTTGGATATATATATGTATATATATATACACCCGGGACAAAAGATTCTCGTTCGCTGCGACTTGCTACGGCCTACAGCGGCTATTGCTCGTCCACACGAGCTGCTCAGAGTCATAGCCGATGGGGCGTTTCGAGCGAGTTCAAGAGGGAAATTACAATACATAGAGCCAGCACTGTCTGAGGATCAGATTTTTAACACCGTTGACAGTTCTTCCTCCATTGTAACTTTGAGTGGCAATGCGAGACCGAAAGTACCTAGTATCCTGTGCACCATTGGACACAAAAGACTTCCTGAGGATCGATCCGATGGGTATTTATCTCTTGATATGGAGGTCTCGGGACGCTCTCTTTGGAATCTATAATTCTCCCTCGGATCCGTAGTCTATCTAGTATGTAACGCACCTGAGAGCCAGCAGCTTGCAGGTGCCTTGTAGGTGGGAGAATACACTATCGGGGGCATTATGTGCTCATTTTTCCAGGGTCTGCCCCTGCACCACGGCCACTCCTCCTCCTCCTCCTCCAGAATGTGCTGTAGAGCAGGATATCATCCGCAGCAGCACCGCCAGCGGAGAGGGAGTCAAATCTGTCGTGGTCAATCTTTTGCCTCCTCTTGAACATGCTGTGAAGCAACATGCACCATCAGCGGCAGCACAGAGGGATGCGAATCTAGTAGTCAAGTCTTCTCCTCCTCCTCCTCCTGAACGCGCTGCAAAGCCGTACTCCATCATCACCAGCAGCAGAAATACGGAGCCAGGTCCTAGTGGTCAATCTTCAGGGAGAAATCGATATGGGGACATCCCTGGTGTAGAGCAGAGGTGGAAATCACATCGATGTCTGTGGCACCCCCTTGTGCGTCAGCATTCATTTCCATCCCCGGCAAATTTTGCGAACTGGCCCCGACTTACCGTTGTTGACATATTCCCTCACATTCGCGGTCGTGAGCCCGCCGCTGCACTCGAGCAGAAACTCCTTCTTCCCCGCCCACCTCTCCCTCAAGTTCCTGGCTGCAACCCTCAGACCGGGCCCATCGTAGTTGTCCAGCATGATGACATCGGCGCCGGCGGCAATCGCCTCGTCGGCGCCTTCCTCGCTGTCGACTTCCACCTCGACTTTCAGGGCGTAGCCACCGACGGCCTTTGCCGAGCGGATCGCATCGGTGATGCTGCCCCGGGACCAGATGTGGTTGTCCTTCAGCATGATCATGCTGCTCAGGTCCATGCGGTGCTGGTCGACGCCACCCACCAACATGCCGTATTTCTCGACCAGGCGGAATCCCGGGGTGGTTTTGCGCGTCCCCGCGACGATACCCGTGTAGCCCGCGGCGCGGACGAGTTTGAGGAGCTTGTGGCTCGCGGTGGCGACGCCGGAGCAGCGCGAGAGGGTGTTCAAGGCGACGCGTTCGCCGAGGAGTAGTTTTCTCGTCGGACCCCTGACGCTCGCGACCTTGATCTTTCCGCCGCCGCCGCCTGCGACCACGGAAGGGTCGAGGAAGTCGCCGTCCTTGACGAACCACTCGACGGTACAGCCGCACTGGGCGAAGATCTCGTTGACAAAGGGCACGCCCGCGACCACGCCGGGCGCTTTCTGGTACAGGGTTGCAGTGCGAGGGTCCTCGCCCACCACGAAGCCGCCGTAGTCAAATGATGGCGTGTCTTCGGCGAGCCATGCTCGGACCTTGTCTGGAAGTCCCGTCGGGATCAGGTTCGCGGTGTCGCCATAGTTCAGAGCCATGTTTGAGTCTGCTCGTCTGAGTAAGATGTCACTCGCAAAGCGTTGAGGGTTGATATCTCTGGCTGATAGATGAGGCTATGGCACTTGGGGAGAGGGTAACGAAGCATGTATCCCCAGACTGACATGGCAGTCAGCGGGAGCAACACACGCGCATCTACCTTAACATCATAGAATGGGGTTCGCAGTCGTCGCTGAGCTGCTCCCCACTATTCAATCGGATGAATCCGCGAGAGCAAGCCACGCCGGCAATCCATAGCTCTTCCTTTTTCATTTTGGGGCATCTCCCCATGTTTGTGGTGGACAGGTTCGAACAATTCGGGGCCCAGACGAGCTAAGCTTCGCACCGAGTAGAAAATGGGCATCGGGGGCCAGTAGCTAATGTATTATAAGAGCGTGTGTGATGGTCTAAACCATGTAGGGCACCTGCAGCTATTAGTGGTCACGTTCCTGAAACGATAATCATCATCATTCCAGACGGTGATCGCCGCCGATTTTTGATATTTTTTCCCCCAAATCGACAATTCGAGTACAAACACCACCAAAAAATCTCGAAAAAAAATAAAAATCAAGAGGAAAACATAACAACAAAACAAACATTCTACATTTTCTTCCTTTTTGTCCCAATAAAAACAATCAAAGGTCTCCCATCATGGCTACTCCTAGAGTGTATCGCGAAGGTAAGCTTCTACATGCCCTTCCTTGACTCAGCCACTACATACATAACCATGTCTAACGCCCCCTCGTCATTTTTTCCAAAAAAAAAGGCCCCGAACAACGCAAGGCCGTCATCGCCGTGTGCATGGGCTCCGACACGGACCTGGCGACGCTGAAGCCCGGCATCGAGATCCTCGACACCATGGACATCCCCTACGAAGTGCACATCACGTCCGCGCACCGCACGCCGCAGTACATGCTCGACTTCGCCAAGGGCGCCGCGGGTCGCGGGCTCAAGGTCATCATCGCCGCCGCGGGCGGCTCGGCGCACTTGCCCGGCATGCTGGCCTCGGAGACCGTCCTGCCTGTGATCGGCGTCCCCGTCAAGGCCATGGCGCTCGACGGCCTGGACAGTCTGTGCAGCATTGTCTCCATGCCCCGCGGGATCCCCGTCGCGACCGTGGGGATTGCGAACAGTGTCAACGCCGCGATCCTGGCGGCGAGGATTGTCGGCACGAGCGACCCAAAGGCCCAGAAGTGGGTCGCGGATCATCTGAAGAAAATGGACGATGAGAATATGGCCAAGGAGCGGAGGTTGCAGGACGAGGGGTGGTCGTCGTATAAGAAACTGGACTCATAGGGTTTACACCATGGTACCTAGGTAGTTATTGAGAGGGCTTTCTATGGAGAAAAACTCTCTAGCATTATTCCATGTTCATGTCGTTGGCTTGTATTTTCATGATCGTGGTGTTTGGCCTGACCAACAAGGGGAGACAATGCCAGTAGTGAATAACAATAGCATGGCCTGATCTATCGCTAGAGCGGCCAGCTTGTACACCGCCAGCCATTCTCAGCCGCAGACTCCGCGAGTACGATATCGATGGTGGACGGGAACGCGGAATCTTTGCGCTTTCGCTCGGCGTTGTCCGTTCGCCGTGGCACGCAATTCTTATATACATTACTTGGGTAGGTAGGCACCCATGAAAGGCTCACTCGCTAAAGTCAGATACATAATATGCCCAGTGGCTAAAGTGCCGTACCCTCGAAAAGTGCTGTAGTACCATAGCGCTCCGCAATCTCCCTGGCCGTGAGACCCTTGTCCTTTCCACCTGTCACCCGAATTCCGTTGTCAATGCCCTGCTCCAGCAGCCACTTTGCAACGTCAACGTGCTTTTTACGCACCGCAAAGTGAAGCGCACTCCACTCGCTGTTGTCAGTCGTCTGATTGATGTCCGCCCCCGCCTGCCCTCTCTTCCCCCGGACTAAAATCTTCAGGACATCTAGGTATCCTAGACGGGCGGCGTCCAAGAACGCCGTCCTACCATCCTCATCCTTCACATCGATCTTTGCTCCCTTGGACACCAGCTCCTTGACGGCTTCGGCTCGATTGCACAGACTGGCCGCATGCAGTGCCGTCCTACCCTTTTTATTCGTCGTGTTCAGATCAATTCCTTTGGCGCGAAGTAGCGTTTTCACGATGTTGACGTCCTCGCGCTCCGCTGCAAGCATGAGAGCCGTCCATTCCCTTCTCGTCCGTGCGTTGATATCGATTTTGCCAGCCTGGATGATTTCAAACACTTTACTGTGCAACTGGCATATGACAGCGTGATGTAACTCGTTCCTGTGCGGAAACGCCCAACCGGGAAGATGGGGTGTGCCGTCGGCATGGAAACGGTGTATGGAATCCAGGTCCTTTTCGATGTCGCCCTCCAGTTTGCTCAATTTGGCGCGTTCGGCCGGCCAGTCCGAGAGGCCGATCAAGGTCTTTAGTCTCCGCCAACGCGAATCCAGCACGACAAAGAGTTTGACAATGATGCAGAGGATCGACTTGTAGAGGTCGACGTAGCTCTCTCTCAAGCTCTTGCGTAGATCCTGGAGTTTCTTCCCTTCTCTTATCCCCGCTTTGCTAGACACCTGCTCGTCTTCAAGGGCGCGGCGGGCCACAATCTTCGAGACCTCAAAGGCCGTGTCGAACATTGCTTCTGACTCAGCAGCGTACATCTGACGCATGGAAAAGACCAGGAAGATGCCTGCTACGGCGATGGTTGCAGGAGGTGAAGCCGCGGTGGCAACAGCAACAAGATCGCGAGTTTTCAAAATGGCGTCGCAAAATTGGTCGACCTTTGGGTTCCGCATGGCTTGGATGTCGTCGGCTTTCTGATTGATGAGCCGGAGAAGAGTTTGTCTTCCATCGTCGCTGCTAAGGTGCGCGATACGATTACCATCGGGACTTTGATCACAGATCTCATCATAGAACTTGTTGATCAGGTCTTTGTTGTTCGGGTCCTCTTTGAATGCCACGTAGGCTTCTTTCCAAAGGTCAGGTTTGCCTGAGTCTTTAGCGGGTTCTCTGGGGGGCATGGCTAACGTAACAAAGGAGAGGTCTTACGGTGGCGGTGAGATGGACTCAAGGAACTTGGAACTTACCTTGCAAGAAAAGGCTCTGGGAATGCCCATCTTTATCACAGACTGAAAGTACGAGGGTCAGTTGTGTAGGCGTATAGCCACAGACCTAGCATTGAGGCATTGACAGGTCGTGAAGGTCCATGGGCAGTGCACGCGAGCTGATAACTTTGACATGCAGGCCTAGAGGGAAAGCTGCAGTTGGCCGTGGGCAGCCATTGAGGGGCTTTTGGTCCTTTGGGGTGCAGGCCACAAGGCACCCACTAGGCTCCCACCAGGCTATTTGCTGCGCCACTCGCCTGCGAACTTTGGACCTCGAACCCCCCAAGGACGCCCCTGCTCAGCCCCCAAGACTTTGTTATAGTATCAATCATCTATTGCCGACCGGTCGGCGAGGATAGGTACAGCCAGTTGTGCGTCGTTGGTATCTTCGAGCAACACCATCAGTGGTATCCATAGTCTTTTTCTATCGTGACCAAGACCCAGCTTCGTCTTGAATTGCCACTAGCTCTGTCCCTGACTGATAAGAGCGGGAAACCGGCTCCAAAGCTAGATGCCTCAGCGGGATGGGATGATGTGAGGATGCCACTGCATCCCCTGACCGAGGCTCACTACGGTTTATCTATCTGATTGAATACTAGTCCCTGGCGCTAAGTCTCGTCCTGCGATATCTCGGGCCATGCAGCTCAGGATTCTGTCCATTTCCCAAACAACTTGGTGACTTGGTGACTTGGCCATGATCTCACGTGGCAGCCCTGGGTAGTCAGTCCCCTGTTGCCTACGTTACCCCCATGGACATCGACCATGAGTACTAAGCCAAAGAGATTCGTCTGCCCCAACGATGCATGCCAGAAAGGCTTCACTCGCGCGGACCATCTTCGGCGACATATGTTGAATCATGGCGATGGCGACTACACCTGCCCAAGATGCCGTTTGCACTTCAAGAGATCCGACCTGCTGGGTAAGCCATCACTAGTACTCACACAACAATGCAGCCATGTGGCGGTCAAAGCTAACGTGGGGCTGTTCACTCTCAGATCGACACGTCGCGCGACATCGACAGAAGGATGAAGAGGCCGGTGGTGAAGGACTTGGCATCGTCGAGAGTCGAAAACGGCTCTGGCGAGACGCCAACGGTAACATCGTGAGGGATCGGCCCTCGCACAGCTATCTACGTCGGCAGTTGATGAGAATGCAGTCCCTCGACCTCGCCCAGCAAAGCGCGCAGATCCCTATGTTCATGAGCTACCTGAACTCTCCAAAATCCATCGATGCCGAGCGGCCCTCGCCGTCAAAGTCCAAGTCCGGGGCCGAGTCTGCGGTTTCTCAGAGTCAGGAGGCTGAAGGGTTTCCTCAAAACCAAGGCTTAATCGAGACTGCCCTGGGATTTGACATGTTCGAATTCATGGCGAGGTCATCTTGGGACTTTTCAACCGATGATATGGAGATGCAAGTCAATGCGCCGTTGGAGGAAGCGCAAAATGAAAATCCTAGTAGGAGATTGTTATGCTCGTAACTAATGCACTGGACTGACCAGTATGCTACAGCGACGGCCCCTTATAATGGACCATTCGCGCCGGCGACCAGTCTAGAGTGGTTCATCGACCCAAATGCCGACATCATGTCCGGCGCTGAACAATCAGCATTTGGGAATCTCTCGGGGGCCGCATCCCTCGGTCCGCCACCGGGCCAACAGAGTATGCCCCATCAGCCAACAAACCCATCATCAAGTGACTTGTTCAGCATGCCGGCTGGTACAGGAAGCGAGCCATCGTTGATACAATCGCTGGACCAATCGCTGCAACAGAACTCGACAGACGCAATGGTGACCCAGAGCGAGACTTCGGCAACCTTAGCAAATGGTACAAGCACTTCAAGAGCCCCAGCTCCGTCAAATCTTGATCCAAACCTAGATTCGTTCTGGGAATCGGGGTCTTCGATCTCTGCTTTGACAAGTCCAGGATCTGCCAGAGATAAGGGGCGGGAACGATCAGAGCAGATCCCACCATCGGACAGAGACAGCTCATACTCTGAGGCAAGCCCAGACAGTCTTCCTAATCGACCGGGGATATGTACACCTCCGCTGGATGACGGCTCACATCAGAAAATCCTGGGTTTGTTGCGCCGCGCCGAAGTGAAATCGACTGATGCGAGCGCGGATGCTAGCAGACACCAGTCTGGGTGCCAGTCACTCCCGTCCCGCGCTACTATGCAAACTTACCTCGAGCTTTTCTTTTCATGCTTCAATGCGTCCTATCCTCTGCTGCACCTGGCCACTTTCGACCCATCTCGGACGGAAACTCTGCTTCTTGCAGCCGTGGTTCTACTCGGTGCTACTTTCAGCGACAATAGTATTGAAGCCTTTGCCGACCGCATGTACGACGCCTTGAGGGCCGAGGTGTTCCATCGGGTGGCTTTTTCTGTGACGCCAGAGCTGTGGATGATTCAAACCGTATTCTTGCTCGAATGCTTCGGTAAGTCAAGGGCTCCAAGTCCCGGGAAGTTCAAATGGTGGCCTTGTCCCATACCGGGCTACCGACTAATGTGACTGACAGGACAAAGGCAACATGACACGGCATTTATGTTTCATGGTCTCCTCGTCAAGTAAGCTTCCACCCATCATGAAACGGGACACAAGTGATATTAACTACTTCCATCCAGTCTAATCCGGCGAAGTGATTGCCTGACTGTGCAGCAACCACGGGCGGTTGACAAGCCGGAGCTTCTGGAGTCCAATTGGCGCAGGGCCGTTGGCGTCGAGCTTCAGAAAAGGTCAATAAAGATTCATGCAAGGCACGAATGACACACTGACGGGTCATAGAGTTGCTTTCCTTTGTCTATTTTGGGACACTCAAAATGCCGCCCTCTTTTCCCAGCCGTTGTCCCTTTCCACATTCGGAATCCGCATCGCCTTGCCCTGCAGCCGCTCCGCATGGGAGGCCACCTCTGCCGAGGAGTGGTGGAAATACGCAAGCGACGAGTCTCTACTCCCGTTCCAATCCGTCCTGACAGGGTATCTGGATCTTGATTCGGAATTGAAGATCCCTGATCTTGACGCCTTCCAGCTTCTTCTAGTCCTCAATGGACTGATATCTATTCAGTGCGAAATGAAGCACGTCGACCAAATGGCTTCTGGTAAGTGATGAAAAGTTGAGCAGCTCGTGCAGAGGATACTAAGGGTTGGACAGGATTGATGCATCAGACCGGATATTTGGACAGGTCAAAATGGCGTGAACAGCTTATTGCCGCGTACGATGCATGGAAAGTCGACTTCGACACGTACTGCTTGAAAATGGTTTCGTTGGACGAAAGCCACTCGAGGCGAGCACACTTTGCCCGCTTCAGAACCGCCGCCAATGCAGTCTACCACACGGCCCATATTACGCTGAACGTCGATATCGTCGATCTCCAAATCTATGCGGGAGCCCGGCGCTCCGTTGGTCGCCGCGTTACTCGCTCTGATTATATCAGAGCCCAGGGGAACGTCAAGGAGTGGGCGCAGACGGGTGGCTCGTCACCAGCCGTGAAAGCGGTGTGGCACGCGGCGCACCTGCTGCGCGACAGTGTCTTCAACCTGGAAAGCTTCGACGTGCAACACACCTTCTTTTATCCGTTCCGCCTGTACATCTCGACGCTGATCTGCTGGGCGTTCCACTCGTTGACCGTCGGGGACGTCACAAAAACCACGCAGGCATCTGGAGAGAGACCGGACAAGTCACCCGCGGCGACGGCCACCGCGAATCATCTCGACAGCTCCACGCGATGGCAGGCAGAAACAGAAATGAAGGTCCTCGTCAGCAGCATGACCAGCGTGATGCCCGAGCGTCTTGCACGCCTGCTGGGCAAGTATTCGACATCGGGACTCACCACCGTCATGGCTGAGCGGCTGAGTCGCATCCGGTGGATCGTGATCCAGGAGGGGACCAAACTGCTCAAGGACCTGGTGCCGGAACGCATGGCTGACGAGTACGACGGGGTCGCTGAGGAATAGGTGGGCGGTCACAGCACAGCTGTGCCTCCCCCAGCGAACCTTGTTGCTAGTCAGAAGTGGGGTCCAAGAGTGGGTGTCGGAGAGCAGTCTCGATTCACACCTCGAGTCTCGCACTGGTTCCCCTCCATTTCTCTGCACTGCTTGAATACCGGGGAAAATGGGCAATTGCTTCACACGGTCAGCGATCTGGGGTTCTGGATCCTCCATTCGTCAAGTCTGCAGACGCCTGCTGAGAGGCCTGCTACCTGCACTCAATTGTCTTCCCTTAGCACTCTCTCCGTCTCTCCATCATTTCCCTTCTTTACCCCTCCATTATGAGATATGCGCCCTTCTTCCTGTCAAGAAAAGGCCAAACAAAGGACATCTTCATCTCTTCATTCCCCGGGTTTGAAGTTAGGGCAAGGGCGCTACGAATCTCCTTCCACCTTGTGCCGTATCCAATCGTCCAGAACCCGTGCGATGTCCAAGTTATTGAGCTCGAGCATCTGCATGTGTCCATTACCTCTAATGCCCAGGTCCTCCAGGCGAATGAAGTCGCACTGAACCCCAGCCTGGCGCAGATATGCCACCGTGGCGTGGTCGTAGGGTGCGTGGTAACTGGCCTCGCCGACCTCGACCAGGACGGGGACGTGCTGGAGATTGCGCAGCTTGCGGACACCGCCTCCTTCTTCACTCTGCAGCACCACATCGTCCCGGCCAACCTCCGACGACGCAACCGTGACCAACCTCAACTCCTCAACACCGCTGACCGGAGGGTCATACGTGATGGGCACATCCGTCAAAGCCCAGCCCCGCGCCGGCGCGCCATTGTGCGGGTGTGTGCCCGTGAAAGGCGGCCCGTTAGGCTCCACGGCGACGATGGCGAGCCAGCCTCCCGGCGCGCCCTGCGAGTGCGTGAGCAAGATGCTGGGCCTGCCGATGCGCTTGAGGAGGGCGACGATCGCACCCTTTTGCGCTTCCTGGTACGCACATAGATCGGTGATGCTGGGGTATGTGCTCGCATAGAAGGCATCGAAGATCGGGTCACCTCGACGACCGGTCTGGTATCCATCAGATCGATATGGTTAGTTTTGAGTCCCAGTAGTAAAGGCAGGACAAATAACTGTGAAGGGTCATCCGTTTCGAAAAAGCAAGAAAAAGCAGAAAACAGACTCTTAACTAATATCAAAACCAAGCTTCCTCCTTTCTCTTCCATTTTCTTCTTTTCCTCCCTCTTCCCTTCTTTTAGAATCTAGCTGAAATATACCTTTTCTTTTACACCTCGTACACTTCAACACATTTTGTTTTTTCGCTCCGCTCAAACAGGATGACTTACACCAGGCCACTGCGTATGCAACTTTGCCTGCGGCCACGTGCTTGACGCCATCGACGCCGTCGCCGTGAACCACTGCTCGACAAACCCCGTCGAATACGTCGTGTGGTGCTGGGCAAGGTCCGGCGCTGAGCGGCCCCGCGACGGCGTGTCGACGATGTACACGGCGAACCCCCGGGACAGGAAATACGAGGCCCAGCCCGGTCGGTCGTCGGGCGTGTGGAGCCAGTTCTGTAGCCATAATAGCGATTTTCAGTCCCCATGTTGCCGGGTTATGTCGGTATGTAACTTCCCCAGTAGGAAGCGAAAGGGAAAAAAAAACTTTGATGAGAAATTCGATATCTAGGGACGAGAAAAGGGGAGAGCCGGGGGGCGTGTTCATATGTGTGTGTGTGTGTTTGGGTGTGTATGTGCAGGCAATCACGATTCAACCACCACAAGGGTTACTTTTGGTAGGGGTCAGTACTTACCAGTCCGCTCTGCCCGCCTCCGTGGACCAGGATGAGGGGAAACCGACGGCGCACTCCCTCGACGGGCACGAGGCGTTCGACGTACGTTTGACCCTTCATGATACTTCCGCCGAATTTTGACTCGTCGTCGTCGGCCATATACTCGCCCCCGACGAAGAAGTATGTTCGACGATATGCACCGTCGGGTGAAAACACGTCGTTGGTGGTCATCGTTGTGCTTTGGTTGCGTGTCACACACTGCAACTCACGGCACTCGACCTTTTTGTGTCGGGGATAAAAACATATGTAAGGTAGCCGACCAGACGCCGAGCCGGGTGTTTTGCTGGGGGGGAGGGAAGCAGGAATGGGGGAAGAAGAATGAAGAAGAAGATGGGGGGAATACGATACGCAAAGCTTAACTCTACTTCAGATTCCCGAGGATTATAATTATATTGGATACCTGGTGGAGGTGGTGGTGGTCTGCCAAAGTACATCCTACCTTGATCTCTGTTTCAACTGGATTGCGCATAAGAAACCGGCAAGAACTCATGTTTCAGCTGGGTGTCGATGGAGCTGTCGTACATGGCGAGATGGCTTCCTCATAGCACAATATATATGTACCTTAGGTAGGTACGGAGGACTCGCTGCTGAGAGATGAGACGAGATCAGATATCTGGGGGACAGCGGACATGACCGCAAAGGCCATGGTAGCCCACCACCCCTCTCTGGCTTCACATATCTGCTTCACATATGGGTTGAGCCTAGAGTCTAGATACAAGTAAGTAGTGTGATCCTTGTATATCTTGTTCCGAAACCCCCACTTGACCATACGACAGCTCGCCATGTTATAAACCCCATCCGACTCAGAAAAGAGTTCCATCCCCGGATATCAGGATCGGGCTGGATCTGGTCGCGGGTCTGAACTTGGCAGCCAGCTCCCGGCCGGCTTTGAAGGTGCCGGCCTCGAGCATCTGGCCCAGCGTCAAGGAGACGTTCTTCTCTTTAAACCGCGCCTGAAGCATGTTGTGCAGTTCGTCCAGCAGCGCGACCGTCATGGCGCGCCACTCGACGATTTCGTCGCCCGTGTTGTCGAATTGAGGCAGCGGCTTTTGGCTCGAAAGCGCCTGCCCGCGTCTCAACGCCTCGGGCTTCAGGCGCAGCACGGGAATGTCCACGAAGATGCCCCCGTTGCGGTACTCTGCGAGTCCCGTGCTGAGGTGCTCGTTGCGCCATCGCAGATCGAGAAGTCGGACGAACGGCACCTTGAGCGAGTACGCGAGCCACTGGGTCAGCTTGTGGAAGGGCTGGATATGCCCGGTCAGTGGGTGCTGATTCCCTGTCCCTTCGGCGGCAGCGGCGCGCTGCGCAAGCACTCGCAGTGGCCATGCGTCGCCTATCGGGCGCCCGGAAATGTGTGGGCGGGTTTCGGGCCAGACGGGCAGAAGCAGCTGCTGTAATGTCTGCCACAGGAAGGCAAAGTCGAGGACCTTTGCGTCGGCCGAGTTGTCGAGCAGGTAGTCTAGGGGCTTCTGTGTTATCAAATGGATCGCGGAGTGGCATCCTCAGATGTCCTTACCAACCAGATTCCCGGGACGGCCGGCGTCTCCAAAGATGTGAGTAAGGTTGAGTAGTGACTGGCCCAGTCGATTGAGTAGTGTGACCCGAGACGAAAAAGCCGTCATCTCATTCTGACCCGAAATCTGGAATCCCTGCTCCATTGTTTGTTCGCTCATGTTGGCGAGACCACGAGCTGGAAACAGCAAAGTCAGTGCGTAGATCCTGCAATTGCGGCGCTCGCTGAGTAACATACCGTCAACAATGTGACCACCCGCCACCTGTGATTGGAATTTCCCACCCGAGAACATGTGCAGAGTAGCCAGCGCAATGCCCTCACTCCTCCCAAAAGTCTGCCCGGTCCCAGGCTCCCGGAACTGCCAGACATCGCCGGCGCCAGCATCCATTAACACGGACACAAACAACAGGTCGACCATGCGACGTGCGAGCTCGGTCTGGTCACAACCCTGGCCAGTCCATTGTTCCAGGAGCGGGCCAATCCGTTCTCGGCTCCCGGTATTGAACTGCTGCCATCGTCCATGAGGCGGGATCTGGTCGTACTTATCTGGGCCAAAGTCTCGCTGAGGACCACCTCGTCAGCGCTGCTGATTCCCCCAAACCTGGCAGGAGTAAATGGTAAGAACAAACCGAGATAATCGACATGACAAAATCAGCGACTTCGGGCATCCGACTTTCATCAAAGTCGAAATGGTTCAAGAGGCCGTTCCTTGCGGCTTCTAGAACATGTTGGGCCTGTGTTCGGACACTCTCCAACGACAGGATCTCGTTGATCTCCGAGTCTGCGGTTTCCTTTGCCATTGTGTCTCCCATCTGTACTAGGTATTGAATGAGCCAACGTGATCACAGACGACACATACCTGGTCGAAAGAAGATTAAACAGATCTCTTCTGTCGGAGAGAATCGGCTTGGGAATGCCTGCTTGTCAGAGCATCTAGGTAGCGAGGTAGGTATTGAACACGTGGAACGTAACCTTGAGATCTGGACATGACTAAAGTCGGGGGATTCCGATTCTGGTCGAAGGATGGGGGCCGGTGATGAGGTGTAGTAGCAGTGCTAGTGATGATCGCTCCCCACTCAACGAGTCTTCAATGCCGTGTGGCGTCTATGCCCCAACCTGGACAAATCATCCTCACGCCTCACGCCTCACGCCTCTTGCCTCACGTTCCACGATGCTCTCCAACTTTGGGCAGCAAAGCCTGACTAGCCCGACATCAGCAATATTCACCACCCCTAAGCACCAAAACTTATAGACCACGTGGGACATATTCGAAAAGGTCGCTTTCCCTCGAAACATCAGAACGTGCAGAATAACCACAAGAAAAGAAAAAGCACGCCGAAGTTCGGCCAAGACAACCTCGCTGTGCAACATCCTCCACCTGACATCTGCATCTGGCATATGATAGCCCATCTCAATACCGCAAGATGGGGAAAATTCGGGTGGGCATAGTCGGCCTGTCCAGCAAGCCCGGGGCGTGGGCGGCACTGGCGCATCTCCCGCGGCTGGCGTCGTCGCCCAACTTTGAGATTGTCGCCATGTGCAATTCGACGCTCGAGTCGACCAAGGCGGCCATCAAAGCGCACAACCTCGACCCGGAGACGGTCAAGGCGTATGATTCCTACGACAAGATCGCCGCCGATCCAAACGTCGACCTCTTCGTCGTATCGACCCGGGTCGACAGCCACTACGACGTGGTCGTCCCCGCCTTGCAGGCCAGCCGGAATGTCTTTGTCGAATGGCCGCTGGCCACCACGACGGAGGAGGCGAGGAAGATCGCGACCCTGGCCAAGGAGAAAGGCGTCCGCACCATGATTGGGTTCCAAGCGCGGGCATCGCCATCCATCAACAAGATCAAGAATCTCGTCGACACCGGTTCCCTAGGCGAGATCCACAGCGTCAATTACCACGGGGTCATCAACAACTGGCTCGACGGCGCCGCCGACGAACGATACGCCCATTTCCTCCAACGCAAAGTCGGCGCCAATCCCCTGACCATCTACGGCGGGCACGCTCTCGACTCGATCCTCTACGCTATCGGGGAGCTCAAACCGGGCACCTACCAGGCCCTTGCCGTCAACCTCCTCCCCAAAATGCCCATGAAGCTTGCCGACGGCACACTCTCCCCCGACGTCTACGACAAGGACACGCCCGACCAGATCCTCCTGCAGGGTCAATTCGCCCGCGACCCCCCCGCGGTGCTCAGCTTCCACTTGCGCGGCGGCCCGCGGTTTCCCGACACACCCGGCTCGACGTGGGAGATTTACGGGACAAAAGCCGTGCTGTGGGTGACGTTTGCCAGCGCGGGCCCGCAGATGGCCAAGGCCCTGAGCTTTCGACGCTACGATCTGGCCACCAAGGAGGTCGAGGATATCGTGGTCGACGAAGGCGGACACGAGTGGACCGGCCTTCCCAACCAGGGGCAAAATATCGGTCGGCTCTACGAGGCGTACGCCCTGGGGCAGGGATACGGTGATTTCGACCTGGCTGTAAAGAGGCATGAGTTGTTGGATGAGTTCTGGGCATCCATGTCAGGTCGGTCGTGATGCTTACGTACGTGGGAAAATGAGGTTACAGTCGCGCTGCCTTCGGCCAGGGGAGCTGTCCAAAATTATAGATTAGATGGTGATGGTTTTTTTAAGATCATACAGCTAGCATGTTCTGTCCCGTGTCGCTAGACTGGAACATAGATGGTCATATCGATCTATAAGGAATCGGTGACACACAACCACAACGCCGAGACGTATCTGTGAACTTGCAAGAACTGACAAATGTTTTCATGAATGATATGGCCCCCAGTACACGGCAAATTACATGTACTGTGCTAGACTGAATAGACCGTGATATATACTGTGCTACCCTGAACAAGGCCGTGGTTCCCCTGGACAACCCCCCAATACCTCTCAAAACATCTGCGTTGGCTTTCTCCCCAGAACCCAGCCGTGTCCCACTCACTCGACCGGAGTCACATTGTCCCACGCTCGTTCAACGAGCTCCGCAAATTCCTGCAGATTGCGACACCGCCACGCATACCCGACAAGTCCCTTGTCCAGGACCATGCGGCTTTCCGCCTCCTTACCCCACCTGGGCCCGTCACCGATCAGGAACACGCTGCTCAGTCCGCGGCGTTTGGCGGGCGCGTGGTCGTGACCGAGGCTCTGGGCGACATGGAGGATCTCCTCCTTCTGCACCCCGTATTTGGCGCAGTAGTCGACCAGCGTGTCCAGCCTTGTCTCGTCGAGATGTGCCGGATCCCCTCGGACATCTTCCGAGGTGAAGACCTTCCACCAACTTACATCACCAAGTCCGCTCGTTGGGGACGATAAGGTCGTGTACCATGCGAAGCGGTCGATGTTGGACAGCGCCACGAGGCGATAGTGCCGCTGGAGCTGTCTCAGCGCTCTGATAGTGCCCGGGAAACAGGGCCACGAGGAGATGACCGCCTCGCTTCCAAAGTTCAGGGCCTCGTCCTCAGTGCTTTCCACCTGCAATTCGCGCGCTATCCGCCGCCAGATCTCGGACAGGATCTGGTCGAAGCGCCGCGCCGGCTTCTCGAGCTTGATCTGATCCTCTTGTTGCTGGAAGAGCCGGAGGAACTGGATTGCGCCGAGAGTGTTGCTGCCGGGAATGTCGTCCGAGAGAGGTGTCGGGTCGAGATATGGAGATGAGGGTGGGAGACGAGACAACAGTGGCTGGAATGATCGGACGATGTGAGCTTTGTATTCGATCAGGCTGCCGTAGACGTCGAAGGATAGCACTTTGTAGTGAGGCAATGGCAGGGGAGGGATGGTCGGCTCGGGCATTGGGAGGGCCATTGTTGCGGCAGACAGTAGATAGACGACAGACGATTAAGAGATTGAAATGGACGGTTTGAGGGCAATCTGTTGCACCACGCCAACAACGGTCAAGGAAATTGATTGTTGTAGAGAACAAACAGACACCGGTGACAGATTGATACTCATCTGATGGCCAGAGATTAGCCTTCGCAACAAACCCCCGCTAAGCCTTCGGGACCGCCCGTCCATCTTACAATTCAACCGCGTTGGGATCAAGGGTGGGGAGAGGAACGGAGAAGAACGGTCAGACGGTCGATCATGCCATCTTTCGTAGTCGGCGGTATTCCCCATGGTGCCATGGGGGTGCCGTGGACAAAGGTGGGGAGATGAGTCAATCAGGCTCATCCGGAAAGGGACGACGCCTTGTCCTGAAGAGGCAGTTAGTTGATGTTACTAAAGAAAGCCTCCCCGTACCCCAGATTGCACCTACACGTTGAAGGTGGCATCGGCAGCTGTGAATGCCTAACCCTTGGATTCAACCACAAGACGGCGGTCCAGATGCTGGGAAGCACGCTCAAGATTCTCGCAGGAAGCAGCCACCCTGAGCTGGCCCAGCTCATTGCACAAAAGTCTGCCCTTCTCCTGCAAAGCCTTTCTTCTCGAGCAGTCATGTTAACGAAGCGGAAGGATCACAAGACCCATTGGAGCGCTTCAGACTCGACGTTTCGCCAATGGCGAGACCCTGGTGACCGTGGTGGATTCTGTCCGCGATCAAGATGTCTTCATCATCCAGACCGCCGCGGAGCCCGTGAATGACCTGTTGATGGAGCTGCTCATCACCATCAACGCCTGCAAGATTGCTTCGGCGCGCCAGATCACGGTTGTGCTGCCATGCTTCCCGTATGCCAGGCAAGACAAGAAGGACAGAAGCAGGGCGCCCATCACGGCCAAGCTCGTTGCCAACATGCTGCAGACGGCGGGATGCAACCATGTGATCGTGAGTGCCAGGGGAATTCCCTGGAACAGGGTGGGAGCTGATCCCTGACCTTAGACAATGGACCTGCACGCTTCGCAGATTCAAGGGTTCTTCGACATCCCCGTGGATAAGTAAGACACTGCTATTCCCCAGTGCTGGACTCCAGCGTTGCTGATCTAGAGTTAGTGTGAGATGCTGAAATATCCTTTGTAGCCTTCTCTCGCTGAACCGTGCCTTTTAGCTCTACTCCGAAACAATAATGCGAGACTATATCCAGCAGCACTATGAGATCAATAACGTCGTTATCGTTTCACCTGATGCTGGTGGTGCCAAAAGGTAGTGGTGAAAAAGACTGATGGTGAACTACCTCTGACAATCCGCGACATATAGGGCGGCCTACCTTGCAGATAAACTCAAAGTCGATTTCGCCTTGATCCACAAAGAACGCCAGATTGCCAACGAGGTCTCACGTATGATCCTCGTCGGGAACGTCACGGGCAAGACTGCCATCATCATCGACGACATTGCCGATACGTGCGGTACGATTGCCCTGGCGTCGAAGATCCTGACCGACAACGGCGCCGAGAAATGCATCGCACTGGTCGTGCATGCCTTTCTGAGTGGACGGGCAATCGAAGTGATCGCAAATAGTGCCCTGGACGAGATTGTCGTGGCAAATACAATACCTCTCTCGCAACGCGCGAGGGACTGCAGCAAGTTGCGAACCATGGATGTCTCGGCCATGCTAGGCGAGGCGATCAGGAGGACTCACTATGGTGAATCGTAAGCTGAAGCGTGAATACTTTGTGCGATCTGAACTGATTGTGGTGCAGAATATCGCAGCTCTTCTTGTAGGAGTTGCTGTGTTACCATCGTTGACATTTGGGACCAATAACAATGAATATGTGGCCATGTGAAAAGCTTGAATGAATAAATAGTACTCGGTACCTAACACAGATATTGGATTTTGGAAGACAACTTGGAAGTCCAACTGCGCAGGTGGGTTAGAGAATTTAGAGATTATTAGATAGATACCAGTAATAATTAGGTATGTGGCGCCTACCCAGCGGTGCCTGTGCCTGCCTCCAGGTAAAGAATAGAGGTTCAAGTTGGCGCCTTGGCACCCGCGTGCCGTCCCTCGTAGAGACCTAGGACACCTACCTAGGTACCTACGTACCTAGTAGTCTCATACAAGCACTGGCATTTCACATTCCCTCTCCCGCGTTCCCACGCCATCGTTGACGCTTGAGATCAATAGGCATAAGAGATCTATTCATTACTTCCATCTACATACCTAGGTACATTACCTGACGAGCACAGTACAACCGGCAAAACGATGCTGAAGAATCAAGCCATCCTCCAATTGAACTTCACAATCTCATGCCACATAATCCAGTAACCGTTGCCATCGTCCAGAATCTCCTCTCTTTCCACCTCAAGCTGGCCCTTCACCCGCGGCACGACATAGTAGAAGACAAGCCAGTACGCGAGAGAAAAGCCAATTAGACCCATGCCGATGGTGCCCGTCAGATACCACTTGACGGGCTGAGTGATCCCCGTGTCGCCCGAGGGGGGAATCCAGACCGCAACCAGCGGGAACGCGTTGGCGATGGTGAAGATGAGCGCGGCCGAAATGCTCACGTACGCATTCGACTGCGACTTGCTAGCCCAGTGGTAGCCAGGGTACAGGCGCAGGACGAGCAGGCTCAGGCCCACAGCGCACCCAAACAGGGCGTCGATGGTGAACGAGTACAGATTGACCACGGTCCGGTAGGCGTCGTTGCGGTTCTTTTCGGGGATGGTCAGCACGATCACTCCTACGGCGAAGATCAAGTGCAAGATCAGTGCCCCTGCCGGTGTGTCGTCGGACCTTTCTACCGCAGTGTGATTGCGCCGCCACCGTCGTGGCCAGAGCGAATAATTGTTGGCGAAGAACCTTGCCCACGGCAGAATCCCTTCTTTGGCGATCTCCTGCTTGACCCGCGCCGCAGTGAAGGTCTGCACGATGATGTTCCCGAAGCTCGAAAACGCGATGAACCCGCAGAGCGCCTTGTCCGCAGCCTCGTATCCAAAGATTCGCTGGAAGAACGGTTGGGCAACAGTGTCATCGGCTTGACTGAAGAGGACCGACGCAGGGACGACCAGCATCTACGACACAGTTAGGCTCGTTGGTACGTATGGATCCTGCGCCTCGTTTTGCACTTACATAGGATATGTTGATCAGGATGTACAATATGCTGACAATGCTGACAGTGGTTATGGCAGTATGCTTGAACTTCTTCCGCGGATCGTCGATGTCTCCAAGAACCTGTCACGTTGTCAGCATCTAAAAGTCCAGAAGCGCGTATATCTCGAAGAGGTGCTCACATAGTTGGCCTGATTGAAGCCCCCGATCGCAAAGATGATGCCCAGGAACGCTTCGGCATAGCCGTACGACGATGTCGCAGCTCCCTTAAAGGAATTGTGCACGCTCAAGTTGTTTGCCGCTGTCTGGTCGTTCCCACCAAAGCCTCCGGCCGCATACACCACTCCGAGAATGAACAGGGCGATGAGCATGAAGAATTTGACCGTCCCAAAAAAGTTGTTCAGCCACACGCCTCCGGTCCTTGACGTGGCATGCAGCAAACAGGCAAATGTCATAACCCCAATAGCGATGCCTCGAACCGAGCCATTCACGGCCTTCTTCCCAGATGCCAGCATGATATTCTCGGCAAAGACGATCGCATTACCCGCTGCGGTGCCCAGGCAGATGAAGGGGATGCCATAGATACAAGTGGCAAGATAGAGTGGCCGTTTGACCATGTATTCGAGCTTTGCAGAGAAGTCAATCTCCAATATCCGCCTTTTGTGCCCGAAGTACTCACATAATTCTTCTCGCCTCCGTTTCGAGGTACGGATTGTTTCTCATGCTCATTCTCGACCCTCAATCTTGGGACAGTCAAGCCGAATTCTGCAAAGACGAGAACCCCTGCGACGGCAACGATGGCCCCAGCAGCCCAGAAAATGAGACTGTAGCCCACGCTATGCGTCCCGTGAGCAACTGTGGTGGGTGTCCTAAAGATTCCAGTCCCTTGCCACAAAATCAGAACCTGGCCAATGTTTCTGGGAGCGTCTTCTATGGTGTGACAACTTACCCACCATCCTGTTGATTATGATGCAAGCAATGGATATATAGCCTAAGGATGTGGGACGGGTTGTCACGACTGTTCTAGGCTGTGACTTGGCTTGATGAATCTTCTCCAACTCTTCCGCTGTGAACCTCGGGCGGTCGTCCACTGCATCGTCGATTTCCATCTCTGCAAAGCGTTCCATGATGGCTTCTGTCGGATTGGATGTGTTGGAAAGAGATGAGAAGATTGTCAAGATGGTAATGGAACGAAGAGCTCAACAACAACGGAGAAATCAGGCCAGTTCCCACGCAAATCTGGGCTCAAGGATTGATCAAGCAACATCAGAGGGCAATAATGCCTTTTTCTGCGCTTCTTGTTACCCAGCTTCGCCACGGCTAGGCATATAGTGGCCGGTTCAGCCAAGCAGCCAGAGTCCCAAGAAAGGTCACGACTCCTCCAAGAGGCAGCCGCTAAGGGGGGGGTTCAAGCCACGGCTGTTGGCTACGACAAGAAAAATGAGCTGATACGATGCAACACTGGTTGATTGGACGTTTTTGCAAGGGTGGGCGTTCGAAAGAGCGTCATTCCTGGCCTCGAACTCTGCAAAGCCTCAATAGCCTCAGCCTAAAGCCGTATTCACCACCTGCAAATTGGCTCATCAGGCTGTGCTGCCCCATTCGACTACTGCGTGGGACTCACGCTAAATCGTGAGGCTGAGAAACCACCACCAATGCTCCCACACCCTCAAGCTCAAAGGCTGTCGGGATAATGGGCATATTTGAAACTGCTTACCTTCAAGTCCTGTCGAAATCGTCCACTTCTCGGCTACGCCCCTGGGGATTGCGCGTGGAATTTTGTTCCCCCATGCCGGAGCCGGACCTAAAGCCAGGCATTCGCCGCCTCCTGAACCAATTCGAACGGGCAGCCTCAAAATTGCCACCAGCCTGAGCAATGCCCTCCTTCATCATTGCTTGTTCGCGCACTGACTGCATGCCATCTCAGAAGTCGACAACGATGGCGAGCCCACTCTCTGAGATCACCGCGGCTGTCCGCATTGCGTACACCATCTACGAGCTAGGGTTCAGCAAGTACACGAGTGCCCGTCAGTTTTCGTCGCTGTCAGGATCGATACGAAGACCTAGCTGACAAGATACAGAGCAGGAATATCTCGACTTCGGGAAGGACATATTGCTTCTTCGAGATGGCCTCGATGCCATCGTTCACTCGATCGAGGATGCCGACAGGCTAGGTCCACACGGAACCGTTGAAACCCCACACGACCTGGCTTCTTTCCACACCATTGTCGGGGATTTCAAGGAGACGTTGAAACGCTGCGAGAAGCTGATTCAAAAGAACAGTCAGTTCAGCAGGGACGGCAATGGTTTCGTGCAGAATGTCCAATGGAACTCCGGTCTTGGCAAACACGTCGAATACTTGAGACAACGAGTATCTTTCCATTGTTCAAAGGTAGGGGAGACGAAGGTCCTTGTATGCTTTCGTGGCTGACGTGGGCAGATCAACTTGATTCTCACCCCTCTGACGTTGTAAGTTGACTGGCACCTAATTCTTGGGCTTCACCTAACCCTGACATTAGAAAGATGTACAAAGACATCAGGAGAGGTATAACCACTGTTCATGAAGATATCATCTTCCACCTCGAAAACATCATTCGAAAGCTCGAAATAGACATAAACGGCACTCTACTTGCAATCCCGCCCATCCTAGATGAAAAGTTCCGACTTTCCGTCACCCGATCAGGTTCGCCGATGCCATTTCCAATTGAAAAGGGCGTCGATGCGCTGGCCCTTCATCTGGGCAACAGCACGCAGAGCTTTGTGTCCCAACCTTCACTACTGGTTAGGCCGGCCGTATGTCAATATATCAACCTCATGAAAAGTGTGTGGCTTGTGCAGCAACTACAAAGGAACCGGGAATTCGAAGCCCGATGTCTGGACGTGCTTTGGGGCGCCTACTTTCGCCAGCTCCAGAAGAGGGTCATCTACGAATGTAGCCGATTCTGTGCCCCGAACGATCCACTGATTGCGCCCGACGACCAGCAAATTCTCCAGGAAGCGGACGACAAGTTTGAGATCTGGGTTCATTTTGACGAGGTGGACGACTTCGAGGATCTCACAGAGCCCAGCGGGATGGAAACACGCATCTTTCGCGCCACGCTCCCTGACGTTAGCGGGCGCGCACAGCAGATCTCCGTCCTCCGAATCAACACGAGTCGGATCCGGCTTGCGCGCACGCTGACCCGCGGCAATGACCGGGCGATTGAAAACTACGAAATCGATTCTCAGCGGGTCGTCCTGCTGCCGTTCTACAGCTTTCCGGAAGCGTCGGCCGACGCCATCAGTCTCGGGTGGAAGGCACAGGCGTCGGACTACCAAAGCCGGGCACTGACGTTCCGCCGCCTAAGTGATCTCCACCGGCTCCAAGAAGCCATCACGAACTTTGGCATTGTGGTCGACCAGCCCGGCGTGGTGTCGGTCCGGATCAAGGAGTCGGCGTTGGGGTCGCTAAAAAGCATTGGCGCGGGCGGCCGAGCCCAGATCTGGGTGTGCAGGGCTCAGAAGAGATACGAGCCGCCGCCATCGTTTGAGACCGATCATTCATCAGCCAACAGCCCCCGAACAAGGCAGGACTCGACCCCTCACCACCGGCGGCTCTTCATCAGGGTGGAACGGTAGTGGTGGTGGCCCCGGTGGGTGGGCTCGATCGTACGCGAGCTCGGTCCACGGCAGCACCAGCATCCAGCAGTCCGGCGGCAAGGCCCTGATCGAGCAGCCAATCGCGGCGCAACTGGTGCTGTTCACCGAGCGGAAGAAAAACGGAGTCAGCGTCAAGAGCTTCGTCGCCGTCCAGATCGACGCGGGCACCCGCCTGAGCCCGGAGAGCTGCCACTGCAACGAGCCGGCGCGGAAGTGCAAGAAGATGGTCATCCGGAGCGGCGGCGGCGGCAGCAGTCATAAAGGTGATGTCGCCGTCAAGATCTACGAGACCAAGCCGCGCCACGAAGACGAATGGAACCTCGCCGTGCTGGGTTACCCGGAGCACGACGACGCCAGCAAGGGCGTCGAGCTGCACAAGGCCAAGTTCTTTGTAATCGAGTTCGACAGCGAGGAAGCCCGCGAGCACGTCACCACGGCGCTCGAGCAGACTTGCCTCCTCATGCACGAGCGTGTCCGTATCTATCACCAGGACCTGGCCGGCTCGAGGTCTCGAAATGTGGTTGCGCAGTGAAGAAGACGAACAAAGATCAAATACATCTTAATAATATGAAGAAAAGACAAGGGATTAAAATGGTGTACCGGGCACTGGACATAGCTGCTAATGCTCACTTTGCGTTGATGTCGATGTCGATGTCGACTTGACTTACGGACACAGATCACCTAGTTCAAGTATGATTTGAGATACAGAGGAGCGAAAGAGAGCGGGCAGTCCAGGGTGTCTAGAAGAAGTTGACGCGTGATCACGTGGACAGTAGCCTCGCCTTCTAAAGCGGCGTGTACGGAGAGTCCCCAGAAACTGGAAACTGGAAACTGGGAGCCAGCGAGCCAGCGCTGACACGGAAATTCTGTCATTCCAACTCGGCAGGCAAGGGCCACTTGGAACTTACCCGTCGTTGCGGAACCAGACTGTGTGATCGATCCATTCTCTGACCTCAACCAGCAGGCGAAGACACTCTGCCCTCCCACCCTTTGCCCACCTTCTGCCCACCTTCTGGGATCTTCAGACTTTGGCCTCCTTCGACTCGATCGCCCTCCACTCCAGCAATTGGCCCCTCCCAGTCGTCACAGACGCTTGCATCCCAATGTCTCGACGGCCCGGCAATGACAGGGCGGCACAGAATGCCCAAACCCTCAAAGCTCTAGTAAAACTCGAAGGGAACAAAGTCTGCGCCGACTGCAAAAGGAACAAGCATCCACGATGGGCAAGCTGGAATCTCGGGGTATTCGTCTGCATTCGATGTTCAGGGATTCATCGAGGCATGGGCACTCACATCAGTCGGGTCAAGTCGGTTGACCTGGATGCCTGGACCGACGAGCAACTACAAAGTGTCCTGAAATGGGGCAACACAAGAGCAAACAAATACTGGGAGGCCAAGTTGGCCCCGGGGCACGTACCATCCGAAGCGAAGATTGAGAACTTCATACGCACAAAGTACGAGTCTAAGAGATGGGTGATGGACGGCCCTATGCCTGATCCCTCGACGCTGGACGCCGAAGGTGACGACAACATGCCCTTGAATATTGTGCAAGAGAAGGCCAAGATTGAGAGATCGGCTTCCCAGCGTCAAGCATCCACTCAACCACCTCCGCAGCCCCGGCCTGCCGCAAACGTGAATCTTTTCGACGATTTCGCTCCAGCTCCACCAATCAGGCCTAATACAGCAGACATTCCTGACTCAAAGCCCACGCGAACTGGCCCTCCCGCGCCTGCACCGGCTCCAAAACCTGCTGCGAAGCCCCAAGACTCTTTGCTTGGGCTGGATTTCTTTGGCGGCTCCTCATCAGGTGGCGTTGGCCGGCCTTCGAGCGCAGCATCCAATCCTCCAGCATCTACGAATCCCAGAGGAGATCTGAAGAGTTCGATCCTGTCGTTATATTCTGCTCCTCCGAAACCCCAACCTGCACCTCAACCTCAGCATGAACGTCAGCCATCGTTTGGTGGAATGGCAACCTCCCCCTCGCCAGCGAAGCAAGATGCGTTTGGAGGACTTGCCGATGCTTTTAGCGGATTGAGCTTCCCTAACCCGACCACCACAAAACCCCCTGCTCCACAGCCGTCGTCTGCATTCTCCGCGTTCGGAAGTTTGACCAGTCCTGTTGCAGCGCCGAAAGCCACGCCCTCTGCACCCCAGGTGACATCGCCGCCTCCTCTGAGTGGTGGCAGTTTCTTCGACGCCCTTCCCTCCAAAGCACCTGCTGCCAAACCTACTGTCACCTCGCCCTCGGCCTCGAACGGACTAGATTTCTCATTCACCCAAAGAGCTCCGGCTCCGCAGCCTGCCCCCGCCCCAGCACCAAAACCATCTGCTACGTCTATTCCTGCTGATTTATTTGCGGCCGACGACTTTGGGGGATTTGCCAGCTCGACACCTGCGTCGCCTCCAAAACCGGCTCCCGCCCCACAAGTGTCATCACCTACCATCAGCAGCTCAACTTTTAGTTCACCTTTCAATCTCTCTTCGCAGCCTGCGTCCGCGCCAAAGCCAGCTCCCGCACCGTTCAAAGCACCAGTAGTACCTCAAACCAACTCATCAATGTTTGACCCGTGGGCTTCAGGCAATGACAGCAGTCCTTGGGGGGCGCCAGACCCGACGCCTGCAAAACCAGTGCAGCCCAAGGTCGAGTTGGGGAGACCACCAGCCCACATAACGCCGAATGATATTCAAGGAGGATGGGGAGAGCCGATATCGTCGAGCACTAAACCAGTGAGGCAGGCGTCAGTCACAGCCGATGAAGACTTTGGGGGATGGACCTCAGCGTCTACAACACAGACGCCGGTGGCTCCGCCAGCCAAAAGCAGTGGGGGATTTGGAGGCACGTCGGATCCTTTTGATAATCCATGGGGTTGATTTGGGTTGGAGAATGGTGCCGGCCTCTACCGGGTACTGAAGTTCAGTACGAAAAGCCACGAGACACGGGACGAAAGGAGATTTGCTTAATGAAAAAAGATGGTGCATTGATACAGAAACTAGAGAGGACCTTTTATCTTATGTACCTAGGTTGCTCGAGAATGAAGAACAAAATTGCCATTGATAGTTTGGTCCGCGGTCGCGTTGTTCTGCAGGAGGACGTAGTAACAAGGGAACACACCTGCATCTACGAGGCAATACGTAACAGTCCCCTGCACGAGCATTCGATACACGGAATGCAGGAGGTACTCCAGGGTGTCGGCTCCGAAACACCGTCAAGTCTAATGTCGACTATAAGTACAGTGACAGCTAAGTAGTGGCTAATATCGTATAAACTAAGTATGGACTACGAGTATAGTCCGGTATACCGTATACCGGCAGTACTCATCTACGAGGATGAAACCCTAGGGTACCTACCGTGCTACCTAAGGTTAAGTATATATAGCTCTAGTGTGTCACCGCCGAACGTGTATGGATACCTAGTAGATAGTTAGATCGTCCGTCTTGGAAACTCGCGGGCGGGTGGAGATATATATACGTATATCGGCATAAGCCGGGGAAACCTCTCCACGGCGATATGGATCAGTCGTCGGCGTCGTCGAATACCGGGACGACGTCGGCTTTCCGATCGTTCTCCATATCCCACCAGCCGGGGAAATTGCCTGGGCCCAGCTTGTCGAGCCAGAAGTTCTGCCCGGCGTCAATGCCGATCAGGTAGGCCCTCTTGGAGTCCCGCATTCCCTTCCTGATGGCCAGAGTGGCCACCTCGCCCTTGCCCAAGTCCAGACTGAGACGGTCTTTGTTGGCCCATCTCTGCATGTCCATCTTGCCGTCCCAGTAATCCCACGCGATCTTCTTGATATTTGCATGCGGGAACATGTCCATGGCGCCCCACACGCTATAGTTGTGCACGCCGAGGCAGATGGCCAAGATGCGGTGGTCGGTCGACTTGAAGACGAGGATCGAATTGTGGCCTGAGCGCGGGAAGGTGAGGCTGATTTCTTCTTTTTTGACGACCCATTCGGATCCCGTGTCGAGGTCGGTGTGTTGGACCTCGGGGAGGGCGTGTTCGCGTCGTTTGATGGTGAAGAAGAACCTGTAATCCGATTCCGGTTGATACCAGTCTAGGCGAGTGAGAGACGGTCAGTCTTCATTACCTCTTTCAAGACCTGTGGTGTGGGTGCTTCGGCCCCCAAAAAGAGAGATGGCGGACTCATGGGCAGATCATTCTTACCTGACACGTCGAACCTCGTGGGATCCTCCCGAACATTTTCCCGGACATAGATCTCCTTGCTCTCATACCTCGAAACATCTTCTCTGATCTCCTCCGTCTTCCAAGGACTCACGCGAACGTAGCTGGTGGGGTACCTCTTGTCAGGCCTGTGCAAATATATCCCCATGGGATACTGATCTGGGTGCGAGTACTCCTTATTGCGCTGACAGCTCAGAACGCCCAAGAAGGTCTCGTCATTCTGCGGGATGAGAGGGAGCTTCATGTTAATACCTTTGTTGGTCATAGCAAACGCTGGGCTGTCACCATATCTGCTCACATCAGCGCAATGCTCGAATTCCCGCGGTGACTCGGCAAGGAGGCCTCTCGTCTCATGAGGACCCTTTCCAGGACCAGTCCAAGCAAATATAGTCTGGTCATCTGAAACCTTCATGATCTCGAGCTGGAGACGTCGGAAGGCGTTGGCCCCTTCCCCATAGGCCATTGTCATATTCAGATTGAACAACCCCAAGAGACAATAAGCCAAGTCCTCAACCTTGGCCGTTTCCCTTTTCGCAGCCCACGACATTCTCTGAGCTACACTGATATCTCGCGCCTGATTCGTCAAGAGGACCTGGGCAGGGATCCCGGTGATGCCGGTGATGAGGTCCTGGAAGCTAGATTTCGTCCCGATTTCTTCCCAGTCGCTCCCGAAGAATGTCACATACTGCGGCGCGACCAGTTCCTGAAGCGTCCAGCCACGAGTGAACCACTTGCTCTGTCGGAATTTGGAGCCCTCGGCAAGCGGATCCTCGTTGCTCGGCACGTCAGACATGTATGCGTAGCACACCTGCGCCCTTCGGTACCAATGGAACATGGAATTGAGCGCCTCGGTCAACTCGACTTGATCATTCTTATTGATGCAGCAGGTGTCGATCCATACATATTCGAATCCGACGGAACTCGCCTTTTCGCAGCAGTTTAGAATTTTATCAAAGCCTTCAATGACTTTCAGTTTGTCAAGGTTGCCGCCTGCTTCACGGAAATCCTCGAACGTGATTTCCTGGTCCCTCCATCTGTGGGAGAGGATAACGTAGTCAGGAATTTCTGGTCTTGCTGGGCTTGGGAAGGACTCGATGACGAATTTTTTGGTGTTCAGAAGACGCATTCTGTGGGAAGCGCTGGTGGAGGGCGGGGATGTTAGCCAGGAGAAAACTGGTAGCGCACTTTTGCTCGCGCTTCCGTCTGTTCAGAGTATCATACTAGTAACCGATCCCGGAGGCCACATGTAGAAGATGCCTCCGGACTGCAGGTTATGACTGACTGATAAGAAAAAGGCTCGCTGTTTGGTACCCAGGTACCCGCCCGCCAGAAGTCAGGCAGTATACAGCGGCCAAACTAAGACGCACCAAACACTGAGATCACGTTCTTGTTTCGCCTTGTGGCTTAGTCAACTTCCTTTGGCTGCAGGTAAGTAGACTCCGTGTGAAAAGTAGAAGGATTGAGGATCAATCACGCACAGAGGCTCATGCTGGCGGGCGAATGTATCGCTGGCATTGCGACTTCCCTCCCATTTGTGGAAACAGAGCTTCGCATGTTGGTGTCCTGGATTCAACGATGATAGTGCGAGGAAGGTACGCAGTCGAACCCCATTCGTCTGCAGTCTTTTGGCATCAATTCCTGCTGCACATCTCGTCCAGTCGTGTCAATATTGGCAGCCCACCTGTCCAATCGATAAAAGTTCTCTGCGGCTAGATCAGAACGGAGAGCTTAGCGGAAGCCCCTCTGCTTTCGGCTACTAATAAGAACCTGCCACGGTTCTCTCGGTTGAAGCATGTGGATAGGTGGCTGCTTACTCTGCGTCTCGTATTGGCTCGTCCACGTTTCCAGAGTTCTTAGTCAAGCCAGAATCAGGTCTATGCACTGAGTACATGCCGGAGCAACAGCTTTCCGTGGTGGTCGGAGCCCTCGGAGCTGCGATGGAGAATGAGGGAATCGGCTCGGCCCACGGCGGGGCTGCAGACGTTGAGGCTCTGCGCTCCATCGGCTTGTTAGGATACAGCAGCCCCAGACGCTTGAGATTGGACTTCCTTCCGACCTTGATAGACGACGAGGGCTGCAAGCTATGTATAGAGAATGGGTTCTGCAGGGCCCAGCACGCTCACAGATGCACTCCCCACATTCCATTCGTTCGAAACCAGTGCTGCCAGGATTAAGGCGAGACCTGCTGTTGATTGACTTGATTTTGTTGGGTCCGAAGCTCTAACAATGTGCGACAGAGAGCCGGTTGGAAAATTGGGAATCCTCAAATCCGAGAGATGCCTGACGAGGCTAGCGCTCAAGCCTTTATCAAAACCCTTCCCCGGGTATTTGCTTAGGACGGCCCATCTTTTCGAACTTGGCTGATGTAATGATATGCAGGGCGATAGACGTCAGAACTGGGAGGAGAGTCGGTTCCGGCTGCTGTAAGGACATCCGTTCGCGAATGTGGTTATTGGGCGCAACTGACAGCAAGTAGATGCATCAAGGTCAAGGATCGAAAACAGCTCCATGAGCAGACAGCCATCGTGGAGACGGCAGCTGAGTCGGGATGGATCCACAGCGAGTTTAGGAGATTAATCCAAACAAGGACCACGGGCTCGGCGGTTCTGACGGAGAAGGGTAATATCAGTAAGATGCCGGGTCTCATCCTTCCTTGCTGCATTCCAGACTGAGTCCTTGAAAACAGGCCTGATTCTCCAGACACCAAAGGACAAGTTGCCCTTTATCACACTCTCCATGTCAGAGCTCCCTCGAGAAGGTCGTCAACGTGGATCCGATTGGGTTTGCCTTCTCGTAGCAGGGCCGGAGGTCAATCTAAAATCGTTGCTGAGCGAAAATTCATTTCCATCCGACTATGCCCCCCTGTCACCGGACTTCATGTTCCTGCCCGTCTCCGTCCTCCAGGAAGAGGTGGAGCGGATCGGAGCCGACCTGATGAAGCTGAAGGAATCCGTGTTGGACAAACAGAGTCAGGTCTTGTCTCGAGACCCCAGGGGCCTCGATGAGACCAGGAACATGCTTTTCGAGCTGGAGAGGACTTACCTCGAGCTGCACGACAGATGGAAGTTTGGACAAAGCCTCGCTGAGAACCTCACCAAGTGCTTTGGTGAAATCGTGCGGTTGCAAGCCAAGGACAATAACAAGGCAAGGTACTCGAGGACCCTCTCGCAGCGGGTTGAGACCCAGATCACCCTGTCGAGCATGACCCAGCAAGATCTTGATGCCATCCCTTCCAAGTTGGACCAGCAACACCGCATGGTAACCATTGTTAGCCTAGTCTCTGACCACGAGCTGTTCGCTGATTCATTGCAGATTGACTCTAAGCTGAGCATAATGGTGCGTTTCTCTGCACTGCCGGTGCGGCCAAGGACCATAGTGGACTAATCTCATCAGATTGCGGAGGACACTCGCCGTGATAGCTCCTCGATGAAGACCATTGCCGTGCTCACTTTATTCTTCTTGCCAGCCACTGCTCTGGCCGTAAGTTGGCCGTTGGCTGGACCGACTTGTATTCCGTTCTGACACCTCACAGTCGATTTTCGGCATGTCCATGTTTGATTGGGGGGCTCGGGACGAAAAGGATATCGTGTCTCGGCATTTCTGGATCTATATCGTTGTGGCAGTTCTGCTAACGCTGGCTGTGCTTGCTGGCTGGATCTTGTGGTACTCGTGGAACCAAAAGATATATGAAAAGAAATGGCGAAGGGATATTGAGACCGCCAACACTCCGACAGCAAAGCACGAGGACTAGAACGCTCTGTTAGAGATGACGACTACCATGTTATCGCTGCTCTTTTCAATCCTGTGGTCGACTCGATGAGCTTCGTCTTTTCAACTTTCCCAATGCGGTAGATTTTGTAGCCTTCCGGCAAGATTGTGGGATAAGACCTGACCATCTCGCGATCAACATTCTGCCATTTCTGATCAAGATCTCTCCAGGGAATAAGAAAAGGACTTGTTCGCTGCCCCGGATCTCGTTTGCCCTGATGCCACTGGTTCTGTAAGCGCTCGGCATTCCATCGCTCATGCTCTTGCTCGGCCAAGATGTCTAGCTCTTTTTCGCCGAAACTGTCCACAGCTTTGCGGGAGGCATTCACTGCAGCCAGAAAACAAGATATACTGCGGAGCTTTCGAGGGATATCGACGGCATGGGAACGTGTCGACTCCTTGAGTTCTTCATTCAGAGACTCCCACGGAGCCAATGAGAGGTCACTTTCTAGAGCCTGCTTTTCCTCAGCTGTCATGGCCATCCGTCTCCTTATTTGGACATAGACATTGTGGAGTTTCTCGGAAATGGACTCCCTGAGATCGTCGGACAGCGTGTTGTACCGTGAACACTCCAGAAATGTTGGATAATCGAGGTGCAGGCCTAACTGCGCTTCGGGTGGCAGTGCCGCTCGTTCGAAATGGCGCTTGCCGGTGACTTTGCTCAAGGCAATTATGGACTTCAAGGATCGAAGCCCATGTCGGTAGGTGGGGATCAGGAGAAGCCCATCTAGGATGCTCTGGTCAATGGAAATACCTTCACCCATCTTCAACTTTGGTTCCCTTTCTTCCAACAAGGCCCGAAGAACCACCGCCCGTCGCACTGGATACAAGACGTCGGATGAATCGATTTGATCAATGCCAATCACGTTGACGAAAGCGTGCAAGCAACTCAGGAATTCTTGGGCCCGCAGCAGCACCTTTCCATCTTCACTATTGTTCTTGGAAAAGTCCTCGAAATTTTCCAGAGACGTTGTGAAGCTGGACCCTAGAAGAATGATGGCAGGGCCGATATGATGCATCTCGCCACGATCTTGGACTCGGCCTCCATGCATAGGAGGCAATAGATGGGCTAGCCAACCAAGCGGACGACCCGAGAGTTCTGCATCGAAAGCATTGATATAGAGCAAAGGCAAAGTTCCTGAAAGGTTGCATTCTCGCACTTTGTTAAAAGCGAGAGAGAGATCTTCAGGTGTGGTAAACTGGGAAAGGTCGAAGCGCAGGTGTTGAATCTTGATGTCGCTTCGTGCCGCTGAGGCTGCGGATTCTGCGACCTGGACGGTAGCAAACGACTTTCCAGATCCTCTAGACCCGAAGATTCCGATATTGAGTGGTTTGATCTGAGGTGCTGATAGATATTCATATATGGCATTGAAGATATTACGAAATCCTTCCGTTTCCCACCTGTCAAGGACAAGCAGACGACCAAAGCTGGCAATAGGGACCCAATTTGCAGCTGAGTATGTTCCCTGCGTTACAATATGGCACGCCACTTGCACGGGGTCTCCAATATTGTGGTGTAGGATAGACCAGTGCCGTTTCTCACCTCGGGAAATGCTCTCAGATGGAATTTCAAGTGTGATTGGCGCCTCGTCAGGAAGTGTGGTTTTCTTGATGATGTCCATATGGGGATATCTAGGCCACCGGGATCCCTGGCTAGTCCTGAAGCCTAGCCTTGCCAGCCGTCTGGCAGTGATGAAGCCGAAACTGATAGCGGCATTCAGGGATGCCCCAGGAGGAGACTGTGCTATCTCGGTAGCTAGACCTCCAATAAAAGCTTCTACAACTCCTGGAACAGGTCCTATATGTCGCCTATTGAACCTGCCCTCAACTCCCAAAGGATCAAAAAACAGAGTTGGTTCCTCCATCTGCCGGCCACGGTGATAGATCACCCCGTCACATCCGAAGAGGACGAGGAGATTGGCGCAAGTGGCCAGGGTGTCCAGTTGGCCTTTGGAACCGAGCTTTTCGACGAAATCCTCACATGTTTTTTCCCAAGAAAGGCCATGGTACAATTCGATCCCTTCAGCGCGAAGATCGTCTGCGCTGACAACAACAATGAGCTTCTCGGGGTCTTGTGCACCGCCCCTCGTATAGGGTCCCCGGCGAACAGCATCCCAAATCGATCCGATCCCGAGGGGGCAGGCCATGTGGTAGATTAGTGTTTCCGGGCGGCTCTCGCGAAAGAAGTCCACTGCATCATTCTTGTTCCTGAAGTCAGACTCGGCATCTTGAAGAATTAGGACGCGCACTTTCTCAGTGGTCTTGAGCAAGACTTGAGGACGGCACCATCTCGGTTTTGTATCGAGGGGCCGGCTGTGCTTCACTTTGTAACTTGATAGCTGATTGTCCAGCTCGCCAAAGATCTCCAATTCCGTGATAGCAGAAGCCGGCTGCTCAAGGGAACGATCGTCAGAGACCTCTAAAGGCGGCCCATGTACTTTGTGACCGTGTTCGTGGGCGGAAGCATCCAAAAGATCTGCAATGAGTGCGGCACCACCATGGCACCTCTGAAGACCGAATCTTTGCGGACGTCTGTCATTTTCACCTTGACTTGGTAATGGATAGACAAGGAGATGGGTGGGAGTGTGTCCGGCGACCTGAATGTGCATGTCAGTCATTGTTGAACGCTCGTTGAACGCAACCAACTCAAGCGACGCTCTGAAGACAGTACGTGTCGTGTGGTCGGTGTTGGCAGCAAAGTTGGACCCAACCGGAGCAGGGATAGTACCTGGCTCACTACCTTGTACCTAGGTGGGATGTAGATTGTCCAAACCTGTATGACGGGTACTAGATATTAGCCTTCCGTCTCGCTTGCTAAGTGACAAGTCAGGAGCTCGACGCTGTGACAATTGTCCGATGGTGGATATGGCGGAAAGGGAGACACCAAAGCACCCAGGGAGGCACCCAGGAGGGAAAGGGTGACGGCGAATGATGGAAGCAATCGGTACCAGAGAAGAGGTCCACCAGAGCCACCCAGTGCCACCAGCGCCACTGATCAGGGCATCTAGCAAGGCACAGCGCGAAAGAAATCATCTGGGCACGCACTACTGGGAGCCCCTAGTAGATACGGGGTTGCAATTCCACCATTGGATGACAAGAGCGCGGCTGCTTGCCTGTGCACGCCTGCGCACGCCTGCGATGATCCCCATCCTCCGGTTTCTAGTATCCTGCACATCACCAACCCACGCACTCTCCATTTAGCAGCCCAAGTGACACTCCCTTTGAGTAACCAGACATCCACAGATGCTTGTCTTGCCCTGTCAGCGGCCTCTGCACATCCGGATCTTCTGAACCCTGCTACTGGGCCCCAGACGGAGGCTGCGTGCCTGGGTACAAGCCGCCCGCAACGCACCAACACACCCACGCACCTCTCGTCCGCGTTGATCGTCTCCCATGATCTCAATCGTTGCAACTTGGTCCACCCTTACCACAATCGCTTCTCGATAACCTCGATTGCCTCCGAGTACTGCCCACCGTCGAACAGTCCTTCTCGGCCGTCTTGTCTGCTCCGAACCCTATCTGCCTCAGTCCGATGATTAAAGGAGTCCCCTCCGCAGCACCAACCTGTCGGCCATTGCGCGCAGGAGGCGGGTTAGGAGGGAAGGCAACAGTGTTGCCTGCATCTGCACGCGCCTCTGATAAATCCTAACCCAACTTCGTCAGCCCTGGAGATCCATAACCGCTGCCGGTCCGCTCCATGCAGGTTCGTTGAAATGCATCCTGTCCTTTCCTGGGGGTTTGACGTGAGAGACGGGGGGACTGCGAGGGGGAAGAGCATTTGGTGAAAATCGAATACTGAAATGATCTCAACTGACACGGTGACTCTTGCAGACCTCAACCCGGAGCCGAGACACAGGCGCGAGCTTCGCTGCTCGCCAAAGGGGGCACCTGCCCCGGTTGTCGATAAGCGACGAAAACCACCATGTCACTGAAACCATTGGCTACCTCTACGATGACGATCCCGAGCAAGACCAACAGCACCCTTCCCATTCGAATCCGTATCAGAGTCCAAATTCTTCATCACAAGTTAAAATCAATGGCCATCAGATGGACGGTGATGTGACCCCCAGGAGGACGCCGTCCATACCTAGGAAGCAGTTACCTTACCGAGATATGTCAAACGGTAATGTTGTCGCACAACCAAACGGCGTCTCCAGAGGATCCTCTGGCCAGGTCCATCCCTGGGAACACCGTAATCACACATCCTCGTCGTCCGCGTCCGGCTCGAGAGAACGGTCGCCTTCCGATACCGCCACCTCCCCCTTTCCTCTAAACGATATTGACTACGAATCCAGTCCAGCAGGCCTGGCGCAAGAGCTGAGTAATCTACAAGCCTTGAGACGCATGTCAATGCATATGGGCGCAACCGATGATCCAGACCTTCCTCAACTGAGTGCAGCCGGCATGCCCAGTGCACCATCCCCTACTTCCAGCGAAGACGATTCCTCTAGGTTATTCTGGGTGCCGGCTCGATTACACCCGGAACTCGCTCCGAAAGAATTCAAGACCTTCTTGGAGAGCAAAGCGGAGCAAATCAGAAGGAGATCTGGCGAACTATCCGCTTTTGCTTCCCCGTCCTCCTCCCGATCTTCCTCGTTAAGTGCCGAAGGAGGAAACTCTGGCTTGCGAAGGAAGAAGTCAATGTTATCGCGCCAGATCGATAGTTCTGTCGGGTATCAAGATGGTGCCGACAGATTAGAGACGAAGAGATCACTGTCGCGCCGGGCTGGCCCTCAGGACCCGAATCTGCAAGAGTTAGAAACATTGGTCGCAAATACCCCCGGTTTATCAAGGCCGAGTCTGGAGCCTTCGTCGGAGGACGATGCCCCAGATATCATACTACCATCAGTCCCGGGAAATAGTCTCAAAAGGTCCACAAGGACAACTTACAGGCGAGGTGGAAGTGTCAAGGGGAGGGGAGATCGAGGTACCTATGCTCAGCGTGCCGCGAGAAGGGCTACGGCTGGAAGTCCCTCAAGCAGCAGACCTGAATCGCCCGTATCCAGCGTTCCGGCCATTCCTCCGCTGCCGAACCTATCTATCGAGGGTCCCAGCCTTGCACAAACCTTGAAAGACGCGTCCAGCACAGCAAATGTTGGAAGAACCGCCCCTACAAACTTCTCCCGACCTGCAAACTCGTCCGCCGCCGGCGGAAATTCTTCTGCGCCAACCGCATTTGACTACACATTCAGCAATGACGATGAAACGAAAAGACCAACCCCAGCAGGCATGCCTGAGTCGCGAAAATCCCCGCCCCCTCCAAAATCACCTCCATCTATGAGCGTTCCGTTCGATCGAAAACCTGTTCCCCAGATTGTTGAGACCCCGCCTCCCCCGGAGGCTTCTCCGGTCTCTGTCCAGCCCCCGCGGTCTTCTTCGATGACGCCTCCCCTTGTGCAACAGCCAGTGCGGCATCCTGAGAGGGTGTCTTCGCGGGACGATAGCCGGACAAGAGCCATTTCTCCGCAAAGGCCATCAATGCCTTCCAGAGGGTCTCTGCCGGTAATTGCACCACGAGCAACATCTCCCGCAAACCAGATTCCGCCACAGTCAAAGCCCACCCAAAGTCTCGAACAGCCATCTCCCTTGCCTGGAAATGACACGAATACGAGTAACTTGTCATTCATACCGACCCTCACTGTAGATAAAAGAGCCGATCATAAAAAGAAGGAAGAGACCAAAAAGTCGAGCTGGAGTTGGTTGCTCGGCAAAGAAGATGGAGACAAGGACAAATCGGAGAAACCAAAGGCCAAAATCTCCAAACCTCCACAGCAACATGACAACACTCGACTTGATGTCCTCCAAACTTCGATCGACGGAGGTGTCCGAGGGCGCGAAAGCCTTGTTCTGGATCGGGAACACCTGAAGCTCGATGAAGAACGCAGAAAGGAAAGCCAACGGAAAGGGTCAGGAAGTGACAAAAAGGAGAAAGAAGGTCTGTTCTCTTCAATATTCGGTGGGAAAAGAAGCAAGGGCGAGAAAGACAGCAGCTCAAAGAAACACCGCGACCGAGGCCTGTCGCCAGAGCCACCATACCGAGAATTGAAACCCGACATCGACTATAATTGGACGCGATTTTCGATTCTGGAAGAAAGGGCCATCTACCGCATGGCGCACATCAAATTGGCCAACCCTCGTCGAGCCCTATACTCGCAGGTGCTTCTAAGTAATTTCATGTACAGTTATTTGGCAAAGGTCCAACAAATGCACCCACAAATGAATCTCCCGACGAGTGCCAAACAGCAGCGGAAACAGCAGCAGAAAGACCAGCAGCAGCCGGACGAATATCTCCAATATCAGCGATATCAACAAGTGAGTGCTTCTGATGAGGCATGATGAAAAAGTCTCGTACTAATGTCTTGCAGCAACAGGCTCAACTGGTACAGCCATCCCAAGGTGAACAGTCATATGGTCCCCAGCAGGGCTTTGTGGGCGATGAGTCCAGCTACGATCACGACGCCAGCAGTTCGAGGCCAAGTTCAAGGGGAAGCAAGCACACGGTAGAAAGTAATGGCTCGGCATATGGCGGCGGCGCTGGTACATATAGCCAGTACTATCACAACAATCAACTACAAGAGCAGTTACAACAAGGGAACTCGCGCCATGGCGGATCCCAGTTGGACGACGATGACGATGACATGTGGTAATATCCGGTGAGGTCTGGTGAGAAGGCATTGCTGCTTGTCCTTTATGACAGCTGGCAACCTGGCCACTTTGATATTGGACAAGATATACTGCTCAAAGCTTTCACCCCTTGGGATCCTAATGTGTTGTGCTCGGTCAATTTCTAGCATAGCGGAAGGAAGGAAGGAAGGAAGGGGGCGTGTTTGTGATGGAATATCTTCAACCTAAGGAATGGTATGATCACATATCTCGAAATGACATAACAATATTTTGACACATGATCAAATTCGGGTTTTATCACTGGAGATCAGGAAGAGGAGGAGAAGACAGGAAGACCTAGTTGGCTTCAGTGACTCGGTCAGATATGTACATAGGATATCTCGATGAAGAAAGGTCCTTAAGGGTCGAGGGTGTACGGCCCCGACCTCAATCGCCGTACTGCAGGTGGTTCGAGGCGGGAATGCCGCAAAGCACTATTATCTGCTGCACCCCAAGCAGGGCATCGTCCTAGGAGATACTTTGAGAAGCTGAAAGACATCCGGGGTAAACTCAGGCATGATGCAGGTGGTTTGTCTAAAAGCGAACGAGGAATTTAATGCTCGTCTCGAAAGCGTGCGAGGTATTTACAGATGGTTGAAGGCGAGGCTGAGACAAAGTACCTCGTCGTACGTCGGGGGTGGCTTTTTGGGCGTACTAGTACTCTTCCCGCCCGCGCTCGCTTGTGACGGTGACGGTGACGGAGATGGCGGCTGGCTGAGGTGAGGTCGGCTGCCACCGCGCCGCGACACCAGACACTTCCTCTCACTTCAACGAAACCATAGGTAACTAGAGAGGCGCTGACAGCGCACATATACCTACCTACACACATACGCGCACAATTTCTCTCCTTTTGCCCTCACGTTCAAAGCAGCGCAATTTACAAATCTCCGGACTTTGATCTCGCGCGCACAGACACGCACTCTCCCGAGCCCTGTTATTCCAGAACAATCAGCCCAACCTCTTTTGCCCTTTCGCTGTCCCCGTTCCCAGCGCCGACGGTCAGTCTCGACACAGCCGAAGCCACAGAGACAGAGATTCATCCCTCGAACGAGAGCGAGAAGAATACCGAAAAGAAGACGGAGGAGGAGGAAGAGACCGTGCGAGGATTCTGTACAATACTACGATACCGGAGCAGGTCCGCACTGTCCTCGTGTCTTTAAGACCTGTGGGACCACAGAGCGGTCGACTGGAGAGACATTTCAATCCCGACCCTAGTCCTTTGCGGCGGCCGCGAGCCAAAAAGGGAGGACACATCCCCGTCGCAGTCCAGTCACTCTTGACTTGACCTGACTTTGGGAAGGAAGGGAGAAACATAAGAAGCTCAAAGCACACGCCACGATACAAAATCCGCCTCCGCCGCGATGGCCGACGCCTACGGGCGCGAAGAGTAAGATTCTACAAGCCCACCTCTTGCAAGTCCTGCGGCTTTACCCTATTCTCCATGCCCCCAAGAGTCTCTCTCTCTCTCTCTCTCCAAAACCCAAAACTAACCCTTTTTTTTTTTAAAAAAAAAAAGACAAAACAACGCCCTCCTCGCCTCCCTGTCCCAAAAAACTTCGGCGCTCAAACACATCACGCTCGACATCTACGACAATGCGCGCTCGCAGTCCACGCTGGACAACACCAACGAGGTCTTCAGCAGCATGTCGACAAACATCCGCGGCAGCGCCGGGCGGTTGACGCGGATGGCGAGACAGGGTGACAAAGTCGCGGTGCTGAAGGTCGCGGGCATCGTGGTCGTGGGCGGGCTGCTGGTGTGGTGGGTTGGAGGGTGGATCTTGGGACTCTTCCTGGGGAGGTAGGTAGGGTGATATATACATAGGTACCTAGGTACTGTTTGAGGCGAATATATTACTTCGGTTCTAAGCGGGTCGAAATGTTTAGAGCGAGGAAGGAGGGAATCAAGATATGAAGAAGTGAGGGGAAAAAAGGAAAGGGACTGAATAACAGCGACAGGAGTTTGATCATTATACTTGTATTCATACAATGTCTGTTTCATTGTAATAAACCCTGGAATCAAATGTCCAGGGATTGTTCCCAAGTTCCGTTCCTAACAAAACTTTTTTGGGTCATGATCATGATCCGTAAATGAAGCCCAATACCCCGTGTACCGTGTAAACCCATGCCAGAGCCAGAGCCAGAGCCACTCTATACCAACGCCAATGCCAATGCCTATGATGAAACCAACCCACGCTCAAAAGACAAACCGCTGAGGAGAAAATCCCTGCCATGATAACAATATGTGGTGTTTTGTTGCCTGCTTGTAATAATGCCCTTGCCTGAATAACGATGTTGTTTTTGCCCGATTGTAATAATGCCCTTCGCCTGAATAATGATGTTGTGTTGTTGCTTGCGCGTAATAATGCCCTTGAATGAATAACGATGTTGTTGTTGCCTTGTGGAAATACCCTTTCCTCAATAATGATGTTGATTTTGCCTGGTCGTAATAATGCCCTTCCATGATAACAATGGTTGCTTGTGTTGTTGCTTGCGGTTCTTGTGGTGGTTGATTATGGTTGTTGCGGTTGCTGATTATAGTTCATGTGCTGATTGCTTGCAGTTGTGATGACTGCTTAAACTGCATCTTCAAACTCTTCATCTTCTTCCGAGTCCCCTTCAAAGGCGACTTCATATTCTCTCTTGATGCCGTTGACTGGTTTGACATCCACGTCTTCAAAATCCTCTTCTGCTTCTTCCTCTCCTGCGTCTTCTTCGTCTGGGGTGGTAGCAGCCGTGGCGGTCCCATTGGTGGTAGCCCCGATTGCACTGCTTGTGTACCACACAGGTAACTGATTCTGTTTGGCGAGGAATTTCCTGCGCTCTTCTTTCCTTTCGGCTTCTTCACGCTCCTGTTCCTCACCACTGGTCAAGTTGACAGTGAGGTTTTTGACGTCGACCATGTCTGGGCCGCTTCGTTTGTAGTCGTAGTATCTGTTGCCTCTCTGTAGAGGAACGTACTGTTCTGATGTGTCTGTTTTCCCGCTTCCCTGCGGTCGGGGGACGTCTTTCTTTCGGTCCCATGCTGAGGCGAAGTCGTTTTCGGGAATGTCTGTACGATCGATCTTGAGGACCATGTCGTCAAATTTCTTGAGCTGGTCATTCAGCTTTCTGATCTTTTCATGGTTGCCGCGGTCTTTCAGTGCGGCTTGTTCGTTTTGAACCAGGGTCGCATGGCACCTGTCGCAGTAGAAGCCTTCGTCTCCGACTTTGTCAAGTATGTCAAGTTCTTCATATTCTGCTTTGCAGCGGGGACAGCGCCAGTCTTTGCGTTTGGTCTCGTCTTGTTGGTACATCGCCTCCACTTTCTTGCGGAGTTTTGCGATTTTGTACTTGATTGCGTCGATGGCAGGGTGGAAGGGACAGAAGTAGTATTCTCTGGACGAGGGTCTTGTAGAGCCAATCTTGGCTTCATTGCGGGATTGTGTCTGGACGAGCCTGGCAGTGCGCAGAGGGTTGAGCAGGCTGCGGATGTCTTTTGGCTGAGAGTTCAGCAGAATGTTCAGGTCGTCCATTTGTAAAACTGAGTGCATGAGGATGGCATCGACAATGATGATCTGTTTCGGATGAGGGAAGAAAGTGCGCACTGCAGTCCGGATGAGAGTCTTTGCTTCGTCCATGGTGATGGTGGTGAGTGTGATGGTTGTGACCAGAGATGAAGTGAACCGAGAAGAGAGAACCGAGAAGGAAAAAGCGTGCAGCCGGCGAGTCTGGGTGAGGAGCTCCCTTAAGCGTCTGCTGGAGCATCTGCTGGATTGTCTGCTGGAGCGGCAGCGAGACGAGCGGCTTCGGCCTCAGCTTCGAGGCGAGCGATTTCTTCCAGAACCTCCTTGGCGTCGTATCTTGGGGTACGCGGAGGGCTGACACGCTTATCCCTGCCAAGCCATTTAGTCAGCGTTGGGGTTGTTTGCGGGCGGAGCGGACGCCAAGAGAAATGCAACTTACATGCAGCAGTAGCATTCCAGGGAGTCGCCCGACCCCAGCCGGGACTTCTCCCCATTCTCACACCCTTTGTGCACGATGCCCCAAAGGGCCCGCCGATTCCACGCCCTTCGCTTCTCGATGACCATGGTGGCGCTCGCGTCACCTGGCTTGTCCAGGTGCGCATTCTTCTTACGGTACTCGCGGTACCGTTCAGAGGCTGTGAGCCGCTTTGGCGGCGTCCTCAAATTGTCACCCTTGCCCAAGGGGATGAATTGGAATGGGCGCGGCTCAGGGGCAGGCGGGAAGAAGGGAGAGGAGGGCGCTGGGCGGCGGGCGTCCTCTTCCTCCATCTCCTTGCGGAGCTTCTTTGAGAGGATGCAGCCCATTGTTGTTATTGCGGTGATGGTGGTGTTGGTGTTGGTGTTGGTGCTGGTGGTCTCTGAGAGAGTAACAGGACAGAAAAAATAGCAGCAGAACAGGCGGTCGAGTGATGTGTGATGGCAAAGGTCGAACTACGATGGGCAGGGCGAGAGCTGTATATGTAGACTACGAGAACCCCGAGGTTGATCTTGTGCGTACGCCTCTACGATAACTTTTTCATGAGAGTTTTTCAGACTCTGGGTGGCCGCCGATCCTATGACTGTAGTATTTCTCGTTTTTCAATACACACCCTCATTCACAGTATCGCACAAGGCCTAAGCGGGGAAAATGCAGGAAAATGGTTCCTTTCCTAGTTAGCGAACCCTACCTCTAGCGTTGACCTGACGAGGCTGAGACGTACGGTGGGGCACATGGCTGGGGCTCCTGAAAAGCTTCCCACGCACGCCACAATGGAGTTCGGGGTCTATTGGTCACATTGAGAAAATCCTGCATTGCTATCCTTTGGATCCTGCAACCCTGAATAAATTTCTTCTGTCAATTCCATTTTCTTCTTCTTCTCTCTGGTCCCATGCCCTCAATTCTTGCATCCTGGCAAATCGCTATGTGATTTGCCAGACCAGCCAGATCAGACGCTCCGGGTTGATCTGAGGCGCGCTGAATCAATTGATCTGGTCGAAAGGATCCCAATTTATCAGGCAGAAATAATTTCAATCAATCAGGTCGAAATGATTTCAACTGATCAGGCCGAAATGATTTCAATCAATCAGGCCGACTTGGTTCCAATGAGACCCACCACGCCCAAGGCTGCGAGATTATGATCCGTCAATGGTCTTCAGCCTTGACATGCTGCCATGGCAATCAATTATAAGATAAGAACAGATTTACGACGTATCACCAGAGATCAAATGGTCTCTGACTGTGCCTTGTCCAAGGCGACCATAGGACTTCAGATTCCCGGCTTTTTGATGGCCCGCGCAGAAAGCAGTAGGCCATCCTTGTGATCAAGCATCATCTCGTGAGTGCCGACAGGGCCTATTTTCACAGACAGATCTTCTGCTAATTGGTTTCGGAACTCGCTGGACCGTCCAAACTGGGTGGTTTCCCGAGTGCTCTTTCTTGCGCCATCTTCTGCTCCAGTGAAAGGGTCAACAATTCAGTCCAGAAGAATTGCCGGCAGACCTCAAAATTTGGGCTCTTGAACTCCGGAAATGGCACGTCCCGTCGCAGTTGAATGGCGGTCCTCCAGGTTTGTGTGTCATAATCGAAGGTCGCCAACAGCAACATTTTGGCCCACAGAAGAAAATCTTCGAGCCCCAACGCTCCCGTACTGCGACATTCTCGCTCAATATCGACATCCCATAGTCCCATGCAGTAAGTTTGGATGTATCCGTAGCCCGTTGTTATATGTTCCTCCAAGGCCTCGGTCGATATTGCCAACGCCAGCAATGAAATCGCCAGCACCTCCTCCACCATGTTGCGCTGTTGATTCTGTAGGATGACAATGGCGAGACACATAAGTTGAACAGGCGACCCTGGATATGGAAGTGCAAGACTGTCATCTTGTTTGAAATCTTGCTTTTGGTGGAAGAGATCGGACATTAGTTGCGCACCGATCTGTACAATTCGGATCACTTGGATGCTCAGTCTGCAAGACATCGCCAATTCGATAAAGCCTAGAGGCAGACGGCTCAATGCGAGGCTCAATTCCGGCTCGAATGGGTGTCGAGGATAGTCAAGCGAGCCATAAGGAAATATTCGCACCTGATCTGGGTCAGGCTCGGCATACACGCCTCCCAGGAACGACTCCCACCTGAATATGTTAGACGGCGTGCGCTGCTTGTGGAAGGCTGCGGCTTACGATCTGATGTGGTCCTTGATGTAGCCCTGCAGGCCTGAAGATCGGAGCTCGCCTCGGATTTGTATCATACGGCGCATGGCACCCAGGTGGTGAAGAGGAGACCCCAGATCCTCCGACAGCGACTGTTGAGAGTAAGTCTACATCATGGAGGCTGACAACATGAAACAAACCTCAACAGCCATCAAATGAATGAGACTAAGCAGGATAGCGTTGGTGGAGTTGCGATCATCGGATTTGAGTCTTTTTTGGAGAAGTACAAGAGCCTTGCGGTAATATCCAACGACTTTCCTGCTCCGGCCTTTGTCGTGTATGCGTATAGCAAGTGCGAGGGAGCTAGCCGTTATCAAGGGGTCCTGCATCATGCCTGAAAGATTGGCACTCATAAACACAGAATCTCTGCTCTTTAGCCTAAAGGTTGGATGACGCAGCATGGACGGACAGTATATCTCTACGACTGGCAAGAACATGTTAGTACAACAAGCTTTCTTCTCTGGGTTAGGGATGCTCACAGAATTGGATTGTGGCTAAGGGAGTGAGGTCGTCCTCCACCATGGTTGCATCCAGAGGCAAGGCATGGAAATTGACCGGCTTGACTCGGAGCAGTGTGAAAGCAGACCCCTGCGCTGAACTGATTTCCGACTCAAGAATTCGGAGGGGCGAGCTGGTCATCGACTTAATCCTGTCCGGTGATCCGAGATCAGAGTCGGACTCCGCTTGAGGTGAGGCGTCCTGCAAGGACGATAGATTTGCAAGATGGACATTCCCTCCTTGACTCATTGCCTTTCTTTTGCCGTCGATTAATGCTTCTGGCAAATGTATTATGTTGCGGAGGGGTGAGACTCGATCGTTTGCCAGACTCTCCTGGGTTCTGGTTGGAGTAATGACTCTGCTCTTATGAAGTTGTCGCATCACTTGGATCACCTCAATCCTCGCTCCAGGTAGAGGAAGACCATATAATATACCATACTGCCATCCTTGAATCTCTCGTGTTTAGTCGACCGGGAAATCTTGTTTGACTCTGCAATCATTCTGAAAGTATGTACATAGACCACCAGCGGTTAGATGTGGCCCGGGGCCAAAAACAACGTGGAAGCGGGGTCGGAAGACAGTAGCGATTCTGTGAAGTTGTCGGGCTCCAGAGCTGCTCATCCGGGTCCTGCATACTAAGAGCTGCAAGCCACTGAAATGCTTGTGCCTGGATTTCGCGCCCACTGACAAAGGCAAGGTTAGGCGTGAAGCGAGGTCGAAAGCTCGGATGTTTCCCATCCCGCGCCATGGACTGGAAACACCAGAGTCCAATCCCGTCTTTTTTGGGGGTGGACATGCCAGAACGCGCCCTACCTCACGGGCCATACGGGCCAGCTGACTGCGATTATAGGCGCGCCAAGGGGCCGTAGGAGAGGTTTCGCGGGTGTGACTGGTGGTCCATGCCACCCACATGGCAATGGCGTGACGCTTAGGTGCCGCTTGGGGCAAACGGTCTGGGGGCAGCAGGGGGCAACGGGGCAGGGGGCGTCAGCAACCGAAGAGCCCCGCGACTGCGAGAAGAGACTGCTGATCAATTGACGGTGGCATTTCGATTGGAGGCAGTTGTCCGTATCCTGCAGACAGGTGACGGTGGATGGTAGAGACCGGAGAGTGATGCAGTGTGTTCACATAGGAGATAGGAGATGGGAGATGGAGGATGGAAAGGTGTGAGGTGAGAGTGAACATGGAACGTGCAGCTGCCAGTCACGGGGTTGAGCTTTTGGTGAGGCACTGAGGGCACTGAGGGCATTGAGGGCCGGGGTTTGGTGTTTGGTGATGCTTGCTTCTTTTTCCTTCTCCATCACTCACTTCCTCTCAGCAACAACTCAAACAGCCCGCCCACCATCTCGAGTCTCTCAGTTGTCACCGTACCTCATGTCGGCAAACCCTGGACTGGAACGCATGTAGTCGCAGTCCAGGTTATAGCCATCTGTACAACGTGATTCCAGAAGGTGAGCTCTCTTTGACAGGTAGCCAGATCTCACATCGTCCTCACCTTCACCGTCCCACCTCAAACCACACACTCCAGAGCACACTTTACAAAACGACGAATCTCATGAAGCTACCTGCGCTTCTCGGCGTATATTCATCCTCTCGTCGATAGAATCTCTACAACTATCTCTTTTTCACTCGTTGTTACTTTGCTGTTCGCTCATCTCTTTTGTTCGCACCTCGGTTTGTCCATTCCGTCGCCCCCCCGCATCAACACTTCCCACTATTATGATAGATGCGTGCCACCATGCTCTTATGGGGGCGATCTCGAATGTGCTTGTTTGCTCACATCTTGGTTACCTTGATTCCCTCTCTCGGGGGCCATGCTCAAGCTAAGTTTCTAAAAAGTGAGTGTGCATTCTCCTGAGCAGAGGTGACTGGCAATGCCCTAACTCCTCCAGCGGATCTGAGATGGCCTGTCTTTCGGAAACCCCAGGCCGACCTCGAATCAAGCCTCACCGATCTGCTGGTGTTGAGAGAGCCTGACAACGACCCGGTGTTTGAGAAGGCTATGCATATGATCGAGAACCTCGCCACCCAATCGACCTGCCATCAAGCCGCAGCGGCTCAGTTGCTTGTTACTTGTAAAACTGCCGGCGCGACTATGAATCGAGACCAAGGGAAACATGAACTACTAGAGAGGGCCCAGTCAGTCTACGCTGTCAGAGTAGCTGTCTGTGAGACGGGCGAAGGTCGAGCACCAGTTCCCTCCGCATGCAAACCAATCCTCGAAATCCCTCAGCGGCTTGACCACGAAATTGACGTAGTCAATACCAAGACCTTGGCTTCATGTCTCGAAGCGATGATCACGGAACATTACTACTGGACGAGCTATAGCAACAACAGACAAGATGCCCACACTTTGTGTCAGGCCACCACCATCGAGTCCACCAGGCTGGAAACGCTGCGGTCCTATGAAAAGCTCGCAAAACTCCTTCCGGAGCTTCGTGCTGCACTTGGTTCAACCCAATCTCAGTGGCTCGCTTTCCTCAGACAGCAGCAGGAACAGATGCGGAGTATGAGCAATCTTCAGCAGAAAAATCAAGACGAACGTCAAGCACAGCATAAAATCGAGCTGAGTATTTTGCACGATGCTATGAATATGGCCAAAGCGGGCTTCCATGACGTTTTTAAGACGCTGCAGCGACGGATGGCAACTACAGACGAGGGCGTGACTCAAACCCACGAGGTAAGTAGCATTCTACAGTGGCAGTTGAACGAGCCACTGATTCACCGACAACAGGCTCTCAGAGATGTGTTTGCTGATTTTGCCAAACTTCGAGAACTGTTGCACGAAGCAATAGCAAGCACCAGCGAGAAACATGCTGAAGCAGCTGCCGCCCAAATGCAGGAGATGAACAATGTTCATGAAATAGCCCTTGCTACCACAAACGCTCTCAAGGCCATGCAGGCAGACGGGGTAGTCCAGGTTTGTAAGTACTTATCGGGCTTAGACAAAGACTAATGCCGACAGGGCGTCAACGAGCTGCTCTATCGGATAAGGGCCGGACTTGACGAGGTTGCTAATATGCAGTCGACACAGTTAGCAAATACGGAACGTCATCTGCAACTCAGTGGAAAGTTGTCTGAAGCTCAGGAGGCCAACCTGGATCTTGGCGAACAGATCAAACATTTCTCTGCTTCTCTAGCCTCTGAACTCGATGCTGCAAGCGCTACTGCCGGGCGAGTGTCCTCTAAGCTTGACAGAGTCAATCAGGCGTTGACGCGTGTTGAAGCAGCGTCTGCTGTACTCAGCTCACTTTTTGCGGTCATCACTATCCCATGCCAAATGGCGGAACATCTTCATCTAAGATTACTGGGGCTTTTCTCTATGCCGGCCTTGCTGTTATCATTCTGGAAGCCACGAAAGTATTCGTACATACTGCTGGCTTTCTACCGTACTTTTTCCCGTTCTGCGCCCGTCTGAAATGCTAACAAGTACCAGTATCCCTCGAAAGCCTGATATCCTTGATCGAAGAGCACCACGACAGAGTGGTCGGTTCTTTGGAGCACCTCATCCAGCAATCTCGCGCTATAATGTTGACTTTCGCGTCCACAATATCCTCCAAGCAATTAGTGGTTGCTGCATTGGGATCGGTTTTTGTCGCTTGCTGTTTCTTGCTGGCAAGACACCTTCGCAAGCCGCAACCAAGAGCTACGCTGCCTCTAAAGTCGGTCGAAGAAGCTGAGTGCCTGACAATTGGGGAGCGATTCTACCTTGAAAACAGACTGCGCAATGGCAAATGTAGACGGCTTTCCAGAGACCGTTATCGACGAGCGGCAACTGTGTGCTAGGCTTTCTACTTTGGAGACCTCATGGACGTCCTCATCTTTCGACACTATTATCCTCCACATCATCATTTACGCCCCATCATCGTGGGGAATCATGACTCTATGACGCTAAGATACCCGGGAGATTTGGGAGAACACGGCACGGCACGGCAAATGGCGTTTCTTCTAGGTAGTGAGGTTTACGGGATCTGTCTCAATTTGATAACTGTCTCTTTGTTTGCATTGATGCAATGGTTCAGAAGAAGGAAAGAAGAAAACGGCGACATTTGATCCATGAGCACCTGTGATCAAGAAGAACCTCTGATGAGGCACCCCTTGGAAGGTGTGCAGATATCCTAGATTTGGGAGGGACATGATTACAACAATTGATCAGCACATCCAGCTGTTCCTTCCACATAGAGGTCGCGCGGTGGTCTCATCGAAGCGGTGCAATTTTTTTCTAATGTCCTTTTTGACGATTCCCCTGACTCTGAGAAACGTGTTGTTTTCTTTTTCTGACCGCAAATGGTGAAGTGGCCCCAGCCAGCCAGGCGCGGGAAGACACGCAGGCAGAGGTCTCACAGACGCAGCCGGCCTATTCATTTCTTGCCCCTTCTTACTATGAAATCCACTTACCATAATGCCTATCTAAGCGGCTAAATTCATTCACCCGACCCCATGCCACGCAAAGGCTGACTCGAAGTCGTGTTCATTCATTCCCTTCTCTGGCTCGGTTGCCTCAGACGCCCGTGAGGACAGGGAGGCCTTCTTCCAACGGCGCCAAAAAGTCCTTGTTCACACTCAACGCTCCACCGGCGTGGGAGACGCCGATTCTGTTCATGAAGCCCGCGCCGAGCAAGATCTGCTCTTCCTCCAAGAGGCGCGATCCGTCCACGACCACGAACGTGTGGGCCAGCGCCTGCTTCGCCCCGTTGGGCAGCCCTCGGACCGCGACGGCGAGCGTGACCTCGAACGTCTTGGTTTCGTGGTTGTACGCGATCTCGCTGGCCCGGTGGAGCCCGCGCACGAGGTTCATGGTGATGAAGCTGTCAAAGACTGTCAGGTTGATTGCCGCGAGTACGGAGACCGGGTTTCCCGAGACGGTTTCGGTGACCATGGCGAGGACGTCGTGCGGTTTTTGCGGAGGCTCGCGAATGGTGCGCGAGTCGGAGCCTGGCGTCGTGCAGCAGATCGCCTGGATGTATGCCGGGCAGGTTGGCGCACAGAAGCACGGGCAGGCTAGTGGGAGGTTCGGGTGGCCCCAGAAGTGCTCCTGAGTGCCAGGGACGATCTGGTCGAGGAGAGTCTTCTGTGCATCCTCATCATCGACGACGCCAGTTTGCTGCCGCGCCGACGCGGCTGCTGCTGGTTCGTCTGGCATGGAAGAAGCTGGCGTGAAGCAGCAGATGATTTGAACGTTTCGGGGGCACCACGACTCGCAGTGGCAGGGACAGCCGAGTGCTGGGATGGGAGGAAGAGGGCGCACGATGCCGGGAAAGTTCGGGCGAGAGATGAAGGCGTCAGGAGATGAGTCCTTCTTGGCCTTGTCACTGTCGCTGGTCGCTTGTTGTGAACTGTCCAGTGCACAGCATCTTGGATTACAGCCGGGTGCGCAAGTCAGACATCTCGGCGTGCAGTCCGCATTGGCTGGGGTGTAACTGTCGATTATGTCGTGCCATTTGAGACCCTCGTCGAACTTGTTTCTCCAGCTCAATTCATCTGCGACACAAATGCTGGTCAATAACTTGGTTCACGGGAGAAGAGGGACATGATAGACACTTGCTTACCAAGAAGAGACTTGTATTTCCGGACTTTGTCAGCGTCAATGGCCGTGTCCCCGGCTGCATTGGGCACAATATGCTGCGACGAGTTGCTTACATCGGCGGCAGCAAGGGCAGTGCCAAACACCAGGAAACACGTAGCAATGGTGGTTAGTATCCTCGTCAGCGCCATCACGACTCACAGATTCTGTCGCTTCTTGGGGGGCGAACTTAAGAGGGACTTGACGAAAGAGAACAGAGGACCGTAAAGATACAAGCGACGGTCTTTTCGTCTTTATACGATGCTGGAGTCTGCATCACCACCTTCAAGCTACCCAGCTAAAGGCAACAGCCGTTCGCCGTTCAATGCAGTCATAGCGTGGCTTCTGAAAGCTTACGAAAACGGGCTGGAACGCAATGGTGAAGTTCTCAGAGAGAGGGGGGGGCTTCTCGCCCACCTTGCTTCGTAGGGCTGCATGGCTTTCTCACATGCAGCGGCGGCACCGTAACGAAGACAGCCCCCTGGGCGAGAAGTCGACGCTAAAGGCTTGGGGGTTTGGGGGCCGAACTGTCCCTTCGCTGCCAGGTTGCCCTGTCAAGGGTCAATGATTGCGAACTCGCCAACCCAAAGGGCCATTGGTGGTGATAAGGCCGCCCAACAGCAAGGACACAAAGATGGCTGGCTAGTTCGTATGGTTCCAGACTTTTGACTACCACGACGAAGTAGTTAGCCTTTAATTAAGTGAGGCTCGAGCTCCGACTGGTCATAAGTGCAGCCAACATGAAACGAGATATCGCCCTTTTCTTCTTCGTATTTCCTAGGTGGCTCACCTGCTCCTCCTCGAGAGCATTAAGCTCATTTCGAGGGGAGTTGGTGCCCCGGGACTGAATGGGACCAAGAGACAGTCCGTTGGTGAAGGCGGTAAGATGGCGGTCGCAGCTGGTTAGCGACGCTCGCGACGGTGTTATATCGCCCTGCCTTGGACCAATCGATCTCCGTCTTGAATCTGCCCCAGCAAGTCGTCAGGGGTGTTTTCAACTTGGCAATTAGCCAGCCATGATGGTGGCTGCCCTTGGTGCCGTGAAGAACGTCAGGGGTGTTTGATGAAAGGGCACATGGCTGCTCTTCTTTTGATTCTTTCTCGATCTGAGTTCGTCAAAGTCTCACGAGGAATACGAAATCAGAGGTGAGCAGGGTGACAGGGTGTTCGACTCGAGGAGTATGGCACCATCTGAACAATCTGGCGCAGGGGGCAAAAAACTTATCAACGAAGCAGCTCAACTCTGGTTCAGTGATAAGCGAAACTCGCCCCTTTCGGGGTTGGTTTTTCTCGGCCGGTTATACTACGAAGTCTTTTATAAGTTGAGTCCAGGGGAGGTTGAATATCGATCCGTGTGCGGTGCGGTGCCGTTCGAATTGGGGTCCTGCTGCTGCATAACCCGTTATTGTTAGCTTGACCTGACAGGACCTGGATTCGAACCGGAGGAATATCGCCCTTGTCGCGGTAAGGGGGTCTTGGTGTGTGATAGGAAGTTGGAAAGAATAAAATGTATACAATGAGTTTTCATTTTGGACCAGACCCTGTGGGTGCCCTCCCCTTGGGAGTGTAGCTCCTCCGGGCCACATCTGAATGTGAGTGAATACCAGGTAGGTAGCTGGGGGGGATGGTGGGTGTTACTTCTCTACGGTGTACTAGAATGGAGATACAAATAATAAAAAGGATGAGCCAACGTCCAAATCATGTACATATATACATGTTACAGTCTAGCACACACGCTAAGCAGGGGAAAAGAAAGACTGCCTTGCTAATCTCGAAATGTAAATGGCACTCTATCCGCGCGTACAGGAAAGACCGGGCGAATCTTGCCGGCAAGAAGGACCCGTTCTTCTCCTCCATGAGACTGGACTGGCAAGTCCGGGTTTAGACCAAACTCTTCAAGATGAAGCCGGTCCTGGGCTCGCCTTCGATGGCAACCCTCGTGGCTTCACGCTTGATTTTCGTCTCGTTGAACACCTTGCGCTGCTCTTCGACCCAGGTCCCTTTCCCAACCTTGTCAACCTCCACGGCTTCCCTTTCGGTATTGTGGTCTCGAAAAGCGTGCAGCCCCAGCGCCGGTAGACTGAATCGAAACGCCAGATCCCGAACATCCACGGTCCTCAACGCGGTGTATGCCAATGTCGCACTGGCCACGCCAAAGACGATGTAGCACAGACACCCCGTGACAAGAATCGCCAATGGCACTTTCGGCACTTTCGCCACAAGCAAGGGGGTACGCGTCTGTTCTTGCAGGTTGGTCCGCGACGAGAGGAACGGTCCAATGACACTCATCACGCGCGACGAATAGCTGTTTGCGAAAGAATCGGCCATTTGCTGGGGGTTGGATTGAAGTGCTGCCTCAAGGATGAAGTCCTGCAGATCGTTGTCAAAGCTGTCATAGCTGCCGTATATGTTGTATCCGTGGAAGATCTCCGCGATCGTACCATTCGGGGAAGGTGTGAGCGTGTTGATTCTGGCCGATGAGTTGACCCAGTTGTAGTCGACCAGATATGTCGTGTACTGGCATCGGAGTGTAAAGTCGAGATAAGGTGTAGGCCCCTGGTAGATCCCTGGATCTGAGGACATATTTACACCGGCGCGTTGGGCGGTAGACTGAAAACGTGCTGCGACCCCCAAGTAGACCGGGTTGATGAGCTCCGAGTCTTGCATGAAAGGGCCTAAATTACCGGCTGCGTCATAGAGAATGCTCAGTTCTTTGTTCATAAAGAATGAGTATTGCAGGGCCGCGCCACGTTTGAATCCGAGGGGTGGCACAGAACTATCGTCGATGAGCATGCCTGTGTCGCTCACATTGGGGGCCTTGCCCAGCACCCCCCAAAAGTTCTCGCTGCAGTTAAATTGGCTGTAGTAATTTCCCGGACCCCCGCTTGTCCAGTTGCAGAGGGTGGTAATGGGCTCGCAGGTGGTGATTACACCGGTGCTGTGTGCTTGGAAGTCACGGAAAGGAGACAAACCAGTGCTTTGGGGGATGAGAAGTGCTACCTTCGCAGCACCGGAGGATGTGGCATTTGACGGTTCGTATGATGGAGTGTCGACCAGGCGTACTTCGCTGACAGTGGATGTGTCGTGCTGAAGATAGAAGATTTCGTTCTGGCTTGAGACGTAGGCGTTATAATCCGTCAGCGCAAGTTGTCCATTGCGGGAGCATGGCAATCCAAAGTTGTCGCTACGGTTGAGGGCAAGACATGCTGACGATAACTCATACCCATATGCATGAGCCTCGGTCGAGACGGAGATTCGGTCGAAGTTGATGGTTGAAGTTGTGTAGTGAAGAGCAGTGTCGGCGCCGAAGACGACACAAGCAAGGACCAGTGTCAAAGTCAGAGTCCGTGCAGCGCGCCGAAGGGCCGGAGGAATAACTACTCCATCTTCTTTCGCGTAGGAGAAGTACCTTCTGAGTCTCCCCATTGACGCCAGGCAAAGGCCAACAAGTAGACTGTACTGATACGGGGTTGGGAGGTTCTGTTGTTCAAAACGCGACGAGGAGAGATACATGAGCAGCGCAGACTGGAAACTCGACAGGTTCATGATGAAGCCAGCAAGGAGAGGAGCAAGAGTTGACGCCCACGACGCGACAAACGCAATCCGAGTCGCTGAATAATTGACCAACACAACAGCATGATCACTCAAGGCCTGAGAATTGGACACTTCCTCAAACAAGCTGTCCTCGGATCTGACCCTATAGCCGAAAATCAGAGCCATTAGTCCAGCGACAAGGAAGGCCATGGGCAGGATGATAGTCGATGTGGGGAGCAGGATGGTTTTCCAGAGCGTCCATTTTGGGCATCGTAGATCATAAGTTGCAGAAGAGAGAGCATAGTATTTTTCAGTCAAGGGCCAATCGCCAGACCGCACAGACGCAGTATCCTCCAAGCTTTTCATATTCTTGGCGTGGGAGGTACCAAAGATGAAGCCCACTTCTTGAAATGACGCCTCGGACCAAGCCGACTCGGGCGGTGTTTGAGCGTAGCTCTGAGCGCTATCGTTGGAGGACACCCGTATGTGATCGCCATGAGCTGGGCCGCCGCTCAGACTCCCGGACGACGCAGGCGGCCTGCTGTCTGTAAAAGGAGTGGCAAAGGACCAGAAAGGATTCGTAGACGCCATTGTGGGAAACCGAAGACCAGCTCGGGCGAGTATTCCCGCCGGATTGTCCAAAGGTCCTCGCCGGTAGTCTGATCTTGGGAAGGTGAAAGAAATAATATGATACTTGCCATGAACAGATGTTGCTTTTCAAGCCCAGGTTCGACTTGAAAAGGCACAACATGTAACCAAAACTTTAGGTTGACCAGGAGTCGTAGTTTGGTTTTGAGCAAGAGCATGCCGTGTGCCAGAATACTAACCACGTAGCGAGGTCCATCACATTCTAGACGAATTTGTAGCATATTCGAATGTGGCTGCTGGTTGCCTTGTGCCAGCCGAGAGCGAATGAGATGCAAAAGAAGGCAGCGGGAAGAAAGCATATCTGGTTGAAGGGCCTCATTTAGGTGATGATTGGGTAACCCAAGGGATTCGCCTGTCCTCAGCCGGAGAAGCCTTGAGTCCTTAGGGCTGATAGTGACGATAGGATGTACTCCTTGATTCCTCGGCAAGATCGAGAAGAACGTTGGGTTGTGGCTGTTGTGTGCAAAGATTTTGGCCCCCAGCTCACGGAATCGCACCATCGGCATGACGATCCACAAACCATCAAAAGAACCGCCAAGGCAGCTGGGTCCAAGCCGACACTAGAGTAGAGCGTTTGGTCCTTTCATGACATTCGATTCGTGTTATGCGCAACAATTCTCCGACCGGAGCGAACTCAAACTAATGAGCTAGCTCGCGGGCTGAAGCTGGACATACTCATATACAGTCTCCAAGGGCATATGGTTCTGGACATGCCGAGCACAACGTCAAGGTTCTCATCAGGCTCGTATTCTTGGTCAGAAAGTTTGTTCGCTGTGCTCCTGTCTCTCGAAATGTTTCGTATTAGATGTTGACTCACGTGTGGCTCCTATCGTCGTCGCCCAACTCACCGTCTTCATCGCTAGACTTCATAGTACTGGTCCCTTCGTTTCCTCGAACTCACCAACCTCTCCAATCACGCTCTTCAGGATCTCGGGCACAATGACGGCTGCATCTCCCTCAAAGAACCAATCGTGCTTTGTAAGCTGTTGCGCATCGCTGCGGTCCATGTTGATGACCGCAACTCGAGCACCCTTTTCTCGGGCTATGTGTGTGTAGCCCGCAGCTGGGTATACTTTGGCGCTCGTACCAATCACTAGCATGAGGTCGATCTTTTCAGGCCGGTCAAAGAACTCATGCACTTCGCCTATCACGTCTTCCGGCAGCCCCTCGCCGAACCATACCACACCCGGACGAAGCAGATTCTTCTTGCAAGACGGGCATTGGGGAAGATCTTCGCGCTTGAGCTTGGGTATTTCTACATCAACGTCTGAGATATCGGCACCTCGAATCAAAGCATGCTTCTGCTTGATGGCCGCCTTTAGCTGCGAGTCCTGGGCATCGGGTGGAAGGGCCAGGGCTGGGACGATGGGGTCTGTGAAATCATTTTTGCGAGAATAACCACAGCCATATTCGTCCCAGCACTTGACGTCAAACAGATTACCATGGAGCAGTTTGAGTTGGGCAGGAGGATGACCGGCGCGAGGGCTGAGTCCGTCGACATTCTGGCTCAGAGTGATGAAGTTGGGATTCCGGCGGGCCAACTCTGCCAGAGCAAGGTGGGCTCTGTTTGGTTTGGCATTGAGCGCCATGTGACGGCGGTAAGAATAAAATTGCCAGGATAGACCAGGGTCTTGTTGAAAAGCCTCTGGAGTGGCCAGCATAGTGGCATCGTAGGTGCGCCATAGTCCTCCAGCACCGCGGAAGGTAGGCAGGCCACTGGAGGCAGAGAGACCAGCCCCCAACAGAGCAACGATGCGCTTGGACGACTGCAGCTGCTGCACAAAGGAAGCAACGTCGGTTCGGGGCATGTGGTCGGCTGGAATGTAGCTCATACTCGTGGAGGCGACGGGAATTGAGTGGATTGGAGCTCTTTTTTACTTGTATATTCTGTTGGTTGCAAGTGTCAATTTCAAGGAGGGGAAGAGAATGTGGGTATCTTGCCTTGATTCCTTCATCAGGCTGGGGATAGAGTTTCCTAAGATGGCGGTGACGGCTGATGGATTGAATGTTGATGGTCGATGGTTGATGGTGGAGGGTGATAGTAATGGTTGGAGGGGTCAGTGGTCACAATGATGGTGGTGGTGGAGGCCGCCTGGGGGTGCGCCTGGGGGCCCAGTATGAGGTACTCCTGGGGGTCACTTAGGAACCTAGGTAGGTACCTAGGTACCTAGGTAGGTAGGAATGGGCTGCCCACCGCCAGATGCCAAGGTCGACTTACCTAACAGGAACCAGGCCCGGAAGGACAGCCGCCTATCAAGTGGCGTGCCACATGCCACATGGCTCCAATAATGCGGTCACACATATGGTCTGATCGCAGGGATCGGCCATAATTGAATTTCCCCTCTCTGCATAATACCTGTCCGCATCAAATTCACGAATCCCACGAGAAGTGCATTTTCCTCTCCATTCCCCTTCGAGGGCTGCAAAGAACGAGAAAGAGAATCTCGAACCACCTCACAGTCCACGACAGCAAACCCTCGAGCCCTTTTTCAATCAACCCTCTTCCGCATCTCGCCGGGCTGCATAGCGCTTATCGCGAGTCCCTCCCACCGCCTCCCTCCCGATAACCCACTTTCGCCACCAATGCTCAGAACACCAGACTTATAACATTTTTTGTGTATTTGTCCTACGACACTCCCCATCCGTCGTCCCTCGACGTCCTTCGAGTCTGTCTCAGGAGATGGAACACCCGGTGCAGCCCCGCCCGATTCGACGGCGGGTCAATGCTCTACTCTACGTGAGCGAAAGAATAGGACCAGAACTGCTTCCCTACCTCCTGCACAACCCCAACCTAAACCTCCGAGTGATCTCGGAAGTCTCGAAATCCGAGTTTCAACAGCACATGGCTCCTGGCGTCAGCCTGAACAACGTACAATGGATAGAGAACAAATCCCAAGATCCGCATCGCAACGAAGTCATGATGCTGGGCCACCGCCTGGCTAAATGGGCCGATTTTATGTTTCTCGCAATTGACGCTGGAATGATCACCTTTATGCTGAGCGGCTTCACTACCGACGTCCTCCTCCATGTTTTGAGATGCTGGGACGTGTCAAAGAGAATCGATCTGTTACCGGAGTTGAGCAGGGATCAATACAGACACCCCATATGGAACAGGCAGTTATCCGAACTCCGGAGGAAATGGGATTGGGTTCGCGTTCTGTCTCCTGCCATTTTTGAGTTCTCGGAGAATGGCACCAGCCTGGCTCAGTGGGATGCAAATTCTGCAGACGGAGACGCTACTCCCGAATTCCGCTGGCAATGGGCTGGACCGACGGAGATGATTGAGGCCATCGAGAGTGAAGCCCAGTCGGTTCTGCGGACGACGTATGGCAAGACAAACTCGGCAATCCTAAACCTCCCACTCTCCAAAGACGCCTCTTCCAAACCTCAACTACCCGGCGAAATTTGGACCATCATTCTGGACCACCTAGGGGATTGGGAACTCGCCACCAGCCTAGGAATCTTCACACACCTGCCTGTCCCTCACGAATGGGAGCCACTCGTCCCACAACCAGGATCGTCCAAGCCTCCCTCGCTCGAATACACCATCCTCACAAGACCTGTGTCCCAGGTCCAAAAATATTTCACCACCCACACCTCCTCCAACCCTCCAACCACCTTGTCCCCGATCGCGACACGGCTCATCTTCCGCTTCTCCATGACCGACCTGCTCACCTACCTGGCACTCCAACAAAAGGACATCTTCTGGACCTCCTTTGGCCTAGCCCTGCTGCCGCACAAGGCGTCATTGATCTACAACTCCCCCACGATCCTGCAGTGGTGGAAAGATTGTCCAGCCGTGATCAAGAAAGAATATGGGCCCGAAGCCCTGGACGGGGCTTCCCGCGCCGGATTCGTAGAGGTGCTGGACTGGTGGCTCAATTCCGGCCTGAAACTCACATACACCGAAAAGGCACTGGAGTCGGCCAGTGCCAAGGGCCATGTGGAGGTGCTTGAATGGTGGAAGGAGAATTCTCAGAAACTCGCGGGCACAGATCGCGAGATGCCTCTCAAGGTCGGCAAGAGCATCCTCTTGGCCGCGCAGAGTGGGCGGACAAACTCCATCGAGTGGTGGGAGACGTCGGGCATCCCCTACGCGCACGAAGACGGGGTGGCCCGCCTCGCGTCCCAACACGGCCACGTCCCCGTATTGGAGCTGTGGCATCGGTTCAAGGGCAGCAAGATGATTTTCGACAACCAGGTCCTCGTCGGCGCCACCAAGAACGGCCACGCCGGCGTTTTACAGTGGTGGAAGGACGTCAGTCGCAAGACAGGGTTGAGGGTGGAGTACAAGACCTGCGACATTGAAGAGGCCATGGAAGACGCCGTCGGTGGCGGCGGCGAAGGAGAGGTCCGCGAGTGGTGGGCAAGGAACGGTCTGAATTTGGGAGTCGGCACGGGCGAATGGATGAGGGTCAAGACATTGTGAATCAAGGTGCCATGCATGGCTGTCGAGGGCAGGAGAGAAGATTAAAAAAAGAAAGGAAGAGAAATGGGTTCGGCTCCGCCACAAGTTTTGTCTTATCTCCGCGTGTCGTCCAGCGTATAAAGGGTCAAGGGGTGGGGGAATGGGCAGAGCATAGCACGGCAAAACGGACTGGGGCTTGTACGGAGTATATACGATGATGGCATGAGGCAACACTACAACGACATGCAAAGCCAGCGCGACTTGATCAGAAAATACAAATACCCGCACGAGGTCTTTTATGTTGATCGTTGCTCATCATTGGAATCTCATTAAAGTCATGACACTACCAGGGGACACACGAATGAATGAAATACCGGACTTGAATTCCCCCTCCCGTTCTTCCATCCCACCCTGGATATTGATCGAAAGATAAACAGAAGAGGGTTTGAGGATGGCGCTCATGTCTTGATGAGACTCCTTTCCCCCTTCACCTGTGACTTGTCAAGTCCCTTGAAGAAAAAAAGGAACAAAATCAGTCGCTCATTCATCATAACCGTTCGCGCCTCCCAGACAGCTCCCACAATTCCCATCAGGTCGGCTAGCATGACGCCCAAAAGCTGATGTTGTTCCAGCACCGTGCATTTTGAACCAGGCTCCACCAAATTGGCCCCTGCCCGCCTGCCCAAGCTGCTCCCAATCGGAATCATCTTCGCAGGATGCACGAAGCCCTCGTTGGAATCAGCCGCCTCATGGGTGGACTGTAGAGAATCCTCCCATCTCCGAAATAAAGAACCAACTGCAAAGAAACAGCCCGCAGCAATGACGCCAGCAAGGTCCACTTTCACCATTTTGGTCGATGTGCCATCCCAATTCTTCAAGCAAGACTGCTCGCTTTTTTCATTATCCGTCATCTTCGTCATTGGGAACCCTCATGTTGGTTCTCGTGAAGTATTAACCCTTCGCTATCCCAGATCAACCCATCGACGCCCTACGTGCACGCCCAAAACATCTCGAAGACTCTTCCAATCAATGACGCCGAAAGTTGCGCCAGGGCCACCGCTTGGTGCCCTTTGAACCCAGGGATGCCCAACAGTGTTTTGTACGAAAGATCTCACGGGCTAAGTGGATCCTCGTAGTCCTCGGCACTCAATTCGGCCAGTTCACTGCTACCGTCCTGCCAGTCAGCCGAGCTCAGAGTCTCAACGGCTGTTTCAGCCTTGGCCCTTAATGCCATCATAGTGTTCTGGATTTCACCCATCTTTTCCTCGTGGATTGGATTTTCGAGTTCAAAGTATGTCAGGCAATGTTCCACCACATCGATCAATTGGCTGGCTTGGCCGGGCTGGAGCGTGCTACTCTCTCGGCTGCGTGGATTTAAGAAGGTGGTTTGCACAAAATTGGAACAGCTAGTCGCCAAATCGTGCACTGTCGCGACAAGTGTCTGGTAGACTCGGGGATCTAGGAGAGCAGGCTCCTGTAAAGGGGTGAACAGGATCCTCTTCAGCAAGTCCACCGTTCCGAGACGGATGTTGAATTGACCTTCATTAGGTGCCAGCAAGAACATTGGCGCCCATTGATGCACTGTCTGCAGGACCGCGTCCTCTAGGAAACCCGCTGCGAGGTTGAGGTGGACATTTTCCACCTTCAACAAGGCGTCGACGAACTCGAAATACTCCCGGCCATATTCGACACCTACTGTTGCGATGCTTTCCAGGGCGGGTTGAACAAGATCGAATACTTGATTCTCTGAGCCACAATACTCGCAGAATGTCAAGACTGGTCGAAGGAAGCTGCTGGCTGTGTTAATACTCCGATCATTCAGTCCATTTACCAGTACGATGGAGAGAGCACCAGCGAGTCGTCGGTCTTCTGCGAACGCTTCTATAAGGCTGTCCACCGCTGGCGAATTTTGCCGTCCTGCAATCAACCGCCTAAACCATTCCAGGTTGGGGGGAATCTTGTTGAACCCGAGAAGTTCCACCTCGTCAATGGTCAAGCCGATCTTCTTGTCATAATGGCGATAGTCTCTGTGTACAGGTAGGTGGAAGTCGATTCTCAGGATTAGGCCGACAAAGAGGCGGACTAGCACCGGATGGTTGAATGGCCGATTCCTCTCTCGCGCACTCAAATACGTAGGGTATCGGGTCTTGAGCTTCTTGGACACTGGGAACTCGACTGAATTATTCAGGTGCATCATGATGATGTCGACACATTTTTCCAGGTAGTTCTGTTCGAGAACCCATATGGTTTCCTCGTCACCCAACCGATGTATGCTGTACAAGAGACCAAAGTAGTCCGCCCAGCAACGGCCTGTTTTGGCTACCACGTCCCACAATCGAGATAAATGGCCGATACAGGGCTGAAGCCACCCCTGGTACTCCTTCGCCAACTTATCGAATGCCGGACCCGATGCTAGTTCGATCTTCAGCGCGCGGAGTCGAGTAAAGGTGACACAGAATAGGTTGGCAAACGACTTGCGGACCGCCTGGTAGGGGCTACGGACAACAACATCTTCAAGAACTCGAGGGTTGTGAAACCAGTGAGCTATTGTTCTGTTGCACTCTCGGCACTGCTGCGTGCAAGTGAGAAGACCAGCAATAGTCTCTTCAAAGAATGGCTGTTCCTTGCATCGAGAGGATACTGAGCGCACATAGTCCAGGACCATCTCGATCACGGCGGATTCGAGGGTGTGATCCTTGCTGCATCTGTCCATGCTCTGTGGGATGCGTTCGAGTAGCTTCTGAATGAATTGCGCATGTGAAGAATCTTGCGCGCAGTAAGAACGCAAGAAAAGCTCATTCTGTTGAGCTATGTGCTGCTCCAGTGAATGGGATAGCGGGATGCGCACAGGATTGATTGTGTCATGGCAATGATATTGCTCCTCGACCTTGCGAATGCTTGATGTCCTCTGGTAGAACAGCATGTAAGCGCTGTAAAATTTGGGAAGATGATAAAACCCAGCTTCTGAAGTGCCTCCGAAGCAGTTGTCACGCATTTGATTGGTGTCGAAGACGCCGACGTCTTGGTCATTGAACTGGACCCACGACTCGTGGACAGGTTTTGCCGACGGTCGCTGACGGATAAACGAATAGTAATGACCAGAGTCTGCAGTACCGGAGTGGACAATGACACCAGTAAGCTGGAAATAGTCTGGCTCTCCCGATTGCTGCTCATCACTGAGCCTTGAGAGAGTATAGGGTGCGATATCAAGCGTGTCGGGAAACTGGAATTCGTCGTTGACCTTTGTCCGCATCCCAGTCATAATGTCGTAGTCGAACCGCTTGAGGTTGAATATCAAATTGTCCGGCACGTCTTTCAGGCAGGCTCGCTTAACAGCGTCTACGTGACGTCCACATGAAGTACAAGAATATTTGTTTTCGCCTTGAAGAACTTCTCCCTCGACATAGGCACGAAGGCTGTCTTCTAGGCGTGCTTTGCCTTTGATCTCGACCTGAACGGCAGAAAAAGGCTCCAGGCGTTCTGAAATGTGGTCGCACTCCTTCGACTTGATTTGCTGAACCAATTGTCCGCCGTACATCGACCTGAATGCGGCTCGGGCAGAAGAATCAATCTCACCCTCGAGGCGATCAAAGAGCAAGTTGAAAAATTCATCAACATCCATCTGCACCGACACATCAATCTGCTCGCCTTCATAGGTCGTGATTGCCTCAACCGCCATCGAGGGATCAATCGACTTTTCGTAGGAATTTTGCATATACGCAAAGACCTTTGCGAGTTCGAGGACGAGCTTCTGTTTCGATTCGTTTGTGCCCAGCATGTTCAAAAAGAACTCCCGGAATTGCACGTTCATGAAGAGTTGGGAAAATAACGAGTTGAGGTAGCAAGTGTTCGAAAGATTTCGTAGTCCAGCGTAGCCGACATCTGTGCGCAGGTTCTGCCGATCGTGTGTATACATTGGTTCAAAAAAGTCTGGAGGTAGCAAATCATCCCCCAGCTTGGTGACAACTGTTGCGAGCTCCCGAGTGCCTTGACACAGGGCAAGAATGAGGCTGTATAGGCTTTCACGCACGGAACTGTCCAGGACCGGCAATCTCGAGCTCTCATCTATCCCAGCACCACCTTCGGAGAGGGGTGGGAACAGGAACAAGGTTATGATCTGTTCGATGGTCTGATTGCCAGGAGGAAGAGCATTTGATGTCTTTAGAAGCTTGCAGCTTTCGAGGAGCAGCTTGGTAAGACAGGCAACGACGTGATCCTTGAGGGGTTGACCAACGACCTCGACATGCTCGTGCTTCAGGAGGATGGAGATCCACTGGTCAAAGTATTGTTTGATACTTTCGATAGGAAAAGACTTGCCTATCCTCCTCAGGATAGCTAGCATTGTCTCGCAGACTTCGGCGCACCGCTCATGCTGCAAACAGGCGTGGGGCAGGATGTCTGCTAGAGCGGTCCACAAATGAGAGAGACAAGTTTCGATGGAAGCTGCTGGAAAGCGCGATCGCGGTGCTCTTGGATTGTTGATTTTGAGGTACAACTTTGCTCCCACAGCACCAGTCAAACCAACCACAACCTCGAGAAGTGAATGCCGCACATCGACACGGGGATCTTCAACGAAAGCAGTGACGATCAGATCCTCGAAGCCAGCTTCAGCATCCACATAGGTCCAAACTCGCTCATCGTGCAGACACGCTTCGATGAAAGTTTCCAAGACTAGTTTCACCATAGCTGAGGATGAAACTTCGTCCACATTGGTGTTCTGGCTCCCTAGCGCAAAACGTAGCAACCTCGAAGTTTGCAATGCGAATTCTTGATGATCCACAACATATTCGCTCGATGTTTCTGGTGAGACCTTGGCTCGGAACGCTAGGAGAAGTGCTTCTATCAAGCTGTGTGCAATCGACATCTGGAGCCCATCTGATGGATCATTCAAATCCAGTTTGGGCAGCACTTGCACGATGGTGCGAATGCTGTAGATAAGGAACTGGGAATCCGGGTTCGAGCTGAACGACTCATCCTCAATGCAAGACCGCAAAGCCCTAGCGCAATACAAGAGTCTGAAAGGCTTTCCTGGAGGCAGAAGCTCCAGTGGCGACCTGTCCCTGGATCGTACGACTCGGACCAGTTCTGTTTGCGCGGAGAAGAGGCTGAGGAACGTGTACACCTCTCTTGACAGGCGCTCGTCAGCATCAAGCAGCTCGTAAAGGTCATCAAAGTGGTGCATAATTTTGTTGTCAACCGGCGAGGTCGCGCGAGTGGCCCGGGTTGGTGGACTCTCCGGCGTGTTCAATTGTTTTTGAACAATCAGGAGGCCGGAGGCTACCTTGGACTCTGCGATGGTTGTCGATTGTTCTGCAAGCAAAACCTTTTGCCCCATGTTGAACACCGAGAACTGACTGAAGCCACTCGCTTCACAAAGATATCTGTGCAACTCGTCGCAAGTGTTCTCGGACCCGATGGTAATATTTTGGACTTTTTCAGTGAAGTACTTGCTTGCCATGATCTGAATCTTGAGTTCTACAATTTCCCCTCTCTTGCCCGGAAATTCTGCCAGTCCCTGAATCTGCTGGTCGGGAACTGGACTGTACCGTGGTCGTAGTTTCATGCCCTCAAGAAATTTCCGAAGGAATAGTAAAGACCGATCAAAACGCAGTTCCTCGGCGCGGATTTCGTCCTCAGAGGCAATAATTACCATGGGCTCATCCTCGCCGCTCATGGTACCATCTGTGTATGACTTGAGCTTGGATGCAGATGCCATAACCTGTTGCACGGAGCGGTCCACGAGAGAAGCATGAGTCGCGTCTATCACTTCTTTCGACCTTCGGGTGACAAGGTTGTTATCCAAGTATGTCCGAATGATGAAATCGGTCGCTTGATTCTCGACAGTGTTGGGAGGCGCATCCAACATGACCTTCCACATTCTCTCGATCCCAGGTACTACAATGACGTCTTCAGTGTCAGAGATACTTTCCGTGGTGCGTCTGATAGTGTACAAAATCGACACCCTGATGAACTCTAGGACTTGTTCATTGTAGTCTTGAGGAACCAGAGTCGGTAAGTGTTTCTCGATGATCAAGTCCAGGAGGATATTCTCGTCCTTATTCTGCTTGATTCTCACTGCATGGGTCAGGGTCTCCCACGCTCGAGCCCTAACGGAAGTAGGGAGTCGGGAGAACGAATAGAAGGACGTCCAAAGGACCTGCACGAGATCTGGGGTGAAGACCTCGGCTACATAGAGAATGAAGTAATATAGGCACGCGGATCGCACCTCATACATTGTCTCGATCGATTTGACAGGAACACCGTGTGCCACCATCAGATCGAATTGGTCCCGTAAATATGCGAAGTCGGCAATGAGCAGTGCCAGCAGGTCGAACTTTTCGGTGGCTTCGGCGACTCCGTCTCTTCCCAACATTGGTAACAAGCAGTTCAAGACCTGGAGATCACCAGAGGCATATTCGCTATGGGCTTCAAGGTTTGAGGCAGCCTCGGACATGATCTGATTCCGCTCTTCCTCGTCAATCGTTGCATAAGTAAGTTCCGCTCGACCCAGAGACAGAACATTAGTCAGATGCTGTGCAAAGTCGCGCCGTATCAGCGGTGCCTGTTCGAGAGACGCATTCTCCTCCATCGAGGCCTCTCGCAGCAATCGTATGCATAGCTTCCGGGTTATTGGATCCGTGGCCAATGTGAGATGCAGAGGTGATATGCCGGTCTTCGTTCTGAGATTATCAAATAGAAGTGCAGTGAACTGCAAGACGTGCAAATCGAAGCGCTGGATGGGGTAGTCAGACAGCTTTTGGCATATGTAGTAAAGAGCATGAAGATCGTATACAGTGAAGCACATTTGAAGGAGATTGAAAACCTCGTGAGCAGTCCGTGGGTCTTGGCTCTCCACGATGGTTTTCCAGATATTGTCTGTGTCGGCGTCTGTGTAAGTCCCAGAGACGCAGAGGAAACCGACCACATTATGGGCTCGACGTATCAATTGTGGGTGAGAGTCGACGCCGACAATATAGTCCACCAATTGGTTCTCCTTGATAAATTTGACTAAGAACCTCACCAACGGGTGAGACATTGCAGGCTGCGCCTGGCCACTGATATGCTCTTTGAACACTTGAACTAGATCAGTTGACATGCTGTCGACGCCAGAAACTCGAAGTTCCATCCGGCCATTGGTGATGAATTTGCGAAGTGTCTTGAACTTCCAGGCGTATGGCATTGTGCTGGGAAGGTCAGTGAGATCTGAATCAGCGAAGCCAACTCCAGCAGAAGATATGATGTCCTTGCCAATCTGCGGAATCTCGACCGCAATTGTCGACACCATTGGATTGAGAAGATCAATGATTTTCCCCGCCGTCTCTAGATTGAGCCATGCCGCTTGCTTCACGATGGCTTGTTGAATGGCATTGTCTGCTTGCAAAATGATTTCTGCAGCGCCGTTGCGGATGTGGTCAAGTTGCGAGAATGCCGCAGAGACAAAGTTGGTCTCCGTACTGTACGTGTTGGTGATGGGAGCCATGATGCAATTGGTCACCTGGAGCAGATTGTGAAAAGGTCGAAATAAATCGGCTCGCTTGGTCATGAGAGCGCACATTTCGGAGAGCAGGGCAGCGATGGAAGGCAATATGGACACTGTGGATGGGTCTCCAAGGCGATCGATGACGAGTGTGTAGAAGTGCGTCCGATCGAAACTGTGCGCACGGCACAACGCATCGTAGAAGGGAATGCGGACGGAGAGAATCCATGTCAGAGGTTGTAGGTAGTTAGCACACAACAAGTTGAAGGACTTCAAATCCCCGAATCCTGGATCCTCGCGGAGCACACGTAGTCTTTGGGTATCGAAGTCAATTAGAAGCTTGGCAATTTGAGCGAAGGCAACGAAGAAGTCGACGAGGTCTTCGGTCCGAGCTCCAGGAGGCGGGCCTGCCTCTCGGCGTAGCAGGCCTTCGATGAGATCTGGGAGTCGCTGCCAGAAGTCCTTTTCTTCTTCAAGCAGTGTCATGGAAAATTCGTCGCAGTCGGAGACAAATTCGATCATCCAGTCCTTGACCTGACGGAATATCGCGCCATTTTGGCCACCAGCGTGTTGGAAGTTTTCCGCTATGCGGGCAATGACTCTATGAGTGCTCCCTGGTGCCCATTCTTGGGAAAAAGGAAATGTACGATTCACATAACCGGGTGGAACCGACTTCAGGACAGATGCAGAGGGGCTTCCACCGCTGATACGACCAGTCCACCTTGTCTGGTTTGGATCTTGGTCAAAGTCTTCGGGCTCAGCAATCTCGATTTCAGGACTCTTGCTCGGGGAGGACGATATCGAGATGATCTCCGCCGACTCGGGCTGATGGTGTGGAGGGGCAAGAGCCGCATTGACGTCTCCCTTTGAGTCGCCGCCAACAGTGGAGGTTTCGGAAAGTGAGAGACTGGCTGGCATTCCCGCTCCTTCGGCCTCGGTGGTTGGTTGGGTGACTGATTGAGAGGACAACGGGCGGGTGTTGATGGTCACCTTGCTGGTGGGGGATATGATGGCGGGAGGGGCTACATTTCTGGGAGGCAGCGGCGGTGTCTTGACGAGGGCTCTTTCCTCATCACCGGTTGCAAGGACGACTGGCACAGAAAGTGCGGGGTTGGAGTTGTCTTGGTGTAAATCCGACATGACATGCGTCCCATCAGGCTTAGTATCACTCAGCCTTGGGCGCTTGTGCTCATGCTCAGGCAGCTCAGAACCTTCGGTGGAGTCGCTTCGGTTGCGGATCGAAGAATCGGACATTGAGGACGACATGTTACGAGAGGTGCATCTGGAAGCCCGCAGGAGCGGCAGATCCGCAACCAGGAGAGCAAGAGCGGTGAATACGAAACTGATCGGAGAGTGAAAGAGTGGTTGAGGTGAGGCAGTGAGAGGTCTTGGCAAAAGCTGTAGAAGGCCGCCACTCAGGGACAAGGCAAACCAGGCCGGTGACAACGGCGCCTGATTTTCAACGGCTGATCAAGAAAGGAAGGGTTAACGGCTGGCGACTGATGACTGATGACCACGGGTCTTCACTGAATAAATAGCCAGTCCGGAAGAGATAGACTGATGTCGACTTGGGCCATGTCTCTAGACTAGGGACGTTGGAGCGGCCAGTGGAAACCGAAGGGTGCTTTTCGGCGGTGGTGGTGGTTGTGAGGAGGCGGGGCCCAGGTATCTTTACCTAGCCTTAGATAGCTTTTCTGACAAGGGACTGGGAAATGCAGAGGCGGATAGGGAATAATTAGAGGAGTCCTACTGATAGTCACGTAGAATGAAATTCTTTTGAAGATGGGGAGAAGGAGAAAAGGGTCTAGATGGTGGTTTTGTGAGTCGGTTGGTCGTTGGACAGAGATGGACCAGGCTTGCAGGCTGCCGTTGATTTACTAGACGGAGTTGGTAGGGGCCCAGTAGCGGCCCGGCACACTTGCTTATTGGCGGTTCCCGTCGTCACCAAACGCGTCTGGCGCGTGAGCATTAGCAGTGCAAGCAGTGCAAGCAGTGCAGTCACTGCAGTGCAAACCTAGAGGAGAGGCTTTAGGCTCCCAACAACGTTAAACTACTCCTGGCATTCTCACACGTCATGCCTCGCCTGCGCCTTTGTCACCACCCAGTGAAGTTTTCTTGCCTCTACAATCCACGCCGTGTTTGACTGCCAGCATGGACAAACTGGACAAACAAAAGAAAACAGCAACTGTACATTCTTTGTCCCTCCCATACCCAGAGCCACAATGGTATCTATCTAACACGAGACAATATTCCTGCAACCTTCCCCCCAACTAACACAAATTCCTTTGCCAGGCCCTCCATCTCTCCTGACACCGAGCAAGCACTCCTACAGCTCCTCCTGCGGCTGCTGCAGCCCATTGGCGACTTCAGACGCGACCATGTTCCGCGTTCCAAGGGCAAGGGGAGAGGCGGGAAAATAAACAAGAAGACGCAAGAAGACTCTATGCCAGAATGGATCCCCGATGTTTACGACCATGTTACTCTCGGGTTTAATAGCACGGTCCGCAGGCTTGAATCTTTGGCTCGCAGCCGGAAGCCCCAAGTGCTATCTCAGCACACAGACGTCGACCCATCATCAGGACATTCACATGCAAATCTCTCAGTCGTGTTTGTTTGCCGCCAGAATCTGCCTGACATAATGACTTCCTCAATACCTTTGCTGTTAGCAACCTCGGCTCCCCCAACCACTCGGGCCAGGTTAGTGGAATGGTCCTCTCAGGCCGAAGAGCAGGTGGCTCGAGCACTGCACCAGCCCCGTGTCGGCGTGGTCGGTGTCGGGGAGGGGACGCCTGGCGCTGAAGCACTTCTGCGATTTGTCCGAGACAACGTGGATGCAATCGATGTACCCTGGCTCGACCAGATTCCCAAACCCATATACCATTCCGTCAAAATTCAAACAGTCGAGTCAACATCCAAGCCCAAATCCAACCCCCAAGGTCGTAAGCGGAAGCATCGAGAGACGGCTGAAGGCGCTTGAAGCTGATGAGCCTGAAGATTGGCTCAAACCTCAACGAATGAATGGAATGCGGACAGGGACGCGTTTGCGATATTCAGTGTAGTCTTCACCAAAGAAAGAAACAAGATGCCTTTCTTCATCTGCATCGAACTATCAGCACAGCGAGATATGAGGGAACGATGAAGCAACGACTTACGAATGATGCGGTGGTGGAAGAACTTCCACAACACCACAGCGTATATTACCAGACAAATGCGATTCCCCAGCAGCACCTGTGTTCCCAGACCCCACCAGAAGAATCCGAAATAGGATGGATGTCTTGAGAAGGCGTAGACCCCGTCCGTCACCAGGACGTGGTCTGCTCTCTTCGTCCACTGCACAACATGGTTGAAGTTTGTCTTTGCCTGTCGCATTGCGGCACTCCTGACAAGCTGTCCCACGACGATCAAAGCGCCGCCCAGCCCAACTGTTATGGAGGATGGAAGTGATGGAAAGATCCTGGGGATATGGAATGGCAGCCTCAGCCATATTGGCGCGTAGTCAGAGTATAGCCAGTACCTAATCAGTAATTCAAGCATGGCCGAGGTGTGGGCGGCGGCATATCCCATGCCATTCGACAGCAAGAGGAAGGATGAGATTGAGGCATCCGGTGGATTGTATCTTGCCGTCATGTCGAATTCGAGGTAGTGAAACAGTGCCAGTGTTGCAACAAAGCATGGTGCCCTCCAAAGTCCATTGCCCCAGTACACCAGCTCCACTGTGAGGATCGTAGAAATGCCCAATGCAATGCCCAACGCAAAGGCACGAATGGAAACCCCAGAGAGTGCCCGTTTACCCCCGGGCAGGTACTGTGGCGGGATGTACATGGGCTGCAAATTCGCGCGAGCACTACCGTTGATGTGTTCTTGAATCCGATCTCTTGGGAATTCATGAATGATTCCTGGAGAACTGGGCGCTGAGGAGTCGGACATGTTTTCAAATGGCGTCGCCATGAGTAGGCGGATGCGGCACACGAGGATGTGGCTGTTCAAGGGGTTGTTATCTGGCAAATGTGCCAATCAAAGAGCCCACACTGCATGACAAGCCACAAATGGCATTTTTAAACAGATCAGAAAGAATGAGTGGATCAAAAGGAATGCATAACTGACAAGAACAATAGCAAGGAAACGCCAGAGGAGGTTGTCGAGAGGCTCAAAGCGTCTGCAGAATTGTGTCATAAGACTCTCGCAACGGCTGGGCGGGCTCTATCGCATCAACTATTTTCCGGTTCCGATATCTGGTATCCTCTCCTCAACAAGGGCTTCTTCCACTTTCTTTCAATCACCCATTCAAGCTCTCGTGGTGCACCTCTTCTGGCAACATGTATGATCATCCAGAATGGCAGAAGGCCCAGCGAGGCGAGCTCTATCATGCTTTTGTCCCAGAACTTATCGCAGCTCGAGACCGATGCAAGCAAGCTTGTGACAAGTTCAATTCCTCCCAATCGACAACCCGGCGCAGAGTAATCGAGCTATGGAGAGAGTAGGTGAGCGAAATATCGGTCGCGTGCGCAGAAAGCTCTTGTGCAAAGGCTTATACCTGCCTCACAGGATTACCAACGACACTCGCCCCCTTCCACCACCGCGGCCATCTTTGGTGGAAGACGACAAGCTCCTCGAAGAGGAGCCCTGGATCTGCAGCCCAATTCATGCCGATTACGGCTTCAACATTATTCTGGGTCAAGGGGCATTTGTGAATTTCAACTCCACTTTCGTTGACACCTGTCCCATCCGCATTGGTGCCCGTACCTTGGTCGGGCCGAACTGCAGCTTCTATTCCGGAACGCATCCTCTTGACCCGGCGCTCAGGAACGGAACCAAAGGTCCCGAACTTGGGAAAGAGATAAACATTGGCGACGACTGCTGGCTGGGAGGAAATGTCATTGTCTTGCCCGGTGTGACGATCGGGCGAGGTAGCACCGTTGGCGCCGGAAGTGTGGTGACGAAGGTACCAAGCTTGGGTATCCCCCTTCTCGTGGGTAAAGTCTCCTCTCTGACGCTTGAATAGGATGTCCCTGCGTTTCATGTAGCGGCCGGCAATCCTGCCAGAGTTTTGAGAAAGATCCAAACTACGATGGACTCGACACAAGATATCTCGCAGCCGGCAAAGGAAGATCGGGAGCAGGGAGCGGAAGGTGTGATGTCTGTATGACAGACAGTTCCAGGAGTCAAGGGGCAATATCTTGTTCATCAGCCTGCTTCTAGGTCGTGCGCGGGATGGTGCAAACTTCAAGCCTACATATTCACTGCTCCCCCGGACCGCACGTTGAATGTTGATAAGTAACGCTTCCGGCTTCTCCAACTCCTACCTTCCAACGCATTTCCTGGATTCCGAGGACGGCCGAAAGGCTCTTCTATACAGTTCAATCTTTCATGCCCGATATAGTCCACGCTGAAGCGAGATCGACTGTACATGCGTGGCTTTGGATCTCGCGCAAGTCCCGCCGTTGCGCTCATCATTTATTATTCTCAGTTGTCTTTGAGTCAAGACATGAGTCTGAGGCTCCTGTCAACGGGCCACTTATGTCCATTTCTCATAATCCGGAAAGTAGCGGTTGTGTATCCTTTCCGCATATGTGACGACGCTGGGGAAGCTTTTCACGAGCTTGTTTGATTCTGGAGCACTAAAGTGCGAAGTCAGTGCCTTCCTGCTACGCCACACGGACTTGGGATACCCACCTGTCACTGACGAGCACAGAAACTATGAAACCAAACAAAGTCGCGTCGGCTTCGGTTGGCCGTTCTCCACCCAGCAGCCAAACTAGCTCGCCGTCACCCGAAGCCTGCTGCAATCTCCTTTTGAGAACGCTGTCGATTGACTGCCAGATCTCGGTCTTCAAACTTCGCACCTCTTCGCTGGTCAGGCGTCCAACTCCCTGACCATGTAATGTCTTCGTGACGCCTCGATAGATGAGAAACCCAACAAGTACGCGGACTGGGAGCGGCATCGACCACAGAGCTTTTTCCCTTTGGACGTAGAAATTCTCGAGCCACCGCTCCCGCATCTGAAAACAGTGTGAGTTCCCTTCTGTTGACGACCAAATGTTGACAAACACTCACATGGTAGAAATATAACTTGTCTTCCAGCAGTGCTCGAAGAGCAAGATCATTCAGCTTCGATTGTTCGGGCAAGCTCCCATTCAGATCCGGAAGATGGCCCATGCCCAGGAGCCTGTTGATGATGAAAGTCGAGTCTCCCAAGAGAGAGGATCCATTGTGACCGTCGTCTTGAAGAGGCCCAAGATCCACATACGGAATTTTGCCCTTCGGCGCCACCTTGACTGACCCGGCTTCGACGTCGTAAGCCAGCCCAGCGTGTCGAAACCGAAATTCAACCTTTGTCACATAGGGCGACCAACTGTATACCCCTTTTTCGGGCCAGCCGCGGGATAGGGTCAACTTGGATTTTTCGGCTGACATTCTCTTGCGACAAGGTCTGCATGTGCGAGATGTAGCTTTCAAAGAGTATATGGATATCAAAGCACGAACAGAACGAGGAAGTATATAAGGTAGAGAGTCGGAGGTCGTTGTCAATATACACTTCGACTCCAAAGCCAGAGCCAATCGGCTTCTCATTTCCCAGGCACCGACTCGGCTCGGAGCCACACTGAACCGGCTCCGGCATCTACTTCTTGGCGAGACAGCCAAAGAAAAGGCCAACGATAATGGAGACACTCACTTCCTTGTTTGCGGTGTTCCACGCTCTATGCATTGTCAGGACGACAGTTGGGAGAGAGGATGGGCATGATTACGGCTTTTTGGTAAAGAACTCCCTCTTCCAAAATCGGATGATATCCCTGCCGCTCAGAACTGCAAGGGCTCAATTGATGCAAAGGAGATGGACCTCAAGTTCAACAAGCAGGATCTTCCTGGATCTTCCAGGTGTGGCAGGAAGTGACAGGGATACAGCCAAGGTGTAAGATGAGCCTCCAGCCAGGATTGCTCCCACAAAGAAAAAGCAACACGAGCAACAAGCTCAAAATTCCTCTGAAATCTCTCGAACGAGGGTTCGACTGAAGCAAAAACTTTTTCCTCGAGAAGACATCCGCACCGTTATTTTGCGGTTGTGTTCTCGAGGGAAGTGAAACGTCCTATCCGCGTTTTTCACGACGGTGCGTTTTTTTTTCGGGGGATTCTACAGGTAACAATCATCCAAAGCACCCAGTTAAGCCCTTTTGTAAGGACCGGTTGGCTTCTTCCGAATTGTTGACAGGAAATGGAGTACTACAATATATGAAGGAATAATTGTGGAGACCCAGGGAGAGGTGCGGCAGAAGTTTGTATGGGTTGTGAAAGCAGCCGGTGGCTTGTCTTTGCTGGGGAAAAGATGCCTTGGCTTACTTCAACAGAGATCGTGGTTTTGGATGAGTGTATCGAGTCAATCAATCTAACACCAGCTTACTTCAGGTCAGCAATGCCTGCGGCAAGACTATCCTCCAGGCTCGTCCAGCCAGGCACGCCGAAGAACGACTTGATGAGCTCTTCCGCCCTCTTGCTCCCCTTGATATCCGTCAGGTCACGCCCTTCATTCGGAGGAGCTTTGGGGATCTTGTCGTTGTCCGGCCGAAGGTTGGTCAAGATATTGATGACATCGGTCCAGTTGTAGGGGCCTGCAAACGCAAAAAGCCGTTCGTTTTCGACTTTCGGGTCAAGCAGCGCCGCAACGTGGACTCGGGCGTCGTCTCGGACGTCGACATACCATTCTGGAAAGCAAAAGGCGATTAGCGGCGGACTGAGAATTGGCACAGCTCTAACTCACGCGGTGGGAGCACGTTGAGCACACGGCCATTACCCTCCAAAATAGCGCGGGTCCAGCCCATGGTGCTGCCGAAACCTTCTGGCAACAAGAGTTGGCCGAGCTGAAGGTTGCATTGAAGTTAGCGCAAACCCGTGGCAGGGCGGTGGAGAGAGTGGACGGTGCGGGAAGACATACATTCATGTTAGGTAAGACGCTGTTGACCGCGAACCCCGGGTTGTTCTCTTTCGCCCACTTCCAGAACTCGCGCTCCTGCAACGTCTTTGATGCGGCGTAGATCAGATACGGCTTCGCCTCCTCGGGGGCGTCTTTGTTGTACACGGCCTCCACGACCGCGTCGTTCCAAGTGTCTGTGCGCAGCATACTTTCAGCATTTCGCCCCCTGTTTTGGGGGTTGGAGGTGGGTGTGTTGGGTATTCTCAGCTTTGGGAGTGAGTGATCTTTGACGTACTTTCGTCGACAATCATTCGTTTGTTCACCTCGGGGATCAGAGCAGCGGTGGATGAGGACGTCAACACGAAGCTCTTGACCGACTGCTGCGCCGCGGCTGTCTTGAGGAGGTTGACGGTGCCGGCAACGACGCCGGGAATCACGGCGTCGGGATCAACGCTGAAAGAGACGTCTGTGGCCTATGGAACCGGTCAATAACAGCGTGCCGGAGATCCAGGCTTCAGCATGACTTCGACCATCATATCGAGCGGGGAAAGAAAACGAAAACAGCTCAAACCCTCTCAACAACCAAGCATACAAACTACATACCACATGGACCACGCCCGCAACGCCCCGGATCGCCTTGTCAAAAGCCCCGTCGACGTTCATGGCCGTCACAATGGCCGTCTCGAACCGACCGGGCCCGTACCTCTCTTCGAAGAACTTGTTGAGCCAGGGTTTCTCGCCGCGCACGGTGCCGCGGACATTGTACCCCTCCTCGAGGAGGAGATCGATGATATGCGAAGCGATATATCCGTTTGCCCCGGTGACGAGGATCTGTTCACTCTTGGGGATGCGGCGATGCTGGTGCTCTTGGGTCATGATCTTTCGTTTCTCCCTTCGTCTTTCCACGCTTTCTCGGATTGTTCTCTTCTAATGGGAGTTTGAAGCTTGGAGGTCAAGAGCTCTTTTATGTCGAATTCTAGAGTTCCGACTTGGTCCTGTTTTCTAACCCTCCCCGTCTTTTTATCTTTCAATTTTTATATTCGAACCTCTAGCACGAGTGGGTATTTGGGCCCATGATAATAATTAAAGGGATCAAGCAAGGCCCTCCACGACGGCATGCCGGGGTATTTAATCTCTCCGTCTATCGACTTTGATTTCTAAGATTGTTTCTACAGGAGCTGAGGGGAGGGGAGGCCGCGCGTTAGCGAGCAGCAGCATGGGTGTGGGATTTCAGCTGGCGGGCTGGCTGAAAAATCATGTGGTATACGGCAACCCTGGTATGCACGAGACAAAATATGGCAAATGGCGTTGTTCAGATATACCTACTGACGACTGTGGGACGCTTTTGGGATGGAGACAAGGTGGGACGGCCGGGCCGGACAAAGTTGCGCCGGGAGACAAAGTAAGCAAAGTAAGCCAATTCTGCCTCGTATATTGTAGAACAATGGTGACCTGATACCTACCTACCTAGGATAGTTATCCATTTGAAGTTGGAGATGTGGACTCCCCGCGACGATATGTAGCGTTCGGCGGTATGTGGGGTGGCGGGGATTACCTGATTTGCTCTTGATGGCATGGCAAGGCGAGGGCGAGGCGAGGCGAGGCGCCTACTGAGTTGGCGGAGCCATGCATATTGAACCATCTGATATCCATCCATGCCAATTTAAGGATTGGCTCAGCGGCCGGATAATCGCCAGCAGGTCCGCTAAAACGAATACAAGTTCTGGCTTGTGGGGGAACTGGGGACAGGAAAAGCAGCAAAAGCCACCATATGTGTTTGACAGTTGGCATTCGAGGCGTCGTATCTTATATCTACTAGACACCCCCACCCGTGGTATATCGCCGCTTTTCGTCCCCTAGCACGGGGTTTCGAAGTAGCCGCATGCTTCTCACCGCAAAAGCAACTCATGACTAACGGTGTTCCTTCGATCGATGGCGTAGGGGGCCGTATTCAAGCAAGCATCAGCATCATGCCCACAACCGCCAGTGCAAGAGCAGTTGTCGCCAGAAGCCCGTGGCCCTCGACACCCCTCCCCACGCCGGCAGTCTGAGCCACAGACGATGTGGTGGATTCTGGTGGCGGCGACACAACCTCTGAGCTCGTGGTCGCTTCCGGGGTCGTGGGGGTCGGGCTGGAGAACGAGGTCGAGGTTGTTGTTGTGACCACCGTCACGACTGTCGCGGCCGAGGTCGTTGGAATGGGCGCTTCCGCGGTGGTAGGCGGTGGCGGCGGGCTTTCAGTCGTGGAGGGAACCGCCGGTGTGCTCGGGGTGGTGCTGAGCTGCTCCGTAGTACTCGGTGTGGGCGTGGGAGTGGGAGCTGGCGTGCCGCTGGGTCCAACCGTTGCGACAGATGCCACCGTGTTCCCTGCCGTTGCCTTGCAGTCGTCCGGACCAAGCGTCACCGAAGATCCATCCGGGTCGACCAAGACGGTACATGAAGCATCGCTGCAACAGACGCCGTTGGTGCCGCAAAAGCCACAAATCAAGCCGATTGCGCAGCCGCCTCCGGCGCTGTCGTCGCAGCATACATCTCCCTGAGCGACAGCGCCTCCGTTGGTACAGCAAACATCATTGGCATCCCTATAGCAGCCGTCTGGATTGTGAGGGCCTTGTCAGCGGAGCAAGAACGAGACAGAAACAGAATTTTAAACACCAATAAAGTGCGTTTGATCATACCTGGACAATGCGTCGAGTCTGTTGGATCGCAATCGTCTCGCTTGTCTAGGCCATCAAAGTGCAGAAAATCGCTCCTGAGTTGGCTGGAGTTTCGCAGGCTGCGCGTGTACCCTTGAGCGAGGTCGAGGGGGTAGAAAGGCTGGAAATGCGTAGCGAAAACGGCAGTGAACAAGAAGATAAGGGGCAGAAATGGCGACATCATACGCCCCATGCTTTCAAGGGGATATGAGTGATCGGAAAGGAAGATGCAAGTGTGCTGATCCGAAAACAAGTAAAAGCAAGTCTCAATTGTCCGTTCGAGAGCCTCGAAATCTCAGGAGCATTTTTCTCCCTCGAACCATTTTCGCGGACGTCGCGCCATATATGAGCGAACTCGCGCTGTGCTGGTAACAATGTACTCGCCTAATTACCTAGGATGCAGGATGAACACGAGAGCTAGAGGCTTCTGAAGGTAGAAAAGGCCATTGCCTGACAACATGTTGCACGATCCACCAGCGATATGGAAGACCAGCCTTACGGCGTAGAAGCTTAAGAAGCTTTCACGAGCTTAGTAAGTCTTGTTTCAGCCTTGGCGGCACTTTTTCCAGACAGGGCGAGTACATGGATCCAATCATCAATGAAGAAAAATTGGTTGCTTTCAGCTCAGCCGCACGTGGTGCACGCAGTACGAGATTAGCCGAACAGACAAAACCTCAAGACCTGAGAAGAGTTCTTTTGAAACCTCTCGTCTCTCTTGGCGTGGACAATGCTCCTTCCCATAGCGGCCTGAGTGAGGCTCGACCTCTGCTCCTCCTGTTTGCACTGACTGTTTTTTCGGGAATTGACAAAGCCAAAGGAGTCGACCAAGAGTGCCTCGTGTAATACTGGTCGTGCCGGAGCATGTGGCATGGAGGGCAATATCCCCATAGCAACGCAGATGAGGTCCCCACAATGGCAACCGGGGTACGGGCCGGAGTTGTAGGAGTCGAGCCGGGTTGTCGCCTGGCCGTTCACACGGCTCTGACTGGTTGTAGACTCCAGCCTCTCAATACAGCTCAACACAAGAGTGTGCAGTCCCTAAGTGGTAGCTCGCGTCTAGATTAGGGGATGAACATTTTAGACGTTTTCAATCTTTCCAATCGATCTTCTTCATATAATGAGAGTGTCATGGATCTCCAATAGTTCTCAGCAGGACGGCAACATTTTGGGTGCTTGATCGCGGGCGTAAGTGGCCGTCGAGAAGCCTTACCTGGGAGGAAGAGATTCAATCAAGAACAGAATAGCTTTCAAGGATGTGGACGTAGATGAACATTGAGCTGGGCATGTAGAGAGCGAAGCTCACCAACATAGCGTCAGAGTCTATACCTAGGTATCCTAAGTATTAACAGGAGGAGGATGGAAGAGAAAACGACATTCAATATATCGTTCGGGCAGGAGGCGCCTTTCGGAGAAATATTAATCCATAATTTCTACATTGGGATTAGATCGCTCGCTCCCTCTTGGCAGCTTGGCATCATCCTGCGTCGTCGCCTGTGTTCCATACCTAGGTATCCATCCCCATCGCTTCACTGCTCTTCACACCCTCGGTCCGGTATTTGCTTCAACAGGTTTCACCAACAGCTTGACTCAGAGTCAAACCACCTCGTACACCATCAACCTACTAATGAAGACATCAGGTCAATTATTTCATCGTCGGAGTCTCTCCGTTTTGAGTCTCCATGTGGACAAGCGGCGATTCTCCATCAAGTGCCATCGTTGCTTACGTCCATCCTCTATGTAACAAGATTGCTCGGCCTCATCCTTCCCGTGGACGTATTTCCGGGATTGAGCTGCTCTTCGATTCCAAATGGTTGGATCCTTCCCGCGCCGCGTGAGACCCGAGCAACTCTATGGAACAGCATCCACCAAACACTGGTCTTCGCCCCCTCACCAGATGTTCAGTGTCAGTCAGTACCTACCTGGGTATATATGAGTTTCACTTCTGTAAGTGCTGACGTGGTCATGGCTTGCTGCCACGACTAACACGATGCGGTTGGGGCTTTCCGAAGCAAATATTTCGTGTGAGGATTGATTTCTTAGCACCCACAAATGTGAGCCGAAAATGGTTTCCGCATCCGTGGCGAGGCTGGTGGAAGGCGCTCACGGCCTGCATCATTTGCGAGAATCACGAGAGTTCCTTGAGCTCGGCTAGATATACGCGATGGCGCTCCTCAGGCAAACTCCGGCTTTCTCGTGCTAACGGCCCTGGTAATGTCTCTTCTCCTACCTCAAATAGCCCAGAAAATGCCATTGACATGACTTGGATTCTTCTCCACTCTCTCCATTCTCCGCTTTCCTTGTTGCTGGATTTCAGTCTCAGATCAAGGGCCCGTCAGTAAAGCAATGGGATCTGCACATATCGACCACCGCAGTCTTGTTGGCCTGGCGGAGTCCATCGCTTCAAGTGCCAAGACAATCGTTGATATCCTGGAAAGACAGAAGCTTCCACAGCCCTCTTTCTCGCCCAACAGCCCCATGAAATATCCTGAAGGCTCAGATCTCAGCAAGCTGCAGGAAGCACGATTAAACCTCATCACTTCCGCTTGGGCAATTGAACAGCTGGCCGCGGGCCCACAGGATTATATCTACTGGCAGGCCTACACGGTATGCTCTGATGCTGACAAGTACCTTTGGTTATCTCATTGTCGGTAGGTTAAACATGACCTTACCGTTCTGAACGCGTTCGCGAGATTTGGCATCTTCGACGCGGTGCCAACGGATAGAGATATCTCTTATGCAGACCTTGCGCGAAAAGTACCCCTGACTGAAAGGCAACTCCGACGGCTATTTCGACATGCCATGACTAAGAATATATTCTTTGAACCCCGGCCTGACCACGTCGCCCATAGTTCTCTCTCAATAGCACCGGTCAAGAACCCGACCTTAAAGCCATGGATCCATCACAATCTTGGAGAAGTCCTACCTGCCAGTTCACGCTTGGCGGATGCTGTTGAAAAGTATGGCGACTCGCAAGATCCGACTGCAACTGCATTTAACATGGCCTGGAACCTGGAAGAAGGGAAAGGGCTGTTTGACTGGCTTGAGAACGATGGACACGGATCTGAGAAAGGGTGGCGTGCACGTCTGTTCGCTCAAGCCATGCAAGCCATGGACGGTGGTGGCCATGACAGGAAATACACTATTCAAGGCTTCAATTGGGAGGGACTTGGCGAAGCTACTGTCGTCGACGTGAGTACTCGTGGACCACAGCTGTCAGCTTCTTGTCTGACTATTTGTGTAGGTCGGAGGATCCAGTGGATTCATTTCAATGTCGTTGGCTGAGCGTTTTCCTGCCCTTCACTTTGTGGTCCAGGATCTGCCGGAGGTCGAGGATGCTTTTAACGCACTTATTCCCACCAGTCTCAAGTCGCGAGTCACATTCCAGCGACACGATTTCATGACACCACAACCCCTGCACAACGCTGACGTCTTCCTGCTGCGCCATGTTCTACATGACTGGTCCGATGCCATCGCTATCAAAATTCTACGGAACCTCATCAATGGCCTCGGCGGGACTATGAAGAACGGCGCTCGAATCATTGTCTCAGACAACGTGATGCCGCCGGTGGGAGTTTCCCCTCCGCCGATAGAACGCCTCACCACAACAGCAGATCTGCAAATGTGGACGGTGTGCAATGCCCTTGAGAGGAGAAAGGAAGATTGGATTGAGCTGTTCAAGGAGGTAGATGACAGGTTAGAGACTGTGGCGTTCGTGCAACCTGAGGGGAGCTCAGATACGGTAATTGAGGTTGTATTCCACGACAAATAAACGTCCTGAGGGAATGGATACCAACTGGCGGCATTGCATATACAATATCTGTTGGGAGAATTTTAGGAGTTGAGAAGGACGTAAGCAACTTCCTCTCAGGGCATACAGCACGGTAGTCAGGGTGCCGAATTGGTGTGTCAAGCAGGCAAATGAGCCGCATGTCACTATTGCACGGCGGATCTAGAAATATTCAATGTCTATTGAAATGCCAGTATGCTGCATCGACAAAGGATATGGCCGGGCACGTGTCACATCAGAAATCATTCTTTGTGGTAAAGCTCAATAAAGCCTTCCATGCCAATCGGGTCGAGTATCATGAGCAGCTGATCAAATCGTCGAAGAGATGCAAGTGAAGTAGGGGATCAAGTACAAAGTAACGACGGCGTGACAGATATGGCTGCCAAGTGACGAGGCTGTCTGGCTGCTTGTTGAGGTTCAGCCTTGCGGTCGCCTCACATATCAAGGTCTGTGCAGCTCATTGACCAGAGAGCACAAATGTCACCTTCGATATTTATAAGTCGTGGCATCTCAATCGTCCACTCGTAGCCTTGTCCTACCTCTCGGTGACATCCCCTGTTACTCGGTGCCTTGTCACACGGCAAGGCCGGCACCGCCACAGAAAGAGGACTGGATATCAGAATCGTGGAGAGGAGGAGGCAAAAGGTGAAGAACGGCCTCGCATTGTTAGACAAAGCAACACGTCCAGCTGACACTTGAGCATGAGGCTTCTCTTCACTTGTTCCTGGGCCACGTGAACAAACAAACCCTGCCTGCGACTTCCGTCTTTCTCTCTCTCAAGTCACGTCCAGCCTTTCCGAGTACAAGTATTCACCCATCGAACCGCGCCTGCTTCAGTCTCCTGACCACTCGATCTCTCTTTGTTCTTCTCTTCTTCCTGCGCCTCTCGACTTCTCTTCATCCTGTCCTTGCAACGACCTCACCACGTCCTCGCTCTCACACACCGCCGTGCATACTTCCGCAGTTGATCAAGTGTATCGACATTGACAACATCATCCAGCCACAGCCACACAGACACTATATTTCCCCCCTGACCGCTCACCATGCCTGGTGGCGGTGCTGTTCATCTTGCGGCCACGACCGATGTCGCCCGCGTCGAAGCACCCGTCACTCTCAGGGCCTACCTGATGTGCGCCTTTGCGGCCTTCGGAGGGATCTTCTTTGGGTACGACTCGGGATACATCAATGGCGTCATGGCAATGAAGTACTTCGTCCATGAGTTCACTGGCAAGCCGTATCCTGGGCCAAATGCCACCGCGGCAGAGAGCGCATCTTTTGTCATCCCTGCATGGCGCCAGTCCCTGATCGTATCCATCTTGTCTTGTGGGACATTCTTTGGTGCAAGTAAGTCAGCCCTGATCACTTTTCTCAACCCACACTGACTTCGTCTTTTCAGTCATTGCCGGTGACCTCGCCGACTTCATCGGCCGTCGGACCACCATCATTGCCGGTTGCGTCGTGTTCTGTCTCGGTGCCGCCCTCCAGACTGCTTCCACAGCTTACGGTCTTCTCATCGCCGGTCGTCTCATAGCTGGGTTTGGTGTTGGTTTTGTGTCTGCCATAATCATACTGTACATGTCGGAAATCTCGCCCCGTAAAGTCCGGTATGTCTTCCTGGAGGCCCCGGTGAATGTTGCTCAAGTATCCAACTCTGACCCACAATGCAGAGGTGCTATTGTTTCCGGCTACCAGTTCTGCATCACCCTCGGTCTCTTGTTGGCGTCGTGTGTTGTCTACGGCACGCAAGGCTTTACCGACTCCAGCTCATACCGAATCCCAATTGCTCTTCAGATGCTCTGGGCCATCATCTTGGCCACAGGACTGCTCACCTTGCCCGAATCTCCACGTTACTTTGTCAAACGCGGCAACCTAGACAAAGCAACCACTGCTCTTGCCAGACTGCGGGGCCAGCCTCGCGAGTCTGAGATGATCCAGCAGGAGCTGGCAGAGATCGTCGCAAATCACGAGTATGAACTGCGAGTCGTCCCCCAGGGGAGTTATTTCGCGAGCTGGGCCAACTGCTTCAAAGGCAGCTTGTTCAAACCGAGCTCCAACCTGCGTCGGACGATTTTGGGTACTTCTCTGCAGATGATGCAGCAATGGACAGGAATCAACTTCATCTTTTACTTGTAAGTCATTTCCAATAACTTGCACGTCTCTTACAATTCTTACCACAAGGCTTTGTCGATTGGATGGCGCTGACGGTTGATTAGCGGCACAACTTTCTTTACTGAGCTCGGAACGATTCAGAACCCCTTCTTGATTTCTCTAATCACTACCCTCGTGAATGTTTGTTCGACACCACTGTCTTTCTGGATCATCGAGCGATTTGGTCGGCGTTCGATCATGATCTGGGGTGCTCTTGGGATGGTGGTGTGCGAATTCATCGTTGCAATTGCTGGAACTGCCGACGGTCACAATCCGCAGACAGTCAAAGCCGAGATTGCCTTCATCTGCATCTACATCTTCTTTTTCGCAACTACTTGGGGACCCGGCGCCTGGGTTGTGATCGGAGAAGTCTTTCCTCTCCCTATCCGGTCACGCGGAGTCGGGCTGTCTACCGCCTCGAATTGGCTCTGGAATTGTGTAAGTCAGACAATCGTTTCTGTTTGCGACATCTGAATTAACCTAATGCTTGTTATAGATCATTGCCGTCATCACACCGTACATGGTAGGGCCCGACAAAGGCAACCTTGGGCCTAAGGTATTCTTCATCTGGGGTGCTCTGTGCCTGTGTTGCCTCGCGTATGCCTATTTTCTCATTCCTGAGACCAAAGGCCTTACACTTGAACAAGTGGACCGCATGCTGGAAGAGACAACACCGAGAACCTCGTCGCGATGGACGCCGAAGACGACATATGCGGCAGAAATGGGGGTGACCGAAGCGGGAGAACTCAAGTCAGAGGTTGTGGAGGGCGTTATGCACAAGAGTTCTGCTGTTTGAGGGATATGCAAGTCCTGGGTGACTCGGAATCAAGGAGCAGAAGACGGCAAGGTCTAAGGAGACAATGGACATTTCGGCAAAACACCGGCTGCTTCATGCCACTTGACGCCTGCTCGTGGCTAACGAGGCTGCTGGTTTTACCATTATTGTATGTCTGCTGAGCGCACATTGCGCATTGTTCAATGGTCACGTACATGCTGCAGGTAGAAATTCTAGGAATGAATTTTCTATCTATCCACTGTGACAGCCTGAACAGCTCGTGATGATCTAGTGAGCTAGTCACCCTCCCTGCCGGAAGGTTCATGATGGTGAAGCAAAAGCCCTGTGGTCTAGATCCCTGCTGTCTATGGACATTGGAAGCAGCGTAAAAGGAGAAACTCCCAGACTCAACCGGACGGAGAATACTTCTCCCCAAAAAGAAAAATCTATAATTTCGCCTTGGTCCATGGCTCGCCCACCAAGGTCAAGCCCGTCACATTCTCCAGCTCTCGGACCGCGTCCTTGGACTTGCCCAGGACGACCCTGATGGTCCTCATGCCCAGACTGCGGGCGGTCTTGAGATTCTCGCCGATGTCGTCCAAAAACACAATGTCTTGCGGTTTGATGTCCGGATCCCATTTCTCGCGCATCAGCTCCATGGCGTGCTCGTAGATGTCGCGGTTGGGTTTCCTCATGCCGACGTGGGCGCTCGACACAAAGATCTCAAAGACTTTTCGGACGTCGTCGGCGGGCGAAGGGTCGTTGAACGGGTGGCCCTCCGGGTAGACGGTGGTGTTGGACAGCGCAGCGAGCTTGTACCGTCCGTCGGCTTTCAGTTTCAGTAAGGCAGGGTACATCCAGGGGTCCGGGGTGCGCGAGTGGCTCATCATGCTCCAGTACAGCTTTTCGGTGTCGATATCCGGGACGGGCGGGACTTTGGAGTCGTCGGCGACGGACAGCTTCTCGCGGTGGAACGCGGCCCACAGGTCCGGCCGCTGCAGGTCCGCCTTGAACATGCGGAAGTACTCGGCGTCGTTGGGGATCTCGCCGCGCTCCAGCCTGTGCCATGCCCCGTTGGGCGTCAACGCCCGGATCGAGTAGTTGATGTACCCCGTCGGGATGCCCTCGGCGATCTCATAGTCGAGGATGGCTTGGAAGGGAGATTGGACCTAAGGGTATCGAAAGGGAAAGAGATGGGTCAATATTGTTATCATCTCTGGAACACAGCTTTGTCTGAATTGGGGCATTCCTTTCCTTTTTCTTTTCTTTTCATGACTCGTTCCCCCGGGTTCTCCAATTGCAACAGCGCGACAAAATCTCGGCGGGCATTTCAAGTACAAATTTCAAATACAAGCCGAGGGGATATTGAAAACAAACAAAGGCAGCAGGGAGGGAAAAAAGAACTTACACAAACTCCTCCAATATCAAACATGAGCACCTTGGGCCGAGCCTGCAAGGCCATGATGAACGACGAACAACAGAACCCTCCAAAATGTTCTATTCGCAAAGAGAGAGTCGGTGGGAAAGGATTAACTCAACGAACGCAAATTGTGAGAGCACATTAATCCCGTCGTATGGGTTTTCTAAGAAGAGATATATGAGTACTACAAAAAGGACGAAATAGCCGGCCTTTGGGCGAAGAAATGGCTAACATATTCCCAAGCAAATGTCCCTTTGGGAGATGGCCGGTAGCCGCTTCGAGGGATGAGCCGAGGTCATGGACGCTTGAGACGAATGCAGCCTTTTCCGAGTGTGAGAGGCGATGCCTTGCCACTTGTTTTCGCTTGGGGAGCTTGTACTCCACTGTACCTTGTACTCGCTGTACGGTGGCGTCTAGTGCGGCGTATTTCTCCAAGACGCGCCCTGGTGGTGGGTGAATCTGGACCGCGTCGTGGGGTCCAAGAGGAGCGGTACGAACTGCAACAACTTGCCAAACACTCACGGTTCACCGACGCAGCAGCAAACAACGAAGCCAACTCCTTCCTGACAGAAACAAACCCTCGTGGTCGGACATGGACGAACCATCAATCACGGCGCTCAAAGCAGCCTTCATCCGCTCCCAGGTCCGCCAGCTGGAAACCCCGCTGAAGCGGTACGGTTATGACGAGGGCGCTCGCGGCGACAAATTTCTCCAGGATCTCGTTTCGAAAGGTATTCCTAGACCGCCCACCCCTTTTGATGCTGCATGACAACAGCAGAAATAAATCAAATCCGTCTCTACTCTCGGGCCAAAAGAAAGGCAGGGAGGGCGAGAGAGAAAAGAATAAAGTTGGTGATGCACTTGACTAACGTAGCATTTAATGCTTACAGTCAACGACAAAATCAAACAACACAACCGCCTCATCTTCTCCACGCAGTCGCAGCGCCATGTCGCCGAGCAGATCGAGTCGCTATACTGGGCGCGCGCGTCTGCGGACTCATCAATCGCGCGGGCGGAGCTCGACACCCTCGCCATCCGCAGGGACGCAGACCTGACGGACACGGACGTGATCGTTTCCCTGCCGCAAGACTACCGCGACCTCTTTTTACACCCGGACCACGAGACCCGGGCAGCAGCAGCAGCAGCAGAAGAAGAACAAGAACAACAACAGGAGGAGGGAGAAAGGGACGCGGATGCAGATCGGTACGCCGACATGCGCGAGGAACTACACCTCCTCAGCCAGCAGAGGGACGCGCTGAAGGCGAAACTCGCAAAGTACCGCTACCTGCAGAGATTGACCGAGCCGCTGCGCGAGCAGCAGTCGCTGGAGAATATCCCGCCCAACCACCTGATCGCCAGGCTCGGGGCGATGGAACGGGAAACGGACCGCATGAATGCTCTGATGGATAGGATCACGACGGCGGTCGAGGGGATGATAAAGGCAGGGTCGCTGCCGACGATCCCAAAGGCAAAAGAAGCGCCGCGGACGGATCGACAGAAATTGGCACAAGTGATGAATAGGACAGGGCGTGAAGTGGGTTGAAAAGAAAAAGAATTTCGTCCTTGTTAAAGGCTCATTTTGGAATCCAACTGCGGCCTATGTTGGTACATGCATCCATCCGCATTGTGCCTCGACGGGCTCTTGCTCTTACACGCCCAGGACGCCATGACATCTAAATGTCCCCCGCCTCAATCCCCAAGTTGAAAATCATTCATCATCAGCTTCCTCCACCGTCGGAGCAACATGTCGCTTAGCTGCCGTTGACGTAGCGGCCGGCTCAACCGCAGATGTGACGGCGGCCCCATTCGTGGGCGTCTGCGCCACGGGAGCCACATTGCGCTCGCCTCCTCCAGCAGCAGCAAGCTTCTTCTGAGCCTTCCGAGCCTTCTTCTCCTTTTTCTTCCGCTTGATATCCTCCTTGGTCTCATGCCAGCCCCACAGCGGTCGGAAACTGTCGAAAAAGCCGACGTCTTCGAAGAGATTGGGATATAACCACAGACCAGGTGGAACAAGGAAGAATGTGACAACGAAGAGAATCAGGCGGAAGATGGCCATGGCAAAGAACAAGCCAATCAATCCCATCATGCCGACCGAGAGATACCACACGCCTTGTCTCAGGACGAGCGGCCACAAGGGGAAGAGCACTGCTGCGAAGACCAGGACCAGAACCAATGCCGCCCACAATTTAGTCTTCCACTGTGACCCCTCGTACAGCCAGACGTAATGCATCATTGGGTCAAAGTCCTGTTGTTGCTCGATCTTGACTTCCCATAATCCCTTGACCCGTTTCTCTTTCTTGGGTTTGGCGTGATTGTGTCCCTCGTGTGGATCCTTTTTGGAAACCCGCAGAGCAAGCATGGATAGGGGAAGAAGTTGAAGGGCTGATCGTGCGTCAACGTCGTTCTCGACTTTGGGCAATAAAGGGTTCTTCTTTTGAGCCTTTTTGTAGGCGTCGGAGTTCAGGGCGCGGAACGCTCGTTTCACTGCGGAGAGTAATGGTCAGCAATGAACGCAGGTTCGAAGGGAACCATCTTGTCACACCTTTGAACATGTCCTTCCTCTCGCCATTAAAGATACAAGTTCGAGTTTTCAAATCCTGAGAACGTAGAAACTTCGCGACGGCGAGCGCCTCGGGCTTGGGCTCCACCTTCGCATTCAAGGGGATATGTTGGGCCTGCTGGCCGGGCGGCGGTCCTCGTGGTTGTCCCTGTGGTTGTCCTCCCTGTGGCTGTTGTGACTGTTGCTGTTGAGCCGCCTGCTGCTGGCGCATGAACTGTTGTCTTGCCTCCTCCTGCTTCATCTGGACGAACTGCTGAGGGGTCATTCCCGCTTTGGCGGCCTCGGTCTCGATCTGTTGTCGTTGGAAGGCTTGGAATTGAGGGATGGTCATTCCGCGCTTTTGGGCTTCCATGGCAATCAACTGTTGGATTTGCTGCGGGGAGAAGGGTTGGGCGCCCGGCGGAGGGCCGCCTGGGGATGCCATGGTGGCAGAGTTGTAATGGCAGAGACGATTGCAGGAGAGCGAGGAGTGAGGTCCGTGTAAATGGCTATTTCGGCGTGTTCAGCCCGTACAGAAGATATGTCAGAACAGAGTTTGAAAGGGGTGACCACCTGCGGTGCGCCGATTATGAGGTGAGTTGGCTTCTTCAGAGAAGACACGGTTTAAGTGAGAACAATCAGAGGCGCCAAAAATCCCGGGGGATCAACCAATCGGCCTGCGCCACCGACTCCAGCCTCGTTGCCAAGGCTGTGGCTGTGCAATGTCTTATGGCTGGACCTCGTCGTCGACTCGTCGCAACTCGAACAACATTTACGGGAACGGCGGTACCCAGCATTCTGACTTCACAGAGGGGTTTGACAGTATGATTTTCAGCGGATCTTGATACACGGAAGAGACTCGCTCGTTGCGCAGGTGAAGGGACCGTCGCGTTGTGACAATATCTTCCAGTGCCAACCCGACGCCAACTTGACGCCAACCATCTGCTCCTTTCCTCAGTGCCAGAAGACGTGGACTACCTACTACTCTCCAACATGTCAAGGTACCACTTGGACAGATGACGTCGCTCGAATACCAGCCTGGTTCGTCGGCGGAACCGGATGACTACTGGGGAACTGTGTTCCTGGTGAGTTGCCTGCTGTGATGCTCAAACTGCTCGTTTCAACTAATTGACCCAGTCTATGCGAGATGCCTCGGGGCAAATCCCCATCAATTTCATAACTCATCCAGGAGTTTACGTTACAAAGGCCTGCTTTTCCAATGGGGTCTACGATGACCTTCCGACTCAAACATGCATCTCGGATCTATTTGCAAGCCAATACCGCCGTTTGATCATTGATCTGTACTGGGATAACATCAACCGTCAATTCAGTCTGTGCCCAGTCGAGCTTCCTCCCCTGGAAGGCAATTCGACTGCTGGCTATAGCGTGGATTCGTCGGCTCTGTTTTCAATCACAGCGTCCACTTCCTCTACAACCCCTCTACCAACCACCACAGCTGCGTCAAATACAACGGCGTCTCTTGCTCCCAGCCTCGAAAAGCGGCAATCTTCGTCGTCTTCGCTGGACAACACAACGTCGCCGATTTCCTCTCCCACTGAACCGATCACTAGTACTCCTACAACGACGAGCGATGTGGCAATTCCAACTTCTACGGGTGCCACAGGTGGAACTTTACTCCAACTGGGACCTTACTTGTGTAGCTTGGACTTGAACATCGGTTCCATCATTTCCTTGTACAATTCTTATTTTGAACATACCTCAGACACCATCTCCGCACGATTACATTTTCTTGACATTAATTTACATGCCGCTGCGCCATTCACCGATCCTTCCTCGCCCGCTCACACACCCATGCCGGGCCGCCTTCCTAGTTCTGACCAGCTTGTAGGAGCCCAATTTCAGGCTGCTCTAGGGAGGAATATATACACACCACAAGACTTGCAAGACGACCGACAAGATCTGAACAGGTCGTGGTTCCGGGATAATTACCGAGTACTTACAGACGCAAATTACTTTCGTACCGTGGAAACTGGACAGGACGGCATCGTTTCCACACCAGACGGCTGGCCTGGAGAAGATTGGGCTCTTCTTACTGACAGCAGAAGGCTGCTGCTGAGTTGGGATCAAATCGATCCACAGATGGCAGAGTACGACTTTCAGACCGAGTCGAGTAGCATCTTCAATGCAACCGTGCTGCTTCGGACTCCGCCTGTCGAATTGGGTGACAGCGGTGAGGTAATTTCAGGCTGCTATTATCATTCAGGTGACACAACCATCGCCCAGACCAACGCATCCTGGGCGATTTCGACCATCCAGGACACCGCCTCAGATACTCTTCCCACTCTTGCCCAGAATTTAACGGCATGCGGGTTCTCGCCGGTCATGAACCTGACTCTCGATGACTTGTCTGTACAAAACAATTTGATGTCATACCAGAATTTCGCCCAGTCAACAGTGTTTGGATGGGCTCCGGGACAGCCACTCGACACGTCTTCAGCCAAGAAGAACGGAACGACCGGCAGTGACCTTCGGTGTGCAGTGCTTGATGCAACTGGCGGATTCCAAGGACATTGGCGAATGGAGCCGTGCGAGAAATCACATCGAGCTGCCTGTCGTATCGCAGGCCAACCATACGCGTGGCGCCTTTCCACTTTCGATGTCCCTTATAGTGCGGCTCCAGATGCATGTCCAGACTCTACCTCGTTCGGCCTCCCTCGCACGGGGCTTGAAAACACCTACCTGTATCGGCAAATATTGAATGATACTAGTCCCCGAGATGATGACTCGGATGGGATCTTGTCCGGTGTCTGGATCAATTTTAACTCGATCAACCAACCCAACTGCTGGGTACTAGGCGGACCCAACGCGACATGTCCTTACTCCGACTTCAAGGAGGCAGAACAACAGAGAGAGATTCTTGTTCCAACCATAGCGGCGTTGATCATCCTGATACTGACAGTTTTGACGATCCTGGTCAAATGTAACCAGAACCGAAGGAATAGCAGAACTCGAAGGAGAGGAGATAATGGCTGGGAGTACGAGGGTATTCCGTCCTAAGGCCCGCGAAGATATTGTACATTCATCTATATATACGCTTGACCGATGTTGCGTCTTAGCTTACCTATAATGTCGCCATCAGCCCTAGGCGGACCCCACGTATTACCTGTGTCGGCCCAACTCTGCTCCGGTGGAATCCCTTCGGCGACTTTTCACCACGCAACGACAAGACGATGAATCAGCTGCTCTGCCCCGTTGAGCCCCTGGCTCCCCCACCAGAAGAGAGCCTTGTCCATACATTCTCCTCCCTGACAAACCAGCATCAGGAAAATCAGTCTTGAAGGAATGCTGGATTTCAAAGCCAAGAGCCAAACCACGCTTTCGCAGTTTACTGGTACGGAAGGTGCAATATGAAGATATACGAGATTGGCCGTTGTGCGAGTTGGCCATTCCCACAGCGGAATTGGGCTTCACGATCAAATGCCGGGGTACCGTGTTTCCAAGTCCAGAACACCGACATGGGCAAATACTTATTAGACTAGTACGGAATTTGATCATTGACGATATAAGAAGGGACTCAATTCTGCAAGACGAGGTGTCTTACTCTCCTCCCTCCTTCTCAAGTCGATCACACCATTTCTCGACCCAACTCCGACATCCACAGCCAGATACGAGGTACAGACACAGGGATCAACTCCACATCCCCCCATTGAATCTTCCAGACCAGCCCCACATTTCACATAGCAAAGAGCCTTAGATATCGAGGTGCTCTGCCTGCTCTCGTACACTCACAGTCAACCTTCTCCACAGAGAAAGCATCGACCTTCCGCTACATTCCACGTCATGGCCCCTGTAAAAGTCGCCGTTGCTGGAGCCACAGGCAACATCGGCCTCCCGGTGGTGAAGGCACTTCTTGACGCCAACTATTCCGTCATCGCATTGACCCGCAAGGGAAGCAACAGCGCCTCCAAACTGCCCCAGTCTAGCAACCTTGCCGTGAAAGAAGTCGACTACACGTCGGTACCCGATCTCACCGCCGCTCTCGAGGGTGTCAAAGTAGTGGTCTCGACCCTTGCAACCAGCAGCATTGGAGAGCAGAATCCTTTGATCGATGCCTCCATCGCCGCCGGAGTTGAAAGATTCCTCCCATCCGAGTTTGGCAGCGATACATGCAACCCCAAGACCGCCGCTCTCCCAGTGTTCAAGTTCAAGGTCGCAACGCAGGAATACCTCAAGACAAAAGTCAGCGAGAACCCGAAATTCAGCTACACACTGGTCATCACCGGGCCCTTTTTCGACTGGGGCCTCCAGCACGGCTTCTTTTTGAACCCGGCCAAACATACGGGCACGCTGTACAACGGCGGCGACGTAGTATTCTCGACCACGACGCTGGGATCCATCGCCCAAGCCGTGGTCGGGGTCGTGGGACACCTCGCCGAGACCGCCAACCGCCCGGTCTACGTGCACGACACGGCGACCACGCAGAACAAGTTGATCGCCTACGCCAAGGAGAAGGACGGCAAGGACTGGGACACGTCCGTCAAATCAACCAAGGACATTTACCAGGAGAGCATGACCGAGTTGACCAAAGGCGGAGACATTGGCAAGGCGATGGTCGGGTTCATTCTGAGCAGCATCTTTGGCGGTGAGGAGATGGGGGGAACTTTTGTGGGCAGGACGGACAACGCATTGTTGGGCCTCAAGGAGTTGAGTGAGCAGCAAGTCAAGGAAATTATCCAGAGCTTGGTGTAAGTCCTTACCAAGTTTCTTTTCTTCGAAACTCGCACTGTTCCCTTGGAAGAGCTTGCTTTACTTGAGCAAGAAAAAAAAAGGGGGGGGAACGAGGAAACGGGGCCCAGAAGGGAGGAGATAGGTAGGATCAATCTCTGTAGTTAACACACAGACAGACCCGCCAGGAACACGAAGACAGATGTCAAATTGTGAAAACAAGTATCCCCAAATCGGGAATCACCAGAACAAATATATGATTCCTTGCTTGATCGAATACGCATGAAAATGAAGGACGGAGATGAAAGGTGGAGATGATGAAACGCCAAAACTCGGCGCCCCAAGCCAGAGAAGAAAAGACATTACCCGCCAAAAGGTAAAATACCACACAATACAGCCTGGGCGCCTCTTGGAGAAACATGAGGAAAAGGGAAGGACATGTATTTATATCCAGATCTGTCCATCCTCGTCGACGGAGGCCATCGGCTTAGATCGTTTCCACGTTGTTCCTGTCACTGCTGCTGGTGCTGCTACGTCTGGTGGTCTTTCGCGCGACGCGAGCCTCTCTTCCCGTCCACGTCCGTGTCGTAGCTCGGGGTATCTCTCCGGGTCGTAAACCCAGGGACGCACGGGTCCCGGTACCGGTACGAAACCTCGCGTGCTAAACCTCGCGGTTGCTTGACTGTTCACGACTCCAACTCCGAGGTCTGGATCCGTGGCAAAGGACCGAACAGGCCGCTTGGGCGGATCGGTATAGGTGTCTTGCGTGGGCTTCGTTCTGCTCCTGCTTCTGTTTTTCTGCCCCTTGCCGTTGACGTCGACGGTCTCCCTAGCGGTGGTGGCAAATGTGGGCTGTGATGTCGGTGCCGGAGCTGACGAACTGAACGGATCCATGGGCAGGTACATGTCGAGGATCTCGTCAATGTCTGCCGCCAGTGCTTCTGCGTCCTTGTCCATGTCCTTTCCTTCCTCCCCTTGTTCCCATCCGGTTCGACGGCCCTTTGGAGATATTACTCTCCTAGGACGATGACCGCATCCGTCTCTGGTCGAGCAGACACTCTCGCTACTACTACCAGACGGCCAGGGCGAGGGCAAGGGCGGCAAAGCCTTGTCTTTGAATTGTCTCGTCAACGGCTCGGTGAACGGTCTGTGTGCGACGACTTGTCTCTCTGACGCGGCGGCACTTGCACTGGAAGTATCATCACCATCCACCCCCGTGCCGCCGGCGCAGTAGATGGTCGACCAGGAGGACTGGAGCGATTTCGCTTCGGGGTGTTCGTTTAAGACACAAAGATGGCCACTGTCTGCTCTCTGAGGCTTACTTTCACTGTGATTGCTGTTGTAGGCCGTGGCAGCAGGCGATGTCCCTCTCCGTCGCCGGGATAGTCTCAGGGGCTGCGGCACCAGTTGATTCACGTCTCGGTAATGCCATGGATCCACAGCGCCTATTGCATTCTCAAGGCCAGTTGAGGGTTCTAGGTCAGATGATAACGGATCAGCGATGCCTTCATGATGAGGTCGTTTATTCCAACGTCTAGACTCGCAAGGACTGGAAATGTCTGCGTCGGTTTCGTAATCAGTGTCCTTAAGAGGAGTCCGAGGAGAAACGCGAGGCTCGGGAAGCTCGCGAAGCGAAGACATCCAGTATCGGACGGGATCCGAGGAAGCCGAACCCGGACCGGCTCGCGAGTCTTCATCCCAGTAGCGGGTAGACAAGTCTTCCGTGGCGTTCGTGCTCTTTTCACCACCAAAAGCACATGCAGCGGGTCGTTCGACAGCTTCAGTCGGAGGCGACAAAGTTACCGGATGATCTTGTTGTTCTTCTCCATTCTCGATCGCGAACGGGTCGACCACCAGCTTACGGTTGGTGCCTTCTTCCTCGCCGTTACTCTGACTGTACACGCTCCGGCCATCGTCTGAGCCGCCAGCGTCTGACGGCCCGTCGCTGTCGCTGAACTGGTCCTCCATCCATTGCTTGGGGATAATCTTGCTCCAACCGTCCGGGTTGATTCGCGCAAACGCTGGACCTCGCTTGTCCGGATCGAGATCGGCCAGTTGCAGCGATGATCGAGCGTCGTCGTCGTGCGGTTTCGGCAGCAGAACCGTAGGGGATTTCGATTGCTGTTGTTGGTCCTTTGACAAACCTCTCAACAGTTCGTGGTGCACTAGTTGGGAATCCGAACGAGACAATCTCTTGGGGAAGTGCAACGACTCAGGAGGTCGACGAGGGATGGGCGGACTGATTCTCAACTTTTTCTTCCTCGCGACTTCCGAAGCAGCCGATGATGGCCACCAACGAGAGCCAGAGCCAACCTCTCTGCGGGTTTCATCGGTTGGCGATTGACGTTCGACATGCTGCCTATACTTAGATCGGAACAATGACCACGACAAGATCGACGTCTTCCGCTGTAGATTCTGTGCAGGGGGGTGAGGGCGACCGAGATCGAGCGTCGACGTGCGTGATGGGTGCTGCCGGTGGCCGCCGCCGGCGGAGGCGGTGCCCCAGCAGCTGGAGGACGACGAGTACTGCGTGGCCGGCGTAACCACCGAGCTTTTGCGGTAATGTGTCAGGGAAAGCCACGACGACGGCGACGCTGGAGTCCTAGATCGGCGCACGGATGATAGGTCGCTCAGTTGGCTCTGACGATCTGGAGTGAACGAAGGATCCATCATTGACAAAACTTTCCCAGAGAGCTTGGAAACCAAAAAAAAGGGGCAAGGGTTTGTCCCCAGATCCAATGCGGGCGTCGAAATTCCAGGATTCAATCCCCGTTTGTGTCCGCGAACAAAAAGGGCCATTTCAAACGAGAGGATGAGGTTGAACCGTTGACGTTGAGAAACGGTTGTTGGTTGCCACGGCTTCACCGACTGGGCCCCCATCCATCACCCTTCGTTCGAGAACTTCTAGAAAAGAGCAAATGGATGACATGTTGACAGCTGGTGACATGTCAACAGCTCATGCGGCGACGCGATTCAACGATTGGGATCAGAGGACGTGATCGGCATGTGAAAGCTGCAGCGCTGCCATATTGGCAAAGTCGTCTAGACTTGTTATTGCACGTGCATTGCAATGAGGCCTGGCACCCCGGAGGCGGTGAAGTAAGAGCCAAATGCCTGGAGATAGTGAAGCTTCCGCTTTTGCCTTAGCAATGCGTGAAGAGTTCGACCGTTGTAGCTGCAGTATTAGGAACATTGCTGTCTGCGAAAGAGACTCGTCCACTTCTTCGGCTCTCGACTCTCGACTCTTGTCAACCAAAAAAGGGGAAAAAGCAATGGAAAAAAGGGAAGACAAAAAAGCCACCTTCCTTTCAGACTCGGACGCGATTGATAGAGTATAATTCAACACGTATATTGCTGACCCAGACCGTGATAGCAGATTCATGTGGTCTGTTCAGATTGTCACAATTTGGACTTGAGCCACGATTTGATAGCTTTTCCTTGCTCCGTCTCAGACTTGTCACCAAACCGCAATTGAATGATGGGGGCAATATGTGCCTCATTCGTACCAATCACGTAGGTCATTGAGTCTGGGTTAACAGACTTTTGAGAAGGGGGGTGAGTTGTCAGCAAAAGTGTCACGGAAGAAGAGGTAAGACGGCTAAAACGTACCTTGTACGTCTTGACAAATTCACCAATAGAGTCGACCAAGACCTCGTTGGAGCCGCTTGTAACCAGGATCCCCTCGACCTTGGCATCTTTCCACCAGTCTGCGGGAGCATTGAACGGCTCGGCAAAGAACGTCGACGGTTTCCCCGCGAGGTAGTCCCTCGACCACATCCCCCCCGCGAAATGGGTGACAATGTCCTTGTACCGGTTCCTCTTTTCGCTGTCCCAGTCAAGGTTGAAGCTGACCCAAGGAGCCACCGCCACGATCCCCTTGAGCTTCTCCCCGTCAGCCAGCTTGAGCTCCGGAAATTCGGGCGACGGGTGCATAATCTGCGACAGGACGCCCAGGCACATGTTCCCGCCGGCGGAGTCGCCAGCGAGGAAGATCTCCGATGCCGGGCGTTTCAGTTCTTCCATGACGTATTTGACCGATTCGACGGCTTCGTAGATTGGCTTGGGAAAAGTCGCATGCGGCACGAGCGAGTATTCGAGGAACAAGAAGGCCGTTGAGATGTTGTCGGCGTTGAGATCGGTTTGAACGCTGTGCCAGAAATTGAGGTGCGTGTCATCACCATCGAGCGAGAAACCGCCTCCTGTAAGACAGATCAGTTACTTGTTGACCAGTCCGACAAAGCATGATGACGCTTACCATGGAAATACACACACACGTATTTGGCTGTCTTTGGATCGCCTACCCAGAACGCTTTGACTCCAGACTTCAGAGTCACGAACGCTGGCTCGATGCCAGCACCTTTACACCACTTCTCGTAGACTTTCGAAAAGGGTTCGCCGATATACCTGGGCGTGTGAGTGGAGAACTGGGGCCGTGAGTCGGCGCAACTTACTGCAGTTGAAGCGTGCTGAACCTTTGCACCATCTGACGGCTTTAGCGATAACGGATGAATTCTGGGAGTGACGCGGCCCACCTTTCGCACGACGGCATAACTGATATGCTGTCCGTAGTAAGGAGCTCCTGACTCGCCACGGAATGGGGCCGCAACCGCCGTGTACAGAGCCGTCCCAACTGGGAATTTTTATCAGCTTGCAAAAGTACATGGATGGCTTGTGGGAAGATATTACCGAGTGATAGAAGCCCTGGGAAAACGTCCAGCTTTTCCCAGAAGGAGGCCTGATGGACAGGAGCAGAAAGCGCCTGGGACGCCGTAGGAGGGGCTGTCATGTTGGACGACTTGGAGGGCGAAATTCAAGCTCTTGCCGTGTGTGCCCAATGTTAGCTGGGCAAGTCTGTTGATATATGTGAGAAATAGGCAATCTGACGAGTATCCAGAGATTACTTGATTAGTAAATGCAAAAGGGCGACGCAGAAGGGGAGAATGAGCGAGCAAGGCGTTCAGTCAGCCGAAGGAACAGTAAACAATAGCTAGTTTGCGCCGTACCCAGACAGTGACCTTACTGTGTATACGCAGTGTGGATAGTCTGGGGGCGGGACATGCAAAGGATGCAGGCACAGATGAGGGCGAGTCAGAGCGAGAGTTGGCCCTGGTCCCAAGCGCAATGAGTCAGACAGATGTGCATCGATCAGGGAAAAGAGGATGCCATGTGGTGGAGGGTTTCGAGAAGCAGTGAAATCAATAACCGTCCGTGCCGCCCCAGCCTTTAGATGTCTTCCCTTTAATATAGCCGAGGCATCTCCTTGAACAGGTATAGCGCTAGGGGTTGTGTAGGTAGACGACATCTCCGCACATGTTCTTGCATGTGAAAATGTCCAGTCATGATCAACCTCTTTCCCTTCCCTATACTGTAACTTGTCGACGTCAAACCTCTTGGTAGATAGAGACTGATGCTGGCTCCATGTCAAACCGGGTCTGTCCATCGCCTGCTCGACCTTGTCTTTGACCACAACAATACTTCCCCGAGGACGACAACAATGACACTGTTCAAATTGGAGCTATGTCCTACCTAGCGCTCAAAGAGCTGCAACCAGGGCTCGAACTTCGCCAGCTGGAGGCTCCCACACAGAGGCCCTAACCCGTTCAGATGCGGTGATGGGTGAAGACTGAAAACTAAGGGACAGAGGACCAAGGAGAAAGGCATCAAAGGACAGCCATCTTCTCCACTGACCAGATGGTTCTGGACATCGCCATGGTGATCAATGCTCGGTACAGATGACGAAGAAGCTTGACTGAAATATGCCCAAGCCGCGGGTGTCGTTGCCTCTGTGGTCTTACTTCAGCCGCGACAAAATGGAGGAAGGGGGAAAGGGGAAGACAGCCGCAGCCTCGTGCCATACTTGAGTATCGCGACCACCTGACTGCTTCAGCCGCACAACAGGACGAGCCGCACGTTCAAGCCGCGACAGCAAACACGCCGAGCCAGACAGATCTTTTCTTTTGGACCAGCAGATCTTGTTATTCTGTCGTCCTTTCGATCACACAACGAACGAACGAACGAACCTCTCACTGTACAAACTCCAGGACTGACGTTGGTATCGCTGCCACCTCGACTTCAGCATTCGCAGAACAGACCCAGCAACGAATACATCATTCATCTATCTCGACTTGATCCAAAATGCCTGCTCCAACTCCTGTCAACAGTCCCTCCAGATCCCTTCCCTCCACGCCTCCCAAGAAGGAGACCGAACCAGCTCACAGTGCCACCTCTGAAGCCGGCGATGCGACCACCCCAACTGCCAAATCCTCCAACGCGGCCAAAACAACCGATCCTGAAGCGACGCCCAAGAATGTCAAACGCTACAGCAGCGCCCCCGATCCGCCGCCCACCACTCCGAGCGCCCAGCATGGTTCCATCGCCGCCTGGGGAAGCACTTCTGGAAAACTCTACCTCTCCGGCCCTCCTCCTGACCACGCGAATTCCGTGAGCGGTGTCTGGGAGTCTGTGTTTGGCTTGCGCCCGAAAAAAGCCACCGAGCAGGGAGACGATGCGGAGAAGAAGGCCGAGAAGGCCGAGAAAGTGGAGGACCACGATGGCGACAAGTCAGGCGAAGTCGATTAAAAAGGCCGCCTCCTGGTCCTGCGGGTTGGGTTTGGGGTTGGGTTGGGAAGAAGATGCAGAAGCAAGTGTGAAGGGTTGCTGGTTGTCGCTTCGCCGCTCGCCGTGCGGTGTGAATGCGAGGCCGGCCTGGTCGCACTGGGGTGGACTTGCGCTGGCATCACCAGCATACTCCTCCAGTATGACCAAAGACTGCCAAAATCCCACCATGGAGGAGGGGGAGGAACATGCATACAGCGTCTACTTGGGCTCCAACGATAGCATGATCAAGCACCAAATGAAAAGTTGACAAAACATTGTATCTCGTGCGGGCGGAAAGAAACTTCGTGGGCGCCTATCTCTCGTAAAGCTTGGACAGTTACGGCAGTCCCGGACAGGACATTTGCTAACAAGCGCCACAAAGCGGCATAAGAGGCATAAAGCAATCGTACAACTGGTAACCTTTTGTTGCAGAAATCTTGGTATGCCCGGTTTTCCTCCCTGTTACACCAAAACATAGTATCGTGGTATTCATTCGTTTCACTCCCGTTGAAGAGCAGGCAACAAAATTCCCGCTGACGCCTCCGGCTGCGCTGAACATTGCTATAGCGCCGACCCCCTCGAGGTCTACCCTTCTCTATTGGACTACCTGACTGTTCACCGCCTGAGCTTGCTCCACGGTCAAGGGCTTGCCTCCCATCTCGGTCTCCTGGTTGTCGATATTATGATAGTCAAGGATTTCCGAGTACATCATAATCTTCCAGGTGTCCACCGGAAGGTCGGCGTCGTTGAACGACCAGTCGAACTTCTCGTCTGCGACTGGTTCGTCGGTCGGATCGTGGTAGGGGGAAAGGTACTCGTGCTCCAGGCCACCCGCTGCCGATACTCGTTTCTTGGGGTCGAACACCAACATCTTCTCCAGCAGGTCGACGGCGGAAGGATCGGCATTCTTGAATTTCGCACTCAGGGGTTGCCGTTCTCGTTTCGGCAGTGACTGGACGAATCGGAGAGTGTTTTCGCTGCAGATGGTCTCGATCACATCCTGGGGAGGGGTACCGAGCAACTCGGTGATGATGGAGAACTGGTTGACGTGATCCTTGCCCGGGAATAATGGTTTGCCTTCCAGCATTTCTGCAAAGATGCAGCCAGCGCTCCAGATGTCCACCTCGACGTCATATTTCTGCCAGGTAAGCATGATTTCGGGGGCTCGGTAGTACCGGGTCGAGACGTATCCAGTCATTTGGGGGTCTTGGATTCGAGCCAGACCAAAATCGCAAATCTTGAGGTCGCAATTCTCATTCACCAGAATATTGCTTGGCTTCAGATCTCGGTGAACGACGCCAGCCGAATGAACGTATTTCAGGCCTCGCTGCACGTGACTGCGTCAGTGGTCGATGCATCGGAGCGAAGTTCCGGCTGATATACATACGAGGATTTGATAGAGAAAGTATTGGATGAATTGCTTCTCGAGCGGTCTTGAGGTCAACAGGCGATGGAGGTCAGTGCCCAAGAGTTCGGTCACGAAATAGCTACATTCAACATCAGCATTTGGGACTTGGGCGGCGAGGGCGAGGATTCCCCATACATGTCTTCAAGTGGGGAGATGAAGATGTCGCTGAGAGAGATGACCTGATGGTTCAGTATCTTGAAAGACAACCTAGAGGGCTCTTTTCGCTCACATTTTCATGTCGAAGATGTTTCAGCAGTTTGAGTTCTCGATAGGTGCGCTTTGCCAGCACCGGTGTAGAGAACGGCTTCATGATCTTTTTAACCGCAACCGATTGGCCCGTCAATTGATCTTTGGCTGAACTTGAAGTTCGTCAGTTGGGACGGCTTGGGAAATTGGACATTCTCGCATCATGCTCACCAGACAAGACCGAAGGCTCCCATGCCTACGGGTTGCAAGTCTGTGTACCTGGGCTCAAGTCAACCGGGTTTGTCTTGCCACCGAAATGGCTTCTTCGCCTACCTGCTGGTGATCTCGAATGTTGTCCCAAATATCTGGGCTCGCACAAACTCCGCCATCTTGAGAGAGAGTCAAACAGAGCAGAACCAAGTCTCGGGCCGGAGATGAGGGGAGGTCTTTGGATCGTGAGAGTGTCAGCGGTCGCGGAGAGATCGCGACGTGAGTACAGAAACTCGCGTATAACGACGGCCAGGTCAGGAAGAAGCAAGGAGCGAGGTGATGAGGACGCCACGAGAACAGGAGTGGCGGTTTAGAAATACGGATGTTTCAGGTATCCTGAAGATCGCAGTTAGAGAAGGGGAGGGGTGACAGGACTGCGCCGGATACTTGTGAAGGACGAACCTGAAAGTTGTGAGCGGCGCAATTGATGGCAATGATAGGAATCAACGAGGCTGGAGAAAATGCTGTCTGCTACTGGTGACTGTGGCCAATGTCACGACCAAGGAAAACTTCATATGGTGAAGACTGGCATGCGAGAAGAGCAGAGCAGCAGGGAGCAACAGTGGCGGTAGCAGCAGCAGCAGCAGCAGCAGCAGCAGCCAGCCAGCCAACGTGGGGCAAATCAGTTTCCCGCCTCCTGGGCGTCTCCAGTAAACTCGATCGGTGCAGTTCTGGTTACTAAGTAAAGCGCAGGTGGTGGGAGCGGCCCCTAAGAAGTCCTAAGTAACGGTCCGAAGTGGGCTTGAGAATCAGCTCTTTTGGCTGCAGCATGCCCGCATTGTCCTCTCGAAGATGACGATCGCAATCACCCATCTCGGTCCCCTTTACCCATCGCCATCCCTAGGCTTCCCCCTCCTCAGCCGAACTTCTTTCGGCGCGTTCTAGGTGGCTGCTAGGTACCGCTTAGTACTTCGCACAGTCAATTGCCCCTCCATCCTCACTCGTGATCACTGATCACTGATCAAGCGATTCTATCGATGCCGTGCATCCTCCGTCCAATCCCTTCCCATCTTTTTCCGTATACCGGTGGTACTTTCTTCCGTGGATCCACGGCCGGAAAGTTGATCCAGCTGGCGTTCCAGCATATTAACGCCCAGAACGATGTCCGCAGCAATTTCGATTCCTATCATTCCCCAAATCCGACAACCAGAGGGTTAGTCAGATCTGTCCACCCCTTGCCCTTTCGATTTCAGTCGATATCCCCGATCCATATACCGCCACGAGCAAGGTACAGCTCAGACTTGACGAGCCCGGTTCGCGGATCCCGTTAATAAGTGATGATCTCACCCACCACCGCCTGTTCTTTTAGTTGGAGCCGCCCGGCGAAGGTAGCACAGTCACGACTTCAGAGTTTATGCCGGCCCAGGCCAATTTTTCCTATTCTGGCCCTGTCCGCCGGCGACCAGTGGAAACCCTTGAAGCTTCTGGGAAGCAAGGCGAGTACTCGTATTCCAAATTTCTCCGCCAATGCTTTTTCTTCCCACCAAGAATACCTGCAAGAAAGCATACCCTGGAAGTCCTCAGATTCTTTTCTGAGCGGCAAGGCGTTCTCGATAGAGACTGACCATCGCCCCTGTAAACCGGGGCCATATGACAATGTAAGAAAGTTCAGACAACATGGCGCTTCCGTGCGGCGTGCAAGAATATGTTTCATATTCTGGTAGTCAACGGTAGAGCGAATGACTCTAGGGACTTCTGGCCTTCGGAGATCATTGCTGAATGACATCCAAGGGTCAATTGTACTGTAAAGAGAGAGCAAAAGGCGCTCAATAGTGACTGCCTATCAACTCGACCGTGTATCGATCAAAGAGCTGCAAGACATGTGCACGCGTCCACGATCATGTTGTGGGTGCCCCAGGCCAGCTCAGCCTCTTCCTTGCAATCGCACCCGATTCTGGACGATCCTCAGACACAATTGCCGCCTCGGGCGTGGTGAGCCTCACATTGCAAACACCGGAGGATTTTAGAGCTCGCCATGCAACTTCGTGGCGGTGGCTGATGGTTTTTGTCGGAGTCTGCCGCAGACTTGGTGATCCAAGACTCCATATAGGATGGTTTGAGCCTGACATGCACCCTGATTCAAAGTTTGACAGAAAAGACACAGGTGACAGCTACGAGATTTGAGCATGCACGACATCTGACTTGGTCAAGTATTTGAATTCCTAGCATTGCGAAGCTGAAACAACTCCTTTGTAGACCGGTCTTGCCGGCAGATTAGGAAGTCCACTTCTTGGACCTCTTGACAAGACTTGCACATGTCCATCAAGAAGCAAGAGGATAAAACCTCAACGGGAGACTCGGCACAGAAGAAAACGTGAGTCCGCGACAGTGTAACCCAGACCGGCAGCCTCTCGGAAATTTACCACGAAAACGCTGGCGCACGACGGGCTGTTAGGGAGGATTGCTTCTGCTGTGACGGAGTAGAGGGATGAGCATTGACGACATCATGTCAAAAGACTCAAGTGCATGCAAGCCTGCCAGATGCTGGCACGCTGACCTGACAAATCTCAAGCTAAGCCGAGTCAAGGCGGACGTTGTCAAAAGCGATGAGGCTGTCTTGTCGGGGCGGAAATGGGATGATTTTGGATGGTCGTGCTATCGAGGTGTATAGCGTAGGCAGTAAATCTTGACACCATTAAAACCTCGTGCAACACAATCGTTTCTTTTGGCTCAGGAACTATCAACCCCTTGGCGAGAACAGCCATGTGGCAAGACCCTGGCAGCTCGACGATTGTTGGAACGATGCTGTTCTTTTTTTCTGGAGCGGTGGATGTCTGTCAGGGAATGCACGAGCCATGGATAACTAAGCCACGCTGCTGAGATCTGAGAAGTCAACGGGCTCCTACGAGTAAGTCACAACAGTGCTTGTGGGCACAGGGTAATTACTACTTTGTGTATTGATTTTTCTCGAACACCAGGTACCTTAGGTACATATGGCAGTAATAGCACTGAGAAATTAAAATACCCTGGATGGACACAGGCAGAATACCCAGCCTGCCTAATCTGCCTAACCTGGGTGTCTCGCTACCCCTAGACGAGACAAAGCGCCCAGCACTATTAGCGACTTGGGGACCCTTGGGGAGTGCCTAACGAGCCTGGCCGCTGGGACTTTAGCCTA